TTTGTGGTGTTTTTTGGGTTTTTTACAAGTCCGCACAAAAATCCTCCAGAATTTCCCCTAATATGCCCATTTTTAATGCAATGCTGCCTAATAAAAGAACAATGAAGGTAGAACATAGCCATTGTGGCAAGTAGCCACTGATAGCCTTATCATAGAATCATAGAATTGTAGAGTTGGAAGGGACCCCAAGGGTCATCTAGTCCAACCCCCTGCAATGCAGGAATCTCAGCTAAAGCATCCCTGGCAGATGGCACATCCAAACTCTGCTTAAAATCCTCCAAGGAAGGAGAGTCCACCACCTTCCAAAGGAGTCCGTTCCACTGTCAACAAGTTCTTCCTGGTGTTTAGTCGGAACCTCCTTTCTCGTAACTCGAAGCCCTGGGTTCGAGTCCTGCCCTCCAGAGTCCTGTCCTCCATGCATTTGTCTGATCCTCTTTTATAGGATTGTTCGAATCCCCGTGATGGGGTGAGCTCCCATTGCTTGGTCCCTGCTCCTGCCAACCTAGCAGTTCAAAAGCACGTCAAAGTGCAAGTAGATAAATTGGTACCGCTCCGGCGGGAAGGTACGGTAAACGCCGTTTCCGTGTGCTGCTCTGGTTCGCCAGAAGCGGCTTAGTCATGCTGGCCACATGACCCAGAAGCTGTACGCCGGCTCCCTCGGCCAGTAAAGCAAGATGAGCGCCGCAACTCCACAATCGGCCACGACTGGACCTAATGGTCAGGGGTCCCTTTACCTTTACCGCATATAGGATTGCACTAGCGGAGATTTAAAGCTCCGGTTTCTTCTGAAAGCTGCCCATCACTATTTTCCTTTGCAAAAACTGGATCTGGAGGCTGGCTTATTATAATAATATTTAGGGAAAGAGTGGAATTTGACTTTATTGTGTGGTGGGCATAGTGCACCACCTTGTGGCCAGATAAAAAAACGGGCCGCATTTTGGTTAGAAGATGCCGCTTGCAACCTCCCTGGTGCAGATACCGGTGTTCATTTCCAAGCGATCTGTTTATTTCAACTCTTGCTTTATTTGCAAGAAGTTTGTGGGGCCGTTATATGACGTTGGCTATTCATGGAGCATTCTGATTTGTTTGCAGGGATGTTGTGCCTAGCAGATGTTAGCTAGTGCATTCCAGAAAGTTGTCTTGCCTCTTTCCGTATCGCAAAAGACTGGTTCATTTCCCATTGCACGTGCCTGAATTTAGTTGAAAAACGGAGGTGTGTGTGTCCAATTGAGAATATATCTGTGTAAAATGCAGATTGGTCCCCCAACAGCTGATGAAGTCCTTTGTTATTGTGCTTCCTCTTGTGCCCAGTAGATGGCAGAGTTGGCATTAGAATCCATGTGCTTTTTAATATTATTGCACAGAAACTTTTGACAGTCTTTTCTTTTACTGTATAATGATCATTTTTTTCTGTTTTGGTTTTGTTTTATTTCCTCTTTGCTCCCTTTCAAGCTTTGGAGCAACACACAATTTTAAGGCTGCAGTCCTCTGCACATTTACCTGGGAGTATGCCCTACTGGATTCCATGGTGCTTACTTTGGAGTAAGCATGTGTAGGGTTGCACTGTAAAGAATAATGGGGAAGAAACAAATTTGGCTTGCATTGCCACATTTACACACCCTGGACTAATATGCAAACCAGAATGCGGCTCTCCTCTGAAATTCACACTTCTTAGAAATTTGTGGTTCTGTCCTAAAACCAAAGAGAGTGTGCAAAAATGTGTCTCTCAGTGAGAAGTGCAAGGCATGAACTTGAATCTGCACTTGTTACAGCTGCGGCTGAAGGTCTCAAATCCCAAAATTGACAATATGTTGTGGGATCAGTTTCGGCTGATGCATATTAGGAGCAGTGAGCATGCAAATGCATACATGTGTTCATGTGAACAAAAAATATGGACTCACATGCAGAAATTAGGCAGACTGAGTTTGAGATTGAAAAAATGAGAAACCAAAACTGAGAGATTCATCCCCCCCCCCATGACATCAACTAGCCAATTGGAAGAGGGGCAGAGGAGAGAGAAGGCACTCGAATATCATATTCAAAAAGTTTAAGCCAAGTCCTTGGGCTAACAGGGATGGGTGAATCTATCAGTTTTGCTTCCTCTCTGATTCTAATTTTTTCCCCAATCTTGAGTCTGATTTTCCGTATCAGTTTGTGATTATTATTTTTAGGGTCCTCATGGAAATTAATAAGCTTTTTTTGTGCTGATATTTGCATTTTTAGGCACACTTTACTCTAGGCATATGCATTTTTGTAGATATTACTTGGCCAACGAACCGCATTGCAAAATTCAGCACTGTTTTGGAACGTTTTTGGAAGGCATCTTAGTGCAAACTTCTCTTGATACGTTTCAATTCCCTGTACACTTTTCCACAGCAGACACCCTTCTGCAAGAATTTCCCCAACCGTGATGCAATTTTGCATATTGCTTGCATGCGATGTTTGCATTTTAATGCGCACTCTCTTTCAGTCTGTGCAAATTGTTTGGCTGGGGAACTGCATCAGAAAATTAAGGGAATTTTCCTTTGGTCTGCTTATTTCGGGAAGTGCAAATTGGGTAGGTTTCTGTGAATCAATGAAGGCTGGTCCCAGAGGGCAAATGGGGCAATGCCCCACCAACCTCAAGTCTGCTGTCAGCGAGGTTCCACTTGCCTGCTTGCTTTCTTTCTTTTTGCCTCTCATTTTCCTCTACCTCCTTCTTCTCAGTGTTGCCCTTGTACAGTGGTTAAGTACTTAATTCGTTCTGGAGATCCGTTCTTAACCTGAAACTGTTCTTAACCTGAAGCACCACTTTAGCTAGTGGGGCCTCCTGCTGTTGCTGCACAATTTCTGTTCTCATCCTGAAGCAAAGTTCTTAACCCGAGGTAATATTTCTGAGTTAGCGGAGTCTGTAACCTGAAGCGTCTGTAACCTGAAGCATCTGTAACCCGAAGTACCACTGTAGAACTCAGCAGGGAGGAGGAGAGCAGGGACAAAACTAGATGGGAGTTTTCCAATCCTAGTCTGCCTCCACTTGCCTGTCTTCTGCATACAGGTGTGATGGATGCCAAGGAATGATGGGAGGCCCCGGAGGGAACCCCCAGGGGAAGGAGGCTCAGACAGGGGTGGGGGGAGGGGGCATTCCGCCCTGGGTGTCATCACTGAGGGGGGTGACATTTGGCTCGCCACCTGCCCGTGATTCCCAAGCCTACCCCGAGCCATTGGGGGAAGGGGCAGAGCTGTGCTGCCTTGCAAGTGGCCTTTCCCCCTTCCCCCTTTGTTTTGACAGCTGGGGGAGGCTTGAAAATCATGGGCAGGCGGCGCACCATTGCCCCCCACTCCCGGGCTGCTTCCTGGGGGGGGAGTCTCCCCCAAGCTGTCAAAAGGAAGAGGGAAGGGAGGAAAGCTGCTGGCAAAGCGGCACAGCTCCCTCCCCCCCCCCCCGGAAGCAGCCCGCCATGGGCGGCTCACTCCTCCCCCAGGTGGCTCACTCTGCCCCCCCGGGACGCTCGCCCCACCCCCATGGTCCCACCCCTTGGTGCAGGAGCAGCTAGCTCTGCCTCTGGGCTCAGAGCCCGGGGATTGGTGGTGGGATGATGATGAATGGTCAGAGGGAGAAGAGGGAGCAAGCTGGAAGGAGGAGGCGTCGGAAGCTGAAGAGGCAACAGGCTTTAGTGAGCAGGAAGAGACTGTGGCAGAGAGCAGTCCAGACTTAGAGGCTAGAGAGGAAGAGGACCAGGGATGAGGCGGGCTGCTGAAGAAGTCAGGGAGTCTTCCCTTCCTGCCGCGACCAGCTCCCTGGTCCCCCAGAACCAGAAGAGGTATGAAGAGGACGGAGCAATGACAGACAAGGCAATTGAACCTTTGGCTGCTGGGAAAGGACCCGAGGAAGGAGTCTTAGACAGCTGTCGGAAGGCAGGGACCTTCAGTCCTTGCAACTGCCTCCTTGGGTCTGCAAGAGCTACTGGGAATAATTGCTGGGATCACTGGACCTGCACTGTTTTGCTTTATTTGAATAAATAATTTGCTGGCACTTGGTGTGTTTTTTACTGGTGACCTGCTCCTGACTCTGGCTCCTGTGACACCAGGGGGCATTTCTGGCGCCACCTACTGCTAGGCTCCCTGCTTTCTGCCCCATCAGTCCCAATGGGCACTAAGCAGCACTGGTATTAAAAATGTGAACCAAACAGACTCCCTCCCACCCCTGGCTTCAAGTCCTCACAGCCATAAGATCCAGCCTAATTGTTCTACTTAAACTGTTTTTCCTCATATAATATCTTGAAGAATTCTAGACAACCTGAAAGTTTCTGACTTTTTTTAAATAAAAATTTTCAGGCCTAATAAAGGTCTTACCCCATGATGGCTTTAGGATATTATTATTATTATTATTATTATTATTATTATTATTATTTTCAGCATGTAATCTAACCGTTCCCAAGGATGGGGTTATCGAAGGACAAGAGATTTGCTTTTTTAAAAAAAACTATTTAAAAAAACCACTGTATTTTTATAAACTTCTCCTTCATCGTAGGCCAGGGTTCAAAAAAAGCCCAGAGGCTTTTTCTTCTCCTCCTTCCCCCTCCTGGAACCATGCTGGGTTGAAAGTGCTGCTTGATAAATCATCCCCTTCATGTTTTTTTTTTCAATGAGGGAAGGAGGAGGAGGGAAACTACCCTAACTTGGTTAAGTGATTTGCAAAGCCAAACAAACAGGCTATTGTATGGCAGAACCCAGCAAAGCACACACAACCATTTGCAGAGACCTCTTAGTATGGCAGCTGGGAGTGGGAAACGAGGCCTTTGGAAATCATATTCCCTTTTCTCTAGGTTTTTTTATTCCCTCCCCACTTTCCCTACCCATTGGAAAAGAACCAGCATTGCTTCCTTGTCGTTATAAGAAGAGCTCTGCTTGATCGGATCAAAAGTCTCTCTCATCCAGCATCCCAAATGAATCACAGAATTGTAGAGTTGAAAAGGGACCATGAAGTTCATCTAGTCCAGCCCCCTGCAATGCAGGAAACTTGCCCAATGTGGGACTCGAACCCACAACTCTGAGATTAAAAGTCTCATGCTCTACTGACTGAGCTATCCTGGGAAGCCCACAAGGAGAGCACAAACGCCCTCCTCAGTTGAATATGGGTGCTATCTGAGGCAGGTTCTTTCTGAGGTTGGAGTTCCCATTCCTAAATCTTCACCATCATGCAGATCTGAGCCTGGGGACTTGGTAAAGAAAAAGCGTTTATATGTGTTGTATATGTGATATAACACTGTGACACCAGATGGCGCTGTGGAGTCCCGTCTTTCCCTACTGGATTTCCCTGTATGTTTACAACATGTTTAACTGAATCACTTCTTTGAAGTGTCTAGATCCAGCCTTGGCGTGCATTTGGCCAGCTTTGTCTGGTTCACCAGCTACGGCTGTTCCTGTAGTTCACGAGTTAGGAGACTATGGAGGAGTGCACCTTTGGGGGTGAAGTCAAACTCTTGGAAGGTTGCAGCGCCAGCTGTGGCTGTAGATACAGGAGAGACATGTTTTGTTGCAGCTGGGGCAGATGAAGGCGTCTGGTTGCTCTGCTGAAGATGCACCACTGCATTTCTTCTCCCTTTGCTCCTCCCAGCAATCATTCCAGCTGACGTGGTAGTCAGACTGCTGATGGGGGCATCGGCCCGCCTATCTATCTATCTATCTATCTATCTATCATCTATCTATCTATCAATCAATCATACTTATTAAGCACCTAGCATTTTAAAAGCACTGTACAGAACAAGATACAAAAGGAAAAAGGTATGGGGAGGGCAGAGGAAAGCAAGCAGTGGAAAAGCTGCTGCCTTGTTGTCAAATGGATGGGGGCAGGTTGGTCTCCCCCTTGCTGCGGCTAACGATGTGCAGACTTTTGAATTCTCCAGCACTCTTTTTATCAGGTTAGATCAGGGGTTGTCAATCTGGTCCCTCCCGCCCACTAGTGGGCGTTTCAGGATTCTAGGTGGGCGGTATGGGGTTCTAGGGCACGAGCTGAATCCTCCCTCCACCGAGCACTGGTGGGCAGTAAGGAAATTTTACCATCAAGAAAGATGCATTAGTGGGCAGTCGGTGTAAAAAGGTTGAATACCCCTGGGTTAGATGGTAAACAGAGCAATGGGTATGAGAGAAAAAGAGTGTTTGGTTGATGTTGAAGTCACCAGGTGCAAACTCTAGAGCAGGGATCAGCAAACTTTTTCAGCAGGGGGGCTGGTCCACTGTCCCTCAAACCTTGTGGGGGGCCGGATTATATTTTGAAAAAGAACGAATTCCTTTGCCCCACAAATAACCCAGAGATGCATCTTAAATAAAAGGGCATATTCTACTCATGTAAAAACACACTGATTCCTGGACCGTCCGTGGGCCAGATTGAGAAGGCGATTGGGCCGGATCCGGCCCCCGGGCCTCAGTTTGCCTACCCATGCTCTAGAGCTTCAACATCAGCTGTTTTTTTCTCTCCTCCATCTCCCCCCAAGAATCCTGGGAACTGAAACTTCTTGTTAGCGTCGCTCTGTCTCAGGATACAATGGAGTGTGCCTCCGGGGGTGAAGTCAAACCGCTGCATTAGCAGCACTGAAGTGACCTCTCCGGGGTGCAAGCCTGGGCAATGTGTATGGAGGTCCTGGGCTGCCCAGATGACAAGACCCCTCTCTTGGCCTCGCTGATGTGGTCCAAAGGAAAGCAGAGCAATAGGTTTGGCACCAGCTTGGCTGCAGGAATTGCCAGAAGGAGGCGTACAAGGCGCCACCCTTAGGGATTCCACTCCAGATTTGTGTAGGTTTTGCTCCTGAGCCTTCTCTTCTCTGAAGATCTCTCACAAGGCAGAGGAGGTTTAGGATCAGATTTTTCCTTCTCTTAGATGGGCTCTCTTCCCAGTTTGATGAGCCCCATCTGCCCCTCACTTCCCTCTACAGCACATGCAGAAACTACCTTCTTGTTTGCTGGACCCACTATTGATCTTGTCTTCAAACGCAGGAGATGTCCCTAACTCACAAGGGTTTGAGACCCCTCGGCTGCTCTCACTTGGTAGTTAGGGAAGCTTTTAATGTTTAATAAGTTATTGTAATTTAGTGTTCTGTTGGAAGCCGCCCAGAGTGGCTGGGGAAACCCAGTCAGATGGGCGGGATATAAATAAATAAATTATTATTATTATTATTATTATTATTATTATTATATTGCCAATCAGTCGAAGCCATTTCCCAAGGCGTGGCCGCTGTCGCATCCTGACAGCTTCTAGGAGACACAGAGGAGAGCAGAGTGCAGGGCGGGGGCCAAAGGTGGAAAAACACCCCCAGAATGAGCACAATGTGCCCCCCACCAGAAACACTGCCCCTTCCCTAGCATACCATACACTGAACCTTAAGGATGCTGAGAATTGTCACTCTGTGAGTGGCAAACGAGACTTCGCAGGACACTCTGGGGGAAGCCATTTTTAATTATATGGTGTGGATGTGCTGTGTGTGAATTACAGGGGAGGCTGGTCCATGGACAGTGCCCCACCAATTTCAGTCTACCCCCAACCTGCCTGTTTTCTGCTTCCAGCCAGAAGGGCAGTTCTCCCTATCATTGGCTCTGGCGCCACCTACTGTTCTTCTCCCTGACTTCCACCCTACCAGTGTCATCAGGCCTATCCACCAAAACAATTTTTTGCTCAATCCTACAATTCTGATTCTGTTATTGTTCTGCTGTTTGCTGACATGGGCTCCCTTGGGATGAAGGATAGGACAGAAATATTACAACAGCAAAAATAATAATAATACCATTCACACTTAATTAATTATGGAATTTACTTTCAAGATCGGACCTTATGCAATCGTCTATGGGGGTGGGGTACACTGTATAGGCACTTTCGTCGGGGGTGGGGGCGACTTGCCACATTCGTTCCATTCTTGCATCTTCACTGCAGGACCCTATTACGAATTTGGCTAGGAGTTTGTTTTTAATTCTGTTGCGTCCCGATCGGGACGTTTGCATTTATTCCTTGTGACTGCTTGCATCTTGTCGGGCAATAATGAATCACGGGGAGCGAAACATTCCTCCCGGAGAGGAAAGCCAGAAACTCCAGCCAGCGAGGTCAGCTTTGCTCGGCGCGGGGGCGGGGTGCGATTTCTGCAGCCTGACTTCCGGCTGTCATTCATCCTTGCAAAACACGCACGCGCTGCTGCCCCCTCCCTCGCCTCCTCCTCCTCCAGGCTCGCTCCCGCCCGGGGCTGCCTCGCATGCCTGCATGTGATCTCATCTGACACCATCGGAGGGAGGCGCAAACCAGGCGGTGCCTCGCTCCCTCCCTCTGCCCGGCTGCGAAGCGCCTCCCCAGCAGCAGCCTTTCCTGTTTTGCTGCACAAATAAGTCCTCCTCCTCCTCCTCCCGCCTTATCACGCATCCCGGGTTCACGTGCTTCCTCCTCCCCCTCCCCCGCCCGCTCTCATTTCGGGGTGGAAATAGGGCGAGGCTCCTTTAAGAATGCAACGCGCCATGCTCCCAACCAGCCATGACTAGACAGATTGTCCCAGATAGGTCCCGGGGTTGGGCGAAGCGCCGCCTCCCGCAGAGTCAGCCACGTGGGTGGGATCGGGGCAAGCCACGCCTCCTGTCTCCTCCGCCCCCCCCCCCCGCCGCCTGGTCCTCCAAGTATTGCAAAAGGAGGAAGGCGGAGGGCTTTCCGTAACTGTGCAGCTTCCCATGCCCGCCCTTGCAACCCTGGCCGTATGAAATCGTAGCGTGGAAAGGGATCCCCAGAAGCCATCTAGTCCAACCCCTGCAACCCCAGGCCTCTCAACACGCGGTCCCTCGTCCCAATGTGAAACCATAAAAACAAGGATGAAATATATAGATGGCCACGAAAGGTCTGCGGCTCCGTGGAGGGGCACCCCTTGTTTCGCACCCAGAAGGCCCGAGATTCGATGCCCGGCATCTCCAGGTAGCACTGGGGGGAAAGACCCTCGCCGGAGATCTGCTGCTGGTCGGTGTGGACAATGCTAAACTACATAGACCAATGGTCTGAAGTACCGTCCTAGGCTCATCAGGGACAACAGAAGGAACAAATTCAGTGGGGAAGATGCTACTCAAAAGCAAACGCCGTTAAGTTCGCTTGAGACCTTCTGCCTGGTAACTGTATGCTGTACAGGGCTGCAGCCTTGAATATAAGACCTAGAGGAATCTACTTACCCAATACCAGTATGGAGGAAATACCTCTCACATTAATACATTTTTTATTATTTTGTTGTTGCATATACTGTATACACAGTACAGTACACACAGAGATAGAGCCCGCAGGAGCTTACAATCTCCCTTACACTGCATGCATTCAACGAAAGGCGCAATCCTACACCCGTCTCCAGCTTTCCTGGGAGCAAATTCCCTTGCACTCCGTGGGGTTTACTTACTACACGTGCTCATTATATATATATATAAAAGCTCTCTCTATATATAGAAGCTCATGATTTGGTCCCATACGCATCCAATGCGCAAGTCCTGGGTTTCAAGACCAGAAGCGGATTTCTTGCAACAAAACGAAACGTGCGCGGCATATCCTGCAGCGCTGCGATGAGCTGCGGCGCTGACAAGGAAGGGACGCAGCACCTCCACAGCCTCCTATCACTGGGCGCTCCAGCTCCCTCTTGCAGCCTGTAGCAGCGGCAGCGTGGGAAGGAAAAACCCTCTCTCTCTCTCTCTCTCTCTCCCTTTGGCACGCAGATGGAAGCGCAGCCTCCTCCGCCAGAGTTCACCGGGGGTGACCACGTGCCCCTCTCCTCCCCGCGCGCCGGAGGGGTGGGAGGACGCCCGAGAAGGAGCGCCGGGAGAGACTCCGGGCGAAAGGGGCGCCTGTCCCTTTAAAGAGGACGCCGTCGGAGACACACGCAGCAGAGTGCCCATGTGGAGCTGCTCCATGCCTTGTTGTTCTGCGAGCCGATTGGCCGGAGCCCGGGTGACGTCTTCCAGCAGCATGCGAACGCACTGCGGGGGGGAGGATCGCCCGGAAAACACGGCGGCGGAGTCCGGAAGCAGCCAGAGTCTAAACGGGGAGGGGGGGAGGCGGAGTTGGGATTGTGCTGGAAGGGAAGGAGGCGGCGAAGAGGAAGAGAAACCGCAGGAGGAGATATAGGACCACCTCGTTTGCGACAGAGTGGGGAGGAAGTCGAGCTTGCAAAAGTGCTGGCAATTGCACAAGGCCCCCTCCCCCACTGCAGTCCTGTACGCGGGACTCATCCTGAGTCAGACTATAGGTTCCCCTAGCTCAGTAGTGTACATGTTGTTTAGTCGTTTAGGACTCTTCGTGACCCCATGGACCAGAGCACGCCAGGCACTCCTGTCTTCCACTGCCTCCCGCAGTTTGGTCAAACTAATGTTCATGGCTTCGAGAACACTGTCCAACCAACTCGTCCTCTGTCGTCCCCTTATCCTTGTGCCCTCCATCTTTCCCAACATCAGGGTCTTTTCCAGGGAGTCTTCTCTTCTCATGAGGTGGCCAAAGTCTTGGAGCCTCAGCTTCAGGATCTGTCCTTCCAGTGAGCACTCAGGGCTGATTTCCTTCAGAATGGATAGGTTTGGTCTTCTTGCAGTCCATGGGACTCTCAAGAGTCTCCTCCAAAAGCATAAATTCTTCAGCGATCCGCCTTCTTTATGGTCCAGCTCTCACTATGTAGTGTACAGTGGTACCTCGGGTTAAGAATTTAATTCGTTCTGGAAGTCCGTTCTTAACCTGAAACTGTTCTTAATCTGAGGTACCACTTAGCTAATGGGGCCTCCCGCTGCCGCCACACGATTTCTGTTTTCATCCTGAAGCAAAGTTCTTAACCTGAGGTACTATTTCTGGGTTAGCGGAGTCTGTAACCCGAAGCGTCTGTAACCCGAGGTACCGCTGTACATAGAATCATAGAAATGTAGAGTTGGAAGGGGTCCCAAGGGTCATCTAGTCCAACCCCATGCAATGCAGGAATCTCAGCTAAAGCATCCAGGACAGATGGCCATCCAGCCTCTGCTTAAAAACCTCCAAGGAAGGAGAGTCCACCACCTCTCATGGGAATCTGTTCCACTGCTGAAACAGCTCTTACTGTCAGAAAGTTTTTCCAGATGTTTAGTCAGAATCTCCTTTCTTGCAACTTGAAGCCATTGGTTCGAATCCTACCCTCCAGAGCAGGAGAAAACAAGCATGCTCCCTCCTCCATGTGACACCCCTTCAGAAATTTGAAGATGGCTATCGTATCTCCTCTTTTCCAGGCTAAACATAACCAGTTCCTGCAACTATTCCTCATAAGGCTTAGTTTCCAGACCCTTAATCATCTTGGTTGCCCTGCTTGGCACACATTACAGCTTGTCAACATCCTTCTTAAATAGTGTTGCCCAGAATTAGACACAGTATTCCAGGTGTGGTCTGACCAAAGCAGAATGGAGTGGTCCTATTTGTTGCCTTGATCTGGACACTATACTTCTATTGATGCAGCCTAGAATAGTATTCACTTTTTTTTGCTGCTGCATCGCACTGTTGACTCATTAAGCTTGTGGTCCACCAAGACCCCCAGATCATTTTCACACGTACTGCTAGCAAGCCAGGTGTCCCCCATCTTAGATTTGTGCATCTGGTTCTTCCTCCTTAAGTGCAGAACCTTACATTTCCGGGGATTGTGCCGAAAGCCAAAATCAGGTGTTGTCAAACCATGTTGGGGTCAATGGCAGGTAGGATTGCCAAAGTCATTTATCCTAGAATGCTGCCTCCTTTATGACCCCACTTCCTAATTTTTCTAATTTTTTATTTTGCCCCGTGCATAAAGCTGAATGTGCACAAAAATGCATGTAAATTGCAGGCTTACCGCATTGTCTACTCTAAACTGACCCACAGCAGCTCTCTGGAATTTAAGGAGGGGATTGTTATCTGACCTGCCTGGAGATGGCGGGGATTGAAGGTGGCACCTTCTCCAGGAGAAGAATGAGATGAACCCTGATGAATCAGTTCAGATTCACCTCTCCCCATCAGGCCAAGGGAGCCGGCGTTTGTGCACAGACAGCTTTCCGGGTCATGCAACCAGCATGACTAGACCGCTTCTGGTGCATCAGGACACCATGATGACATACCAGAGTGCACAAAAATGCCGCTTACCTTTCTGCCGCAGCGGTACCTATCTATCTCAGGGAGCAGGTGGCTCTGTGATCTAAACCACTGAGCCTCTTGGTCTTGCTGATTAGAAGGTCGGTGGTTTGAACCCACACAATGGGGTGAGCTCCCATTGCTCGGTCCCAGCTCCTGTCAACCTAGCAGTTCGAAAGCACACTGGCACAAGTAGATAAATAGGTACCACTATGGCGGGAAGGTAAATGGCATTTCCGTGTACTCTGGTTTCCGTCATGGTGTTCCGTTGTACCAGAAGTGGTTTAGTCATGCTGGCCACATGACCCGGAAAGCTGTCTGTGCACAAATGCCGGCTCCCTCGGCCTGAAAAGCAAGATGAGCACCGCACCCCATAGTCGCCTTTGATTGGACTTAACCGTCCAGGGGTCCTTTACCTACTTTATCTACTTATATACTTACATTGGTATGCATGGCCCACACAAAGTTGTTATCACCAGCTGCAAGGTGTCTGGTTTGGGTACGATTCCCATGATGAGTGAGACCTCTGTGTCAGCTCAGTGATCTGGGGCGAAATCTAGCAGAATTTGCGATCAAGGGACATACACAAAAATATAGTTAGAAGGGCAGGTTTATTGATACCTATTAATAGGCCAAATTGCCCAAGGATTATGAAACAGCACCTAACGGATTAATAATTAGCATTGCAAATATGTGGACACAACAAAATCCATCACAGGAACCTGTCTTTCATGTTGACCCATAAATCATTGCTCCCTGCCAAGGCTATTTAGCAGACAAGGAGTATAGAAAAATTATCACGTTGCCTAGCCAGCTTTATACGTGGCTTAATCCAAACAAACACACCTCTAAGAGCTTTATGTAAAATACTCATGCGAAAATGCCAATAAGATCAGCAGTCTTTAAAAACAAGGAGACATAACAGAGTTATCAAAATATGGATACAACCAACAGTATTTAAAAGCTACGGTATATGCATTAATAAAATATAGATGTCTACTGGGGAGGTTGTCTGCCTCAAATTTTGGGGAAAAGGCAAGTTCCATTGTGTCCCCTCTTGCTGACTATTGACTTTCAGGCCCCATTTGAACTATACATTGGTACCTCGGGTTACATACGCTTCAGGTTACAGACTCCGCTAACCCAGAAATATTACCTCGGGTTAAGAACTTTGCTTCCGGATGAGAACAGAAATCGTGGAGCAGCAGCAGCAGCAGCAGGAGGCCCCATTAGCTAAAGTGGTGCTTCAGGTTAAGAACAGTTTCAGGTTAAGAACAGACCTCCAGAATGGATTAAGTTCTTAACCCAAGGTATCACTGTACATTTAAAGTAGTATCATACCCCTTGAAACAACCATGGCTTTCCCCAAGGAATTCTGGGAGTTTTGTTTTTGAAGGGTGCTGAGAGCGGGTACAAGACCCTCATTTCCCTCACAGGATGGTTTAACATTCATATCCTCTTCCCAGGGAACTGTGGGAATTGTAGCTCTCTAAGGGGAATTGTGGATCCCCTACACCCCATGCGTTTCAAATGTATGCCCAGGATTCTTGGGCATGTGTTTTAAATGTACAGTACTTTCCATATATGGTGTGTATGCACCCCAATAGGCCAAATTTATAAATGCAGCCTGATGGAAGAAATGTGTGTATCTGTGTGTTGCAGTTAACGCTTCAGGGTGCAGGCTGCCCCCGTAAAAGAAATAATTGGAGCCCAGCGTTAGGCTGAACCCGACACCCTAGTTTTCTACGTGCAAAGAATGCCTGCAAGAAAGCACCCGAGCATGCCCGCCTCCACGTGCAGCCTGGAACGGCACCGCCCAGGAAGAGGGCTTTGTGTTTGTTTCTTTTCACAATCGTGCCATGCTGCGCTGAGACGTCTAAGCGGAAACTCCCGTCCTGTCAAAAAAAAAAAAACCCAAAAGGAAAAGGAAAAGCAAGCAGGCGCGCTCCCGTCCGGCGAAGCGCTGCAATCCAGCCCGGGCTTTGCCTGCAATTCTCCCTATAGTAGCTGAGGGCAGTGTCAGTCCCTTTTTTTCTTGTTGTGTTTCTGTTACACATCGCCATCTTGTTACAAAGCCCTTTCCTTGTCTGGAAGGTTCGCAGAGGGGCTCGGGGCGGAGGGGGCGATCGCCTGGCTGGCTCCGGCTTCTTTATTTTTTTCCTCCTCCTCCCCCCTCCCTCTTCCCCCTTTGCAAAAGAACCAAACCCCGACATTAAAATTAAAGGATCCTGCCGCGGGGGTGGCAGCGTGGAGTTTCCCTTCTCCACTTTTTTTATTTTTATTTTTTTAATAAGTCTCCCCAAGACTTTGGATCCTCCGCCGAAACGCAGCCCCGAGAAATGAGCATTGAGACATTGTTAGAAGCGGCCAGGTATCTAGAATGGCAAGCTCAGCAACAACAGAAAACACGTGGTAAGCCAGGGGTGGTGGTGGTGGTGGGAATTAAGATCTCGTGTCTCTCCTTTTTGAAAGAAACGCAGAATAATAAAAAAAAAAAAAATGCACGCGGTGGGATTTATCTTATTCCCCCCCCCCCGGTTTTTTGATTGTTGGAAGAGAAACCAACTTTGCAGCGCGAGGCGAGTCGCCTTTTCGTCGGAAGCCCGGGGATTTCACTCCCCCTTGTCACAGGCTTGCAGCGCTTTCGCCTCGGGTTGCAAAGCCTTGCGCGTGCATTTGACACGGGAGTAAGTCCCCTCGGATTCGCCGCCGAGCAAACAGCGCCTCGGGCTTGGGGCCCGTCGGTTCCCCCAACCGAAGCCGCCGTATTTATTTTGGCGGGTTAGGAGGTGAGTTTTTCCTCCCCGCTTTGCTTCCCAAAAAAAATTGCACCGCGTTACGATTGCTTTCTCCTCCGTAGCGCAGATTTTGCAATGATGATCAAGTCTTCTGATTTCTCGTCGGTTCCCTCAGTGGGGGTTTCTAGTCGGGTTCTCCCCTCCTTCCTCCCCTCCTCCCGTTTTTGTAAAATGTCCCTTTTTTTGTTTCGTTTTAATGAACATTTGGGCGGGGTGAGCGGAAATATTTTTGCACCGGGTTAAGAAAAATATGAGATTGCCTAACGAGGCGGCGGTTGTGAGGATAGCAGGCTGCCTCTCTTAACAAGCGCGTTGTGGATATGTCTACTTAGAAGCAAGCCCCATTGTGTTAGATTGGACTTACTCCCAGGTAAATGCGTCCAGGATTACAGCCGGGGGCGGGAGCAGCCTGTCAACGTGGTCTAAATGCTTCATTCTGCGTTTACTCTGAATTTGCTGACACATGCTAGCCGAGATATGTTTGTATGTATGCATGTATGTATATACTAAAAAAATAATAATTCAGCCCATTCATTTCCTGCGGATGGGCAGATTCTCTCCGATTCCCGTGCTCGCGTTTATTGCCACCCCCCAAAAATAAACTACATGACCCCTTTCCGCCCTGCAGTGTAAGGAGGGCTGGGAAGGAAAAACAAGCCTTTGCAACACGGACGTAGTTAACCGATGCAGCCCACGTAATAGCCATAATTAATTATGCTTGGGTCTCTGCCTGCTCTTGCGGTTCTTCATTCATGCATCCGGCAGCGATCCGTCCTTTTCACACGGTTTTAATTATTTCCTTCTTAAACTTTCTAAGGCGCATAGTGAATGCAAGGAGGCGCGCGCAGGCTTTTAAGAGGCGGGCTGGATCAGAGGGTGGGTTACGATGTCATGTAGTTATGCGCCAAAAAGAAAAAAAGAAAAACCGAATAGAAAAAAGATAGGAACCTTTCCTCCCTGCTGCCTCCCCGTTCTGTTTTTTTGACGATGCCTCCTGATTTATCATCAGGAGCAGTTACTCATTAGGCAGCAACTGTGGGGAGGGTTTGAATCTGTTGGGTTTCCTTTTGGGGAGGGGAAGCGTTTCCTTCTCGTTCTCGACGGAGGCTTTTCCAGGGCGGTGGCGGGGCTGTTGGCGCTCCTGATCTTAAGGCGAGGGAGGGAGCGAGGGGGTGTCATATGATGCACTTTTTTTTTTTAACTATTTCCGCCTCTTTCGTCTGATGATGCGCCGCTCCCCTAATTGGGAAATCTGCTGGGAGAGATCCAGAAAGGGCTGTTGCTGCATGCGGGAGGAACCGATCCCCCCTCCGCCCCACATACACACGCGCACACACACATAAAAATTAAAATTCCGGAGAGATGCTGCGTTTAGCGCGTGGTCGAGATCTAAGCGCACAATGGAACGTTGGCGTCGCTTGTATCTTTTCCCCCCTTCATTTTCTTCCCCCTCCCCCAGGTTTGGAACGTTGCGTGTTTGCTCTGCGTTCCAGGACCGTTCCATTGGTTAGCGGGGAACGGGTGACGTGTCAAGGCCCTGCCCTCGACCACGTGCGCTGGGGACACTCCCTCTTTGGTGGCGTTGCTGCTGCTGGTGCTTGGATGCGCGCTTTCATTCTTGCAACTATGCGCGTGTGCGCGCTCTCCCGTTCGCGCGCTTGTGCGTACACGAGGGTGGTGGGGAGGGCCTGCCCTCACTTGTTTGTGCTGCAGGAACGTTGGTGGTGATGATAACGAGGGTGATGTGAAATGGCATGCAGGAAAGATCTGAAAACCAGCATGCCGGTTTTTTAATTTTTATTTGCTGTAATCTGAATAACAGATTTTAAAACTCCAGACCTCTTGTTTGTATTCGGGGCTCGTGGTAAGGACATGCTGTATTCACCATGCAGGCAGCTCAGAGCTTGGGGTGGTGCGCCGTGGAATGACAACATAGAATTTGGGAATATTAACAATGGAAATTAATTTGGTAGAAGATCTGTTGGAGGGATCCCAGCACGCTACTTTCTACTGTATTCTGAGAGAGATTAAAAATGGTTGTGGTGAAGGATGCTGAGTCTGGGATCTTCTAGACCTACATCCTATTAATCATCATTATGCTTTATAGCACTGCGTACACTCTGAACTGCTTGCATGGATATAGCTTTGTACTGTTAGGGGTCATAAATAGACTTTTAATCCAGATCTCCTTCAACTATCTGTTTATGGCTTGTAGCAAACAACAGCCATGTCCCTGCAATCAGCCCCAGGCGTGTGGACTGTGCTGTACAATAATTTAAATATTGTTTGATAAATAAAAGTTAGGTGCATTTAGGGGGGAATCTCGCCTTACTTTTTTGAACCCAGATCTCTTACCTGTCTCTGATTGGCTTGAAGTAACAACAGCTTCAGGCATGCAGGCAGACAAGAATTTGTACTATGCTACAGAGTCGTCATACTATATTAGTACTGCTGCTGTGTAAAAAGGTAAAGGACCCCTGGATGGTTAAGTCTAGCCAAAGGCGACTATGGGGTGCAGTGCTCATCTTGCCTTTCAGGCCAAGGGAACCAACATTTGACCACAGACAGCTTTCCGGGTCGTGGCCAGCGTGACTAAACCGGTTCTGGCGCAATGGAACACCGTGACGGAAGTCCGAGTGCACGGAAACTGCTGCTATGTATGTAGGGCAGATCTGAGACCCATCATGTAGCTGCTCTCCCATCTCCTTCCTCCTCATCCTGTCCTGATTTTTTTAATCCACGGCTTTCATTTTGAAAATTTACATATGGCTCATAGCTCAGTAAGCAACATTGTGGAGGCAGGTTGGCCTGTGGGGGTGTGACTGCAGTTGTACCTGTTTCCTTATGAAATCGGTTCCTGGCTTGGAACACAGTTTGCCATGCTTTTCTCCTAAGAACTCAATGATATATCTTGCAATTATAGAAACAGCTTGTTGTTGGCATTTGTCTGTCTCGAGAGACAATGGAGTGCGCCTCCGGGGGTGAAGTCAAACTGCTGTGTTAGCAGCACTGAAGTGACCTCCCTGGGGCACAAGCCTGGGCAGTGTGCATGGAGGTCCTGGGCTGCCCAGACGAAAAGAGTTCCCTCTTGGCCTCGCTGATGTGGTCCAAAAAAGGCAGAGCAAAGCGTTTGGCACCAGCTTGGCTGAACATGTTGCTGGAAGGTGGCCTTCAAGGCACCATTAAACCATCTTAGGGACTGCACTCCAGATTTGTGTAGCCTTTTCTCCTCCTGAAGATTTCCTGCAAGGCAACGGAGATTTAAGATCAATTTTCCTTCTCCTGGATGGGCTACCTTTCCAGGTGGACAAGCCCCATCTGCCTCTCACTTCCCTCTACAGTACATGCAGAAACCGTCTTCTTGACCGTTGGACCCACAATTGGTCTCCTCTGCTCAATCTTCCTGTCTTCACATGCAGGGGAAGTCCTTAACTCACACAGGGTTTGAGACCCATCAGCTACCCTGATTAACCAATAGTCGTAATAGTGGGGGCAATATCTGAGATTTAGGATGCTGTGCTGAAGTGTGGTTTTCAATCCACATCTCGTGGGTGGGCAGGGGGAAGAGTGACAGCTAGGGACAGAGGAACAGGAGCCAATTGTCTTGGAGCCAATTCCATGGATAAGCTTAGGTGAGCTGTGGGGAACCTCCACTTGTTCCTGGACTACAGTTCCCATCATCCCTGGCCATGCTGGATGGTCAAAGGTTGCCTTTACCTGGGCCATGCGCATCCTCTGTGGTTAGGTGTTGTGCTTCTGGAAACCAGAAAGCAGCATCGTTTGAGTCCCTGCCCTGTTTTTGTGGATTACCCAAAGCAGCGAACAACGTTATAGTTAATTCTTGCAGCTTGCCTTCACTTATCCCACCTCACAGGTGTGAAGAACATTCTTTCATTGTGAATGGTCTGTGTTGCCATTAAGAAAAAGAAGCCGGAATTGGCCAATATATATGTGGATTGTGTGACGTTTCTTCTTTATGTTCTCTAACTTCTTAAGCCAGCTCAAGGTTGCCATCTGAGCTAGCCAGATGTTTAACTAAGAATCAGTCACAGGCCAATAAGACTTTTAGAACTGTCTCACCCCAAAATGGCAACTTTGTTGTTGTTTAGTCGTGTCCGACTCTTCGTGACCCCATGGACCAGAGCACGCCAGGCACTCCTGTCTTTCACCGCCTCCCACAGTTTGGTCAGACTCATGTTTGTAGCTTCGAGAACACTGTCCAACCATCTCATCCTCTGTCGTCCCCTTCTCCTTGTGCCCTCCATCTTTCCCAACATCAGGGTCTTTTCCAGGGAGTCTTCTCTTCTCATGAGGTGGCCAAAGTATTGGAGCCTCAGCTTCAGGATCTGTCCTTCCAGTGAGCACTCAGGGCTAATTTCTGTAAGAATGGATGCGTTTGATCTTCTTGCAGTCCATGGGACTCTCAAGAGTCTCCTCCAGCACCATAATTCAAAAGCACCAATTCTTCGGCGATCAGCCTTCTTTATGGTCCAGCTCTCACTTCCATGTATCACTACCGGGAAAACCATGGCTTTAACTATACGGACCTTTGTTGGCAAGGTGATGTCAACTAGGTGTTCCTTTTTTGGCCACCGCAACCTTGGTTTAAGGAGCCATTTGGCGCCTCGCTTACATAGCTGAGTTTCTAACGCTTCTAGCTGGCCGCTGCATGTGGCAGCCAAGATTTGGATTAGAAGAGGCCCTTAAATTTTTGGACTGGTTCCTGGTTTGGTGGGAGGGAGCTAGGCAAAGTGTTCTCCGATTGGCCCCACTCCTCTGAGTGGCTCCTGAAGCAGCAGACGGCTGTGTCTAGGTCCCCCTTTGGTTTCCCACAATGCCCTTGAGCAACACTTAACATCAGGGGCATTCTGGGAAATCAAAACGCAGACTGGATCTGGCTGCTAAGCACTGCTTGACTCCCTGGACCAGAAAATAATTAAGGTGGGGCAGAACAGAAGAAAAGGCACCCACCCCTTATGCTCCCTAGCAGGATGTTGGGGCCTGAGCATCTGGCAGGATAGGAGATGGGTGTTCTCCATCCTGACCTACAATAATTTCATAGAGTCCTAGAATTGTAGAGTTGGAAGGGGCCATGAGGGTCCTCTAGTCCAACCCCCTGCAATGCAGGAATCTTTCACCCAGTGTGGGACTCGAACCCACAGCCCTGACTGAGCCAGTTGCCACTTAAGTGCAGTTGTATTTCTGGGGCTTTTTGTGTCTGGCTTAGCATGATTAAAGGGACGCAGGTGGCACTATGGGTTAAACCACTGAGCCTAGGGCTTGCCGATCAGAAGGTCAGCGGTTCGAATCCCCGCGACTGGGTGAGCTCCTGTTGCTCGGTCCCTGCTCCTGCCAACCTAGCAGTTCAAAAGCACGTCAAGTGCAAGTAGATAAATAGGTAACACTCCGGCGGGAAGGTAAACGGCATTTCCGTGCGCTGCTCTGGTTCGCCAGAAGCGGTTCAGTCATGCTGGCCACATGACCCGGAAGCTGTACACAGGCTCCCTCAGCCAATAAAGCGAGATGAGCGCCGCAACCCCAGAGTCGGTCACGACTGGACCTAATGGTCAGGGGTACCTTCACCTTTTACCTAGCATGATTAAACCACGTTCTGAATCTGTTTCAGTTCTCTTGACCGTTATTGCTTATATGGTCGAAGCAGCGACACCTGTCCGTAATAGGGAGGACCCCCTTGTCCCCCTCCCAAGCCTACTGGGCTAGGCTCAAGGTGCTGGTTTTGGCGTATAAAGTCCCTAGAGCTTGGGATCCGGATACAGTGGTACCTTGGGTTACATACGTTTCAGGTTACAGACTCCGCTAACCCAGAAATATTACCTCGGGTTAAGAACTTTGCTTCAGGATGAGTACAGAAATCGTACAGCGGCAGCAGGAGGCCCCATTAGCTAAAGTAGTGCTTCAGGTTAAGAACAGTTTGAGGTTAAGAACGGACCTCTGGAACGAATTAAGTTCTTAACCCGAGGTACCACTGTACCTGAAATATGGTCTCACCCGCTGTTGTATCCAGTTGATCCCTGTGCTTTGCAGACGGGGGCCTCTGGCAGTTACCATCTTAATCAGGGGCATTCCACACAATATTGCAATCAGGTCTTCGGTGTCCTGGCACCTTCCCCTCTGGAATGCACTCCCATTAAATATTAAACAGGCACCCTGTCAGCTGTCTTTTCGGCACCTGCAGAAGACGTTCCTCTTTCAACAAGCCTTTTGCATGGAGAGCTTTCCCAGTGCATCTGTACTGGGATTGTTTTTTTATAGTGTGTGCTTTTTTGTTTTTGTTTTTTAAAATAGTCATTGTTTTCACTGCCTTGTGGTTCATGAGGAAGAAGTGTGGGACAGAAGCTTAACTATTAAGTAACGATAATAATAAATAATACTGGTCCATGGGCACAGAATGTCTGGGTTTTTGTTTGTGTGTGGAGGGTGAGGATTAGAAAACTTGGTGTGAGAGCAACTGGAGTATCCTGGAAGTGGACATTTCTGAGTCCAACTAGAATCCTGAGAGGGGAGAATTCCACGCTGCAACATTTTGTCGCAGATCCCACTCATCATTTGCCTAATGAGCAAACAGTTTCTCTTGGGTGGAGGAAAGGCTTATCACTGTTTTGATTCAGGGCCCCAAGGTGCCCCTGCTGTTGTGCTTCCACCGGGTCTACTTCTTCATCCCCTTTAGAAAAAGGTAAAGGGACCCCTGACCATTAGGTCCAGTCAAGGACAACTGTGGGGTTGCGGCGCTCATCTTGCTTTATTGGCCAAGGGAGCCGGCGTACAGCTTCCGGGTCATGTGGCCAGCATGACTAAGCCGCTTCTGGCGAACCAGAGCAGCGCACGAAAACGCCATTTACCTTCCCACCGGAGCAGTACCTATTTATCTACTTGCACTTTGACGTGCTTTCAAACTGCTAGGTTGGCAGGAGCAGGGACCGAGCAACGGGAGCTCACCCCGTCACAGGGATTCGAACCGCCAACCTTCTGATCGGCAAGTCCTAGGCTCTGGTTTAACCCACAGCGCCACCCGCGTCCCCCCCCTTTAGATAAGTAGCAGCAAAAAGCTGCTTGGAGGCCCCATGTGCAGTGCCCCGGCACCCCACAATACCATCTACCAATGTCTCCGTCCATGGTTCCCCTCTGTCTGACACACACTTGGGTGATTTCTAGTTTGCAAGCTCCTTGGGGCAGGGAGCTGATACGGCTTCACTGCAGAGTGGCCTGCACATCGATGGGACAGAACGCCAGCACCTTACCTGTGTCGACAGCTCTTGTGTTCGCTTTTCTGAAATTTGGATTGTTTTTTTCTGTGACGTGGGGTTAGGGGCGGTTCAAGGTCTCCTGCTTTAAATCTTTGAGCCATTCCTTTAGACCTGCTCACCCTGTGAAATCCCTTGCTAAAAGAGTGGGGGGAATTCCCTTTTTTGTGTGTTTTCTTCCCTTGCCTTCCTGTTCCTTGCCATGGGTGGCAAGCCTCTCCAATGCAAGGGGGGGGGGGACACCTTTTGCAACCACAGTGGAGGATCAAATGTCTGTGTTTTGTGTGTGTGTGTCATATCTGATGGGAGGTAGCCTGAAACGTATTGTCTCAGCAATGAGTCACTCCAGGAAAGGTGGATGAGAAGGAAATTAAAATTCAACCACAACAGCAAAAAGAAAGAAGCCTTAGAGCTGCAGGATAGATTCCTCTTTTTCCACCCACCTTGTGTTGTTGTCGTCATTGTTTTACTACCTCTCCTGCTGCATCACCATCATTAAAATCCAGCCTTTCCTCCCAGGAGATGGAGCTGGTGGTCATTGTTTTCCTCCTTTCCTCCTTTTATCTTTACAACAGTCCTGTGAGGTAGGCTAGGCTGAGAGACAGCGACTGGCCCAAGTTCACCCAGTGAGCTGATGCAGGTGAGGGATATAGTACGTGGGGTGCTGACACAAATCCCTTTTAAATCTACTACATCACACTGGAAGATGGTCACGCAACAGAAGGCTCTCAGCACATGGGGGAAGGTCGCAGCTGTAAAACCTGCAAATTCTCGGAATAAATCAATGGAATGGAGGGGTAACATTGGGATAAACGATTGTTAGAGACATCCTACCTGGAGCCTGCAAGAAAATGTTGCAATGTGGAGTGCATGCCAGTTCAGGGTGGCACTCAGCCAACCATGCCCTCTTTCAAGAACTCCATTCCGTTACTCAATCCCTTGGTGTTCCCATTATCTCTTCATCCCCATAAACACGCACTGTGTTTGTTGAGCATGCTTAGTCCTCATTAGGCTGTTTTCGGGTGTTTTCCCTCAAGGGCCAATGTTCCCCCCAATTTATTTTTCTTTTTTAGTCCTCCTGCATATCTTGGCCATTTCCCTGAGTTTGCCAGTAGCTCTCTCTTATGCAGAGGAAGGATGGTGGAGTTATGGATGGTGCCGTTTGGGTTACACAAGGCCTGGGTGAATTGAGGTGGCAGTATTCAGGTGGGACCTGCAACAAATTCTTGCAGTGTGTGAGTGAAGTGCTTCTGCTCAGGCTCAGCACTGCACAACCGAGAACACTCAGTCATCATTGTGCTGAATTTTTGGGGGGATGGGTTTCCTAAAGCTTTTTTTTTTGTACTTCTGCAAACCTTGGAGGACGCCTAAGTCTGCCATCTTGGAAATAACAACAACAATATAGTTACTTTCAAGTGCCCCCCCCCCATCACTTCTGATTCATCCTGCTCACCACCTGAGTAGACTGCCAGGGTCTAGGAACAATGTTTGTAGCCACTGCTCTTCACTGACACTGGATCACCTGAATGAATCTTGCAGACCATAGTTTTGGAACCCCCGGCATGCTCTATTTAGGATGATGCAGTTGTTCCTTTCAGTGCAGCTACAGATGTTGTTGTTGCCATCCATCTGTCCTGAGAGAGAATGGAGTGCGCCTCTGGAGGTGAAGTCAAATATCTGCGTTAGCAGCACTGAAATGATCTCCCCGAGGTACAAGCCTGGTTGGTGTGTATGGAGGTCCTGGGCTGCCCAGACGACAAGATCCCCCTCTTGTCCTGGCTGATGTGGTCCAAAGGAAAGCAGAGCAATACGTTTGCACCAGCTTGGCTGCAGGAGTTGCCGGAAAGAGGTGCCGTCCAACTGCCTTAGGGACTCCACTCTGGATTTCCATAGTAATAATGTAATAATTTAATAATAATTTATTATTTATACCCCACCCATCTGGTTGGGTTTTCCCAGCTACTCTGGGCGGCTTCCAACAGACTATTAAAATGCAATACAGTCATACCTCAGGTTGACGTTGCTTCAGGTTGAGCGCTTTCGGGTTGTGCTCCGCAATGGAATGTGTTACTTCTGGGTTTCGCTGCCCACGCATGCGCAGACGGTCAAAATGACCGCATGCGCAGAAGCGGCAAATTGCGACCCGTGCATGCGCAGACATGGGTTGTGTTCACTTCAGGATGCGAATGGGGCTCCGGAACGGATCCCCTTTGTATCCAGAGGTACCACTGTAGTCTATTAAACATTAAAAGCTTCCCTAAACAGGGCTGCCTTCAGATGTCTTCTAAAAGTCTGGTAGTTGTTTTTCTCTTTGGTGGGAGGGCGTTCTACAGGGTGGGTGCCACTACTGAGAAGGCCCTCTGGCTGGTTCCCTGTAACTTGGCTTCTCGCAGCGAGGGAACCGCCAGAAGGCCCTCGGTGCTGGACCTCAGTGTCCGGGCAGAACGATGGGGGTGGAGACGCTCCTTCAGGTATACTGGACCGAGGCCGTTTAGGGCTTGAAAGGTCAGCACCAACACTAAGGAGTGCTTACTCCTTATCCTTTTCTTCTCCTGAAGATTTCCCGCAAGGCAGTGGAGGTTTTAAGGGCAGAGATTTCCTTCTCCTCGATGGGGTACCTAGAGTCTAGGTAGAAGAACCTGTCTTTGCACTCAGGGAAAGTCCCTAACTCTCTGAGGGTTTGAGACCCATCGGCTACCTTCGCCTGGCTTAGTCGGCTAGTCTAAGCCGTTTCTCCATGTGGCCGCTGTCAAATTCTGACATCTTCTAGAAGCCACAGGTGAGAGCTGAGCGCAGGGTGGGGGACCAAAGGCAGACAAACTACCCCAGAAGGAGTGTGACACGTCCCTTGTTAGAGGCACTGTCCCTCCCTTAACATCCCCCCCCATACCCCCAGCTTCAGATGACCTACAATTAGGTCTTTCTACTCGTGTCCCAGTTACCTGAATTTATCTATCTATATAAATGTTGTCTTCATTGCATCATCAACTTAGGGAATTTTCTGCCACAGTTGCGGCTATTGACTTAAATGGCATTAGGTTAAGGGGCTGGGCAGATTCGTGGAAGAGGATGGCTGGAGGCAAAAGACTCAGCTCCTTTAGCTGAGCTGCTTCCGTGGCCATCAAGTGATAATGTAGGCGGTGCATGTGGCTATTCTGCTGCAGTTATCACAATGACTCCCTTGGAAAACAATGGTTTAAATAAGGTCTTTACTGTTGTTGGATCTGTAGAATGGGTGCTTTTCCTTTGGTAACTACTTCCTTGAGGACTTTGTGTGCTCTCAGCTTGACTGAGGCAACACCAGCCTACTTTTCAAGGTAGTTGGGAAAGAATACAACAACCTTTCATTGGCAAGGATTACAGGGAGGCAAGTCACCTACTTAGGAAAACCAGTCACACCTGAGGTCACCTTTGTGTGTGGTTGTGTGTGCTTTTCTGTTTTCCTTTTTGATGGTTGGAGGCCAATGTCCCAACTACGCTTCTGGGTGTTTCAAGGCTTCTCCCTTGAAATCTGTTTCAAAGCAGAGATTGTTCCTCAGTTCTGGGGCACCCGCCTACTGTAGCTGAGGCAAAACCCAGACAAACCGAGATGGGGGCCGCTTGAGAAACAAAGCGGAAAAAACGGTGGCATGAATGCTGTTCAGCCATGGTTTTGCTGTCAGTCTTCCATCTCCCCTATCTGTAAAGTGGGAATAATGGTTATCTATGTTGCACTTCCCTGATTCGAGGATTAACCTGTGCTCTGAGGTTCCAGAGCAGTGTTTGAAATTTGCATTTTGCACCTGGCGTCCAACCACTTGCAACCAAGTGGAGGTGTCTGGGTGCCAGGATGGCACCTGACATCTCCATCATCTGGGGATCATTGGATCTGGACACTGTTTTCACACACTAATATCCCGTCCTGTAAAATTCTATCAGTTACATTTTATCTGCACAATCGGAATGAATTTCTGGAACCAAATTACTGTTTCTGTGCAGCCTGAGCAGGAGCAGTCACCCTTAAAAAAAAAAAGAGGTAGGAATAGGCCGAAATAGATGTGGACTGGATTAAGTGACTTTACTTTTTTAAGTTCTCAAAGTTCTTAATTTAGCTCAAGGTTATCATCTGAACTAGTCAGATATTTAACTGAGTATCAATCACAGTCAGTCCATCATTTGAAAAATAAGAGCTGTCTTGCCACCAAAGGGCAACTAGATACAGTGGTAAAAGGTAAAGGTAAAGGACCCCTGGATGGTTAAGTCCAGTCACTAATGACTCAGGGGTTGTGGTGCTCATCTCGCTTTACTGGCCGAGGGAGCTGGCGTTTGTCCACAGACAGTTTTTCCGGGTCATGTGGCCAGCGTGACTAAGCCGCTTCTGGCGAAACCAGAGCAGTGCATGGAAACGCCGTTTACCTTCCCGCCGGAGCTGTACCTATTTATCTACTTGCACTGGCATTCTTTCAAACTGCTAGGTTGGCAGGCGCTGGGACTGAGCAACGGGAGCTTACCTCGTCACGGGGATTCGAACCGCCGACCTTCCACAGCGCCACCCGCGTCCCAGATACAGTGGTACCTCAGGTTAAAAACACCTCGGGTTACAAACACTTCGGGTTACAGACTCCGCTAACCCAGAAGTAGTACCTCAGGTTAAGAACTTTACCTCAGGATGAGAACAGAAACCGTGTGGCGGTGGCAGCGGGAAGCCCCATTAGGTAAAGTGGTACCTCAGGTTAAGAATGGACCTCCGGAATGAATTAAGTTCATAACTGGAGGTACCACTGGCAACTGCGACCTTGATTTAAGGAGCCATTTGGTGCTTAACTTATATATCTGAGTTTCTAACACTTTTCCTGAGAGGATATCCATGGGGGTGTGGTGGGAATGGGCAGTGAGACCCAGCAAAGTTCTTTGCCCTGTGGTTATTGAGCAAAATTGCAGTTGTAGTGTGATCAGAGGTGATGGAGATGTTTCAGCGGCCCCTAGGCCCGGGGAGGCAGGACGGTGCTCTCCAGGTTGTTGCTGAACTACAACTCCCATCATCCCTGGCCATTGGCCATGCTGACGGGTGGTTATGGGAGGTGTAGTCTAGCAACACCTGGAGGGCCACAGGCTCCCCATCCCTGCTGCAGGAGGACTGATATCTGGGAAAATGCAAATTGCATTTTAGGAAATATTTCTCGTTGGCAATGATGACAGTTAGGTAGTTTTAGACATCTGGAAGGGACACCTGGCTTAGGCCTTCAGGGATATTAAGGGGGTGCCTCACGGCAGTGTTTTATAGCTTTGGGATTCATCCTTGCATTGTGGATAAGCAATACTGACCAGCATACCCATTTGGCAGAAAGGGGATTTGGAAGACTGATGCACAAGGCTGTGAAACCTGCAGCTGAAGAGGGTGCTGAAACCAGCTCCATATCCCAAGCGCTAGCCTCTGGGTCGTCTTGCTTTTCTAATTTTAAGAGCATGTGCATCTGTATACTGGAGTTTTTATTTATTTTTCTAGCCTGAGACTAGCAATTGGATTATGTACCTGAGTTTCTAGCACTGCTTTGGCCTCATATGTTCTGACCAGGTGAGAGGGTGATTCTGTCTTTTACAGGTTTGTGTTTCTTCCCTCACTTCTGCATGTGCTAAGGCAGCCTGGCTGCATTGCGGGGCTCCCATGCTCAGTTCTGTCGAGAGGACCCCTAGACTTCTTCCTCATAAGTAGCACAATTGCCCGTAGGTTGACCCGTGGTAGCCACCTGTTGAGCTGGCCACGGAATGTGACTTTGTGACGTCTTGGCGTAACTCTTTGGGTATGTTTATGTAACAGGAAGTGGGAAGAATGTTTTGGGATAGGAGCTGACTCAGTGGGTACGAGCCTCCATCTAGGTCAGGTGACGCCTACCTGAACTCCCCACCCAGCTGGGCAGGCGTGAGTCACTCCTGCGGCTAAGAGAGATCCCTAGAGCTACAGGTAGAAGACGTATCGCAGTGGTCAACCTCCAAAAACTTTCATTCTGTGTGGCTCCTCTGTTTCCTCGAGGAAGGGAACCCTCCACTGTGACCTGAGCTGCATACACATCATACTTTTAAAGCACCCCCTCAAAAAAACAATCACGGGAATTATAGTTTCTTAAGGGTGCTGCAGTAAACTACAGTTCCCACAATTCTTTTCTGGTGGGTGGATGGTGTGCTTTAAATGTATGGTATGCATACAGCCCTTGTTTCATTCTTGGGCAGGTTAAAATTGTCACTCACTACCAATATAAAGTGTTAGAAACTGAGATATACAGTGGTACCTCGGGTTACAGACGCTTCAGGTTACAGACTCCGCTAACCCAGAAATAGTACCTCGGGTTAAGAAATTTACCTCAGGATGAGAACAGAAATCGCGGGGCAGTGGCAGCAGGAGGCCCCATTATCTAAAGTGGTACCTCAGGTTAAGAACAGTTTCAGGTTAAGAACGGACCTCCAGAACCCAAGGTACCACTGTACTGTATAAGCTAATCACCAAATGGCACCTTAAACCGAGGGGACGGTCACCACAATGGAATGTCAAGGTGCCATTCCCCCCACCCCATAAGATTTATTGTTATTCTTCATTTAATTTCTATGCCACTTTATATTTTCAAGAAAACAATCTCAAAGTGCTTTGCAACACTTTAAAACATCAAACAAAACAGTCCAGGATAAAACAAATTCAAGCCTCAAGGGAAGTATTTCAGAGCCTTCTCGAAGTGGCATTTTGCTTTCCCCCATATTTATTTACCTACTTAATTTATAGAGCTGCCCTGTGGCAGAAGTACTCTAGGAAGCCAGTGGGGTGTAGTGGTTAGAGTGTCAGACTAGGACCTGGGAGATCGGGGTTCGAATCCCCAGTCAGCCATGAAGCTTGGAGTCAGTCCCAGCCTCTTAACCTACCTCACAGGGTCGTTGTAGAGATTAACTGAGGATTTCAAGATTTCTGGGAATTTTGCCTTGGTTCAAAGAACCCTTCCACCAGTCCCACCTCCTACCCTGAGGGTTGACGCTCCTAGTCCTTAAGGCGACAGAGGAAGGTCTGGATAATTTTATATGTCAGAGACTTCTGTTGGAGCAGGATTCGCATCTGTGTATGTGTGTGAAGGGGATGGCGCTTGCCTACAACACCCAGTTCAGGGCTCCTTGGATCTGTCTCAGATACGGAACAAACCAGGCACATGAGGCTTGCATAACTACCGTGAGCAAAGCGTGCAGCATTGCAGAATCCGAGCTTTGGGTCAGCTTTGCTGTGTGCTTCCTGACTCGCCGAAGCACTTGCATGATCCCGCAAACGGCGCAAGCGACTTAAGAGTTCAGCCGCTGGAATCCGCCCCCCTTTTCTCTCTCCCCGCCCCAGAAGCTGGCATCCCGTACTGCAGATGCTGCATGCGACTTCATCATGAGGTCTTTTGGCCGTTCCCGGTGGTGACGTGGTGCGTCATGGGCGAGGGAGGTTCTCTCTGCCGCTTGGCTGCCGCCCAGCTGACCTGCCGTGTTGTCTTCTAAAGTGCACAGCAGGCAGACACGTGCTTGGGGGCTGGTCCCCCCCCCCTTCCCGGTGTTTTCGAGGGAGAGGGAGCTTTTTCCGCAGCCTCTTGCGGTTGAGTAATTCTCTCGGCTCTCCTGCTCCAGAACTCTGGCCTGTTTTCTCCTAGGTGGTGTGTGTGGTTTTGGTTTTTTAGCTGCTGCGTAAATATTCCTGGGGCCGGCGAAGGGAGACGATGGCCGTCCTCTGTGCAAAGGCATTGAAAACCTTGAGCTTGGGGTGGGGGCATTAACTGTCCCCCCCATAAGCCTCTCTCTCTGGCTTCCTGGAGGCATCTTGCTTGGAAATGGGGTTGATCCTGCACTGCTTGGTTCTTGTCCACCACAAAATCACCCAGCAATAAGAATTGGCCGCAGAAGGAAGAGCAGGGTGGTTGGGTGGGTCTAGCCATTTTGAATGTTTGTGTTTACATACCATGCCATCTGCACTTCATAGCGGCTTCATATCATGGCTCCCCCCAAAATATAATAATCCTGGGAACTGTAGTTTATTAAGGGTGCTGAGAGGAGTTGGGAAGACAACCTGTTCCCCTCACAGAGCTGCAATTCCCCAAGTGGTTTTTAACAGCCCCTCTGCCAAGGGATCTCTGGGAATTGTAGCTCTCTTGAGGGATTAGCTGGGTCCCCTAACAACTCTCAGCACCCTTTACAAACTACAGTTCGCAGGCTTCTTCGTTAACCGCTTAAACTGGTATAATACTGCTTCAAATGAATAATGCAGATGGGGCCTAAGACTCTTAAATCAGAGGGTTTTGGGGGACAGCCGATAACCCCCTGCCCTTGTCTTCTGTCTGCTTTTGGTGTGTATTTTTTAACTGCTGTTTGCGTTTTTATGCTTTAGCTGTTAAGTATTTAATTGTACTGCTTTATATTGTTTGAAGCTGTCTCGTGGGTGCGCAGAGATGGGAAAGGTGGGGTTATAAATCTCTTCAAATGTATGGTTTTATTTGGCAAGGTGAGGCCGAGGCCTAGGCGATATATTGGCAGGGGACTCAGGGCTGGCTCTGCTGGGGGCAGGAGCCTTTCTGCCCCCCGGCTGAGCAGCAGGCTGGGGTCAGCTGTTTTGGCCACAGCCCCTGAGGCGCTGGGGTAAAAGCGCCTCATCTCCCATGATGAGAGCTGTGGCAGTTTGCCCAGGCATCGTGCTGGCTGGGGCCAACACAGCTTTTTTCAGCTTCTGTGGTATATCGCCAAACCGCGATGTTGAAAACCTGACATTGCCCAGCCCTAGCGAGGACACCCATATCTCATTTATCGAGTTCAAGCAGTGCATTGTCAAAACACATGGCAGGCCAGTGGAGGCTGCCGAGAAAGCCACCAGGCTGAACTGGATTCCGCGGCAGCAAGGGGAACTGGTTTCACTGGTCTGTTTTCCCTGTCAGGAGAACAAAAAAGAAAGAAACGAAATGACTGTGAGGCAGAGCCTGGCTGACATCCACCAGGCTTCGGGTCTAAAGGAGTCACAATGAATACCTCTGAGCTTATGCAGAGTGTTCTTGCTGCTCTAGGATAATTGAGTCAGACTATTGGTCCATGTAGCTCAGTGTTGTCTGCACTGACCGGCAGCAGCTCTCCAGGGCTTCAGGCAGGGGTTAGAGAAAAGGGGAATGATCTCTCTCCTCAGAGGGATAGGGTGGGGGTGGGGAGCCAGGGCGATGTGGGGAGTTATGCAGATGGTGCCTGGGTGGTTTTCCAGCCTGAGGGCCACATTCACTTCTGGGCAGCCTCTTGGAGGCCACATGGCTGAGGGTGGAGCATGAAATGCACCTTTTACCTTCCTCAAATAGGCCGTTTTCTTAGCACATGTCATGTATCCCTATCTATACACTCCACCCAAGGGTGCAAAGCAGGCCCGGGAGAGGGTGCGTCTGGAAAGGGTGTGTGGGCTGGGGAGAGCCTCGGGGGCCAGGGAAAGGAGTGTGGAGGGCCACATTTGTTCCTTATACCTGGTATAAGGTATTGCGTATTTCTTATGTAGAAACAGAAATGTGATTGGCTGGACTGGATAGGCGGGGGCGGAGTCGTGTGGAAGAAGGAAGGCCAGAGGGCCAATTGCAGCAGATGTCAGGTTGGTTAGAATGGGCGGAACCAGAAATGGGTGTAAAGGGGGCGGGAATACAGATTTAATAATGAGCACTAGATGCTTGAAGATAATGCATATTTTACTAAAAAGCCTCCCAGAGTGGCTGGGACAACCCAGTCAGATGGGCATATAAATAATAACATTCTTCTTCTTCTTCTTCTTCTTCTTCTTCTTCTTCTTCTTCTTCTTGTTATTATTATTATTAGGCTGCCAAAGGTGAGAAATGGTGTGGGAACTATTTCCAAGACCATTGGTTGCTTAATCAGTTTGAATCTTGAGTGTATTTTTTAAAAACTTGGTTAAATGGGGGTGATGGTGGATAAGTTTCATTCTTATGGTTTTGCTTCTTTGCCTTACGTTGGAGTTGTTAATTTGTTGTTTATTGGGGCTGTTTTAATCATTTGTGTATATTATAGTATCTTCGCGCCCCCTCCCCTTTAAATCTTTATTGCTTTGGTGGCCACTCTGGGATTTAAAAGAAATTGAAGAGCAGGCTACAAATGCTGTAAATAGGCAAATAAATAAAGTATCGGAGCGTCGTCATAAAGATTTGAGGAGCTGGGTATACCAATAAAGTCGAAATAATGGGCAGGAAAGATGCCTTTAGGAGAGGAAAAGAGCAGCCACTGTCTGCCTCTGGCCGCAACATTTGACTCCTACCCTTCGTCAAGTTTATTGCATTTGTTTTTCTTCAGGGTGAGGCAGCTCTGAGTTGTTTTATAAGTGTAACCTCTTTGCGGTCTGTGACCTATGGGTCCTCCCCTCACTTGTGAGTGTTACTCTGTTAAAAAAACTGCCCCCTCATGTATGTATACCACTCCATAAATAATATTCAGCCTTTGAAATCTTCAATCTTTTAAGACCCACTTTTAACCCATTTGGAGACTCATTTCTTAACGTTCCTGGCAGTCACGTTCCTGGGGATGCGGGTGGTGCTGTGGTCTAAACCACTGAACCTTGGGCTTGCTGGTCGGGAGGTCGGCGGTTCGAATCCCCGCGACGGGGTGAGCTCCTGTTGCTCGGTCCCTGCTCCTGCCAACCTAGCAGTTCGAAAGCACGTCAAAGTGCAAGTAGATAAATAGGTACCGCTCCGGCGGGAAGGTAAACGGCGTTTCCATGCGCTGTTCTGGTTTCGCCAGAAGCGGCTTTTACACATGACCCGGAAAAACTGCGGACAAACGGCAGCTCTCTCGGCCAATAAAGTGAGATGAGCGCTGCAACCCCAGAGTCATTTGCGACTGGACTTAACTGTCAGGGGTCCTTTCCCTTACCACGTTCCTGTCACAACCCACTTTGGATTAGGCCATGACCCACTGGTGCGTACTGACCCACCAGTTGAGGACCAGTGCAGTAAACATTTTTTTCAGCCGGGGGGGTGCAGTTTGGGGTGAGCAAGCTTCCAGGGGCCGGGTGCAGGAGGGCAAACTTGAATAACATATTTGTGGGGGGGGGGCAAGTAAGCCCTGCCTGCATAATTGATCACAATACCCAGCACAGAATATCCTGATGAATGACAGGAGAGAGATGATATAAATATGGTAAAGGGCCTAATGGGTTTTTTTCTCTCTCTCTTTCTCTCCCCCCCCCCCCACATTTTTATTTTTGGGTTTTTTTAATTGTTCTTATTATTCTTGTTCGGTAGACCAGTTTGATTCTTACTGTATTTTATGTCGAAAATTCACATTATTAAAAATAACAAGGTGCAGCATGCTCACACCATTTGAATTGCAATGCCTATCCACTTGGGGGGGGCTGACCCCCTCAAATGTTGTGGAGGCCGAAGGGACCTCAGCCCCTAGGAGTTGACTCCTATGGCCGGGCACCAGTAGGCCTAGCGGTGGGAGGAACAAGAGGTGTCGGCCATGTTTTCCTGTGGCACAAAGGTCTGAGGGTTGTTGTTTTTTTACGCCCCCCCCTTAAAAAAACACACCTCTCTATCCTCATCCAGGCTAGCAAGAGGCACCATCGCAGTTTGGGGACACATTCCCAGACAGGCAGAAGTGCTTGAGGAGAGCGCAGAGCAGGGCCACAGAGTGGTGTGAACTTGGGGAAAGGAAGCAATGAGGGATCTCAGGGCCTGGAGGGGGGCCATTTTGTGCCCTGGGCCCGAGACCCTCCACCTTTGCGATGAACGGACCTCGGAGAGAAACACTCTAGTTCCTATTAATCGTAAGAGTCGGAAAGGGTCCGCAGGGGTCGTCAGCCAGGTCGCAAGGTGGTTAGATTGGTCTCAACTAGGGCCAGAGTCTTTTCAGTACTGGCCCCGACTTGGTGAAACGCTCTGTCACAAGAGACTAGGGCCCTGCGGGACTTGACATCTTTCCGCAGGGCCTGCAAGACAGAGCTGTTCCACCTGGCCTTTGGTTTGGACTCAGTCTGACCCTTATGATTCCCTCCCCTTATGGTTTTGATCTATGGGCTGCTTTTAAAATGAGGCTGCATTTTAAATTGCATTTTAACTTGTATTTTAAATTGCTCCCCCCACCATTACATTTTTACTGTAATTTTACTGGTGTCAGCCCCCCTGAGCCCGGCTCTGGCTGGGGAGGGCGGGGTATAAATAAAAAATTTTATTATTGTTGTTATTGTTAGAAATTAGCCAGGTGTGTTTTGCAACCGGCACGGGTCCAATGGCGACCCCATGGAGATCTCTGGGTACCAAGTTGGCGGATTACATCTCCATCTGGTCAGCCTCTCCAGCTTTCTTGAGCCAGTAAGCAGAAGAGATGACTGTGTTTATATACCACTTCCCTCCCCACCCCAGGAGTACATGGTTCAGCTCCCTCCTCAGTTATAACCCCTACGACGGTCCTGTGAGGTAGATTACGAGGCTGTGACTGACGGCAAGCATCGTGATGGGAGTGGGGATTCGAACCCGGACCTCCCGGGTCCCAGTCTGACCCTCTAACCCAGAGCTTTCAAAACATTTCACGCCGCTGACACCCTTTTTAGACCTGCGTCATTTCGTGACACAGTCGTTCAGTTTAACTAGCAAACTGGAGGTTAAACTAATGCCTTTCCAGCCCCGGGAGGAGCATTTGCTCAGCCAATACACAGTTTGGAAAGCTCTGCTCTAACCACTGCACCACACTGCCTTCCTAGAGTCCTTCTTCTACGGGGCAACTATGTAAATTAAGTAGCTAAATAAATAAATAAGTAGGGAAAGCAAAATGTCCATTAGAGAAGGATGTGAAGTATTTTCTTTGAAGCTTGACTTGGTTTGATTCTGGGTTTTTTAATTAAATGCGCTGTAAACCACTTTGAGATTTTTCTTTTTCTTTTAAAATCTAATGCGGTATAGAAATGAAACGCAATAACAACAAATCCCAGTGGGAGTGGGGGGAAAGGCGCCTAGACATTTGGTTGTGGTGACCGCAGCCTAGGCTTTAAGGTGCCATTTGGCGATTAGTGCATATACCGTATTTTTCCTTGTATAGGACTAGTTGTTGTTTTTTGAAAAATTAATCTTAAAAATTGGGGTCGTCCTGGATACAATTTCCCCTCATTTTCTCCATTTGGAGTCCCAAAAAAGTGGGGGCGTCTTATACATGGAAAAATACAGTATCTTATAACACGGAGACCCTCACTCTGCAGGAACAAATGTCTGTCGATAATGACCGCGGTTCTTTCTCTCTCTTTCCCCCCCTTCCCTTCCCGAACAGAGGAGAACGAGAAGCACGAAAAGCTACGCTTGGAGCGCGAACAGGAGCAGAAGAAGGCCAGCGTGCCTAGGGTTAACCATGTCGCTCGCCCCGAGGAGCCCCGCCTCGAAATGGCGGCCGTGCCCTTGTCTCCGCCCGCCCCGCCTCCGCCCCCTCCCCCGCCGCTGGCAGCCCCCATCTCCGTCATCCCCATCCCCGTGGTCACAAGCCCCGCCCCTCCGGCGGCGCACAACGCCTTGTCCCCGCCTCTCATCCACCGCCACCAGCCGCTCGTGAGCGCTCCCGGCCTGGGCAAGGAGCCCCCCCTGGCTGCCCCCGTCATCCAGAAGACCGGCCCCTCGCTTCTTCCGGACATCAAGGCCCCCACGCCCCCTTGCAGCAGCCCGAAGCAGCAGCAGCAGCAGCTGCCTCACTATGCCACGCCGGTGCTGGCCATCTCACAGCACCACATGGTCCAGCAGCCGATCCAGCCCCAGCCTCCCCCTCTGCAGCCCCACCAGCCCCACCACCAGCCCCTCGGCGTCAAGCTGGCTCCCTCGTCGGAGGACGTCAAGCCCAACGAGCAGAAGAAAAGGCCCGGAGGGTGAGTGTGGGGTCGCTGGGGGCAGCGATGGTGGAAAGGGGACCCACTCAGGAACCATTAAGTCCAACCCTCTGCAATGCCCGGGATCCTGCCTTGTTTTGTGTAGAACATTCCCACCCACCTATAAAATAAAATAAAATAATAAAAAATAAAGATTAAATTAAATTAAATTAAAAATAAAATTAACAAAAATCCACCGGGCCATTTGCAACGGCTCCAAATCTGAAGTGGGGGGGATGAGGGGCACTTGGCTCAGAAAGGCTCTCATCTGTGCAGCTTGTCTCAAGTTGCATCTTGCTGTCTTTCCAGCATCAGGCAAAGACTTCAAAATACCGTATTTTTTGCCCTATAAGACGCACTTCCCCCTCCTAAAAAGTAAGGGGAAATGTGTGTGCGTCTTACGGAGCAAATGCAGGCTCCATGGCTTCAGCGAAAGCAACACGAAGCCTCCGGAGTGTAGCAGGAGCTCCCGCTGCGCTCCGGAGGCTTCGCGTTGCTTTCGCTGAAGCCAGGAGAGCAAGAGGGATCGGTGCGCATTGATCCCTCTTGCTCTCCTGGCTTCGCTTCGCTGGAGAGGCACTGCGCAGCTTTCCCTCTCTGTGCAGCGCCCCTTCAGCGAAGCAGAAGGAGAAATGGAAGGGGCTTCGCTTCTCTTGCCGCTTCACTGAAGGGGCGCTGCGCAGAGAGGGAGAGAATATTTTTTTTCTTGTTCTCCTCCTCTAAAACTAGGTGCGTCTTATGGTCGGGTGCATCTTATAGAGCAAAAAATACGGTAGTAATAATAATAATTCCCTGGTCCTTCTGAGGGCCGTTCTTCTGGTTTTCATGCTGTGAGGTTTTTCTTTCGCTTTGCTAATTATTTAAATAAATAAAAAGGAATGCTATTTGGGACCCTGTAGATCTGCTGCAGGTGGGCATAGATAGCCAGTGAAGCAGGTGGACCAGTGGTTTGGCTTGACCAAAGGCAAGCGTTTGTGTGTGGGAGACCGCATGCTTTGCATTCAGTCGCTCCCAGGTTCAAGTTTGCACATCCCCAGTGGAAATCGGGAACTGTGGACCAGTTGCCAAGAAGCGACTACCAACTATGATGGCAGTGTTCTGCCTCTGCCGTTGGAGGCAATATGCTTCTGAATGCAGGAAACCGCAGGAAGGGACAGCGCTGTTGTGCATGTCGGCTTCCCTTAAATGGCCACCATGAGGACAGGATGCTGGGATACCGGGGCCATCAGCTTGATGCAACTAGGCTCTTCTTACATTCCTGGGGAAATACCTCCAGTAGAACGCTTGGAAGAGCCGAATACACTTTTCTGCAGGCCAATGGAAAGAGGGATGGCTTGTTAAACTACTCTGGGAATTGTAGCTCTGTGAAGTGGATAGGAGCCTCCTCACGACCCACTGCACCCTTAGCAAACTACATTTCCCAGGATTCCTTGGGGGAAGCCATGCTTGTTTAAAGTGGCTTCCTTGTGCTTTAAATATATTGTGAGGGCAGATCCATTGAAAGGGCTGGATTTAAGTTAGTTGGGTCCCAGCAATTTCTTCTCTGAGGAGGAGGAATATTGGGTACATCCAGTATCTGTAAAATAGAAGAAGACCAAGCCATTCAATTGAAGACTGTATCACCTACAGCGCGAGACGATGCTGTTTGCCTCGTTCGTCTGAATGCAAACTGTTGCATTAGGGAACTTCTCTTCATGCCCGCCCCCCCCAGTAAAAATGACCCAAAATTGTGCAGCAAGTGGGTCGTGTTGCTACTTTTCTGTGCCGCAGACAAAGCCCAGCCCTTCGGGTTGAGTGTGGAGATTTGTTAAGCAGCATGTGTTTCCCTCAGCAGGTTGACTGCAAACAGATGCATTTGTTGCCACGACAACAGGGGATGTGACAATCGGGGTGCCACGCAAGCCTTGTGTGCCTGTGAAAACATGGGCTGTGGGACTGGGAGGGTGTCTTCTGCTCCAAAGGACCCTGGGTTCAAGGATCAGAAGGAATAATTTGAGTGAAGCGCATTAGCTTGTTACACATAGGAATGTGTAAAATTGTTTTTGTGCGAGAGAGATGGCGTGTGAGACAGAGAGAGCGAGAGAGAGAGTTTTATCCTTATTCCAAAGAATTCCTTCCATGTCTATATGTTCTGGCTTTGTTCCAGCCCCTAACAGCAAGTCAGCATGCCTAAATTGATCTGCAAAGCCTTTGCAACAGCTGGCTCTCTTAACCCCCCCCCCCCCCCTGCCCAAATCTCCATTTGGAAACTTTTAGGTTTAAGCGCAGAGCTCTTCTGAAACCTGGTGCTGATGGTGAATTTTTATATATTTTTCTTCTTCTTCTTTTGGACTTTAGGGTTGGCACCAGGGAAGTCCATAATAAATTGGAGAAAAACAGGTATGTAGCTTTTGAAAAAAAAGAATGCAAAATGATAACCGGTTTTGCATGTAACCAGTGGACTGTTTGGGTCGGCTGGAGGTTAGACCAGGGTGGGGGCATTCCAGCTGTTGTTCCAGGGGACACAGAGGTTTCCCAGGGAGGTCGGTTATGGTAGGCGAGATTCTCTGATTTTTAAAAAGGGGAGGAAATCAATTCAGACACTGTGCCAAACCACTGGTTTCACTAACCATAGTTCAGAACCCAAACAATGGTTTGTTTGTTTTTCCAGATGGGCAGCAGGCAAACCAGGGTACCAAAGCTGCCTGGCGCTGCTTTTGCTATTCCACCTGCTCAGCATTCCAGGTTGTAGCTGGTTTGTCAGTAGCAGTGCCACACCAAACCACCATGAGCACACAATATGATTTATTAACAGTGGCTTTCTGCAATTCTAGTTTGCTGTATGATTTCCAGGCATGGTTTAATCATGTCACATCCCAGGACAAACCACGGTTTGCAAACCCACTTTGAACCACGTTTTCTGGTGCTGGTTGCTGGCTTGTCAGTTTGGTCGTCACACCCAACCATAATTATGAGGGGGGGGCATGTGTTTCTGCAGAATTTAGCAGGGAGGCAGGCAAAATTAAATACTGAAAGGTGGGAGTAGGCTAGTTTCTCACCAAAATAAATAAAAGTGCCTCATATCTCAGGCTCTACAAGTGCTCCTTTAAAAAACTATTAAAACTGGAGATTATGGTTTGTTCTCAGATGGTGGGAAACTGCCCCTTTCTCCCTCTGCGGATGCCCATTAAACACTGACTTCTTATGTTTTTCAAATTTTCAAGGAGAAAGCACTTGCTAATGCACTTTTTTTTATATATCTTACCTAGGTAAGACCTGTGGAGACAAAAGTAATTTGTATGGGTGAGGGTATTTTGCAGTGCTATTCTTCTAGAAAAAGAGGTGCCAGAACTCATCATGAACACCTTGTTCTCTTATAATGGCGCCCACCTGAGAGGTGCTGGAACTGAGTTCTGGCTGAAAAAAAGCCCTGGTGTTTTATACCTGTTCTGGCACTGCAGTTTCACTGCACCGCACTGCGGGCCACTGGGTAGACCTGCTGTCCAGAGCAGGTACAAAAATCTTAGTTGCTGTACACATGCTATCCCTTGGCCAGTCGCTCCCTGGAATTGTTTAAACTTCGGTTTCCAGCATCTGTCTGGTGGGTGCCATGTTGGAAAAGCCTGCCTTAGGCTTGCGTCAATGGGTTTCCTTGATCCGCTGTGACTGTGCACCCTCCCACCTTGCTCATAGTGTCCTTTGACCGAGGGGGTGACTTTGGGATTTGTTTCTGTAGACGTGCCCATTTGAAAGAATGCTTTGAAACCCTTAAGCGGAACATCCCCAACGTCGACGACAAGAAAACCTCAAACCTCAGCGTCCTAAGGAGTGCCTTGAGATATATCCAGGTAGGGGCCAGAAAAAGATATGTGTATGTATGTGTGCTTATTTCATTTATGGCTAGTTCTTTTCATCTATGCCTTCCTGAACCTTCAGATTACCATTGCAGGCTGTTCTCCACATTTCCCCACCCATTGAGGTGAGGCTGGGGATTATTAAGGACGGGGTCTTTTCTGTGGTGGCACCCTGATTGTGCATGGTTTTCACCAGTGAGGCCCACATGGTGCCTTTGTTAGAATCTTTTGGGCATCAGGTGCCCAATTCTCCCAGGCCTTTTAGGGCATTTCAGTTCTTGGAAATATTTTAATTCCTTCCTTCCTCCTCCTCAACCCCCCCCAGTCTCTGTGCTGGATTTTGTCCTGAAATTGCTGTTTTCCTTCATCTTATGCTGCTTTGTGATAGTTTGGGGCTGGTTTATGTGCTGGTTTATGTGTTTTTGATCTGGTTACACTTGTATTACTGTTGGTGTTCCAATCTTGGGGGGGGGGGGGTGTTGCTTTGCTTGTCCCTGCTCTTACATGTGGGGAACAAACCACAATTCCAGTTGTGAACACAATGCTGAGCCAAGGCCTGTGATTTATGTCCTCGGGTGGCGCTGTGGGTTAAAGCACAGAGCCTAGGATTTGCCAATCAGAAGGTCGGCGGTTCGAATCCCCGCGACGGGGTGAGCTCCCGTTGCTCGGTCCCTGCTCCTGCCCACCTAGCAGTTCGAAAGCATGTCAAAGAGCAAGTAGATAAATAGGTAACACTCTGGCGGGAAGGTAAACAGTGTTTCTGTGTGCTGCTCTGGTTCGTCAGAAGCGGCTTAGTCATGCTGGCCACATGACCTGGAAGCTGTACGCTGGCTCCCTCGGCCAATAAAGCGAGATGAGTGCCGCAACCCCAGAGTCGGTCACAACTGGACCTAATGGTCAGGGGTCTTACCCCCCACCCCACTCAATAACGGAGAAGCAAAACAGCCCAGGTTGGCATATTTGCAGCAAACCATTAACTGTGGTTTACCGTAATGTGGAAACTGAGTCTCTGAGATGCCTCTTAACTATGGTTTATCCATTTAGACACTGCTAAACGGTAGATGGTATAAACCATTGGTTTGCAAACCCTGCTTCAAACCATTGCTGCTGATCAAGAAAGATGGTTTAAGCTTTCTTCACCATCGTCTGGGGGTGATGCCTAAATTCTGCCACATCTATGCACATCCAGACATGCATGTTTTTGTTAACGTTGCCAGGTTGCTGTTCTGCTTTCTGATACATTGAGTTGGATTTAACCACGGACAAACCCACCGAGAGATTCCGTGGTGGTGAATCCTCCTAAAAGTTTGGGGTGTTGTTGTTTTTTTGCAGGGGGCAGTGTGTTTGGAGAGGGTAGGTGGCTGGTGGCTGAGTCTGTGCTGTGGTCTAGCTGATGAAGTCCTGCGGGAATGAGTCAGAGGGCAGACGAGGGTCCCAGCTCATGCTTGAGGGAAAAAGCCGAGCATTGGGATTGTACTATAGTAGGCAGCACTGTTGGTGTTGGGGAACATGCCCATTTCATTCTTGGAGCAAGGATATGCAGTGCTCATCTACTGCGGTGGTTCATTGCAGCTTGTGCATGGTCTTAGAAACTGCTGTCCATGCCACCTGTCCTGGGAGAGCTGCTAGAGGTGACTGCAGGACCAGCAAGGTGTTTCCTGCCTCTCTGGCCAACTTCACGCTGTTGACAGCATCTTCCTGTTTCTTGGGGGGTGGGCGGCTTCCTGTCTGCTTTGGTTTGGACGCTCCATTTTCTAACTGGGAGCACAGGGAGCTGACGTGAGAACCTTCCTTCAAAAATTGGGGGTTGTTTCCATGCAGTTGCAGTTGCAGTTGCAGATGGTAAGGCTGTGTTTTATTCCACTTTCCGGGGCAGTAATACTTCTGGATTCCAGTTGCTAGAAACTCACAGGTGAGCAGAGTGCTGTTGTTGCTTGCAGGATTTCTCTAGGCATCCGGTTGGCTGCTATCAGAACTGGATGGGCCATTGGCCTCATCTGGCAGCTCTCTTCTTATGTTCTTACGTATTAGCAAATGGAGAAACGTCTGGTTGGCAAGCAGGCATCCTGCACTGTAGTGTTGGTGTGGGAGTGGACATCCTAAAAGGAAGATATGGGAATGACATCTCTTCCATTGGCCCAGCGTGGCAGCAAACATTTGTGAACCCCAGATGTTGTTGGGAGCCCCAAATCCTATCCATCCTAGCCAGCATGGCTGATGGCCGAGGATTATTGGTGATTAATATCTTTTGAGTTTTTATAGACTTTACCTTTATCACCTTTAATACTTGGGATAAATGCCTTAATCTGCTTTTGTTTTAAATGATTGGACAATTTTTTTCTGGTCTTTCACCACTCTCCCAGTATTTCTGTCTTACACAGGCGAGCATAAATTCTTATTTGCTCGGACAGTGTATTATTTAGTTCAAATATCCTTTTTGTATTTCCTTATCTATCGTGGTGGTTGGCTTCTTGACCATTTGAGCCGCAAGATCTTTAAGTTCTTCTTTCAACAGTTCCCCCCTCCCTTTAATTCTTTATTTTTATACGACGGGTATGCAGTTATTTGACCACAGATAAATGCTTTAGATGCTTCCCATTCAACTATTCAGGCAGAGGTTTATGGGGGTTGTAGTCCAGCCACATGTTCTGCTCTCACCAAAGGTTGACCTAAAAGAGAAGTTGCTGTGCTAGGTGGTCTTTTTCTTGCTGCGATCCTGCAGGACTCTTCTCCCATTGTGGGGTCAAGCAAGGGGGGCTACACTGCAGTAGAGGCAGACCATTATCGTTCTGGCTTGATACCCAGCTGCTTCTAATAACCAGGGGAAACTCCAGGTGGGAAGTGGAGGTCCATAAATGCCAATGGAAAGCAGAGGATGCAATCTGTTCCTCTCCCTGTTGCACTAGGGAGCAGAACTCACAGTTTTGACGTCATAGGCCTGGATGCTGCAGGCAATGCAAACCAGCACGTTCCATGAATGTAGATTTCCATCACTGGGCAACTGCCAGTCCCTCATAGGGTTCTTTTAGACTATGTGAATCCCCTTGTGAATGTATATTTTGGTCTCTCTCCCTGCCCCAGCTAGCTGGCTGTTCCAAAATGTTGGTGCCGTCCTTTGCTGTGCTTGCATCTCATCCTCCTTTCCCAGCTGTGACAATCAGCATCTTACTATTCCCCCAACGGCGACGGAGCTCTCTCTCTCTCTCTGCTGGAGATGAGCAGCAGAGAAAATTGGAGCCGGTGTCCTCAGATGCCTAGCAGACGTAATCCACGTGTTCAGCAAGCCAAAATATAATCCTTGCAGCAGCAAAAGCCATTTTCCATTCCCCCCGCCTCCTCCAACCCCCTTTGCTTTTCCATCATCCAGTTTCGGCTCGTTTCCGCATCGCAGGGGATGAAGCCAAATTCCTTGCGATGTGCAGCCTCGTAATTTTAGGTTGCGAGCCCCAAGTATTCCTCAAGGAACTGGGGGCGGGGGACACACGACAAGAGCTTTGTTTGGGAGTTCATCCGTTGGTCACGGAGATAGCAATCGCTAGTCAAATCTTCTAGACAGCTACCGTTCCCTGTAGCTGAAGGGAGGGGCGGCCCCTTTCAGCACGGGTTTCTTCCTGCTGACTGGGCACTGGGCTTTGGAAAGAGAGGGGAAAAGGCATCAGTTTCTGCATGTGCTTTAGAGGGAAGTGAGGGGCAGATGGGGCTCATCCACCTGGAAAGGTAGCCCACCTAGGAGAAGGAAAACTCTGATCCTAAACCTCCACTGCCTTACGGCGATACTCATTTGTGAGAAAGCCTTCGGGAGCAAACTCTGAGGAAAAACCCATACCTTCTGTCTTGTGGGGAGAAGAAAAGGCTAAGGAAACCCTACACCAATCTGAAGAGGAGTCCCTAAGACAGTTGGATGGTACCTTGCACACCTCCTTCCAGCAATTCCTGCAGCCAAGCCAGTGCCAAACATACTGCTCTGCGTTCCTTTGGACCACGTCAGCGAGTCTGAGAGGGGTGTCTTGTTGTCTGGACAGCCCAGGACCTATATACGCACTGCCCAGGCTTGCACCCTGGAGAGGTCACTTTGCTGCTGCTAATGCAGCAGAAACAACACGGGAGCAGTTAATGTTTTACCGGTTTCTGCAGCCACAGCAGGTGCTGTGATTCTCCGGCGGTTTGACTTCACCCCCAGAGGTGCACCCCATTGTCTCTTGAGACAGATGGAGGCCAATCACATGTGCACAGGCTGTGGTGCTGCTGGGTGAATTCTGCTTTCTGAGAATCCCGAGCTTTCCATAGAGCTCCAAAAGTTTAACAGAAGGATGACTGTGTTAGATTAATGGTGATTCATCAGCAGGCACTCTTAGCGGGAGATGGTCTCTCATGATAGCAAGGAATATTTTCTCTCTCACTTTTGGAATGTGCTACCCATCAGAGCTTGGGGAAAAGGTGTGTCCTCATTCTCATGATATAGTCAGCATGAGTGAACACACGTCTTGTACACATTTGCTTGATCATGGGCGCTTTGCTCTTACACATGTTTGTGCAGAGCTCCTTTTAGACTGGGAACTCTTTTTTCCAGGGTTTCCAGTTGCAGTTTATTTATTTATTTTCCAAAATTTATATTAAATTTTCTGTTTTACATTTTAGAATATTCATTTAAACAACCTTAAAATATCAATGACTTCATTTCTCCTCTTTCCATGGTTCATTTTGCATAACATAAATCCAGGCATATTCTGTATAAAATAAACCATTCAGTATTCCATTACTACATCCATAAAAACTTATTTACACTGTTGAATTTATCTTAATGCTGCCCACGTTTTCAAAAATACACAATTTCCTCCCATATATTCATAAACATTTTCCAATTTTCTTTTAACAAATGTTCTTCTTGTTCTCTTATTCTATATGTTAGGTCCGCAAACTGCACATATCCCATCAGTTTAAGTTGCCATTCTTCCTTAGTTGGGACTTTGCTCGTTTTCCATATTTGGGCTAATGAAACGCCAGTTGCAGTTTAGAGATCTCTAGGCGCTCACAGTTGTAGACTTGGAAACAGCAGCTTGTTTGTGTGTTTGTGTGGTTCACTGGGATCAGGACCCACAGGGAAAGGGTTTACCCCCCACCCCCAATGTGCCCCAGTTCTAACTCATCTCCTCCCAATTCCACGGCTGTTGTTTTCAAGGTTTTAAAAAATGTGTTAGATGCCTATATAACTTTAACACATTGTCTAGTTTGGCCCTCAGAATTCCAAAGAGATCGCTAAAGAAGATTCCCCCAACAATCAAAGGTAGCACTTCACTAACCTGCTACCCTTTATCCCTTTTACAGCTAGCAAAACACCGAAGAACTTACGCAAAATAATACAAAATAAAAGATGCAAAAAGAGAGAGCGCTCATGTGCAAACATGCAAACTGCTTGGCTTTTCTGGAGAAGCGCTTTGAATGTGCCTGGGCACAGTAGGCTTAGTTTTATTTTTGTTTAGCGCCGCACCTGCACCATCTCTACCTAATGCCAAAAGCACATCGTTGCTCTTTACGTGGTGTTAGGAGGACACCCCACATTCTGTAAAGAAAAGCTATCCCCAAAGCACAACTGAGTCAGGGGTTCCAAAACTGTGGCCTGCGACGTTCACTCAGGTGGTCCGTGGTGGGTCTGCGAGGAACAGCAGGAGCTGTCCACAAAAATGGGTGCTGGTCCATGGCAGCCCCCCTCCCCGTAGGTGAGCAGGATGAACCAGGAGTGACCGGAGGAGGCAGAGACACTGGGAAGGATTGGAGAGGATCGGCGGCAAAGTTAATGGGAGGCTAGAATTAAGATGTCAAATGTTGATTCAGTTAAAAATCATGCAGCATTTAGCACAGTGCATTGCAGTTGCCCAAACAGGCAGAAATGTTACTGAGAGGGCCTTCAAAACTCTCAGGAATTTTAAAGTAGAAGGTTTGGGAGCCACTGTACTAAGATAATCTTGGGGTGAAGGATAAAATGTTCCCGCTGCCTCTTGTTTTGTTTTGAGTTCTGGCTAAATTGCTGCCCGCCTTGCCGTTTGGAGGTGCCCGTCTGAGATTTCGCTAGCATGTGAGCAGAGACGACCAAGTTCCAAGGCTGTTTGTGGGCTTCCTGGAATCATCTGGGCTGACCACTGCCGGAAACTTGTATACAGGCATTGGCAGACCTTTGGTCCGATAACAGCTGGGCTCCTAACCATGTGTGTGTGTGTGTGTGTGTGTGTGTGTGCGCGCGCGCAGAGATGCGTAAATGTTGGGAGAAGTCCAGCCAGCCAAGTTGAAGATCAGGAACAAAAACCAGATTCTCTGTGGACTGCAGGTGGGGTGTTTGTGTGTGCTTTTGTGCTTGGTCTTGCTCATAGAAAACCAGCATGGAAGCTCATTCTTCCTGGCCTGCTAGTTTTCTTGTATGCAAAGAGGTGCCCACCACCAGAAGGGATCCGCCCCAGGAACGGACTCCCCCCCTCCCGCCCCGACGCATTCTAAGACAGGTTTGTCAGCAAAATCTTCTGAGTCAGAGTTTAGCAACTGGAAGCGAGGACTTTGGATTTCTCTTTCTCCCTACGAAGGCGGGGTCCAGAGAGCAGGAGCACGGAATACAGTTGCATTTTCAAGAGCAAACCACAACCCACTTTTCCTCTTTTGCCCCTGTTATAGTGAGACGGAGCCTCAGAGCTGGGGAATTCAGCCAAATGATACCTCCCCTCTGTCCGTGGAAGATCCAGCAGCATGCAGCCACTGGTTCTCTCATCCTACATCTTTGCATGTGTCAGCCTGATAGAAGAACATCTGGAGAGCCCTGCTGGATGAGCCATATGGCCTAATCTAGTCTAGCATCCTGTCTCCACAGTGGTCAGCCAGATGACCAAAGGGGACACCTGCGAGCAGGACCTTAGCACAACAGCATTCTCCCTCTTGTGGTTTCCAGCAACTGGTATTCAGAAGCGCACTGCCTCCAACGATGGAGGTAGAACAGAGACATCAGGGTTAGCGGCCATGGGCAGCCTCATTCTCCGACCCTCTTTTGAAGCCCATTTGAGTGGGTGCCCTTCAGTGCCTCTGGCGGGAGCAGATTCCATAGTTTCAATATGCACTGTGATGGCGTACTTTCTCTCTCGAGCCTCTCAGTCTGTGGTTATGAACCTTTTGTGTGTGTGTGCGTGTGCCTGTCTGTGCCAATTAGACGTGTGATGTGGACTCCTTTTGACACTTGGATAGAAGTGGCTGGACCACGTTGAGGGCAAGTTGCCCTGTTGTTCTCCCTGTGTCTCGTTCTCGCTGCGTTTTCAGTCGAAATCTCCCCCCTGGGCCTCTTTTTTTACGAGCGCTTTAAACCTTTCCGTTTGCCAAGCTTTTTGCGAAAGGCCAGGCTGTCCCTCACTGTGAGTGCGTGTCATAAATAAATACCACTGACTGCACCTGGTTGGGAAAAATTCCCCCTCCCGGTTGCTTGGGTGTTCACTTTGCAAGCTTAACTCTGGTTCCTAGCATCGGAACCGAGAAGACAGGGGCTTCTTTTACATTTGGTTCTGTTGCCGTTTGTTGTGTACGCTGCGTCTGGGCCCAGGAGCCCCCCAAGACTGATGTCCAAAGCCCCCCAAGGAGTGGGTGTGCAGCTTTGCACTCTCTCTCCCCTCCACCCTTTCCAGAATTGGCGATTAGGTGGTACCTGTGGCACTTTGCCATGTGCTTCTCTGCATGCGCTCAGGATTCCGGGTTCTGATCTAAGCTGCATTCTGCTCTTGGAAAGGGATGCGGAGATGCCCAGAGAACGGGAGGTGCGTGTGCATGTCATCGTCCGTCCCCCCCCCCCCCGCCTTGCGGCCAAAGGTCACTGCAACTGTGTGGCTTCTCCCCACTGGTCTTCCTCCTCTGCTCCTCCTCTGCTCTGTTCCCGCCAGCTCGTCCACGTGTACAGAGAGCACATGGCCGGCCCCAGCCGAGTGACGTCACCAGGGCTGCCCGCCCAGACAGGAATGCGAGCTGGAACAAGCCAAGCGAGGTTACCCGTGCAGCTGCGGCCTGCAGGAAGGAGGGAGGGAGGGAGCAATGCCTGCCTGTTCCCCTGGCCGATGGGTGGGGTGCCTAGCCAGGGATTGCAGCTTGTGCAACCAGCTGCTGCTGCCGCCGCTGCTGCTGTGTCTGGATGCTGCCAGCAGCCTCCTGATTTCCACCCCCTCCCTTTTCTTTTCAATGCGCTTGCCTGGAAAACCGCAAACAGCAGGGAAGGTAGGAAGCTGCCTTCTACCGAGTCTGCAGAGCTCAGTATGCCCTACGCTGGCTGGCAGCCGCTCTCCAGGGTAATCAGGCGGGGGTTTTGCCCGGAGGGGAGAAGTAAGAACCACACCCAGGTTCCCTAAAAGCAGGCTTGCTCTTTTAAAAAATAAAACACAATCCGTCCCAGTTTCCTTGGAATAGAGCAGGGAGTACAATCCAGCTCCCATGTTGACCTCTTAATTCCAGCATGGGGTTTTACAACCCACCTGTCTAAGGGTGCAGTTCAGTGCATGTTTACTTCGGAGTAGGGCATACTGAATGGAAGGGGCTTACTCCCTTCCAGACGGGCATGCGTAGTTAGGAGCAGTTTGCAAAACTCTCCGTGTGGGTTTGTAAAGTTTTGGTTCAGGCCCATGGCCTTTTCTTCCCCTTCGATTTCACCTTTTTTTATACAGTGGTACCTCAGGTTACATACACTTCAGGTTACATACGCTTCAGGTTACAGACTCTGCTAACCCAGAAATAGTGCTTCAGGTTAAGAACTTTGCTTCAGGATAAGAACAGAAATCGGGCTTTGGCGGCGCGGCAGCAGCAGGAGTCCCTATTAGCTAAAGTGGTGCTTCAGGTTAAGAACAGTTTCAGCTTAAGTACGGACCTCCGGAATGAATTAAGTACTTAACCTGAGGTACCACTGTACATAGATAAGTCAGAGAACCATTCCTCATCCAATATATTCCCCCTGCAAAACCCTTGGCTTCATTTTTCTCCCCTTTCCTTCATTTATTCTCTCCTCCCGTCCAAAAAAATTGCAATAAATCTTTTGAGAGCAACAATTACCCTTTATATCCTCCAACTTTTCTCCAAGGTGCTGCAGGTGCTCTCCTAGTTCTCTGACTTGTCCCTGTCAGGTAGGCTAGGCTTGAGAGGCAATGATTGGACCAAAGATCACTTAGTGAGGCTCGTGGCTGGATTTGAACTCAGGTCTCCCAGGTCCTAGTCTTTCAGACTAACCGCTACTTAAATCTTGTTGAATGAACGCATCAATTAAGACGCACACGTCTTTTAATTAAGACTGCTTTTCAGGCAAAATGGTATAAAAAAGCTGGCCTGCTTATTTTCAACCCTAAACCACCACCAAATAGTTGCTGTGGTTTATACATGTCTAGACGCTTTAGTCTGCGATTTGGGGGCTCACTTCCCACCCCCTCGCACACTCGGGTCTTGGACTGTGCTTACTGAGTGGTGAAAAAAGAGCACTCCACGTAAGTCTGGGCTTTAAAACCAAAACCATCTTCATGTACATACTCTCTCTGGGTTCATTTCGGTGAACGAAGGTGGTGCTGGTTTTATTTTATCCCCGATGTTTTAGTTATTCTGAACCTAAAGTCTTGAGGATTTGGAGAGCAATAGACCAAGGATGGGGAACATCTGTAGGCCTCCAGATGTTGTTGGACTCCAACTCCCATCAGCCCCTGCCAGCCCGGCCAGAGTCAAGGGATGATGGGAGATGGAGTCCAGGACTGGCCACAGGCCCCTCACCCCTGCAACAGAAGAAGTGAAAGGGGTGAGATGGGAGTCGTTTTTGCTGTCAGTTATACTTGTTCCTTTTTTGTAAATCAAATCCCACGTGCTCCAGTCTCTAGCTTTGCTTTGAAAGCTTATACAGTGGTACCTCGGGTTAAGAACTTAATTCGTTCCAGAGGTCCATTCTTAACCTGAAACGGTTCTTAACCTGAGGCGCGCTTTCGCTAATGGGGCCTCCTGCTGCCGCTGTGCCGCTGGCACGTAATTTCCGTTCTTATCCTGAGGCAAAGTTCTTAACCTGGAGCAACCAGTTCTTGGTTAGCGGAGTTTGTAACCCGAAGCGTCTGTAACCTGAGGTACCACTGTATAAGGGCTTTTATTACTTCCCTTCCTTGCCACACGTTTTAATTTTGAAGGCTATTGGATTATTTCTTTTAGCTATAATGGTAAGTATAGCTCATTATACTAATGACTCCCAACAACTGCAGTTGGGCATGTGCGTAGGAACGAAAATAAGTAATAAAGCAACAGTAACAATATTGATAGCAATCGAAAAAGATTTCTCTCTGAAAGGGAAGACTGGTGATTACTACAGTGGAAACCTTTGCAAAATCATGTGGTTGAGCAGAAATCTCTTGATTGTGCAGTTTTAAGTACCCTACCCCCTTCCTCCCACCCCCAAGTGCCTGGGTGCAATCAGTAGTGTGACCTGTACAAGCGTCTGCTGGTAAATGGACTTTATGCAGCCCTTGGAATGTCTGCTATGAGGAGTATGAGCTTAGCTTGGTTAATTTGCAAGAGGCAGCACACACTGCCCTGGGAGAGGGGGGGTGGGCAGAGGGGCTGTGCAAGGCACTGAAGTCAAATCAAAATAGTTTCTCGCCCCTCCCCTGTGTGTTTTCCCCCCTTTCTACACCTGAGTAGACAGTTTGCAGCTGGCAGACCGCATATTGCACCCAAAGCTTGTAGGTTCTTGTTAGAATCCTAGCTTTGAGGGGTTTTTTTTGACCTTCTAGGCCTCATTGCCCGAGAAAGAATTTTGAAAACGTAGCATCGTATTGTTTCCACTGAGCCATTGAAACTTGAACCGCAATAGCGCGTTTCTACTCTTTTCCTCCCTTTCCCTTTCTTCTAAAAAAAATCTGTGTCTAACATCGCTGCTTTGTGCATTACATTGCTCCTACATTACTCAGTACCTCAATATCTTAAGGACCGCCTCTCCCCATACAAACTGACCCGGATCCTGCACTTGTCATCTGAGGCCCTTCTCTATGTCCCCCCCTCCCAGAGAGGTTCGGAGGTGGCAACAAGAGAACAGGCCTTTTCTGTGGTGGCTCCCTGATTGTGGCATGCCTTTAGGCACCAGGCAAAAACATGTCTTTAGGCACCAGGCAAAAACATTACTCTTTGCCCAGGCCTATGGCTGTTAAATAGTCTATGGCCTGTAAAAATGTGGGGGAGAGGAGTATTATAATGAGTATTACGATGATTATAGTATTTTATTATTAGGCTGCCTGTCTAGAGTATTTTCAGGATTTCCCCATCTACCCCACCTCTGCACTGAAGAATTCTTTTGGCTTTTCAATGTCACGAGGACTAAAAACTTTGTGGTCATTGGAAGTCTCCGGAACCTAGGCAGTTTTTTGTTTTCTATCCTTGTGTCGGCACCTTTTTAGCTTACGGTTGGTGACTGGGCAGCAGAATTCTTGTCCCGTGAAAAGCTTTGTTCTAAGAACAGCTCTTTCAGCAAGGAGGGGGGAAAAGCTGATTAAGGTCACAGGCAAAACCAAACGCCTGCTTTAAATAGCTCGGTTACGGAATAGGGATCCTTCATGATCTTAATAATGAATGTCTGTATTCTAGGCCTTATCTCCACAGTACAGTCATACCTTGGGTTGAAGTAGCTTCAGGTTGAGTGTTTTCGGGTTGCGCTCCGTGGCGACCCGGAAGTAACGGAGTGCATTACTTCCGGGTTTCGGCGCATGCGCAGATGCTCAAAATGACGTGCGTGGAAGCAGTGAATCGCGACCCCCGCAGACACGGGTTGCGTTCGCTTCAGGATGCGAACTGGGCTACGGAACAAATCCTGTTCGCATCCAGAGGTACCACTGTACATTTAAAGCACAGTTCTTTCACTTTAAACAGTCATGGCTTCCCCCTAAGAATTCTGGGGAATGCTGAGATTTGTTAGAAGACCCCTTTCCCCCCTCCCAGAGTTCCCTAGGGAGAGTTGAGGAGTTGAGTTTATTTAATTTGCATTCCACTTATCCAACGACAATTATTGCGCTCAAAACGGCTCGCAATAATCCCAAATCATAGTGTTAAAAGACAACAAACATGGCCGTAACTTTAACAATTAATGCAATTCAGTAAAGTCAGCTCATAGTATTTCCAGGATACTTACTAATTACATAGAACACCAAAAAAATGGAATAGCTGTCGGTTATCAAATGCATCCCGCCCCACCCCAGTACTGCCATGAGTGGAAGCCTCATTCACTGTACCTGAATTATAGACACCTACATGAAACAATACATTTAAAAGCCATTTTAAATGGATGGGCATGGCCATTGAGTTAGTGGTGGTTGTAGGAAAAGAATTATCTAGACCCATTTCAGTCTGGCTTCAGACCTCAATTCAAAACCTAAAGAGCCTTGATGCCCTGGCTTGGTGACCTTTGCATCACTTCTGCCCTTCCATGTGCTTGGAATCCAGTGCTGTGTAGAATTCTTATCGTAGAATTGAAAGGGACACCAGGGGGTCATCTAGTCCAACCCCCTGCAATGCAGGAATCTCAGCTAAAGCGTCCCAAGACAGTTGGCCATCCAAGCTCTGCTTAAGAAACCTCCAAGGAAGGAGGAGAGTCCACAGCCTCCCAAGGGAGACTGTTAGTCAGAATCTCCTTCCTTGTAACTTGAAACCATTGGTTGAAGTCCTACCCTCCAGAGCAGGAGAAAACAAGCTGCTTCTGAAACCGCAGTTCCCAGGATTCCCCTTTTTTGGGGGGGTGCTGAAGCCAGTGAGCGGTACCGGTTAGGGCATGGGTAGGCAAACTAAGGCCCGGGGGCCGGATCCTGCCCAATCACCTTCTAAATCCAGCCCGCGGACTGTCCGGGAACCAGCTTGTTTTTACATGAGTAGAATGTGTCCTTTTATTTAAAATGCATCTCTGGGTTATTTGTGGGGCATAGGAATTCGTTCATTTCCCCCCAAAAATATAGTCCGCCCCCTATAAGGTCTGAGGGACAGTGGACTGGCCCACTGCTGAAAAAGTTTGCTGATCCCTGGACTAGGACCTGGGAGACCAGCGTTCAAATTCGTACTCAGCCATGAAGCTCACAGGGTGACCATGAGCCAGTTGAAGTCTCTCAGCCTAAAACCAACCGCACGGGGTTGTCGTAAAGGGGGGCGGGGACTGTCTTCACCACTTTACATGACCCCCTTGGAGGAAAGATATAAAAGAAATCAACAAGTCCAGGGCTGTCTAAAGGGGCATCACCGTGCTTTAAATGTATGGGGCGGCTGCGGCCCTGATCGAAGGAATATTTGGAGGGCCATAAGTAGCCCCCCCCACGGCCACTGAGCTCTGCAAGGGGAAATGCTGAGACTAAATGTGGGCGGGGGGGAGTGACAGCATCATCCTCTGGGCTGGCTGCAAGGAAGGAGACAGGCAGGTGGGTGATGTTGCATGTTGGAAGCAATGAAGGCTGGTGCAGAGGCTCCCCATTTCTCTCTCTCCACTTCTCGCGTATCAGAAAACTCCGATTCTAGACCATACTCTATGCTTTCCTGCCTTTTAACTGGCCGGCACACTTAATAGCCCGGGAAAGTAGGTCAAGAGGACACTAGCAGTTTAGATTTCCATAAGCCTCTAAAGGGCGCCCTTGTGGACATTTCGTGGCAGAAGGAGGAAGGAAGGAAGAGGAGGAGGTTCCCATGCACTGTGGTGGTGCTGTGTTAGTGGTTTGCTGGGAAAGAGGTTTTGGAAAATGGCCCGCCCCACCAGCATGGCTGAAAGCAAAAGAGGGGATTTTTTTGTCAGTATATAGCTTTGCCTGCCTTTCTCAAGATGCACCCAAGCCACATATTTGGACAGTAGACGCCATGGAAGTCAGTGGGGTGGAGTGGTTAGAGCGTCAGGCTAGAACCAAGAAGGGCCTGGTTTCGAATTGCCACAAAGCTCACTGGGTGACTTGGGGCCAGTCATTTATCCCTTGGCTTGTGGTGAGGTTCAAGTGAGAATGGGGGGCGGGGGGGGGGGGGAGAGTATTTGTCCTGAGCTCCTTTGGGTGAAGGCTGGGAAATCTGTGCAATAATTGAATAACCACCCTAGAGATGCAACATTTCCAAAAAAATTGAAGGTATGTGGAAATGTTTTCCCCCAGGAAATAATTTTTGGGGGAAATTGAAAAAATAAAAATGCATTAAGTACATATCAAAAGTCATTTTGTTATTCTAAGAACATAAAATGCATGGTCTATAACTTGGCTTACCGTAGAACGATCATTTCTGTTATATTTAAAGTCCAATTTATTCCGACAATAGTTAAAAATGGAATTTATTTTTATTTACTTTATTTTTCAAAAGTAGTTACCAGATGTGGAAGTGTATCCAACTGCTTTGGCCTCTCTCTGGTTTTGCCGGTTTGTGAGGAGCAGGCAAAAACCAGAAAGCAGAAACCATCGACATCCCTGCAACAGTTCCCCTTCTACACTTTCGGAAATGATTGTGGGGGAGCAAACATATCATCAAACATTTTGTTCATCGTGGGGGGGGGGGACGGGACAAAAAACTTCTTAATTAAAAAAAAAATTCGTTTTTCAGGGGGATTGGAAAGTTTAGTGGGGGGAGTTTTTTCCTTGGTTTTTTGGGGTGGGGCTTTAAATCTCAAAGCAACCCCAAAATTTATCTCCCTTCCTGACTTTAAAAAACCCTATGAGTGGTATCTAATACACTTGTTCCATTGGGATAAGGAATTGCGCAACAGAACTCCCCATTTCCTCTGCATAAGTCCCGCACCCTCCCCGAATCCTCTCTGGGGGTTTGGGGGAATCCCTCATATCAGTTTTAGAGAGGGAGGAAGAGAGGAGAGAATTCTTGTGCAAGCATAAATCGTTGTGCTAAGAGAACAAGTTACTTGATGCTGCATTGGCTACAACTATTCAACTTGTATTCTTTTTAGACTCTTGATTATTTATGTGTTGTTGTTTTTTGTTTCCGTGTCCATCTGTGTGCATGAGGCTTCGCCCCGAGGAGCTTACAATCTGAAGTGCGACCTGGGAAGCAGAGGGAGGAATAAACGGGGGAAAGTACCATGTGGTCATTTTAATAGCAAGCGCCACTAAAAATGGGCCTGGGGGTTCTTTATCCCTATGTGGGCACAGAGGAGTAGACTTGCAGAGCCCACGAGCATCACCTCGTCCAAGTGCGGGAACCTGTGGGCCTCTAGTTGTTGCTGAACTACAACTCCCATCATGCCCAGCAAGCATGGCCAGTGGCCGGGGATTATGGGAGGTGTAGTTCAGTGACATCAGGACGGCCAAAGGCCACACCTGACATAGCAGGGGGACATCTGGTCGGCCACTGTGGAGAAAATGTCAGACTTTGGTCTGACCCAAGCAGGGCCCTTTTTAGCATTTTTTTTATATATATAGAGGGAGCAGTATGACATCATTGCTGAGGCAGCTTCAGAAATGGAATTCCTTTGCAGATTTTCATTTCGTTTTGTTAAATCGCCAAAAGCTTTTGTTGACGGATCGGCCAATCAAAGCTTGTGACCTTTGGAGTGCAAGGATCTTCCATCTCCCTTAAGGTGCTGGTGTTATTTTAAAGCTCTGGCAAAATGCGGCACAATTGAGGTCCGATAATAGAGAGATATAAGAGAGAGAGGAACTGGAATAGGCCGTGGCAGGTTGCCATGGAGATCACAGTCCTGACACTTTCTCTGTCATGGAAGCATTTCCAAGTGTGCATTTCCCCCCCGCCCTGGCCAGCCAAATGCATCAGCTACAAATCTCTTCTAACTCTGCTATGTTTATATTCCGTCAGTGTCTAGTGGAGGCGCAGGATTTTTTCACTTGCTTTCGGGTGTCAGGTGTGCAGAGAATATCACCTACCTCCCCTTCTCAAAAGAGAAGAGAAAACTTCAAGCCTGCTGCTGTTTTGTTTACATCCTCCTCTTTGACGGCGGTGATAACCAAAAGTGCCAGCAGGCAAAACGAAAAATAAAATGCGATAAGCAACAATTACAGATCATTAAAAGAGAATAACGAAGGGATTGATTGGAAAAAGCTGCTAGAGGCAGCGGCGCTACTTAACTAAGCCAGTTAAGAAACGCTTGAAAATATGTGGGCATTGTTCATGAGAATTCTGAAACTGGGAGTGGCAGAAGGGAAGAGGATTTCTGGTTGTTTTGAACCCAAAATGCGCTGTGTGTGTGTGTGTGTGTGTGTGTGTGTGTCAGAGATAGCATTCTTCTTGGAATCTTTGCTGCAGAATAATATTTAATAAATATGTACATATCTGGTGGTGTGTATGTTCAGCTGCAGCCTAGATCTCTACACACTGATGTTGTGATCCCTGCATTGCAGCGGGTTGAACTAGATGAGCTCTAAGGTCCTTTCCAGCTGTACGGTTCTGTGACGCGGCAGAATGGGATGATCCGATTGAGGCTGCAGATAAAGGGGAAGGAAATGGTGTTCCTACCCCACCCCCAGAGCTCTCTGCAAGTGGAAAACCTTTCTCCCTGGTGTGCTGGCTTTCTACTCTTGCACTTCTCATGGGAGCATAAAAAAAAAAGTACAGTGGTACCTCGGGTTACATACGCTTCAGGTTACATATGCTTCAGGTTACAGACTCCACTAATCCAGAAATAGTGCTTCAGGTTAAGAACTTTGCTTCAGGATGAGAACATAAATCGTGCTCCGGCGGCGCGGCAGCAGTGGGAGGCCCCATTAGCTAAAGTGGTGCTTCAGGTTAAGAACAGTTTCAGGTTAAGAACAGACCTCCGGAACGAATTAAGTACTTAACCAGAGGTACCACTGTACACGCAGCTCCCCATTTATGTGCATTCAGTATGTGTGCAGCCTCACACACACGCATCACTGTGAACCCGGAAGCGGCATGAAAAGCCCCCCAGGAGCACGGAAATGGTGCAGAAACAGCGCCTAGCAATCCCACAAACCTTTGCAAGTGCAGTCCCAGGAGCCCTTGCGCAGACCTCCACATAATTTAGGAGTTGCCTGTGAAAAATCCACGGCTCGTAGCTTCACCTCCAGTCGGCCGTGTGAGCAGGTCCCAGTTTGCTCTTTCGTGGGGGTGTCTCAGAAGAGAACACACGACCTGTGGCTGGAGAGTCCATCCTGCAATCTTAGCTCAGAAAGGCCTGTGCAGTCCCACCCCCCAGCCGTTAAAACCTGCACCAGCCACCCCGGTGTTGTCTAGCCTGGGTTCCCCCATCTCCCTCTTCTTTGCATGCTAATGACACCGTAGTGCAGAGATTCCCCCCACCTACCCACCCCCCAATCGTATTTTCCAGTCTGTGGCTGGAGAATCAAGGGAAGGCACCTCTCTGCCATCGGCGCCACTGTCTGAAAGAGCCAGTTGCACGAAACGGTTGCTATGGCAACTCTAGCTTTCGTTACCTAGGAGACCGGCAGGGTCCCCCCCCCTTTATTTTACACATGCAGAATATGGAATGCACGATATGCGCCTCTTTGCAGGCGCTGGGGCTCGATCCTGCAATGTTCTTATGGCGGTGTTGCATTGTGGGACATGGCAATTCTAACCTGGGCTGCTGTGTTTTATCTGTCTTTATTTACTCGGGTACTGTGTTATCATTTTATATCTATAGATAGATAGATTATTGTCTGCTTTCCTTTATGTATTGTAGCCCGCCTTGGGGTCTGTGTAGATGGAGGGCAGGTCATAAATATTTGAAATAACTAGATCAAAATATATGGGGCTGGGATTTGGATGATTTGACCTTATTAGTGGTGGGCCATTCCCCCCACCCCAGCAATAGCCCTCGTAGTATAATTCCTTGCTCGATTCCAATAGCAACCTTTATTTATTTTGTTGACTTGCAGCTGAGTTTGTGTGCTCCGTGGCTGTGATTTTTTCCTTCATAAGCAGACGACTAGTCATGTTGCTAGACCTTATGAGGACTGTGGGATGGTGAAACCTCAGCAAATGATGCAGGTTGTGTGTGTCAGTGTTAGAATCTCAGATATATAAGCTAGGCACCAAATGGATCCTTAAATCAGGGTTTTTGTTGTTGGTTAGTTGTTTAGTCGTGTCTGACTCTTCATGACCCCATGGACCAGAGTACGCCAGGCACTCCTATCTTCCACTGCCTCCCGCAGCTTGGTCAAACTCATGTTTGTAGCTTTGAGAACACTGTCCAACCATCTCGTCCTCTGTTGTCCCCTTCTCCTTGTGCCCTCCATCTTTCCCAACATCAGGGTCTTATCCAGGGAGTCTTCTCTTCTCATGAGGTGGCCAAAGTATTGGAGCCTCAGCTTCAGGATCTGTCCTTCCAGTGAGCACTCAGGGCTGATTTCCTTCAGAATAGATCGGTTTGATCTTCTTGCAGTCCATGGGACTCTCAAGAGTCTCCTCCAGCACCATAATTCAAAAGCATCAATTCTTCAGCGATCAGCTTACTTTATGGTCCAGCTCTCACTTCCATACATTAAAATCAGGAAAATCAGGGTTACAGTCACCAAAATAGAATGCCTAGTTGCCATTTTTGGGCCAGGCGACTCAAAATTCATATTTGTAATATGACCTTTTGGTTCCTGAAATTCATTCTGATTGTGCAGATTATAATGGATAGAGTTCTACAGGATGTGGTAGTATTCAAGATCCCAAGGATCCCCGAACATGCACCTCCAGAGACATCAGGTGCCAGGATGGCACCCAGCATTTTCACTTGGTTGTAAAATACGCCTGGTGGATTTTGAACACGGGTGTGGGTGGGTGTCAGGGAGAAAGAGGGAGAAATCTGACCAGATGTCTTGTTGCAGTTTACAGAGAGAATAAAACAAGAAAAGCATCAGCAAAAAAACTGTTAAAAACAACTACAGTGGTACCTCAGGTTACATATGCTTCAGGTTACATACGCTTCAGGTTACAGACTCCGCTAACCCAAGAATAGTACCTTGGGTTAAGAACTTTGCTTCAGGATGAGAACAGAAATCATGCTCTATCGGCGCGGCGGCAGCAGGAGGCCCCATTATCTAAAGTGGTGCTTCAGGTTAAGAACAGTTTCAGGTTAAGAACGGACCTCCAGAACGAATTAAGAACTTAACCTGAGGTACCACTGTATTTACAACATTCAAAAAAGTTAAAAGCAATAAACTAAACACAGATTAAAACATACATCAGCATTCTACATGTCTGGGTGGGCTTGTCTAATCAAAAATGTTTTTAACAGGAACCAAAGACTACAGTGAAAGTGCCCACTTCAATAGGTGGGGAGTTCCAAAGTATATAGGTGCTGGAACACTAAAAGATTGAGTTCTTACAAAAGTAGAACAGGTATTCTGTGGCATCTGTAACGGTTCTAGTTCTGGTCGAGTGGGCATAATGTGAAGTAAGGCGATCTTGCGGGTAAACTGGTCCCAATATGGCTGTGTGATGTGTTTCCCCCTGAGGTGCTGATTTTCTATCTGCAGAGAGGTCTTTATTTTCAAGCGAATGGATTCTTCTCGGTTACTGCCTGTAGCCTGAGATGACACTGCCCTTTTATTCGGCCACCTTGGCCTCTGCAGCCCATGGAACGATTCACTGGCTCGCGCCACATGCTTCTACTCGAACGCTTATGAGCAAATTGCTGCTCCTTTTCTCCTCTTAAATAAGGCCTATTTTTTTAACCTCCCATTTGCAAATTGCACAGCGCAGCACTCTTCCAGAGGCGAGGCGCAGAGAGAAATTGCCCCCGGAGCTTTGTTTTCTTTACTCGGATGCAAGAACGAGCGACTTAATTACAGTCGGCTGTAAAATCTGGGAAATATTTGTACAGCGACAAATGTAGGCTGCTGTGTCCTAAATGCGGGCACGCGGTAGAGTAGTGACAGGGCGGGCCTTGCCTCAAATGCGCTGCTTGCAAGGGCGTTTAAACAAAGCGAGTCTTTCCAGGCGTCTGGTACTTTTAAACACACTCCTTGTGCGTCAAGGCCCCGGGTTCAAATCCTTACTCGGCCCATAAAACTCACTGGGTGACCTTGGGGATGATAGTCACTGTCTCAGCTTCACCTACCTCGCAGAGGTGCTGTGAATATTTATTTATATTTCATAAAGTTTATACAGTGCTTGGTCGTTTTTAAAAAAATTAAAAATCCCCAAAGCAATTTACAAAAGATAAAGTAGTAAAATTAATAAGAGTTCACAACCATACCTTAAGACACACGAAAGTTATTTTTTTAAAAAATGGTTTGAAATTTCCTCCGTTTTCTAAGCACCTGGGTAGGTTTGTCTGAAACAGGAATGTTTTTAGCAGAGTACATTGAAGGCACCTGCTTGATCTCAACAGGCAGGGAGTTCCATATTTTGGCATTGCCAAATTAAATAATCAAATTCTCACAGATGTGGAATGGGTGTTAATGTGGCACCTACCATTACATACACTTCAGGTTACACACTCCGCTAACCTAGAAAGAGTGCTTCAGGTTAAGAACTTTGCTTCAGGATGAGAACAGAAATCGTGCTCCGGCGGCGCGGTGGCAGCAGGAGACCCCATTAGCTAAAGTGGTGCTTCAGGTTAAGAACAGTTTCAGGTTAAGAACGTACTTAACCTGAGGTACCCCTGTACCAGTTTTGCCAATTAACGTGGCCAAATGGGGACATGAGGGGTAAGGCGATCTCATAGGTCAATTGGTCCCAAGTTGTCAGGGGCTTTATATCTAGCAACACCTTGAACTTGGCCCAGTAGTAAATCGGCAACCTGCACAGATTTCTGAGCACAGGCGTTATCTGCTGATGAGGCCTCCCTCCTGTCAGCAATCGTGCTGCAGCATTCTGTGCTAACTGCAGCTTCCAGGTCAAGCGTGAGGGAAGCCCCACATAGAGCGCATTGCAGTAATCCAGATTAAAGTGGGGGGGAGGGGAAGAACCATCTAGGTCTGCCTTTGGCAAGCTGGTCCTCTGCACCTGTTTTTGGACTACAAGTCCCATCGGCTCCAGCTGTTTGATGCTGATGGGAGTTGTATTCCCCCCCCCCAAAAAAAGCTGGTGGGCACCGGGTTGGCGAAGGCTGACTCGTGTCACCTTGAGCTCCTTTGGAGGAAAGGTGGGGTGACAATGTAATAAATAACTAGGGAGCTGGTGTGGTGTAGCTGTTAGGGTGCCATCAGCATATAATCTGAGAGAGCAGGGTTCGAAACCCCACTCAGCCAGGAAGCTCACTCACCTTCAGCCTAGTCACTGCCTCTCAGTCGAACCTGCTTCACAGGGTTGTCGCAAAGATTAAATGAGTGGTACAACCATGTACACCATGCATTTAAAGTACTATAATACAGCTTTAAACAGCCATGGCTTCCCCTGAAGGGTTCTGGGAGCTGTAGTTTGTTGAGGATGCTGGCATTTGTTAGGAGTCCCCTATTTCCCACCCAGAGCGAGGGATTGCTAAACCGCTCTGGGAATTGTAGCTCTTGTAGGGACTTGGGGGTCTCCTAAGAAATCTGAGCATCCAGCAGTGTTCGAAACTCCCATGCTTCTAGGCGCATTTTGTGACACGGAATTTCATTAATGTGAGCCGTTTCTGAGCTCTGGGCGTAATGCTGCACCTAAGATTTCAGATTAAAACTGCAGAGTGGAAGGAAAGGAGGACTTTTTTCTGCCTCCCCACTTCCAGCTACTCTCTGTAGACTGGAGAACAGACCCTCTTAAGAATATTAGGGGGGTGGGCAGAGGAAGGACTAGACCATGTGAAAAATGAACATAATATTTTAGCTGCAGTTCGTTCCTTTTCAGCTTCCGTATTCTTGTTATATATTTAAAAAGTGTGCCTAGACTTGCTGCGCCCATAACCTAGGTCTCCGGTGCCATTGAGCTCCTAGCTTTCATATCTCTGTTTCTCACGCTGGCTCCTAGGATTCATTTGGGTGTGTGGGTAGGGGGAAACCATGACTCACAAATCCAGAGATTTCCCCACCCACAGAGGCTGGCCTAGGCGCCACCATATGCCAGAGAGGAATCCCAACCCCTCTCTCGCTGCTGCTGCTGCCTCCTCCTCCACCTCCTCTGTCTCCTGACAGATGGTAACTGAGGCATAAATGGTGCCCCTGAATTGATCATTGTTCAGGGAGGGGGTTCATTATTTATCACATTTCGCTCCTGCTTTTCCTCCCAAAGGAGCCCGAGGCGGCAAAGGCACAAAAAGAGAAAGCGTTTAAATCGGATAAATGCAATTCCAACATGTAGTATTATTATTCCTGGTGCCAAATGTTTTGCTCTGCTTTCCTTTGGACAACGTCAGTGAGTCTTGGCGTCTGGGCACCACAGAGAAGAGGCGCACTCCATTGTCTCTTGAGACAGACGGGTGCTGCCACCACCACCACCACCAACCGTTAGCTTTTTCTCCTAGGGGCTTGAGGTGGCTTAAGCGCACCCCCCTCCATTAAACCACCCACAACAACCCTGTGAGGTAGGTTAGGCTGAGAAGGCAGTGAACGGCCCCAAGGTCACACAATACGAGCTTCATTGGCTGAGTGGGGATTCGAACCCAGGTCAAAGGGCAGCACCCTAACCACCACACCACGCTAACACTTGGACTTCATCAGTAGCTTACTTGCCATGATGCCTAAACAGAGCTTCCATGATCAGAGGATGAAGACCTGCCACTGGATGGCAGCTAACAGATTGAGGTTGAATCCTGACAAGACAGAAGTACTGTTTTGGGGGGACAGGAGGCGGGCAGGTGTGGAGGATTCCCTGGTCCTGAATGGGGTAACTGTGCCCCTGAAGGACCAGGTGCGCAGCCTGGGAGTCATTCTAGACTCACAACTGTCCATGGAGGCGCAGGTCAATTCTGTGTCTACCAGCTCCATCTGGTACGCAGGCTGAGACCCTAACTGCCCGCAGACTGCCTCACCAGAGTGGTGCATGCTCTGGTTATCTCTCGCTTGGATACTGCAATGCGCTCTATGTGGGGCTACCTTTGAAGGTGACCCGGAAACTACAACTAATCCAGAATGCGGCCGCTAGACTGGTGACTGGGAGTGGCCGCCAAGACCATATAACACCGGTCTTGAAAGACCTACACTGGCTCCCAGTACGTTTCCGAGCACAATTCAAAGTGTTGGTGCTGACCGTTAAAGCCCTAAACGGCCTGGGCCAGTATACCTGAAGGAGTGTCTCCATCTCCATCGTTCTGCCCGGACACTGAGGTCCGAGAAGCCAAGATACAGGGAACCAGGCAGAGGGCCTTCTTGGTAGTGGCACCCGCCCTGTGGAACGCCCTCCCATCAGATGTCAAAGAGAAAAACAACTACCAGACTTTTAGAAGAGATCTGAAGGCAGCCCTGTTTAGGGAAGCTTTTAATGTTTAATAGGTTATTGTGTTTTAGTCTTCTGTTGCAAGCCGCCCAGAGTGGCTGGGGAAACCCAGCCAGATGAGCAGGGTATAAATAATAAATTATTATTATTATTATTATTATTATTATTATTATTATTATTATTTTATTTGTTTATTTATTAATGCACAAGGATAGGTTTTCTCCACCCAATCTGCTTTCTTGAAGCAGCCCTGCAGTCAGTACAATGGAAGCAGAATGCAGACTTGCACTCGGATCCAGCAATGTCAAAGTCTCAGCCTTCCACCTCTGCAGCTGCCTTACCTGCAAGTCGCCCCATCCTCTCCTCTTCCTGCAGAACTTTGGGCTGATCAGCATTACTCCATTGGGCGTACCTTCTTGTAGGGCCAGCTGGTGGGGGAGTGTTGCGGAGGCCACCAGAGGTTCTGGTACTGGCCACACTGGCTGGGGCTAATGGAAATGGTGACCCCGGCAACCTGAGGGGTCCACATTGGCTACCCCTGATATTGCTGAGACACACTATTCATTTAAAGCAGACATAGGCAAACTCGGCCCTCCAGATGTTTTGGGACTACAACTCCCACCATCCCTAGCTAACAGGACCAGTGCTCAGGGATGATGGGAGTTGTAGTCCCAAAACATTTGGAGGGCCGAGTTTGCCTCTGCCTGATTTAAAGCACATGGCTCCTCCTATGGAATCCTGGGGGGCTGTAGTTTCTTTGGCTTCTGGAAACTGGACCTGTGCAAAGGGCAGACTACAGTTCCCAGGATTCTTTGGGGGAAGCCATGTGCTTTGGAAGTCTGGTGGCCCAGCTGCTTTGCTTCCCTTGGAGAGGAGCAGTGGATCTCCTCCACAAGCCACTGGTTGGTTCATTTCAACCTCCTCCTCCTTCCCAGTGTTGGTGTAGGGCCAAACATCAGGGCCATTGCCAAACTCCAGCCACCACCATGCATGCCACACTAGTCGAGGGGCTGAGGGGAATTGGCTGCCCTAACATCTGGAGGGGCCACAGATATCGCCCACTCTGGCACGCAGGGGAAATCACACAGATATTTTTTTGGGGGGGGGGGGAGGTCTGTAAGATACCCATGTGTTCAGCAGCAACCCCACCCACCCACCCATGAATCAAGTGTGCAAAATATGCTCCCAAGCGTGCTCTAGCTGGTCTTTCTTGGCACAATTGAGGCCAGTAGCAGAATTGTGGAAACGAAAAGGAAACATTTCTTCTTCTTTTTTAACCTCGCTGCCCACCTGCTGGAAGAGCAAGCAAAAAATGGTCACGATTTAACCGGCTCAGCTTTGGAATTCCAGCACAGAATTCCATCAGGATCCTTGTTGATGCTAATTTTGTGTGTGTGTGCGCGTGCGTGTGTGTGTGTGCGCACAAACTCACACACACATATCTCCCTCATTTATTCGGTGAAAGCAGGCTTTTCCCACCCACCTGTGTCCCACCCACCTGCAAGCGACACAGAATCGGGGTGCCGGTCATTTGGGCCGGGACCAGCTCTTTGGGGCCGTGTTATCAAAGAGAAAACAAAATGAAAACAGCTGAGGTTCAAAATGCAGTTGAGAGATGTGGCTACCCAAGCAACGGCCAAGTCTCCCAGAACCGGAGCCTGTAGGTGCGTTGTTGCTATAGCAACCCAATCCCATGTGACAGCTTGCCTCGTGGTGTATCCCCCCCCCCGTGTGTTTGCTGTTTTGTTTTTTAAAAAAAACTAAAAATTGCCACCGTTCTCATGACAAATGCTTGATGGGATTCTTCCCTCCAGGGAAGTGCTGCACTTAGCAAACACCTGATGTGTTTTGTGTGTGTCTGAACTGCTGATGAAGAGTTCTGGGGGACTCTAAAGCCTGCTCACGGTTTTGTCACACTTTGGTAGCAGACTTTATAAAGGTGTTGTCGCCGTACTGTGTATTTTGGATTCCCTCCCGTTCGAGACAGCGTAGCTGTTATTGTCATAAATATTCCTCCAGGGGTTATCCAAGAGAGAGTGTGCCTGGCTCAGCGTTTGAAATTCACCAGGTGCATTTTGCACCTGGCTATGGCCACTTGTGACCAGGTGAAGATGCCCAGGCGCCAGGATAACTCCTGACATCTCCACCATCTGGAGGTGCATCCCTGAGGATCCGTGGATCTCGACTGTTTTCGCACACTTAATGCCACATCCTGTCGAATTCTTTCCATTCTATTTCATCTGCTCAATTGGAACGAATCTCAGAAACCAAAAAGTTGGTATTGAAGAAAGCGATCCCCTTTGTCCACAAGACTATTAAACCCCCTTGAGTCAAAATGCTGGACCTGTAAAGGGACCCCTGACCATTAGGTCCAGTCATGGCAGACTCTGGGGTTGCGGCGCTCATCTCGCTTTATTGGCTGAGGGAGCCGGCGTACAGCTTCTGGGTCATGCGGCCAGCATGACTAAGCCGCTTCTGGCGAACCAGAGCAGCACACAGAAACGTGGTTTACCTTCCCGCTGGAGCGGTACCTATTTATCTACTTGCACTTTGACGTTCTTTTGAAGTGCTAGGTTGGCAGGAGCTGGGACCGAACAACAGGAGCTCACCCCGTCGCAGGGATTCGAACCGCCGACCTTCTGATCAGCAAGCCCTAGGCTCTGTGGTTTAGACCACATCGCCACCCGCGTCCCTGCTGGGCCTGTAATACCCATTAAAAGTGGCATTTGCCGCCGCACTGTGCCAACCACAATCTGGGAATGTCACCGTGCCTGGAGTGTTCCCCTCCACCCCCCAACCCCCCCTCTTCCCCTGCCTTTTGACCCACTTTCCCTATTTGTCAGACTAATAGAAATGAGAGGCGGGGGGTTAGGAAGGTTTAGGCTCCGATAAAGAGTTTTGCAAGCCGCTGGTACCAGGATAAAGATTAAGCTGCCGTCTGCAGCCGCCAGGAGGAGGAGGCTCTCCGCAGATAGTCCCCCACATGGTTTCCCCGGGGGAAGGAGGAGGCCTCAGCTGACTCGAACCTTTGTCTTTCCTTAGAGAGAGCAGGAGAGGGGGGAGTCATGGGGGGGCGAAGCTTCCTAAGTCTGGCTGCTTTGAGGATTCCACCAGTTGCGGACCCGGCTCAGCCACCCTGTCCTGCTACGGCACGTACGTGTTTGCCGTGTCCGTCGTTTCCTTTAGGGAGCTTTCCGGATCAGCCAAGCCGGAAAGGGAACCTTGGCAGGGAGGCTGCTTCACTCGGATCCTGGGAACGTCTGCATGCAAAGTGTGTGCTGCCCCGGCTGAGCTGCTGCGAGGTCCTGGGTTCAATCTCTGCCACCTCCCGGCATTTTAGTATAATATATATATATATCCCTGGCATCCTGGGGACACATAATGAGACCAGGGGTGGGGACTGAGGGCCGTACTCTTCTCTGCGCAAGCATCCAGGAGCCAAGTGGCAATATTGGGTGGAACAGCAAATGCACCTTGTGCCTCAGAAGAGCACAGTGGGTAAAAGTGGCTGTAGGTGGGGATCCAGAGTCTCTGAGTTTGAATCCCCAGTTGTGCTTTTGGAGAGCCACTGTGGTGCAATGGTTAGAGCAGGGGTCAGCAAACTTTTTCAGCAAGAGGCTGGTCCACTGTCCCTCAGACCTTGGGGGAGGCTGGACTGTATTTTTTTTGTGGGGGGGCGGGGGGAGAACGAATTCCTATGCCCCACAAATAGTCCATAGATGCATTTTAAATAAAAGCACATATTCTACTCATGTAAAAACAGCAGGCAGGCCCCACAAATAACCCAGAGATGCATTTTAAATAAAAGCACACACATTCTACTCGTGTAAAAACATGCTGATTCCCGGACTGTCCGCGGGCTGGATTTAGAAGGCGATTGGGCCAGATCTGGCCCCCGGGCCTTACTTTGCCTACCCATGGGTTAGAGTGTTGGGCTAGGACCTTGGGCCAGCCAGTGTCTCTCAGCCTGGCCTGCCTCACAGGGGTGTTGTGAGGATGAAGCAAGGTTGGGAAGAGCCACGTGCACCATTGCTAGCCTGCAAAATACAGTGGTACCTCCGTTTACGAACTTAATTCGTTCCGGAGCTCTGTTCTTAACCCAAAACCATTCTTAACCGGAGGCGTTCTTTTGCTAATGGGACCTACCGCTGCCACCGCGCGACTTCCACTCACATCCCGGGGCAAAGTTTGCTAGCCGGAACACCTACTTCCGGCTTAGCGGATCTCGTTACCCGAAGCGTTCGTTAGGAGGACGGTTTGTAACCCGAGGTTCCACTGTATTGCACTGCTCTGCTCAAGCCAGGTGGAGAACATTCATCCTGCAATTTGGCCTGCAAGGCCATTCCCCTAGAACCCATATAGGGAGAGGGACATGGTTCTCTCCTGCTGGGGTCTGTATCACAGAATCATAGAATTGTAGAGCTGGAAGGGATCTTGAGGATCATCTAGTCTGACCCCCTGCAATGCAGGACTATGCAGCCGTCCCATATGGGGATTGATCCTGCGACCTTGGTGTTCATCTGCACCACGCTCTAACCAGTTGAGCTATCCAGTATTGCCAGCACAACCCCTGAAAGGAATGCACTGGCAAAGCAGACCCCTGCAGAGAGAGCAGGATTGAAGTCTCCGCTCGTCAGCTGGTGGGTGGAGAGTCCAATCCTGCCCGGTGCTGCTTTGCCAGCGCATTTCTCAATTGGTCCTGGTAAAGCAGACCCCTCTACCCCCACTCAGTGGTTCACCTTCCCACCCATCGGTCACATTGATGTCATGCAACGCTTTGCAAGCCCCAACAACCGGCTGCTTGTCTGGGGCCTGCAAAGCACTTTCCCCGCTTTGATTCCAAACCATTCAGGCACAGGCGGCTCCAGCCAATGCTGTATCCAGTTCCCCGCCACTGACCCACTGAGGATCAGCCGTCGAGAGCGGAGGAGAGTTTCCTGGACCAACAGTGCTCAGTGTTCTGCTCGCTGGGCGTTGCTAAGCTTGTGCACAGCCCTCGTGGGCAGGCAACCCTCTCTCGGATTTGGCGGCGGAATCAATGTGCCGGTTGGAGTCTGCTGTGTGAGGAGGGCAGCTGTGGGGAAACAGCACGTGGTCAAGTTGTTTTTCCCAGGAGGGAGAGGGGCGAGGCTGAGGCTGGTGACAGAGTTTAGCTGGAGGGAAGGCCGGGGTTGCTGACTCTCTTCCTGTGGGGCGTCTGTCCCAGAGCCTCCTGGGAATGCATGACTCAGCAAAAACCAGGATCAGGGGCCTGTCCATCGGCAGAGTGTAAAAGGGGAGATTGCTTGAATTTGGGGGTCATTCAGGATGACGGGCAATTAAAGCTAAAAGTCCACTTTCCCAGCACTTTGCAGACACTGGCAGGAAAGTGTTGGGGGTTTTTTAGGTGTGTGTTTTGAAAGCATCTTTCTCGCTCTTGCTAATTGTGTACCGCTGCCGTTCCCTCGCGAGGGTTTTCTGCACAATGCCTGTAGGCTTAGATTTCGTGAAGTGTTTTTTTTTAAAAGCATCTTTGCAACACTGTGAGAGGACACCACCCCAAGGTAGTGGGGAAAACCCTCTTCTTCAGCCTGCTATTGCAAAGCCAGTCCATGCGTGTGCCCTGATCCGGTGCAGCAAAGGGTATAGCGTTGTGTGCTCTCGGTAAACAAGCCAAGTTGTAAGTGCCGCCATCCCTGTCCAATCTGTTCCTCCCTCCCTTCAAGGGCCCAGTTCTTACTGAGGCTGCAAGCCACATGTGTCTTGGCTTGTATCGCCTCAGCCTACGGGGAGCATGCTGGAACGCTTCTTCCCCCTATGCAAAATAAGAAAAATAAAATCCCTTCAAGTAGAAGGCAAGCATCCCAGAGAATGTGCGTGCATCCATTTCCCTGACATGCTGGCTTTCTTCATGCAAGGATATTTGTATAATGTTTGTGTGTACAGGAGCATTCGGTCAAGCGAGCAGAGTCTGAAAAAAGCACAATCCAAATTTGCAGGTTGGATAGTTAGAGTGAGGGCTGGGCCAGTATTGAATCTACCCTGCACCAATTTGATTCACAAATAAAAACCTCCTTTAATTCTTTCTCCCTGCCCCCCTTGTTTCCCAACCATATGGACAGTTTCTGTTTTCAAATTGCCTTTGTTCAGATGCTCAGGAAAGTGGGGAGGGGGAACTTGCACACAAACACATTCTGTCTTTTCATTTTGGGGGTGCTTGTCCAGAAGGCGCTGAGCTCCCTTTCACTGGATGTGCCATAGCAGAGTCTGGACTGCACCCTGCATGAAACGGGTTGAGCTAGATGACCTCTGGGATCCTTCCCAGCTCTGAGAAACCCTGGCAGTACAGCATTAACAATGGGAGGAAGGGAGGAGGGGACACCAATGGCCTGACTCTGCACCAGGAAGCTACCCACAGACACCTTCAACACTTATTTTTTGGAAGCGGTTTTATTATTGTTTTCAAATAACATGAGTTTGCTCTTCCCCCCAAATGGGGAGCGCGAAGGGTGCAAGAGAGGGGCTCGAAGTCTGGTTCCCCTTCCCGCAAACCTCCCCACAGTATAAACGTGCCTCCCACTTCATGAGCCCGGCTCCTGGAGTTGCCGCTTAGACCGCAGTGGCGGAGAAGCAGAATCTGGTCACGTGCAACTAGAGGTCTGATCTCATCCTTTTCTGGCTTCTTTGCCCAGCAGCGCCGCCAATCCCTTCCCCTCCGCCACCTTCCAGTGCCGTGGCTGCCAGAGAGAACCCCACGCAGCCCTTCCAAAGCGAGGCTTTCCTGCTTTTAGGATTTGCCTCCTTGATCTTTCTGTGCTTTACAGGGTGCAGGTTTGAGCTGGGGGAAATGCTGCGTTCTCAGTGTGTGAAGAGCGTTGCTTTGCAGAGGGAGAATTCAGAGGGATGCCCCAAGATGGAGGGGGAATCTGGGAACAGCCTCCCAAAAGCATCCCTGAGAGCTAGGAAGTGGTACTGTATTTATCTTTCTCCCACCCCAATTATCAGCTAATTGTGTGTCATTGGGACGATTAGGCATCCTTTGTTGTGCCTTTGTGCTAAAACACACTGGCTTGGATCCAAAGTTTGTCTCGTGCTCAGCGGGTCTGTTGATTTCAGCGGGTCTGTTCTGTGTATAAATTGTGTCTTTATTTAGTTCCATTGCTTTCAGTGGCTCTCCTGCATCCCTTCTCACTTTGTTCTCACAACAACCCTGCGAGGTAGAGAAGTCTGAGAGGCAGCGACTGGCCCAAGCTCACCCAGTGAGCATCGTGGCTGAGCAGGGATTCGAACCCAGTCCTCACAGGTCCTACCCCAGCATTCTAACCATGACACCACACTGCCCCTCATGGTAACCACGCTGCCTCTCGCACCCTTCCTCTACATTTGTGCGATCCAGGAAGCTGTGATTTGGCGAGGCCTCCTTGCCGCATGTCCCATCACCCATGTGATGGCGATTAACATACGCGGACCTTCATTTCCACATATGGCATGTTCTTTCCCAGGCACCCCCAAACTCAGCCCTCCAGCTGTTTTGGGACTACAATTCCCATCATCCCTGACCACTGGTCCTGTTAGCTAGGGATGATGGGAGTTGTAGTCCCAAAACAGCTGGAGGGCCAAGTTTGGGGGTGCCTGTTCTTTCCTATGCAGAAGCGCTGGTGCGTTTGCAGCATTTGAAACATGGGTAGGCAAACTAAGGCCCGGGGGCCGGATCCGGTCCAATCGCCTTCTTAATCCCACGGACGGTCTGGGAATCAGTGTGTTTTTACATGAGTAGAATGTGCCCTGTTATTTAAAATGCATCTCTGGGTTATTTGTGGGGCATAGGAATTCGTTCATTTATTTTTTTTCAAAATATAGTCCGGCCCCCCACATGGTCTGAGGGACAGTGGACCCTTCTGAAAAAGTTTGCTGACCTCTGATTTATTTATTTTAAAAATATTTTTATTGGTTTTCCGTATATACATCCTCTAACAATATTTCTCTAACAGTTTTCCATATTTTCCTACCCCCTCCCCTGGACTTCCCTCATACTCCCATTTTGTTTTATTTCCATATTATTCACCCTGCATATTGTTTCCCCAAAATTTTCCCAATACATATAATCCTATATTATTATTATTAATTATTATTATATACAATTGTGATTGTTTACTCAAATCCTGCCAATGAGTCCAGTCCTTTATGTTGTCTCTTCATATATTGCTGACCCCTGATTTAAAACCTCCTCCCTTTCTTCCCCTCCTGTTGTTTGCGTTTCAATTACTAGTATTGATCGATTGGCTTTTGTTTTCATACGGTACCGTCAGCGTTTATAGTACTTTTGCAACGCACAAGCAGGGCAAGTCTCTGCCCCGAGACGCTTTGTAAAACTCAACACAGGGAAAACAACCGGCGAAGCGGGTGGGAGGGGGTTAAGCAGCGAAGGAATACACTGCTTATTTTAGTTATTCATGCTTTGGATTGGGTTGCAGGCTTTGTTGCAGCAGAGAATTTTCTGAGAGATTTTAAAAAGATTTCCAGACTCTTCCTCCGCTGCGTCTAGGGTTTTGCAGCCCAAAGATTTCCACTTCCTCCACGGAAACAGAAGCAATTCTAGTGCAAAACCTTTGCTGTTTTCCCAGTGTGCTCAGACGCAAGCTTTGGCGAATCCCCAAGGGGTATAGTGAGTTCCAGAGATGTTGCCTCCAACCCCGGTTTTTTTAGTTTTAAATCTGTCCTTCTGCCTTTGTGGTCCTTCTTTCCTTCTGCGGGTCTCCTTATTTTATCCGGGTCCTTTTTGCAGACTTTGAAGCGCAAGGAGAAGGAATACGAGCACGAGATGGAGCGGCTGGCGAGGGAGAAGATCGCCACGCAGCAGCGGCTGGCGGACCTGAAGCACGAGCTCAGCCAGTGGATGGATATCCTGGAGATCGACCGGATTATCCGGCAGACAGTTCAGCCGGAGGACGATCAAGCGTCTACCTCGACTGCGTCAGGTGCGTCGGAAATGCTGCCCGGTGGGGCCCGGTGGTGTGGCAGGTTGATTTTTGGGGGTGGCGGGACGCACAGAGATGCGCTCACGGCTGTAGCTCATTGGTAGAGCACCTGCTTTGTAGAATCATAGAGATGGAAGGGACCAACGTGGGATTCGAACCCACAACCTTGAGATGAAGAGTCTCATGCTCTGCCAGATTGAGTCCTCCTGGAGAACTGAGCTATCTTTCGCGTGCAGAAGGTCCCAGGTTCCAGTCCTCAGGATCTCCAGTTGAAATCCTGTCTGAAATCCTGCAGAGGCACCGCCAGGCAGCATAGCCAGCTCCCAAGCTAGAGTGGTCTTCGGTGTGACTCTGTATAAGACGGCGCCCTATGTTCTTCTGCGCAGTAGGCTGCATTCTGAACCATGTACTAAACTCCCATCCAGGGCCAGCCCACCATGGTATGCAAGCAACTCTGCACATGCCTCAACAAGCAGTTCCATATTCGCACCATCCAGGAAAACTCTCCTCCTCTGGCCCCCTCCCCAGCTGCCGTGTCTGAGGCTATACCGTTTCAGGCTCGCATGATTTAAATGCTCCTCCCTGCAAACAAATTCCATGGAGGTAGAAAACTAGCGTCTCAGGGTGACAGAATACTTTCCCCTTGTATAATAATAATAATAATTAATAATAATAATTTATTATTTATACCCCGCCCATCTGGCTGGGTTTCCCCAGCCACTCTGGGCGGCTTCCAACAAAACACTAAAATACAATAACCTATTAAACATTAAAAGCTTCCCTAAACAGGACTGTCTTCAGATGTCTTCTAAAAGTTTGGTAGTTATTTTTCTCTTTGACATCTGGTGGGAGGGCGTTCCACAGGGCAGGTGCCACTACCAAGAAGGCCCTCTGCCTGGTTCCCTGTAACTTGGCTTCTTGCAGCAAGGGAGCCACCAGAAGGCCCTCGGCACTGGACCTCAGTGTATACTAGCTTTCTATGGGCGGGAATGAAATACATTTTTTAGATTTACTTTTTTATATGGAGTCTGAAGTGGTGCAGCCCAAACACTTTTCCCATCTCATGACGGGGGTGGTGCAGTCTCTGTTGACTACTCCAGGAAGTGACTGTTTGTAACTTTTGGACATGATGAAGTTCGTATGTTCATGTTCCATTGTGCCAGAGAGGCAGTGGTACCAGTAGTTGCCAATTAGCTACTGCGCTAAGGTCAGGGTGCTGGTATTAGTGTGGAAACTTGGTGCCAGAGTACCTGAAAAATTATCTTACCTCCTTACAGATCACTGTGCTTGGCAGGTGAACATCTGCAGATGCCATCATTAGACAGGCACCATCTCTGTTGTCTGATTCTGGTGTCTTCTGAAGACCTTCACCTTCTAACAAGCCTTTTAATACTACTAGAGGCTGAGGCTGAGATAGCTCATGCGGTAGAGCATGAGGCTCTTAATCTCAGGGTTGCAGGTTCAAGTCCCACATTGGACAAAAGGTTCCTGCATTGCAGGGGGTTGGACTAGATGACCCTCAGGGTCCTTTCCCACCTATACAATTCTGTGATTCTAGACCTTCCCTGCCTGCATCTACATTGGAATTTAAAAAACAAAACAAAAAAACCTTCAGGAATTTTCACTGTGTGCCACATCTGAGCTCCTTTGGCAGAAAGAGTGAGGATACACCAGTGTTAGAAACTCAGATATATAAGCTAGGTCACCAAAACGGAATGTCTAGTTGCCATTTTTTGGGCAAGGTGAAATTACCTTTCAAATGATGGGCTGACTGTGATTGATTCTCAGTTAAACATCTGGCTAGTTCAGTGGCCTACCTCGAGCTAGGTTATGAACGATGAGAAAAGTCGCTCTATCCAGGGACGGTACACACACACACACACACTGGCCTATTCTGACCTCTTTTTCTTAATGGTGACACGGACCATTCATAACGTAAGAATATTATTCACAACTGTCAGCAGGGCACTAGGGTGGGGTAAGTGAAGACAAGCTGCAACAATTAACTGTAAAGCTTTTCACTGCTCCTGCTCAGGCTGCAGAGAAAAAAACATGATGGTTCCTGAAATCCATTCCGATTTTACAGATAAAAAAAGAACTGAAAGAATTCTACAGGATGTAGCATTAGTGTGTGAAAACAGTCGCAAGTCAATGATCCCCAGGCACACACCTCCAGAGGGTGGAGACACCAGGCATCTTTGCTTGGTCCCAAGCGGTCGATAGCCTTGCGCAAAATGTGCCTCTTTTCAAACACGGAGCAAGTACTATGGAGATAACGGAGTTACACAAAATACGGACTATTTAAAAAGATTCATTAGAAAAGGTTTGATAATAGGACCCACGAAAGGGAAGGTGGGAAGTCCAGAGATTCGGAGGGATCTTTAAATGTGGGTGTGTATGGTTGCATTGGTATAATTTTATATTTGTAAAATCAAAAATTATTTCCAAAAAAATAAAAATTTCAAACGTGTACAGTGGACGCTCGGGTTGTGAACGTGATCTGTGCGGAATGCACGTTAGAAACCCGCAGCGGCGCGTCTGCACATGCGTAGGTTGCCATTCGGTGCTTCTGCGCATGCGGAAAGCGTGATTTAGTCTTCTGCGCACGTGAGGGTTGCCATTCGGCGCTTCTGCACATGCGCAAAGGATGATTTTGCACGTCTGCACATGCGCAACCGCCGAAACCCGGAAGTAATCCGTTCCAGTACTTCCGGGTTTGGGCAGTCCGTAACCCGAAAAAACGCAACCCGAAGCGTCTGTAACCCGAGGTATGACTGTAATAAATACATGTGCCCCCGTTTTGTCCTCCCCACAGAGGGTGAAGACAACATGGACGAAGACATGGAAGACGACCGGCCGGCGAACTCCTTGCCGAAGCTGTCCCACCGCCAGCACCCCGAGCTCTTGAAGGCGGTGCCCCCCATCGCCGCCTCGCACCACCCGTCCGTCCTGCCTCTGGCCCAGAAGCACGCCCCTCCTCCGCCGCACGCGCAGCCCCCCCTTCCGCCCCAAGCGCTGGTGCCTCCCCAGGCCATCGTCCCCGCACAGACTCACCTGGTGGCGGCCTCCACCGTGCAATCGACTGTTATCGCCCACACGGCCACCACGCATGCCTCCGTCATCCAGACTGTCAACCACGTCCTGCAGGGGCCGCCGGCCAAGCACATTGCGCACATTGCCCCTTCCTCCGCCTCCAGCCCGGTCCAGCTCACGGCCGCCGCCCAGCCCATCGGCCACATCACGGTGCACCCGGCTGCCCTCAACCACGTGGCGCACCTGGGCCAGCAGCTCCCCCTCTACCCACAGCCCGTGGCGGTCAGCCAGCCGGTGGTCAGCCACATCGCCCACACCATCTCTCACCAGCAAGTGAACGGGACGGCCGGCCTGGGGCAGCCGGCCGTCATGGCCAAGCCGGCCGTCGGGACTCAGGTGGTGCACCACCCGCAGCTGGTGGGGCAGACGGTCTTGAACCCCGTCACCATGGTCACCATGCCTTCGTTCCCAGTGAGCACCTTGAAGCTGGCTTAGGGACCGCCGGGCGCCCGGCCGAAACTCCATACATTCCAAACTGCGTGCCCCCCCGTTGTGAAGTGAGGAGGGAGGAGGAAGAAGAGGGAGGAGGAAGAGGGGAGGGTGCAACAGGTCTGGGGAGGAGGGGGGTGGGGACAGACAAAAAAAAATAAGATTAAAACACACACAACACACGCGCTGTTCTTTTCTTCTTTCTCCTCCCGCTTTTCCCTTTCTTGATTTCTATTAGGCAACCTGGTAATTGAGAAAAACCAGGTCCTGTTACTGCACTTGAATTTCCCCCAATCAGAACATTTAATGAACAGTCCTACATAGTGATTATTAATCCCCCCTTTTTTTCCATGTAATCAACGAAGTATGACTATAATAATGTTCTTAAGACATTTTTTCCCCTTCCCCCGTTTTATTTTTATTTTTATTTTTTTTAATGTGTTGCTTCTTTGTAGGTTTGTTTTTTAAAAAAAAATGGCTGATCTCTTTATGGAGAGACTTTGCATAGATTAAGAAGAGGAAGAAGAAGAAGAGAATCATAGAAATATATATATTATATATTTATATATATATCTACCTGCCTTTAGCTACATATATATATAAATATTGTTATCAAATGAAGGCCGTTGAGAAGGCTGATTTTTTTTTTCCCCTTGCAGGAATATTAGACACGTTAACAGAAAATTTGAAAAAAAACAAACAATAATCTCTTCCTTTTGGAAAGAGAAGACAGAGTTATCCTTTTTAAATGAGCATCTTTCAAAGACAGATGGTTTGGTGGACCAGGGTAAAACCATATTTAAAAAAAAAAAAAAACATACGCGACATGTTGCAGTATTTTTTCCTTTCCGTATATTTGCATTTCAGTTCAACCATCAATAATCACTGTGACTTGTTACTGGCATTTTAAGGAAACCCTCTGTCTAATAAAAGGAGAGAAAAAAAATTGCACACAACTGGATTTTTTGTTGTTGTAATTCCTAAACGGTCTCGTTTTATAAGTTACTCGCTGTGTTCGCCTTTGTCCCTTTTCCGCTTTTTAGTTATTATTTTTAAACATGCACGATTTGCAATAACGTTACTTTCTCTCTGCATGGATTGAGGGTGGGGGGCAGTCAAATTCTGCTGCTGTGTATTCAACCCAGCTGAGGGTCCCATGGCCCCATTCAGATTACTGGAAGAGATAATCAAGTCATGCCCAGGAAGCGGACTTTGGGATGAGAGATTTCAGTGGGGTTTACGGTGCCTCGATTTTCCTTCTGAGATGACAGCCTCATAAGTTGCTGCATTTTTTGATGTGTTTTCAAAGCCTAGGGCCTAAACAGGTTGAAAGCGAAAATAAAGAGCCCTTGGACAGTAGAAAGGGGCACCTGTTGACCTACATTTCCTCTGAAGATGAGGACCATGCTCTCAGATCTGTGGCTGCAAGGAGAGTTGCGAATTCCCTGCCAAGTACCCAGTGGCCTCAATGTGTGGCTTTTGTTGTTGTTGTTCCAGTTTTTTTTGGGGGGGGGAGGACACACGGGATGCTTCCTCATTCAACTTTGATCTGCCAGGCATATTAACCTTAGAAGAGTGGAGCTTTTTAGGGAAGGAGCACAGCCCACCGGGACCTGGTAGGAACAAAGCAAGGCTCCTCAACATTTCTACGGGGGGTGGGGAGAGAGAGAGACTTTGGCTGGTTGCCTCTGAGGCGGAGCCTCAAGAACACGGAAGGCGGAGCTATGAGCAGCTGAAAACAAGCTCCTCCCACTCTTGCTTTTGGCTCCTCCCCTAGATAGGATAGTACTCATTTCCTTGGCGATTCTGAGCATAGCTGTCAACTTTTCGCTTTTCTTGCAAGGAATCCTATTTGGAATAAGGGAATTTCCCTTAAAAAACGGGAAACGTTGACAGCTATGATTCTGAGTAGGTCAAATTTTCAGGTCAAACCCTACGACAGAATTTTAAAATGCCAGGCTTGGTTTCCTTCCCAGACACTGCTGAACGGTTCAAATGGCATGTGTAGTCTTCATTCTTTCAAATTACTTCTTTCTTTTTCTTTTGAGGGGGCTGTAATGTTGTTGTTCCAGATTTTGGAGCTGGTGGGGAGGGGAACATGATAGAATTGTATGAAGTTAATGTGCGGCATGTAGAAAACGGATCGGGAAATGTTTTTCTCCAATTCTCAATAGTGCCGGAATTCGTGGACATTCATGAAACTCAGTGCTGACAGATTCGGGACGGGCCAAAAGGACTACACACAGTGTGTAGGTGAACTAGGGGTTTGGTTCCCACAAGAAGCAGGGATGGCTACCAAAAAAAGGATTGGTGGAGGATAACGCTGTCAGTGACTACTAGCTGCGATGGCTGCTTCAGTATGCTTGTGAATACCTGTTCATGGAAACCACGGGAGATTCAAACCGCCGACCTTCTGATCGGCAAGTCCTAGGCTCTGTGGTTTAACCCACAGCGCCACTTGCGTCCCTAGAAATCACTTCAACCAATGCTACTTCTGCCCCCATCCTCCCCTCTGCTGAGTTCTCCAAGGGCGACCCAGAGACTTCAGAAGGAAACAGACAGGCATTGCCAACCCCTGGACAGGTTGTAAGTAAGGCAGTCAGGTGAGGACAAACCAATTGGTACATTTGCCCAAATAGACCAGCCTCCATGGTCAGATGTTGCTTTCTTTAGTTAGAGCAGAGCCACATCGAAGGAGGCAAAGGTGAGATGCAGGCTGCAAGGTTGTCGTCCCCTTTTACCTGGGACTAAACACCTGCTTCACTGCTAGTTTGGGCTGCGTGAACAATGGCGCACCGAATGAAGGGAGATCCTTCTAACATTTTGCAGGATGCTAGTAAGTGAATGAATCATGTTTGTTGGAGCAGGGGGAGGACGGGAACAGGGGCAGAGAAGAGGCGGGTGTATCCCGGCAGAGGGTGCATGTCTGGCTGGGACCCTGAAGCAGAGCCCTGTGCAAACCGTAACATTTTGTTGCAGAGACGCCTGGCCTTTCCTAAGCATCTATTGCAACGGGGATAGTCTGCCACCTAGTGCCAGCGTTGGTGATTGCATGACTGCATTAAGTAATACGCTCCGAGCCTGTGCTGCAATGAAATGTTGAGGAGTGCTTCTGGCTAGGCTGCCAGCCATACTTGCCTCCTGACAGTCCATTCCTATCCCTCTCCTTATTTTCCTTTTCCAGATGACTGCTGTGCATGTTTAGTCCTCGTTAAGCTGGTCAGAAAATTGGAAAGACTTTTTTGTTGCTACTTGGGTGCATTTTAGTATTCCCTTGAACATGCTGGCCTCTCCTGCTTGTTGCTCTGCTTTAGGGATGTGTGAGGTCTATTTTGAACAGCAAGCTGCATCAGCTGAAGTCACCTGGCAAAGCTCTTTTCCCTCCTCCTGTACATCCAGCTCAAGGTTTTCAGGGAAGTGGTATGGGGGGTTGTTCGGTCACTGCCAAGAACAGTAAAGTAAAGGTAAAGGGACCCCTGACCATTAGGTCCAGTCGTGACCGACTCTGGGGTTGCGGCGCTCATCTCGCTTTATTGGGCAAGGGAGCCGGCGTACAGCTTCCGGGTCATGTGGCCAGCATGACTAAGCCGGTTCTGGCGAACCAGAGCAGCGCACGGAAACGCCGCTTACCTTCCCGCCAGGGCGGTACCTATTGATCTACTTGCCCTTTGACGTGCTTTCGAACTGCTAGGTTGGCAGGAGCAGGGACCGAGCAACGGGAGCTCACCCTGTTGCGGGGATTTGAACCGCCAACCTTCTGATCGGCAAGTCCTAGGCTCTGGTTTAACCCACAGCGCCACCCGCCAAGAACAGTGTGCTCGCCTAAATAAGCCAATTTGCTTTGGTTGGCTCAAGCAGGACTCTGGTATGATGACCTCAGGGTTGGACTACTGCATTGCACTCTGCATGGGGCTGCCTTTGAAAGTGGCCTTTGAGGAGCGCAGAACATGGCCGTCCTGGCGGCTGACACAATTCGAGCCAAGCAGATCACAGAACCACCAGTGCTGTCGAAACGGCGACTGACAATTCAAAATGCTGCTTTTGAGCAATAGAGCTAATTACAGCTCAGGACCACGTTATCTTCTGAAACGCGCCTCAAGAGATGAACCTGCCCAGATGTTTAGACCTCCTTCTGAGGCCATTTTCTATGTCTCCAGGGGAGGCATGGAGGGTGGTGACACAAGAGAAGAGCCTTTTCAGTGGTGGCTCCCTGTCTCTGGAATGCTCACCTCAGCAAGATGTTGTTTGTGGCTACTAGTGTGGGGGCCAAACCTTCTTGTGGCTGATTATTATGGGGGTTGTTTTGTTGCATTTTCATAGTATGACCCATTTATATTAATATATTTAAATGTGCTGGAGTCTCGCTGGACACTTTTGGTAACAAGCAACAAACGAGAATAAGAAACCACAATAATTTGAATGGAGTCTCCATTGTCAGACGTTATGACCCTTGTTGCCAAAGGAGGCAGTTGCTTGTCCACTGTAGGAAGTCTGGCCTAGATGTAACTTTTGGTTTGAGGTGGCAAAGTTACACTTCCATTCTTACAGGGTCATTGTTGTCGTTTTATGAGCGACAAAGAAAACTTTTACTCATTAGGAAAAGCTTTGACAATATGTATTTTCTTTTAATCCATTGGTTGCACTTAAAAGATAAATAAACTCTTGAGCAATAAAGAAAATATTCTGCTCCTGACAAAAATAAGGCAGTACACAATATTCATAAAATACTATTATGCAGAAACATTATAATAAACAGGTACAACAAAGTTTGCACAGTTAAATTCGTTAAATTTTCTTTTTTGTGTTTCCTTTTTCTGTGTTTGTGTGTGTTTTTTTTTACATAGTAAAGTGTCGTATATAATACATTCTCCAAAAATGTAGTGCACTGTGTTTTCATTTTTTAAACATGGATGAACCCATCAGGGTTTTAAAGGGAGACCCTAGGGCGTTTTGGGGATTTTAAAAGACTTCTTCACCTTTCAGCTGAATGAAAATGCACACAAAATCGGAAAAGCGGTTTCCTCGCCTGCGACACTGTCTGGCAGAACCATGCATGTTTCGAACACTTAACTTGGCACAAGGAAGAGAGAGAAAAAACGACAGGACTAAGGGACAAACCGTGTGAGCATGCCAGCATTAGCCAAAAAAAGAGAGAGAGTCTGTTTCCTGATTCTTTCCCCTCTATTGCATTCCAAAGGAAAAGGAACAAAACAAACCCAACTAGCTGGAAGTCAGCGATGCTTTGGGGGCTAGCTGCCCCACCTCCCATGTCTGTTTCTCCAGCAGTTAAGAGTACTGGGTTAAATCCTGCAACGGTCTATATAACAGAAAAAGCTGAAGAACGATGAGGCAGCATAAAAACTGAAAGATCCTCAAACAGGCAACGGAGCAGGAAACCAGGGCAAGAATACATAATTATTTCATGCATTTGTAGAATTCAGCACCTCGTTGGGCTCCACAGTTTGGCTGGCTGGCTGGTTGTTTTCTTTTTTAAAAGAAAAAGAAAAATCAAGGTTCTTAGCCCTCATTGTTGTGCAGAAAAAACCGGGACTACCTGCCTGCTGCCTTCCTTTTCCCACTATTTTTCGGTGAGCTTTCTCTGTCCGTGGCTGGTTATCATGGTTTCCCCGTTCAGGGCCAAACACTTCAGGATAAAATGCTTCATAGGGGTGGCATAAGTAGAGGGAAGCCTGTTTTTTTGGTGCTTAACTTCCACAGAGCTTCCGCCGTGCCGCAAACGCTGGGAGGAGATGGGGCTCTCCAGTTTGCAGACACGCTTCAGAGAAGTACAGGCTCATTTTCCGGCATAAAGTCCTTGGTCTATGCGCAACCTCAGAAGGATGCCCCACCTCGGTCTATGCCCGATCTCATCACAGAATTTGGCGCAGCTTGTCATAGATGCTGCCCGCTTAGAACAGGGAGATGCTCTTGAAATACTGGCGAGAAGGTGGGGCGTCGGGAAGGATTTCCTGCAAGTGGGTAGGTGGGCTCGAAGACGGACAAATTACAGTGGGGGGCACACACATCAGTCTCCCTTCTGCCCATGCTGGCCACCCTTTGACCATCCCAGTGCTGGGAAACTCAACGCAACAAACCGGAGAAACGAAAGACACACAAATATTTTTTGGCCCTGAAATACAGAGTCTGCAGCGAAGACTCTCGGGTGTGTGTGCGCGCACACACACACACACCAACACACCAACACACAACCTCAACTCCTAGTGGGAGTTTTTCCTTGTTTTTCCTGTGTGCTTTTTCTTCTCCTGGAAAGAACTCTCTCAGGTATTTACAAACATTATTACATGGAAGAAGATGCCAGTAAACCATTAATTGAAGTGACAAGTGCAGGCAAATTCTCGTCCCCCCTTCCTCCCCCTAAAAGGGGGCAGGCCAGGTTGCAGTTGTTGCTGCTGCTGCCGTCGCCTCAGGCAAACCCTCTCAGTTCCTCCTCTGCGTCTGCTCTCACTTGTTCTCGATCAGCGTTTGCACTTTGCAGACCAGATCTCTCGCGATCTTCAGGATCTCCTGCGCGTTGTGGTGCTCTGCCATTTCTGAACAAAACATACAACAAGAGAAGTAAGAGGAGGGGGAGGACCAGTAGTGCGAGGAGCCAGAGGCAAAAGTGTGTGGAGGAAGCTGAGATTGCCTGGGAGTATACGCGAGTGGCCAAAATTGTGGAAACCACTTGCAAAAAGTGTATTTCTGAGGTTTGTTGGCTCATAACACCATTTTTATTTTTTTTGGAGTAATACCATAAAATTATATATCAATGGAAAGATAATTTTATGAAGAATGTAATGCAACAAAGTTTGTTCACTTATCTGTATTCTATCAAAAGTTATTGCCAAATAACCAGAAAAAGGAAGCACAACTTAGTTTGATATGCAGCTTTTTTTAGTTGATACACAGTTTAGTTGATATGCAGCTTCCTTTTTCAAACCTCAGAAATACACTTTTTCCAAAAGATTTCCACAATTTTAGCCACTAGTGTATCTATCAGCTCCTTCTTGTTGTTGTTTAGTCATTTAGTCGTGTCCGACTCTTCGTGACCCCATGGTCCAGAGCACGCCAGGAACTCCTGTCTTCCACTGCCTCCTGCAGTTTGGTCATGTTAGTAGCTTCCAGAACACTGTCCAACCATGTCATCCCCTTCTCCTTGTGCCCTCAATTTGCATATCAGCTCCTAGCAAGCTCAATTGACCAGTTAGCTAAGCTTTCACTAGAGGAATATGCAGCAAAACCTTGTTTGGGATAAGGCTATTCCAGCCCCATTACTTGCACACTTGCAACTTAGAGGACCAGAGCTGTCCATGTAAGACAGATTAATTTCTTCTTGCCATAGTCAAGTTGCGGTTACCCGGCCCACCTTGCCGAGTCACAATAGTCCATAGCATAGTTTTCTGGACTAAATTTGGCAGTGGAGTTCTGGATGCTTTAACTGAAGCACTGCGTGCTCATGTAATGGCCATGTTAAAACTGCAGAGCACCCTTGGGTCGAGATGGCCTTCTAAGTGTTTCTTATCAGTTAAAAACGCTGAGCCAAAACAGCTGCTCTTCCAGCTCCTGTTTCCCAATTAAAGATATGGCTCTTAAGCCCACGCAGAAAACAGATAAAACAGATACGCTCCTTGCCTGCATGTAGCGATTCACATTAACCACTGAGCTATCTTCACCTGGAAACTACAAAGAAAAACCCAACAGCCCCATTTTCGGAAAAGTTCCATGTCAAGGAAAATGCTAGACTAGGACGCTGACCCTGCTGAGATGCAGAGTGTGCCTTTTTCTTGTTGCGCAGCAACACTCCCATCACAGGAGCCCCTTCTGTACTCTGGTGCAGTTCATCCCAGGAACAGGTTCACAGCTTTCAGCTTGAGATGAGAATAATCAGAAAGGAAAGCATTGCTTTATTTCCACGTGGAAGCCTCGTACCTGCCGTTGCTCAGGCATTTTAAGAAACAAAACAAACAACCAAAAAATTATTAGAAGCGCAATTTTGAAAGCTGCAACCTGCTCTCTTGATTCAAGGTGGCACTGGGTTGTATCCAAAAACAGACAAATGTTTGCTCCTGGATCTCAGGAACCATCACACCAAATCTGGTGACAATCTCAAGTTGTTCTGAAAGGTTTGGTCTGCCGCCTTAATGGTGTGTGGTGGTATCTGAACACAGACAAAAACCTGCTCCTGTGTCTCAGGAACTATCATGCCCAACCACAGAGAACAGGTGGAAAAATAGGCAGCTTTCCAAAATACAGATGATCGGGACTGAATTCTGATCTACTCCCGTCCTCCCTCTGCACAAATCCCTTGCTTCCTAAACAAACAAATGAAAAGCTTCCCCTAAACGCCCGCAATCTTAAACTGAACAACATCGAAGTCCTTGAAAAAAGAATAGAAAAAGAGAGTGAAATTTCATTGAGCTCGGCTCCCTTACCATTAAAAAACTTGATGATATCAGTAAAGTCCATGTTGTTATCGCGGATAATCTCTCGGTAGGCCTCTACCAGTGCTAAGGCAATGAAAAGGACAAAATGTTCTGAAGAGATGTGCTTTGCTGCCCAAATAACTTCCCACACTGTAAAAACATCCTCGTACAACAATTCTGAAGAGAAGGAACAAACATTGCAGAGAGCATCCTGTTACTCAAGCGCATCATGGTCACAACAGTTTTCTTGATGACATTAATCCTCCCCCACCACCCTCCCCTGGGGGAAAAATTAAGACTAATAAAAATAATCTGTAATGGCATCTTTAGACTTGGAGGGATCACCTGCCGGGGATGCTGTTGCTGCATCCTGAAATGGCAGAATTTGCACTAAGCGCACGTTGGGGTCAGACTAGATGACTCCCAAGATGCCACCCAACCCTTTTGGTCCTGTCAGGGAACTGACATCAGAGCGAGAGGCGAAGGGGAGGCTCCTGGATGATGCTGGAGAAGGACCCAGCAGCAGGGGGAGAGGCGACTCAGTGGAGGGGGAAGCATTTAAGCGCAACACCAGGAACAAAAGTGAGCAGATGGGAAAATCGGAGAGAGGGCTCACGGACTCTTCACTGGAACTCAGTGAGGAGGGGACAGGTCCTCCGCTACCCACGCCCACCCTGCGCAGAAGGCTCCCGCGCAGTGAGAGGCGGAGGCGATTGGGTGTCAAACAACTCTTATGTTGGAAGAGATTCAAGAAACGCCCACTGACGGATTCTGCTAGTGACTGAGACAGTCATGATCAGAAGGGGCTGTGCAGTCAGAAAGGTTTAACAAGGCAAATCAGCCTAGAGAGGCACCAGTTTACGCACAAGTAACTCATACTCATTACAGCAATCCGTCAGTCCCTGAAAGTTGCTCGTGCGCAGCAGCAGGCAGGCAGCATCATGAGCAAGCCCGGAGAAGCAGGCACCCAAGGGGGAGCAGCTGGAGGGCAAACGCTGGAGGAGAGGAACCGAGATTTGGAGCAGCATGTGGCCATTCTGACGGCACGGCTGGACGAAAGGCGGTCTCAAGATGCACAGGTCAGACCCACCCCCATAGCAAGGAAGGTACCGGGACTGGTGCACAAGTTTGGGGGGAAGCCGCAAGAATACAGTGCGTTTAGAACGGAAATAGAGTACGCATTGGACTTGCAGCATAACGATTTTGAAGACGACGCGGCGCGGGTGGCATATGTTGTGGGTCACCTGCAGGACGGGGCCAGAGAATGGGTCAGACCCCTTATGGCGACGCAGAATTCCGCCATGCAGGACCTGAGGAAATTCTTCCAAGCGATGGACGCGATGTTTTCCACTGATGTTCAAAAAGTGTGACTAAGCGGGAATTGATGAACTGTAAACAGGGGAGCCAGTCAGTCAGGGACTACTGGTCGCGCTTTGCCATGATAGTTCATCGCCTCGGGTGGGAACTGGGCTCCGAACCCATACAGATGTTATTCGAGGAGGGGTTGTCCCCAACGGTTAAGGATGAACTTTCCCGCGCACCCCGCCCACAGGGGATGGATCAGCTGACCAAGGCTGTGCTTGCGATTGGCGCGCGCCAGGAAGCACGGGCCCAGGAGAGGCGGGAAGGGAGAGAGCAACGTTGCCATGACTACCGCATTCCTGAAATACCAAGGCAGCCCTCCCCGCCAGCAGAGCCAATGGAAATAGATGGGGCGCGCGCGCGGGAAGTTTCAAGCACCAGCGAAGGGCGCAAGAAGGAGGGAAAGGATTGGAAAACCTCCAAAAGGTGTTACCTTTGCCAGCAGCCAGGGCATTTTGCCAGAGCCTGCCCTCAAAGAAAGGCTTGGCAAGGAATGGTGGGAACCGCAGGGGGTGAGGAGGAGGTGGTAAAGGAACAGGAACAGGGAAACGAGAACGCTTGGCTGCCAATCAAGGGGCACAACAGCCAAGCCAGCCACCAGTAAAAGTGCCCCAACCAGACCCCCCCAAGGCGGCAATAGCCATCGAAGTGGTGCTAGAACTCCCGAACGGGCACCCAGTCAAGGTGAAAGGCATGCTGGATTCAGGCAGCTCATGTAATTTCTTCAGCAAGGACTTTGCATTAGAGCACCAGCTCCACTTACTGCCTTTGGATTTTCCCTTGCAAGTGACCACCATTGATGGCAGGGAGCTTCTAGGAGGGGAAGTGACACACCAAACCCCGCCAATGAGAATGAGGGTGTCCAGGCACTCGGAAACCATCGCCTTTCACGTCGCCTCGCTAGCAGGACCCCCAATAATATTAGGGATGAGCTGGCTAGCACAACATGATCCAGTGGTGGCGTGGCATCAGAGGACAGTCACCTTTGGATCAGCTTACTGCCTGGAACACTGTCTAGGGGGGGAAGCCCCAAGAATGACCGTGGCCAGGGTGGCTGGGATGGCGGTGGAGCGGAAAGGGAAGGTGCCGCCACAATACGCAGATCTGCGGGAGGTCTTCAGCGAAAAGGAGGCAGATAGACTGCCACCCCATAGGCCCTTTGACTGCCAGATCAACTTGCTTCCGGGGGCTCAGCTGCCAGTGGGTAAGCTGTACGCCATGTCAGACAGGGAGATGAAGGAGTTGCGAGAATTTATCGACAAGAACCTGAAAAGAGGCTTCATAAGAGAATCAAAGGCAGTAGGGGGCAGTCCGGTGTTCTTTGTGGACAAAAGGACACAAATAAACCCAGGCTCGTAGTGGACTATAGAGCTGTCAATTTGGTGTCAGAACCCGTGACCTTCCCAATGCCCAGGATTGACGACATTTTAACGCGAGTGAGGAAAGGCAAAATTTTTACCAAGCTGGACCTCAGGGGCGCATACAATTTGATCAGGATGAGGGAGGGGGACGAATGGAAGACCACAATGTTCACACCCCTAGGTGCCTTTGAGTACTTAGTTATGCCTTTTGGATTACAGTCAGGCTCCGCCTGTTTTCAAGCTTTCATGCACCACGTGTTGGGGTCTCTGCTGTACAAGAACTGCGTAGCCTTCTTGGACGACGTCTTAATTTATTCGGACAATGAGGAACAACATGTTAGAGACGTCAGGGAAGTGTTACAACGACTGCAGAAGCACCAGTTGTGGGTCAAGCTGGAAAAATGTCAGTTTCACGCCAGAGAAGTCGAGTTTCTGGGGTACAAGTTGTCTGACAAAGGCTTAGCGATGGACCCAAGCAAGGTGCAGGCAGTGCTGGAGTGGAAGGCTCCCAAGACACGGAAGGACGTACAGAGGTTCCTAGGGTTCAGCAACTTCTACAGGAAGTTCATCAAGAACTTCGCCCACTTGACAGCGCCAATCACGGATTGTCTCAGTAGCAAAAGAAGTTTGTGTGGACAGAAGAGGCCCAGCAATCCTTCGAAAAACTGAAGAAGGCGTTCGCATCGGAAGAGCAACTCCTGCACGTAGATCTGGAGAAACCCCTGAGGCTAGAGACCGACGCGTCCGACAGAGCCGTGGGGCGGTCCTTTGCAGCCAGGGAAGGGAAAGCAGGAATGGAAACCGTGTGCCTTTTTCTCCAGAAAACTGAGCAAGTCGGAGCAAAACTATACAGTGTATGACCGCGAACTGCTGGCAATCTACGCGGCCTTTCGTCGTTGGCGTCATCTACTGATAGGGCGCAACAACAGATCCAGGTTTGCACAGATCACAAGAACTTGGAGTACTGGAGAACCGCACGAGTACTCAACCAGAGACAGATTCGATGGGCACAGGAGTTCTCCAAGTTTTCTTTGAAATCCGCTACGTGCCCGGAGAAGAAAACGTAAGAGCAGACGCTCTCTCGCGTAAACCGGAGTACCTGGAAGGAGAGGGGCCGCCGGAGAAACGACACGTGATCCCCGAGGACCGATGGGTGTGTGGGGGAACTTTGGTGGGGAAACGAGAACTAGCCGGGCTGACCAGAAACGACGTGTTCGCGCAAACTAAAATCCGGGAACTACGAGACGGAAGAGGGACCCAAGAAGGGTTTGAGGAGAAGGAAGGGGTACTGTACTATAGGGGAGCGCTGTACGTACCGGGGGAGACCCTGAGGGAAAAGGTACTCAAACAACTCCACGACAACCCCACAGCAGGGCACTTTGGACAGCACAAAACCATGATGCTTGTGACCAGGCAGTTCTGGTGGCCCAGGGTGAGGGAGGATGTACGGGAATATGTACGGGGGTGCGACCGCTGCCAAAGGGCAAGCGGGCTGCCCCCACAGGATTGCTGGAACCCTTACCCACGCCGGGGAAACCCTGGGAGGTGGTATCCATTGATTTTATGACAGATTTGCCCAAGTCCCGGGGAAAGACAGCAGTCATGGTAGTGGTCGACCTACTGACAAAAATGTGCCACTTTATAGCTTGCTCACATGCTGTAACGGCAGAGGAAACAGCCCGGTTGTTTGTGGAGCACATATTCCGGCTGCATGGCGCCCCCTTGAGGGTTATCTCCGACCGCGGAAAACAATTTACTTCCCGGTTCTGGAGGAAACTCATGAGCTTACTGCAGGTGGAGGTGGGTTTCTCGACGGCGAGACACCCAGAGACCAACGGGCAAGCAGAAAGAGCGAACAGTATACTCCAGCAATACCTACGCTGCTATGTCAGCGAGAGGCAGAACGATTGGGTAGAAAAACTAGCGCTGGCTGAATTCGCGTACAACAACGCGGAACACGTGTCCACGGGAATGAGCCCATTCATGGCCAACCATGGGTGTCATCCCAGGGCCTTCCCGGGAGTGGGGAGGAAAGCTGGAGCGTACCCGCCGCAGAGCAGTTTGTGGAGGAAATGGAGGCCCTACACCAGCAACTTAAGATGAACTTGGAGCGGGCCAAGGAAACTTACAAGAGGCAGGCAGACAAGCACCGCAGGGAAGGGGAGACCATACGGGTGGGGGACCGGGTGTGGTTGTCCACCCAAGGGCTACCTTTCAAAGGGGGGTGCAAGAAGTTGCAGCCCAGACGGCTGGGACCTTTTGAGGTAACACAGCAAGTTAATCCCGTGGCATTTAAGCTCAGGTTGCCTGATAGCATGAAAATACACCCGGTTTTCCATAGGTCCCTGCTTTCACCGCATAGGGAAGGGCGGGAATTCCAGGGGCAAGAGGGAGAAGTCAGCACACACCCGCAGGTAGCAGAAAGGGAACACCACCACAGGGCCACGGAAATACTGGACTCAAGGTGGCAAGGGCGCCGGGTGGAGTATTTGGTAGCGTGGGAAGGGGAACCCAGGTCCGAGAAGACGTGGGTCCCCACGGAAGCCGTCGAGGACAGGTATCTGGTGGAGGTATTCCACCACCGGTTCCCGGACAAACCCAAACCCCTGGAGAGATTCTGGGAGGAGCAATTTGGAACCACAGATGAGGAAGAGGTTTTTGAGGGATTTTCTGACTCCGAGGAGGGAGGAGAGGTTTCGGAGGAAGAAGCATCAGACGGGAAGACCACCCCGTTGGTAGGTGGAAGAGCGATTGGGAAGCGGGTTTCGAACCCACGGAAGATGGTGACAGTTCCTTCCGGGTTTCCCGCCTCCTCGGCCGACGAAGGGGACGAGTTGGTCCCACAGGTCGGCCCAGGGGTGGAGGGGATTCTGGGGGAGGTGGATGTCAGGGAACTTACATCAGAGCGCGTGGCGTCGGGGAGGCTCCTGGATGATGCTGGAGAAGGACCCAGCTGCTGGGGAGAGGCGACTCAGTGGAGGGGGAAGCATTTAAGCGCAACACCAGGAACAAAAGTGAGCAGATGGGAAAATCGGAGAGAGGGCTCACGGACTCTTCACTGGAACTCAGTGAGGAGGGGACAGGTCCCCCGCTACCCACGCCCACCCTGCGCAGAAGGCTCCCGCGCAGTGAGAGGCGGAGGCGATTGGGTGTCAAACAACTCTTATGTTGGAAGAGATTCAAGAAACGCCCACTGACGGATTCTGCTAGTGACTGAGACAGTCATGATCAGAAGGGGCTGTGCAGTCAGAAAGGTTTAACAAGGCAAATCAGCCTAGAGAGGCACCAGTTTACGCACAAGTAACTCATACTCATTACAGGTCCCATGATCAATATGTGGCTCAAGCATCTTTACCTCTCTTAAAATCCAGCAGGAACCAGCGGTAGCAAAAGTAGAAGTGAGTGTAATCCCCGTTCTGGTGCATCAGTTCAAAGAGTTCGGAATCGAGAATCTTTGGGGGGGAAATTTGAAAACAACAACACCAACACAGAGACAAAAATGAGTTCCAGTTTTAAATATTTGACAACACAGATATCCGAGCTACAATACAGCTGTGCAATCAGGGGCTTGCAAGGTCTCAGGATTTTGAACCGGGAAGATTTGGGAGCAGGCCAACACCTACCATGGCCGGACCGTCAGGTGAGATTATTGGGCCTCCAACCCAGAAGAGCTGGGGAGCTCAAGGCAGAAGGAGGTAGGACACTTGATTCCTAAGGTGCCACAAGGCTTTTTTCGGTGAAGGGGCTGCAGCTCAGGGTCCGCGTCAGAACCTGGCAACCTTTGGCAGATGATGGGCTCCCAGCTGGCCACCACATTGAAACAGAATCCCAACCAAGTGCTCTGACTGGCACTGGGGGCCATCTTAATTTCCCACAATGCCCTTCTTCACACGTTTTCTCTCTCTCTCTCTCTCTCTCTCTCTCTCTCTGTGCCACTCTCCTCTACAATCTCCACCCTTTCCACCTCTCTTTCCACCCTTTGGCATCCATTCTTCCCCTCACACAAACCCCAGTCAACCATCGTTCATTATCTCTTCCAGCCAAGCGCAGTATCTCTTCTGGATTTAAGTTTGCAGACACCTCCCTGCCGTAACCTTCCCTTCTTCCAGACCTGCTGGCCTGATCTCATGCATGTGTCTACTCAGAAGTAAGTCCCAGCGAGGCGTTTGAGCTGCCTTCACAACCCTGCTGCAGAGCTTTCCCCCTTTTACAGAGATGCGCTGAGAAGTCAGAAGAATTGCACTGTTCCCATAGGAACGGGCCCCCTGCCCAGAGACAGCAGAGGTGGGGAGCTGCTCCAGCTCCTCCCTCCCCACCATCCTCAGCTCTGGTCTGCCAGGTGTCCAGAGAGGAAACTGAGCAGAGGATGCCCATCGGCACTCAGATGCCTGACCACAGAGTGTGCCGGCTAGAGCATCTTTCCAAAGGATTCTAGGCCACTCTAGCTGCCACGCTCCATGGTTGAACCTCCTCTGTGCAGAGATAATGGGAAGAAATGGGAGACACCGCGCTTGTGAGCTGGGAACCAGATACAGTATGAGGGCCACGCGAAGCTTGCGCACCTCTGGGTTTTTACCCATGTGCTGATGGGGCCCAGAGGGAGAAGGCAAGCAAATGGGTGGCAGTGATGCCATCCTGCCCAACGGCCCAAAATCTGCAGCCAGTGCCGCTACAAGATCAACAGCAGGGCCATTGGACAAATGGGATGTCTGTCCCAGAGTTCTTCCAGGAGACTTGAGGAGGGATCAAGCCTCATTTGGCCTTTAAGTGCCAGGCAAATTCTGTGCCATTGACTAAGTCTGCCAACCTGGTGCCCAACAAATGTTTGAGACTACAGCTCCCATCAGCCAGAGCTTGCTAGGGGTGATGGGAACACAGAAAGCTATCTTATATCGGTGGCTGGGTATTGATCCATGTAGGTCAGAACTGTCTACAATGATTGGTAGCAGGATTTCAGAGAAGCGTCTCCCGTTTCTACAGGAGATGCTGGGGATCGCTCCTGAGGCCTTCTGCACATGCTCCATGACCCCTGTAGTCAAAAACATCTGGAGAGCATCAGCTGCACTAAAGCTTTGGGGGGGGCTTTAATTGTGGGCAGCAAATCATTGGTTTAGTGCTGTCGTTTGGTGGATTGTATTTAATTTGATTTCAGTCTTTAGTTTTGTGCCCATTTTAATTTTGCTAAACTGCCTTCAGCTTCAAATGGACGGAACAGGACAGTTAAACATTTTTTTTTAACATAGTCATGCAAAGCCCCACCTGGATCAGGGACCTCATGTTTGCAAAATGTGTGTCCATGGCACCTCCGTTAGGGAAATTTTGACTCATTCTCTTCATGAGATGGGTGAAGCAACTGTAAGCCAACTCGTCTGAAATCAAACGCAGACAGATGTTAATTTAAAAGAAGAGTGAAGCAATGCTTTTTCAAAGGGTAAATCTGCTTTTTAATCAAGAAACAGTGCAATCCTATTATACATGTTTACTCAGATGTAAACCCTGCTGCGTTCAATGGGGCTCACTCCCTAGCATTTAAAGTGGCAATCTAAGGCTGCAATCCTAACCCCACTTGCCTAGAAGTAAGTCCCATTTACTTACTTCCGAGTAGACATGTTTAGGCTTGAACTGTGAACCAGTACATCCATCAGTTGTATTTATTTATTTGTAAAAAAAATATTTATTGATACTTGCCCATAGATATACAAAAATTCATGCTCCATGCAAAGTATCTATTATATAATACACAGAAAAGAAATGCTTGATCTAAAAAGGAATGGAGACAGAAAGAAGAAGAAAGAAATAAAGGAAGACAGAAAAAAAGGGAAAGGAGAGAGAAAAGAATAAAGAAAGATAAAATACTTTCAGTTCTCTGTCCTGCAGCTAAATATAGTATTCACTCATTAACAGCCAACCATTCTGTATACCAATATTTCTTCAAACTTCAGTTCCAGATATTACAAGTTCATTTTCTCTCTCACGCAGAAAAAGTCCATCAATCAGTTGTATTTAGAATAGAATTGTGTCAGTTGGCCAAATCCAGTCAACTGGTGTCTCCATAACTGGGCAACTGCAGAGCACAGGCCAAAATCAGCAGAGTAATGGAAGTTCATCTTCGTGTAGAGTACAAAGGAGTAAAACACACAGGCAGAGTTCTTCAGTAAAAGTTTACTGAGGTTTTTAAAAGCATACAGAAACTTGCTGGAATCCCCAACAAGGCAAAAACTTCAATTTTGCAGAAGCAAAAACACAAGATATATACAGAAACCAAAATAGAGAGAGAGAAAGAAGACGACGAAGAATTCAGGCAGCGCTCAGTGGCAGGTTTATATCTCTGTCTCTAAGCACTGACCTTGAGTTCTTACAGGACTCTAAGAATAACAACAGCTGTGGACATGCTTTGTCCAGAAAGCACGAGAATATTCTAGTAACTTCTAGTAAATCCAGGAAGATTCTGCATCCACCCCTGATAAATTGAATAATCAGAAAAGGTGGCTTTGGGATAGCTTACGTCATTGTAAGCTAAGGTAAACTATGAATTAGCATGAACGTGCAACTGTGGTATAAATGAATATATATTTTTACAGTAGTACCTCGCAAGACGAATGCCTCGCAAGACAAAAAACTCGCTAGACGAAAGGGTTTTTTGTTTTTTGAGCTGCTTCGCAAGACGATTTTCCCTATGGGCTTGCTTCGCAAGACAGAAACGTCTTGCAAGTTTGTTTCCTTTTCTTAACACCGTTAATACAGTTGCGACTTGACTTTGAGGAGCAACTCATAGAACGCGGTGTGGTAGCCTTTTTTGAGGTTTTTAAAGACTTTGGTGATTTTTGAAGCTTTTCCAAAACTTTCCCGACACCGTGCTTCGCAAGACGAAAAAAATCGCAAGACGACAAAACTCGCGGAACGAATTAATTTCGTCTTGTGAGGCACCACTGTATATGGGGCTGCACAGATACCATGAAGACTTCTAACCTTTGTCGAGTATAACCATGAGTGGAGCCAGAAGGTCACACATTCCTTGGACGTAGCCAACGTCTAAATGTTCCCAAACATAACTGCAACAGAGGGAAGAGAAATGGAGTCATACGCTTGAAACGTCTCTTAAAAGAACTGCTTCCGATTAAAGGGCAAATTTGCAAAATGCAGCTTGGAACTTCGGTTGAGGTGAAACAAACTGGAAGGAGGTTCTCAAGAAGCTTCTCTGAACTTGGAACGTCCTCCTGAAAATTTGAATTTTATTCTCCTAACCGGGTTTTCGAACTATATTATCATTATTCGCTTCTGTAGCTCTCCCAAGCTCCGCCCCTTGCTCCAACAGGCTCCGCCCTCAAACTGTCAGGCTCCACCCCTGCTGAATCCCAGACTCCACGCCTGGGAGCCTCCCGGTTCCACTTACCTGCACATAATGTTCCGTAGTTTCTCCAGGTTCTCAGCGGTGAAATACCAATAATTGCGATCACACCTCTGTACGTCTTTATCGATTCTGTGCAAGTTTAAGGCAACAGTGTCCAACATTTCTATCTGGAAGATACAAGTACACGTCACAGAGGTGTTGCTGAATCAAACACGACTTCTCTGTTGCAATCTGATATTTTGGAAACTTGAGTATGTTTTAAACACACACACACACACACACCCCACTACTAAATTTTATTTATTATAATCATCATTGATTTATTAATTGCCTTCTGTGATGGGGGGAAGAGAGCAAAAAAAGGCTTTTAACCACCACCACCCAAAAAAACCCAAGAGGTTCAAATGCATTTTTCATTGCATTTCATTCTTTCTCTACAGCCAACATGAGGACTAGTATCTTAGAATTCCTTTGGGAATTCTGTGAGGGACCTACTCAGTTCTGCAATTCAGTGTGATTGATGCAGATCTGTCAAAACATAGCATATGAAGGTCCCCCCCTGGACCAGGTCTAAGGTTCCCCAACTTTGAGCTAATGCAGGGGTTGTCAACCTGGTCCCTACCGCCCACTAGTGGGCGTTTCAGGATTCTCGGCGGGCGGCTGGGGGTTCTACGGCACAAGCTGAATCCTCCTTCCATCGAGCACTGGTGGGTGGTAAGGAAATTTCACCATCAAGAACGATGCATTACTGGGCGGTAGGTACAAAAAGGTTGACTGCCCCTCATCTAATGCATCCCAGTCCTTCATTTACATCAGGAACACGGCTTATTTCATTCTGTGTTCAAGTGCAAGAGCAACCCTTGTGAGGAGACAGCAAATCAACTGGACCCTTTTCTCCCATAAAAACACCCATTTGCTGAGCTCTTCAGTGGAGGCCCTGCTTCAGGCACCCTCGCTTATTGAGGCCACTGGGCGCAGGGCCTTCTCTGCAACAGCACCCCAGTTATGGGCACATACTCCTCAACCTGCAGAACTTACAGAGTCATTCCTCTAAGCAACACTATATTGCTTTAGATGCCTGCTGAGAATTCTTCCGTTGAGGCCTGTCTATCCAGACTCAAGATTGAGATGCTTATATTTCTTTTCGAAAGTTTTGTTGATTTTTAACTTTGTTAAAATATGTTCAGCTTTGTTTAACTTTGCAATATGCCCTGCCAAAAAAGAGGGCATTGTTTTAAGTTGGGGGGGAAAGAGAGGGCAGGAGATGGCAGGGCCCAATGAAAACAGACCTAAAGGGTTCAGACTTTTTGGATCACCAAAATGCAGTATTCAGGGCTGTCCAAGAGAGTACGATGGAAGAGTGAAGCTGTGGCTCTCTCTAGATGCTGTTGGGACTCCAAGCCCCATCAGCCTGAGCCAGCAAGGCCAATGGTCAGGGATGATGGGAGTTGTAGTCCGGCAACATTTGAAGGCCCACCGGTTGCCCATCTCTACAGGGTCCCTCTTACCTACCGTATAAGACGCAGAACACACAGATATGGCCTCCTCTGCAGGTTCCTTACAGTCCATCTGGGAACAGAGGTGTTCCTCAGTTACTAAGTCCTGAGGTTCCGAGCCCTTGGCTTGAGGATCCTGGTCAGAATCTTGCCTCTGTGGATCGGAGCCAGCTTCCTCCTCAGCCCCGTCCTCAAAGCAGACACTCTGCCCGTCATCAATGCTGGACAGGATGCCCGACGTGACGGAGTAATTCCGGGAGGACGGGAGCCCGGAGTCGGGGGAGTCAAATTCTACCGACTGCTGCTGCTCCACGGCCACAATGACTGTTGGCGCATCGCTGCAGCCCCCGATCAAAGATGGGTCTTCCTGAACCTTCAGGTCTCGCTCTACCGAGTCCATTTCATCGACGGATATAAACACCTGAAGGGCAAGATGTTTATCATTAAAGTAAGGAAGGATTAAACGAACACAGCAGGAAGGTGAAGGTCTGTTGCACCACCTGATACAGTTGGAAGAACCGGACATGGAGGAAGGGGTGAATTTATTTCATGGGCACAAAACACCCCATGTATGAGATAAGGCAAGAGGTCCAAGGTCAGCCAAGCCAGTCGCTATGGCAATGGCCCAGTACCATCTATATACGTGATTAAGGCATGTCAGCTCATTTGTCAGTCCATGAGTCCCGCCCATGAGTCAGAGTCTGTGTTACGTTTTGGAACTGCTGGAGCAACAGAAACGCTTTCTACTTGTATATATCTGTATCTGCAAAGGCTACAAGCTTTATGTATAAATCAACATCCAGAACTGTATTGCTGAAGCCTTATCTTCCGCAGCAGTAAACTATTTTGGACCTTAAAACTGCCATGGTGTGGTGACCAGAACTTGGATGAAAAGCGGCACAGAAATATAATAAATCAAATCAGAATCAAATCAATCTGCTGGGGGAGAGGCTGCAAGCAGGCTGGGGGTGGGCCTAGATGGGGGTCCAGAGCCAGAGCCAATGATGGGCAGGGTACCCTGTTCCCTCTCCCTCTCTGTGCCACCTCTTTCTCCCCATTCTCATTCCCTTCTTTTGCACCTGCATGAAACTAGGGCAATGGCCAAATGAAATTAGGCCTCAGGCCAACTGGGGCTCTCAGGCCTCTAGTTGCTGACCCCTGGTCTAGATTTATGGACCTTTGGTCTGACCCAGCAAGGCTCTCTGCATTATGTCACAGCAAAGAGGTATGTAGAACAAGGCACACTGCCTTACATCGTTGCTGATGGTGGAGTCCCTGTGGATCAACCGCTGGACGTGGCTGTCTATGCTGCTGCCAGAGGAGAATTTGGTGGCTGTTTGAGACTCCTTCTCCCGAAGCTTCACAATCACCTCGCAGGCTTTCCACTCGGCCATCACTTTCTGATACCTGAGCGCAATTTCCTCGTCAACCTTCAGAAAGGAAGGGGGGAAAGGCTGTCAGGAAGTCATCTCTGGAAAGGCCTTGGGAAACCTCTGCAGGTTTTCATTTAAATATATATATTCTTTATTAAAAAAAAATCAAAAGTACAAAATTACAAGTGCATAGAGTGAGATAAGACACACACAAAAAGAAGGAAACAAGAAATAGTATCCACGTAGAAAACAAGACAGAACAAATAAAAAATATATACTGTGTGCATTACAAAAAAAGGGGGGTTCTGAAAGGTTTTCACAACAGGGAAAGCTGAGGCTCTTCAGACGATGCTGGACTACAACTCCCATCAGTCCCAGCCTGCCTGGCCAGTATTGAGGGATGATGGGAGTTGTAGTCCAGCAACCTCTGGAGAGCCACAGGCCCTCCACTCCTGCCCTAGACAACAACCTTAAGCCAAGTACCCTTGTTAACACCATTGAAATTAACTCGCAAGCTTTCTCAGAGGGCTTTAAATGAAGGCTTAACTTCTCCTCAGGTGCCTTTCAAATCTTCTGAAGTCTTCACTCTAGTCCAGGATCCACTGTTTCCTCAGCTCCACTGCAATCCATCACCACTGCGGCCTCAGCTCTCCCAAAGGTGACTGGGGGAGTCTTGCACGCCTCTCCTGCAGCAATTCTTAGCTTTTTCTCCCAAGTCAGGGATGGGAAGCCTGTGGCCTTCCAGAGATTGCTGGACTATAACGGAGCGGCCCGTCCCATTTCGCCGCCTGAGGCAAAACAGGAACATGCTGCCTCCTGCTACCTCAGCCCTGAGTCGCACGGTGGCAGCTTCCAGCAGAATCTCATTGAACGCCACTGCCGGCACTTTTCCTCACTTCTGTGGTGGCAGTGGCAGGTCAGGCGCCGACCCACAGGATTTTGCTGCCTCATGGACCAATTGGCCACGCTGATGGGAGTTTTGAGCCCGAAACGCCCCTGAATTATAAACTCGTCTTCTCCATGCGCACCCAAGGTTCTGGTGGGAGAGAAGGGGGCCCAGGGTTGGGCAACATCGCCAAATGAAAGCTTTCAGAACCCTAAGAGTCGCTCTTTGACTCGCCACTAATCTTATCTTAGCTGCAAGAAAAAGAGGAGGGGGCTAGCAGGCTGGGAAAAAGAGGCAAACTGTCCTCCTCCTCCAGACTTTATCTGCACACTTGTTTCTGGCCAAAAACCCCAAGGTCACGCTGACCTTGCAGCCTGCAGCTGTTCCCATTTCTCTCCTGGGACAGAAATGAGAAACTTCAGGACTCTGCAGATGATCATTCATTTGTCATTAGCATCTTAATCTCCGCCAGTGAGCTCTGGGTAGATTCTTCCTGTTGCACATCTATTGTCAATTATAACCATCGTTTGTCACTCCCACCTAGGGAATAATTACATTTTGGTTCGCTGTAGAGAGATGCTGGAGGGGTGCATACACATTGTACTTTCACTTATATGTTGTTGTAGCGAGCATTACCTGACATTTTCAGAAGGTACAATTAAAATTATTTGGTTTTCAGGAGCGGTTCATGTGCTTTTTATATTTTAAACAATTCATTATTTTAATTCATAACCCTGGAGATAAATATAAGCACAAGCTGGGTCTGCACAACGACCCACACTTTTTGCTATTTTCATGAGTGCTGCTCAGAAGCAGATCCCCTACATTATCTCTTGTAGGGGAAGGAAACCAGCAAGACATCACCAAACCCACTCTAGGAGACTGGTGCACCCTCAGGGAAACAATTTCTACGTTGCCTCCAGGGGCAGGTAAAGGTTTTGATGCCAAAAAAATAAAACAATTCTCCTGTTGTTTATGTGGTTTTCTAATCAAACACAAATTTACCAAGCTAAATGTTACCCCATCACGAAAATAATGCCAGGTTTTAATTCCCCACACTCAAAAATCTAATTTTAAGACTCCTCACTGAAGAAATTTGCAAAAAGTAAGTTTCGCTCCCTAAAATGACATACCCTAATACACAATGAGGCGGCTTTGTTAGGCCTGGTCTCTTCAGGGTACAGTCTTGTTCCTGGACTGTAACTCTTCAGACTGGAAGCAGAAGGTTTCTCAGCCCAACTTAGTGGTGCTGTGAGCTGAACCTGCAGGGCTCTGAGACTGAGCCAGCAAGAAGCCACAGTGAACTCCACACCCAGCTAGCATTAGTGCTAAAGTGATGTGCCAGGGTAGGCAGGGGCAGGACAAATTAGGATGAAGGAGACTTGCCAAAAGTTCCAAAGTGTAGGTGCTGCTTCTCTGAAAGATTGGGGGATAAAAAAACGAAAGAAGGGTGGGGCTGAAGGGCTACAGCCCTTGGGGTTGGGCTAGATGACCCTTGGGGTCCCTTCCAACTCTATGATTCTAACCCCTTTGTATCTCAGTGGTTCCCGCCCCAAGGGGTTGCCTAAGTGGTAAGGGGGCAGTGGGCGTAAATGACTCTCAGACTTTGAAAAGCTGTTATCGCTGGATCGAGGTCATCCATTTTGTTGAATTAATTAATTTAAACAGGTTTCAAATGCATTTTGAATAAATGTGCAGCTAATTGTCAGCGTTTTGTATTTTATTGCATCATTATCTTCCTTAATGGGTTGTGCAGAATGGAATTCTGAATAATGCTTTTTAATAGGATTGTTGTTGTTGTTTAGTCGTTTAGTCGTGTCTAACTCTTCGTGACCCCATGGACCAGAGCACGCCAGGCACTCCTGTCTTCCACTGCCTCCCACAGTTTGGTCAAACTCATGTTAGTAGCTTTGAGAACACTGTCCAACCATCTCGTCCTCTGTCGTCCCCTTCTCCCCTCAATCTTTCCCAACATCAGGGTCTTTTCCAGGGAGTCTTCTCTTCTCATGAGGTGGCCAAAGTATTGGAGCCTCAGCTTCAGGATCTGTCCTTCCAGTGAGCACTCAGGGCTGATTTCCTTAAGAATGGATAGGTTTGATCTTCTTGCAGTCCATGGGACTCTCAAGAGTCTCCTCCAGCACCATAATTCAAAAGCATCAATTCTTCGGCGATCAGCCTTCTTTATGGTCCAGCTCTCACTTCCAGACATCACTACTGGGAAAACCATAGCTTTTACTATACGGACCTTTGTTGGCAAGGTGATGTCTCTGCTTTTTAAGATGCTGTCTAGGTTTGTCATTGCTTTTCTCCCAAGAAGCAGGCGTCTTTTAATTTCCTGACCGTGTCACCATCTGCAGTGATCATGGAACCCAAGAAAGTAAAATCTCTCACTGCCTCCATTTCTTCGCCTTCTGTTTGCCAGGAGGTGATGGGACCAGTGGCCATGATCTTAGTTTTTAATAGGATAGGGATGTGTTTATAGAACCAAGGGAATGGGGCACCAATATAGTTTGAGAACCACACTGCCTTATCTGGTGAACCTGCACCAGAGGATGCATCTAGGACCAAGCCTCCCTAGAGAAACCGAGATTGGCCTTTGTCTGGCCTTTGGCACAGGATTGCTGCCAAAAGTTCTTCTGCAACCCTTTGTAATTCAAAATGCCCAGGGTGGAACTGAGAGTGCAATGGAGACACTTTGCCGTTGAACCTCCCTGTCTTAACAGCATCTTCAAGCAACACTCCTTCCCCCACGCCCACAAAAAAAGACCAGGTCGGTTACCAAGCAGCTAAAGATAACCTGAAGTACTCACCCGACCCATCTCCTTCTTGGTCATGCCAAACTTGTAGTGTCCCAGCAAGAACGGCCACACCTCCTTCCGAATGTCATGCTGCACCCCACCATAGTAAACTCGCCGGAGGAGCTCCAACTCCTTGTAATTCTGAGCCAAAGAAAGGAGGGAGAGAGATTTGTTTTATTATTATTATTATTATTATTATCATTATGAAGACTATTACAATGAGTTAAAGTAGAAAAAGAATACATAAAGCATTTTAAAACAACATGACAGTAAAATATAATTAAAATTGCTATATAACATATACACAAATGGATGACTTACCGTTTCCCTCAAATATACATTGATTCCTGGGTCACAATGGTTTCAATAAATACCGTACGTTCCAATATCATTACATTTTCCCACACATAATCTTTTGTCTGCAAGTGATCTGTTAATGGGCTGCAAAAGTTGTCACATCTTCCATCCATTGACTGAAAGAGGCCATATTTTCCTCTTTCCAATGTATCAGTATCAATCTTTTTGCAGATGTAAGGGCACAGAGAATCCATTTAACTTGCCCGCTTGCCAAGCCCCATATATTAGGTATATAATTTAAGCTAATGCTATGTTCTGGAAATTTTTAACTCTTTCCTCATTATCATAACAAAATAAAAAAAAATCCTTCCAATAGCACCTTAGACAACTTTGTTTTGACTACGGCAGACCAACACAGCTACCTACCTGTAACTCATTATCATACTTATACAACCAAATATTTTCTTCCAGAAATTTGCCAGCATCTAACACTGTATAAACAAGTGTTTCAAAGAAGCATGGCTGCAGAAAAAAACAATGCAATGACCCCAAACTGAATGTTGAAATCCCGCACAGAGCAGGAACAAACTCCCTGCGTCATCAGCAGATGTGTGGGCTGAATTCGACTTTAGAATCGTAGAACTGTGGAGCTGGGACACTCAGAGTCATCTAGTCCAACCCCCTGCATTGCAGGGATCACAACCACCTCTCCACCTGCCGCACACCTGGCTTGATCTGTGAGGCAGGTAGGCATGGTTTTTAGAGATGGGAAGGCCTAAGAAAAATGTGGGAAATTTGGGGGGGGTCCTAATTTGAGCAGTGGGCCCAAACCCCCCCCCGAAGGGTGTGTGTGGCTAGTATTAATAATATTAGTTTATTACAGTCGTACCTTGGGTTACAGACGCTTCAGGTTACAGAGTCCGCTAACCCAGAAATAGTACCTCGCGTTAAGAACTTTGCTTCAGGATGAGAACAGAAAATGTGCGGTGGCGGCAGCAGGAGGCCCCATTAGCTAAAGTGGTACCTCAGGTTAAGAACAGTTTTAGGTTAAGAACAGATCTCCAGAACGAATTAAGTTCTTAACCCGAGGTACCACTGTATTTATACCTCGCCCATCTGGCTGGGTTTCCCCAGCCACTCTGGGCAGCTCCGAACAGAATGGTGAGGCCTAGTGTGTCAAGTTTCATCCTTACTCTAAAGCAGCGTTTCCCAAACTTGGGTCTCCAGCTGAACTACAATTCCCATCATTCCTGACCGGCTAGCTAAGGATGATTGGAGTTGTAGTCCAACAAGAGCTGGACTCCCAACTTTGGGAAACACTGCTCTAGAGGATTTCTGGAGGACCTGCAGGGTCAATGACTAAAAGGCTCTTCGGTGGAGGCTCTCGTCCACTCCTGGCTGTCTGGGGCTATCATTTTCCTGCCTTCCTTGGGAGCATCATGAGGCATCTGATAGAAAACAATATACAAGAGAAGATGGGTCTTAATCTGATTCAGCAACATAATAAAAAAGGGGGGGCAGCGAACTCATCAACACTTAACCTGATTGCATCTCATAATGGTTTCTTAATGGCCTGTTATCATCAAGTGCATCTTCAATGGGCTCAGGGCTATTTAAGCAAATTGATTTCAGAGAATCTGCCGGAGGACTAGGAGCCTTATGGGTTAGCATTTCGACTCAAGACACCATGGGCCAGAATCTTCCAGCTAAGACCAGGGGAATCCTGCCAGATCAGATGACAACAAAATCCGCCCACTGCCGTTTCCTTTGGTGGCCAGCCAGAGCCCGAGAGCAGGGCACAGAAGCAACAGACCTTTCATGCCATCAACATCTTCTCCCCCGGCAACTGATGCTCAGAGGTACACTGCCATGGCTCATGGAAGTTCGATTTCTGCTGTCAAGGTGGGACTCATCATCAGAGCCCTCCTCCCACTCTGTGGATTTATCTACTTCCCTTTTAAGGCTGTCTAAGCCAGTTTGAAGTTTTCTGGGTTGTTGTTGTTTACAATTGGGTGTGTATAAATTTTACGAAATAGATCAATAAGCCGGTGGTCGTTGGCCACTTCCAAACTGTCTGCAAGGGAAAGTGGCCCTTAGAGTTAAAGTCTCCCCACACCTGATTTTATAGATAGATGGACAGAATGGAAAGAGGGAAAAGCTATTTGTGCGCATGTGCACTACATATGGTGTGTTTCTGTGTGCGCATGCTTGAGATTCTTATTATATCAAGCAGCAGAGCATTTCTATAAAATCGATCAGTACAGAGGGCGGCCTCCTACCTTCTTGTCCTTCTGATATTTGCTCCAGACCTCTTTCGTCAGTCCCCCCGCGGCACTCGTGGGTTTGTCCGGAGGGATGATGGTGTGGCTTACCAGGGCAGACAGGTGCGTCCGGACGGTGGACAGGTGGCGGCAGTAGGCGAGCCCTGAGTTCGAGGGGGAGGAGAAAGAAAAGGATGGTTAGTAGAGAACTGAACGACCTGCCACTTTATGAGTGCTTCATACGCTTTTTAGACAGTTCTTTAAAAGGGCAGGATCTGGTGTATGGGGGTGGTGGTGAGGGTTTTAACAATTTTCCCCAGTGCAGGTTAAGGACTGTAGGGCGCCATATGGGGGTTAACCCTTCCGACGTGCAGGTATGGACCGCAGCGCATGGAGAGGGGGAGAATTGTAACCCTTTCCCCATTCAGGTAAGGACCACAGTGAACCAGGGTGAGGGTTGTAACTCCTTCCCCACCCAGGATATGAACCACAGTACATGGGGCAGGAGAAGGGCTTTTAATTCCTCCCCCTTTAATAATAATTTTATTAGTTTTCAATTACAGTCCAATAATAGCCTCATTTTAACAATACCAATTTATAATACAATTATTAATATCAATCGTTCAAATACCGAATTATATAATTTAGATAAAGTGCACCCCCCTGCAAATGCTGGATTAGATGGTTTGATAATTTTCTTTATTTCTGCGTTCCAAAATCTTATTAATTTCAATTACATTCCGGTCATCATCATAATCCCTCATACAACACCTGCAATATTAATAAACTTCTATTCGTGTGGACACATTAAATGATTTCTACAACTACAAGTGAGGAACTCAAAACTAAATCCTTGTTCTTCCAGTGTATGGCAATTATTCTGTCCGTGGTGTTTCTTCCTGGCCCTGTAAGATGTTATGTCTTTCTTTCCCCTGGCTGTTGCTGTTATCCCTCATGCCTTGGGCAGAGCTGATATCCCATTGTTGTTGATTTAAGAGGGGAAGGGCTTTTAAGACCCTTCTCTATGCATTGCAGTACCACTGAATAAAAAGGCAAAGGTAAAAGTAAAGGACCCCTGGATGGTTAAGTCCAGTCAAAGGCAACTATGGGGTGCGGCGCTCATCTTGCTTTCAGGCTGAGGGAGCTGGCGTTTGTCCACAGACAGCTTTCTGGGCCATGTGGCCAGCATGACTAAACCACTTCTGGCGCAACGGGACACCGTGACGGAAACCAGAGTGCACAGAAACGCCGTTTACCTTCCCACCGCAGTGGTACCTATTCATCTACTTGCACTGGTGTGCTTTCAAACTGCTAGGTTGGTAGAAGCTGAGACAGAGCAATGGGAGCTCACCCTATCATGTCAATTCAAACTGTCAGCCTTCTGAATGACAAGACCAAGAGGCTCAGTGGTTTAGACCACAGCACTATCTGCTCCCCTAAATATCACCCTTGAATATCACCCCACGTCCCAGCATGTTATTCGCTCCAGGAGAGAACTTTCCATTGGTACCTGTTCCCCTCACAGAGCTACAATTCCCAGAGCGGTTTAACCATTAATCCCTGGGGTCCTCTAGGAATTGTAGCTCTGAGAGAGAAAGAGGAGTCTCTTTCAAACATCGGAAGACTTATTTCCAAGCAAAACAGGATACATCTCAATTGGGACAGCGGACTTACAACCCCCCCCCACCACTTGCAAACATTTACCGTATTTTTCGCCCTATAGGACACACTTTTTCCCCTCAAAAAATGAAGGGGAAATGTGTGTGCATCCTATGGGGCGAATGCAGGCTTCAGGAAGCTCTGCGCAACCCTCGGGAGACCGGCTCCTGATGGCCGCGCAGAGCTGCCTCCAGTCCCGGGCTCAGCGCAGCTCTGCGCGGCCATCGGGAGCGGGGCGCGAAGCCCCGCCCGGCTCCCGATGGCCGCGTAGAGGTGCCTGCAATCCCGGGCTCAGCGCACTTCTTCCCATCGCCAGCCCCACAAGCTCGGGGGACAGCGGGGAGGCGGAGCGCGCCTTCCCGCTGTTGCCTGACCTGGCTCTTCCAGCCCTGCACCTGGGGGAGGGGGGAATAAAAAAATTTTTCTTTATTTCCCCCCCAAAAAAACTAGGTGCGTCCTATGGGCCGGTGCGTCCTATGGGGCGCAAAATACGGTACTTACATCCATAGAAGGCTCTGGAAATAATCTGTTTCTTCATGCTTTGGCATAACATTTTTAGAGGGGTCCTGTTGAAAGAAATATCCAAAGGCTTTAAACTGACAAATGCACATGTTAAAATTTATTTTTAGAAGAAACTTCTCAACAGCCTGGCATAAGCTTTCGTAGATTACAGTCTGCTTCATCAGGTGCATGGTGTAGCTCCTGAGTTTATCACTGGAGGTGTGTGCATTGTAAACAGTGAGGTTGAAAAGAAAGCACAGAGACAGTGCTGATTACACTAATTTTGTTTTTCTGTGTTCTCAACAGTTTTGTGAATTAACCCTCGTCAATCACGAGATTGCCGCCAAACCGTGCATGCTAGCAATGAGGGATGGAGGAGAGATTACCGTATTTTTTGCTCTATAAGACTCACTTTTTCCCTCCTAAAAAGTAAGGGGAAATGTGTGTGCGTCTTATGGAGCGAATGCAGGCTGCGCAGCTATCCCAGAAGCCAGAACAGCAAGAGGGATCACTGCTTTCACTGTGCACCGATCCCTCTTGCTGTTCTGGCTTCTGGGATTCAGAATTCCCCCCCCCCCCCTTGTTTTCCTCCTCCAAAAACTAGGTGCGTCTTATGGTCTGGTGCGTCTTATAGAGCGAAAAATACGGTAAATTCAGTACGCACTTAAAGCACAGATCTGTAAAATCTGCACTTCCCACAGCCGTATGCAAACTGAAATGCACTTATTCTTTGATATTTGCACTAACACAGAGAGCCCCCCCAAAAGCAAGGTCAACAGATGGGCAGTTCATTTCACCTGTCGTGGATGCAGGTGCAGCAGCTGGGAACGTCGTAAGGGGAACTTCCGGTGGAGCACGAGAGGCAGGAGGACCCCTGGCTGCACGGGTCCAGTTGCCACGACAACAAGCTGGCCCCAAACCCCTGCATCTCTGACGTGTCGCCAATATCTAGGCAAAAGAGAGAAATGGAGGGGAGGTGGGGGAGAGGGAGAAATATTTAGCGCTATATGAAGCCTCGGAGCATCCTTTGGGCTGAGATTTGGAGGGGAGGGAAGAGGAGAAATATGCTGCAAAGATTTGCAGTGTGCTTCCCCTCTGATACACCCCCGACCAACACCAACAAGTTGCAACACTTTGATTCCTCCCTGCTTCTGTTTTGCTCCATTTGGGGCAAATATAGCTAGAAAAAGAAAAAGAAAACATTGCGACCCTGATTCCGTAAGCCACAGAGAGTCAGCATGGTGCCTTCCAGGTGTGTTGGACTACAACTCCCATCATCCGCAGTCAGATGGCTCGTAGTCGGGGATGATGGGAGTTGTAGTCTGTGGCATCTGGAGGGCACCAGGCTGGGGAACCGCCACCCCTTTATTTCCCCTCCCTCTTTTTAAACCGGATGATGCCTTTCATAAACAACTGGCTGTCAGCTCATCCATGATGTCCATTAAGGCAAATGGCTTGGGCCCAAACCAGGCAGCCATACCGAAAACATGCAAGCAAGATGCGGGTTGGCGAGGTTATCTCCCCACGGCTGTGCTTTCAGATTTTGGCAGGAAAGGGTTAGAAAATAAGAACGGAGGAGGAACTCCAAAACATGCAACTTGGCTAGCCGACACAGCGTGTATTCACGTTTCCAAAAAGTGGCCTGTTTCAGGGTGGGGTTAGAGCAGTTAATGGATTCAGCTATTATTGCAACAGAAAGTGTTAACAGAAAGGTATATGGGTTGGATCGGAGAATGCGGTTAGTATTATCCCAAAAAAAGAAGAGAGAGAGAGATGTTATGTTCATGCTATAGAAGCCAAACTCCATTAAAGCAAAAGCGAGCAGGGAGGATAAAAAATGCTCTTCACCTTAATTCTTCAGGAAGGAGCTGAACAAGCCAGTATTTATGGCAACTTCCCCCACCCCAAATCCATTTGGCCAACCAATCTTAAAGGGGTGGGGAGTGTGGTTTGGGTTTTTCCTCCCCTTCTCCCCCCACCCCTCCACAAGACAAGAAAAAGACAGCTTTGGAAGGTCTTTATTGATTAAAAGAAACCATATCCTTTTAAGGTGAACCCCACAGAACCTAAGAATTCAGATGAAAGGTACCAGAACTGGTGAAGAATTAGAGTGAACAGCATCTTCAGAAACGAGAGCTCATTTCTGTTTGTTTTTGCTTTTTGTTTTTGTTTTAAATCGGGTTTCCGCAAATCTTCCTGATCAATGGCCAGATTTTCAGCCGCATGCAAGAAATGTCAAAAGGGGGTGGCAAGGAACTCAAAAGCAAAATGGAGAGCGAGGTGGGTGCAAGAGTGCTGTCATTATGCTGTCCAGAGGAATGGTCAAGGCGCCAGGGGTAGGCTGGGTAAGGAGAGACTCTGGACTTCAAGGTCTTACGGCATCTGCTTAAGTAATGTGCATTGCTTGGCAGAACAACCTGTCAGTTTTCTCATCCTTGGTCCCAGTATTGCCTCTTGTAGCAGGGAAGAGGAGGGAGACAAAACTAGCATGAGTTGGCTCTGCCTGTCATTGGCTCTGGCGCCACCTACTGTTGGGCTCTTTGCCTTCTGTCCCATCATTTCCAATGTGCACTGGGCTCCTCTATAAACATTCCCCGTACACTGAAAACTAGGAAGTCAGGGAGACTTAGTCTTCTTCCTGACATGCTAATTTTATATGTGAATGGATTTTCTTCCCTTTATCCCTAAGAAATCATGTTCCTGACACTATAGATTGATTTATTTATGAGAGAGAGAGAGAGACTGACTTTGGGGGAATTTCTTTTAAAAAAATATTTATTTTGCTTGTTTGCAATCAGATTTATATCCCGCATTTTCCTCTCTCCAAAGAGAGATGTGCAAAGTGGCCATAGAAAGCCTGCAGGACAAAACAAAGAATAACCCAAGTCAATTTAAAAGGGGTACAAGTATGGCAGCCCTGGCTGCCAATATTGCTACTTTTCGGGCGTTTTGGAGTGCCCCACCCTCAGCCCTATGGAGGGTGTGCGTTCTGGATGCCACGTGGCTCTTGCACACATGAATGCAGGTGTGTGGAGATATGACATGTAGGTGCACACGGGGGTTGGACTAGATGACCCTCGGGGTCTCTTCCAACTCTACAATTCTATGATTCCATGCCCTTCCCTGCTTGCTCATCCAGACAGCAAATGTTGCTGACCAAGTGCGCTGGAGTGACAAAGCACCAGGCCACAGGAGGACAAAGCAACCTCAGTCCTGGGAGTGGGGCAGGGGGGAGAGAAATGGGGCCCTCCAAGCTTCTCCGTTCGGCCATGAGAACTCAAGCCAGGCCACACCCTTCACTGACCCTACTTCACATCACCCCTGTGTGTTTTCTGCCTGGCTGGGATGTGTCTTCGAACTCTTGACCATGCCTGTTACTTGCCTGCATGCAGGAGGGTATATCTGTAGAAACTAGCCCACTGTACAACAGGTAGCATGACTGCCTGTCGCTCCACCCCCTTTTACCTCTAGCCACGCCCACCACGAGCATTTGGCCCCCAGAAGGCTTCCCAGAGGTGAATGAGGCCCTCAGGTTACAAATGGTCCTCCATCCGTGTTGGAATAGGATGGGAGGACAGAGGCTCGGGCTTTGATCTGGCGCCCCAATTGCCTTCTTCACCGTTTTGCATCCGCCCAGATACCAGTTGTCGGAGCCCGACTGTGGACAGATTCAGACATGCGGTAATGGTTGTTATGGTTCTGAACAGTCAAGAGTTAACACTCCAAAAGCGTTCTTATTAACTGGGTGCACTGCCCACATGATCCGGGCATTTCCCTTTGATCTGTGCTCTGTGGGGGCTGAGCTCTCTCTGGAGAGCAGTCTATCTCAGAACATGGGCAAGGTAGTTTTGTTTTTGTTAGAGACAGAAAGCTGCGAACACGCAGCTAGATTCTGTAGGTTTTCTTTTCTGTTTGTTATGCTTCTAAATAAAGAGTGTTAGAATAGAAGCACTGGTGTTGAGCTGAGTTACTGAAGACACTATGTCGACACAGGCAAGCCATTTTACGCTGCGTGTGAACTCTGCTATTATCCGGCAACTGAGAAGAGTGGCAGCGCGCGAGTGGAAGCTTGTGGGCGCCATTGAAGGTTGTTGGAGTGGCAATAAATTCAGATTTATTGCAGGGCCGTTGCAGCAGACTCAGTGGGTCAAAGGATTTACGACCCACAGACTTTAGCAATGGTTTTCCTGGAGTGGAAACTGGAGACCTGCATGCCACCATCTTTGGCAGGGGTGGGAAGCTTGTGTCCCTCCAGATCTTGATGTGCTACAACTCCCATCGTTTGCTACGGTGGTTGGGAGTCCATCTGGAGGGTTGCAGCTTCACTGCCTACAGTATAAGCCTGGGTTTTGAGTAATGCTGGTACGAGAAAAGGCATTCGACCCGCAAAAAAGACTCGACTCTGAATATTTATATCAGGCCTGACCAATCTAGAAGCTTCACATAGGCTGCCAATCAAGAGGCCCGATGTTACACCCGCAGTTCCCTTGTCCGCCTGAAGAGGCCTTTGCACACACCACCTTAGAGGCATGGGCAGGAATTTGGAGGGGCAGATGTGGGGACAGCAAAGTAAACCCTACAAACATAACATAACATAACATAACATAACATAACATAACATAATGAAAAAGGAAGGAACAGGCAAGTTGCTCTCTAAAGAAATTAGAAACAAACACATTTTGCCTGTCATCTCAGGTTCGACAAATGCGAGAAACCTTGTTTTAAAAAATGAAAACTGGGATTGTAGGGATTATGGGTTGCCCAGCAGGATGGGGGCAACTACCCCCTTCTTCACTGCCACCCCACTGTGGACAGCCATGTCTTCAAGCTTTTCTGGTTCAAGGTTCCTGAGTACTGAGTGCAGACTACCATCTAAGCCAGCCTTTCTCAACCTGTAAGTCCCCAGATGTTGTTGAACTACAACTCCCATCACCCCTAGCTAGCAAGGCCAGAGCTCAGGGATGATGGGGGTTGTAGTCCAACAACATCTGGGGACCCACAGGTTGAGAACCGCTGATCTAAGCAGAGAAGAGAAAGGAGTTAGTGACTAATGGAAACAGGGGACAAAAGAGCCACTGGTCTCTTAGGTTTCCCTTTTCCAAGAGGGCCTCCTTGCAATTCCTCTGACCCGGAAGGAGGCGCATCAAGGCTGCAGCAATGCCAGCACCGTTGCACGTTGCGTGCGAGTGTGAGAAAGTATGTTTTGCTCTGGAGCTGCCAGGGGGTGGGGATGAAGAGGGAGTGGGGTTGCGGGGGGAGAAGGATAAAAACCTTTCATCCTTTTAGGATCTGTGAGGTTCCGATTGCAGATCATGGATAGCATTGCGTGCAGCTTGTCTTCGTCGTCCTCGTCATCGTCGACGGAGGCAGAGCGGCTGGCAGCTAAGTGGTGGTAGTTAATAGTTACTGCTCAAAGAAAATAGTGAAAGAGGAATAAGAAAAACAAAACGGGCATTGGGATCCACCAGTCAAGCTTTGAAAGGACATGTCTGAAGCAAAGGGAACTGGGTCCTCCCCTCCACAAGGGGGCAAACACAAGATTCTGACATCATGGATTGGTAGGAAGGCCACCTTCCAACCAAAGGCCCATTCATCCATCACTAAGAGCTGAGCATGAACGGCGCAACAACTGGGGTTGGTGCTTCCAAAAGTTGTCGAAAGATGGCTTGCCTACTCAGCCAGTCAAGGAAGACTGCACACAATTGTATACATCCCCCCACCCTCAATGTCACAAACAACCTTCCGGAATCACAGATTTGTAGAGTTGGAAGGGACCATGACGTCCTTTAGACCAACCCCCTGCAATGCAGGAATCTCAGCTAACACATCCATGGCATGATGAATCATTGGACTACAACTCCCATCACCCCTAGTCACTAACCATGCTGGCTGGGACTGTTGGTTTTGGGAGTCCATCTGAATCTGGAGGGTTGCAGGTTCTCATTCCCTGTGGTCGATCCTTCCATTTTATTTTATTTTTATTTTTAAAAAGAGAGACGCATGCTGCCAATGACTGCACTGAATGCTGCAACTCACAATTTTCTGTACGTGAGAATTTCTCATGGAAAATCAAATGCAATGCCAATTTGCTGGTAAGTCTCTCTATCTCTTTTTTTAGACTAATTGAGTTTTTATTGTATCATATGTTGAAAACTCTTAATAAAATTGATATAAGAATAGAAGGCCACAGGTTCCGTTCCCCACCCCTGACCCTGATGGTAGTTCATTAATTATTATTTTTTAACGGCGCTGTATTTTATGGTGTGATCTATTTTTACGTTGCCTCGAGGGCAATTTAAGTCAAAAAGGCACGGTGCAAATGTTCTAAATAAGATTAAGAACTTCAAGGAAATCCCCAATGTTGCCGCTACCAAAGAAATTACCGTCATGTACGTAAAATGAAAAATCAAAACAAAGGAGGTTCTTACTGTTGTCATGCCTATGGCCTGGGTAAATGATCCTGAAGACGTAATCTGCAGCCGTCTCCATAGCCACTGGCATTTCTTCCAGATCCACAGACCTGTTGTGGGTGTTCCGTTTCCGGAGTTTGGGGAAAACTTTGCCCTACAATGTAAAACAGGGCAATCCAACAGGATGTGACTCAGAGAGAGGCTGTAGTAGAGAGTTCTAAACCCCTCTCTCATGACACTAGATCTCAGGGGTTACCCGACAAAGCAGTAAATCCAGGGCAGGCCAAAGGAGGACTTCCTTCCAAGATGTGGAAGTCAATAGCCGGAAGAGGTGGCAAATGGAGCAGGGCAGTCTCTTTATCAATGGCTAAGATGAAACCTCCATGTTCAGAGGCAGTCTATCAGTGAGTACCAGTTGCCAAGGAGCAACAACTATCGGAGAGGGCAATATAACCTTCAAGGCCTGACTGGGGGCTTCTGAAGAGCATTCGGCTGGCCACTATGAGAATAGGCTTCTAGCTTAGATGGCACTTTGGTGCAATCTAGCAGGGCTCTTTTTGGCCTCTCATGGAGAAGAAGGAATGGTCTATCTTGCTCTGGGTATTTATTTATTTTTTAAATAATTTTTATTGATATTTAAGATCACCCACCAACACCCACCAACACCAGTAAAACCACCAACACCAGTAAAACATCAAATCTTATTACATATATCCTACTTTATGCTCCGCAGAGCTGTTGACTTCCGTCCTTCCCTTCCATCAGTTTTCCTATTCTATTCTATAGTTCACAGTTTCTTTGATTAGATATTACAACATGACATAAGATTTACTTCAATCCTGCCAAAGTTTTCAAATTTGCACAGTTCTCACTTATATAGATCAAAAATTTACACCATTCTTTTTGGTACTTTGTCTCCTCCTGATTGCGAATTCTGTGTGTCAATTTAGCTATCTCAGCGTATTCAACCAGCTTTATCTGCCATTCTCCTATTGTTGGCATCTCCTGTTGCTTCCACTTTTGAGCTATCAGAACTCTAGCCACTGTTGTTGCGTACAAATATAATCTTTGATCAGTCTTCTTAATATCTTCTCCCACCAAACCTAGCAAGAATTCTTCCGGCTTTTTGGGAAAGCTATACTTAAACATCTTTTTAAACTCGTTATAAATCGATTCCCAGAACTCTTTTAATTTATTACATGACCACCACATATGAAAGAAGTCGCCATCCTTTTCCTTGCATTTCCAGCAAGTTTTATTACTAGTTCTGTACATTTTTGCCAATTTGGTGCGAGTAAGATACCAACAATAGACCATCTTCATAACATTCTCTTTTAAGGCAGAACAAGCGGTGAATTTTATACTCTCATTCCAGAGTTTGGCCCATACATCATAGTCTATGTTGTGTCCTAGATCAATAGCCCATTTTATCATAGCCTCTTTTATAAGTTCGCCTTTTGTATTCCATTCTAATAGGAGATTATACATTTTTGAAAGTAGTTTAGACTTACTTTCTATAATGTCTATTTGAAATTTCGATTTTTTGTCTTCAAATCCTGGCTCTGGCTATTTTTGATGTGCAACAAGGGCGTGCCATCCGTTATATAGCCATAATGGCACCCCCCACACACACACAAACACGAACACACAAAGGTCTGGGAAGGCTTGGATATCCTGGGGTTTGCCGATCGCATCCTCAAACAGTCCAAAGTGACTAACTGCGGGTGGTGGACTGGACTGGATATCCTGTAAAAGGGCACAGCTGGGTGGCTGGCTCCCAAGCAGCAGCGCTCCACCCTACAGTGGAGCAGTTCTCAGCAGCTGCTTGCCAAAATACAACCTCCCCCTTCATGAAATATAACCGAGTACTAGTTGGTTGGGTGAGGTACATAGCCATCGAGAGCTGGTAAGCATATGGTTGGTCGAGACTGGAAGAGAGACCCTGATTGGACACAGCAGAGTGGGGAACTGGGCAGGTCGATGGGGCCGCCCACCTATCAATTGCCGCTTGAAATTAAACAATGCAGGTATAAGCAAGCTTTGAAGGCCCAACAGGGAGTTGATTGCTGGGGCTGCAAAGCACCTCACACAGCTTATGGGGACTCTCTGCATGGATCCCTACAGGTGCCGCTGATAGATGGGGAGCCTGTGACTCTACAGATGCTGCTGGACTACAACTCCCATCAACCCTCTCCATCGGCCTTGCTGGCTGCTGTGGCTGATGGGAACTGGAGTCCAGTGACATCACAAGGGCCGGAGGTTACCCATTACTGTCCTGTCAGGTCCATATGGAAGGTGTTATTTGCCAGGCTAGAGGTCTCACCTTTCCCTGCTGGGACCACAGTGGAGGCTCCAACTGTCCACGGGGCAGAAGGCCATTTTCAAGGCAAGAAAGGAAGGCAAGGAGGTGTCCGCCAGGCGGGAAGTGAAGCGGGGGCCGCTGGATGCCATCTTGACTCACCAGAACCAACGTCCCCCCTCGCTCTGCTGCAGGAATGAATATGCCTCAATGTTAGCTCTGTTTACATAAGTCAAGAGGAATCTAAGTAGAGTGGTTAATGTGGGGGGGAAACCTGGCCATTGTGCACATTCCTACCAGGCCTCAGGGAGAATGTGCACATAATCTTTCCATGAATCACATTTCCTGGTCAATATTCATAATCCCCAAAAGGCTTTGGAGAACGTGCATATTGCGACTGAATTTTGTACATTCTCTTGTCATTGTGCATAATCCCCAACACGTCTTGGAGAATGTGCATAAGCGTTTGACCTCCACGGGGTGCAAGCCTGGGCAGTGTGTATGGAGGTCCTGGGCTGCCCAGACAACAAGACCCCACCTCTCGCCCTCAATGATGTGCATATTGTGACTGAATTTTGTACATCTCTGGGCAGTATGCATTTTCTCCAGTCAATAGGAAGGTGTGTTGTGGGCCGTGTAAGATTAGGCAGCGGACCAGCAGCAGCCTAAGGAGTGCAGATTGCACACTGCTGAACAAGAAATTGGAAAAGGTGGCATGGTTCTTGGAGAATCTGCATACTGACCGGAGAAAGTGCGTATGGTCCAGAAACCCTCTGGAAGGTCCCAGATTCCCCATGACAAAGGGTGTATGATACTTACGTTGCTGATGGCAGTGGATGCACACGATTTGGCTAAATGGCACAATCAAGGCATAGTCCCAGTAGATGCTGAACGCATGTAATAAGATAAACAAACAGAAATACAAGAGGTGATCATTTCTTCAAGGCCCTGTCAACCCAACATAAATTTGTTTAATTACTAAAAATAATAATAAATTGTCCAGTAGCACCTTAGAGAACAAGTAAGTTTGTTCTGGGTATAAGCTTTCGTGTGCATGCACACTTCTTCAGATACTTGTTTAATTACTGTTTGATTGATTGGCTAATAATCCAAACTTTTGTCAAGGCAACGCACAACACACAAAATTAGTATCAGCACAAAGCACCCGCTTTGGGGCTAGAGGGGTTTTGCACATGCCCCTCTCTGCCCTCTGCCCAGGTGAGAAAGAGGCAGTATCAGGGTTCAAAGACACATCCTAGCCTGGGGAGCAACAAAGCAGAGCCAGGGAGGGGTGTGGCCTGCAAAGAGATCTGAAGGCCTGTGTCAAAGTGCGACCCAGCAGTAAATCACACCATTCAAAGCTGAAGTTATCTCTTTATTAGCAAAAGCACGATCTTCCCAGACTTGGCAGGAGATCAAGCAGCTCATTCCTAGTAGTCTTACTCCATGAAAATCAGAGACTAAAGGCCTCCACCTCCCCACACCTGTTTATGTCTCCTCCTCTCCAGGACCTTCCCCAAGCAATCAGAGACTGTGCCTGCATGTAGCCTGCCACTGCTCCACCCATTTCAGCCCTCTTCTGGTTCTGGGAGACCAATGGGAAGGGGAGCTTGTTGCAACAGGAAGGAGAGACACCAGGGTCTCTTCACCAGCCAGACTCCCCTCTGCCTCTTGTCTTCTCCTGCTTCAGCTTCTGCCTCTGATTCTAGACTTCCCTCTGCCACCGATTCTCCCCGCTCACTAAGCCCTGTTACCCCTCATCTTCCGAAACCACCTCCTCTTCCCAGTCTTCTCCCTCATTGTCAGCCCACCACCACTCCCTGGGCTCTGAGTCTTCTTCCCTTGGGGGTTTCCCCAGCTGGTTCCCTTCAGCGTTCCTAGGTGTCCAGCCAGTCTGTGACAGCCAGGCAGAGAGCCCCGGGAGGACCACATCTGCACTCCCCTCCCAGGCCTGAGGTTCCCCACTGGTGCATTACAGCGAATGGGGCGCTTGCCCCAAACAAGCCCAGTCTGCCCTCAGCCAGCCCCCCGCCTGCCAGACTTCTTTCTTACACCCAGCAGTCGCAAGGGCCACTACTGCGTCTTACCTTTTCTCAAGCTCCGAGTCCCCCAGCGTCCCGTTCATGAGCTGGTTCGGCGTCCATTTCAGAGTCAGGGAATCGGCCGACTGGTGGAGAGAGAGGTAGCCCGGGATGGCCTCCATGTCATCTTTCTGTTTGGGAAGCCAGCCAAATAATAAGGAGAGGAAACGGTTTAGGACAAATGTAGGAGAAAGAGAGCAACGTTGTGCACTGCAAAAACGAGAAGAGCCCTGGTCAGCCCAGACACTGAGGTCCAGCTCCAAGGGCCTTCTGGCAGTTCCCTCCCTGCAAGAAGTGAGGTTACAAGGAACCAGGCAGAGGGCCTTCTTGGTAGTGGCACGCACCCTGTGGAACGCCCTCCCATCAGATGTCAAGGAAATAAACAACTATCTGACTTTTAGAAGACTTCTGAAGGCAGCCCTGCTTAGGGAAGTTTTTAACGTTTGATGTTCTATTGTGCTTTCATATTCTGTTGGGAGCCGACCAGAGTGGCTGGGGAAACCCAGTCAGATGAGCAGGGAATAGATAATAAATTATTATAATATTATGATTATCAGGGACACTGCTTCTGCACATCCCATCCCCAAAGGGCCTCAAACCTTTCAACAGCACGGCTTTGAACTGGAAAGAAACTGGGAGCAGGTGAGGCCCTGGGCTGCAAATCAGAAAGCAAGCAGAGAAAAGTCTTTTGCTCCCTCTCTCATAGCACTAGAACATTTTCCTCCAAGAATTGATTTAATCTTCTATTAACGCCATCCAAGCCATTAGTCATCGCTGCCTCCTCTGGGAGAGAGGCCCGCAATTTAACTATGCCCTGACTGTGCGAAGAAGGACTTTATTTCATCAGTCCTGAATCTCCCGACATCCAGCTTCCATAGATGTCCCACCAATTCTATTGTTAGGAGAGAGGGAGGTATAACATTTCTCTGTTGTTTGTCCTCAACTTCGAATGCACAGCCAGCTTCTAGGCAGCTGTGAAGGATGAGTAAGGCTGCGAGATGTCCTGTTGAGCACAGCAAAGGGACAGAGAGCGAGGGAGAGGAAAGGGGACCAAAAATAGGAGACGTGTGATGTCAAAGCCGGGGTCTCCTTGACCCAGGTACCTAGATGTAAATGAAGCCAACATTCTGGTCTTCCCTTCATTGACTTGCATGAATTGGTGACTCATCACAATGCTTCCAACCCTCTCTGTCCTGTTTGTGACTCATGTCTTTAAATGAATTCCCTTGTCAGTGTCCACTTCATATCTTTTAATTCTGACGTGAAGCGGCACATGTCCCCAGCTGGCTTGTGATGATGCACTTAACAGCCAAGATTCTGGAGAGATCGTGATATTGGCAAACGAGGTGAATTAATATATACCCCTCGCCAGACTCCTTTCTCTCCTTCAGTACATTGTTGGGATTATCAAGGCGACAGGCTAAAAGTGACTTAAACTTGGGTTCATCTGCACTGCACATTTAAAGCAGTATCATACCACTCTGGACACTCATGGCCTGCCCCTAGAGAATCCTGGGAACTGAGAGTTGCAACGAGGCCCCTATTCCCCTCCCAGAGCTACAATTCCCAGAGATTCCCATGGAGAGTTATTTGGGTGAAGGCCCAGCTGCTTAAAGGGGTATGATACTGCTTTAAAGGTACAGCAGGGCTGGGTAACATCTGGTTTTCAGCATTGCGATATATCAGTAGTTAAATACGCGATATGCTGATACAGTGGAATCCTGGTTCTTGAATGGCTTAGTTGATGAACAAATTGGCTTCCAAACACTGAAAACCCGGAAGTAAGTGTTCCAGTTTTCGAACGTTTGTCGGAAGCCAAACGTCCGACGCAGCTCCTGCAGCCAATTGGAAACTGCGCCTTGGTTTTAGAATGGTTTTGGGAGTCGAACGGACTTCCGGAATGGATTAAGTTCAAGAACCAAGGTTCCACTGTATATCTCAGTATGGAATGTATCTCAGCTGCTTCTTTCTCTTCACCTTAGGGGAGGAAGCAGCAGCTGAGATACAAGCCCCCCTACCCCTCTAGCTCACGCAAGTCGGGGGGCAGGATCTGTATGGGGGCTGGGAACAGAAGCAGGATTCCTGGCACGGTTTCCTCTTTCTAACACCAATATGAAACGTCACCCCAGGCAGATGTGCTCCTCGGCCCCACGCCACACGATCCAAGCACTTACGGGCTGAACCAGGACGTTGTTCTTTCCATACAGCAAGTGCGTCCGGGAATTCTGGTGCAACGACTCGACGTAATCCCTAGCCGAGGCAGCAAAGCGATCCTCCGACATGCTTCCGCTGGAGTGCCGTTTCCGTATCTGGGGGGGGGGACGGACACGTAAGGATACCGTTGCGTTGGCTGCAATGGGCAACTGTGAATAACCTGCTTTGTTGAGATAGGCGGCCTCACATTAATTATATTTTCATTGTTAAGTTGTGGTTATTCCTTGGCCCAGAGTTTCCCAAGCTTGGGTCTCCTGTTGGTTTTTGGACTACAACTCCCATCATCCCTTGCTAGCAGGGATGATGGGAACTGTAGTCCAAAAACAGCTGAGGACCCAAGTTTGAGAAACTCTGCCCTAACCCAAATGGAGTTTTGAAGGGCACGATCTCCTCATATCGATCCGCATTTGCTGCCACAACTTTTTTGGGGGGGGAGCACAGCAAGGAACGAGACTCAAGCAATCGCCTGATCCTGTCCCCGTGGTCATGCTGGTTCAATGGGCAATGGTGATACAAGACACCAAAGAGAAGTGCCCTTTTCTGGGGTGGGGGAAAGCTTCGCCCCATATTAGATTTCCGAAAGAGGAACAGCGCCGCATTTCTCAGCAAAGCCGCCATCTGAATTCCTCAGAAGGAAATCCCACTGATTTTGATGGGCTTCACTGTCCAAGGAAGAGTATTCAGAAGTCCAGCTATATTTTAATGTTCAGTTTTATGCTTCTGGAAGAAGAAGAAGAAGAAGAAGAAGAAGAAGAAGAAGAAGAAGAAGAGCATACCACCCATCTGATTTGGTTACACCAGCAATTCTGGGCAGCTTCTAACAAATATAAAAGCATAATAAAACATCGAACATTAAAAAAATTCCCTATACATGCAAAACGTGACTTTCCTTCAAGTAAGCCCAATACTTGCAGAGGGGGGAGTTTTGTTGTGGGGGGAGAGAATCCCTTGTTGCATAGAAGCACAGCCTATGAATGAGGGCACCGCAATCCTCCTGCAGGAATTGGACTGGACGGCCCCTTGGATCACTTTCAGTTCTATGAATATATATATATATATATAGCAGGTTGGTCCCTATATGGAACAGCTGCACATTCCTCAGAGTCCCTTCCAGTTCTACAATTCAATGATTCTATAGTATTTCCAGTCTGAGGGGTGGGTGCCCCCTAAGGAGTCCCATCGGTGGAAGCCCTGCACAAGAACCTTTGCTTTTGCAATGGGCTTCCCACTCCCACCCCACCCCACTCTCCTCCCTCTGTGCCTCCCCTGCACCCCAAAATCAGCTCAAGAGGACTCAGGCAAAACCCCAGAACACTGCACAGGGGGAGGTTGTTCTGTCTGGCAAGCTGAAAAGCTCGCACGGAAAGCACGTTCAACGTAGCACAATGTTGAATTCCTCCCAATGCTTCCATACTGCATTTCAAGCGCACCCTCCCCAGATAATTCTGAGAACCGTAGTTTGCCCCCCCCCCCGTACCCACAGAAATCCAATTCCCAGAGCCCTTAACAAACTACACTTCCAAGGATTCGTGGGGTAGAGCTGTGCTTCAAAAGTGCCCTAAACATACAGTGGGCATGCAGCCTAAATGGGTTATAACCATGTTGGCCACACCCTTCCAGATATTCTGGACTTCAGCTCCCATCATCTGGCTGGGCCTGATGGAAGCTATAGCCCCAAAACATCTGAAGGGCCATGGGATGGAAAAGGCTGTGCTGCCACATCAGGGAGAAAAAAGGACCCACTCCTAACGCTGGCCGTTTGGACGGAGAGTCTTGCCGGCCGTGGGCTCCGTGGATGCGATGCCGTTGGACCAGTTCGTCGGCCGAGGGGTCTGTCCAGAAGTGGTCGGCTGTTTTCAGCTTGGTGTATTCCAGGGCACAGGGTCCAACTGAGAACAGACCAGAGAGAGAGAGAGAGAGAATGGAATTGGGAAACTCCTTTTGCCTTCTCAGGGGTGGAAGAAAGCCAGTAGCTTCTCCTCAGCTAAAGAGATCTAAGCCAGTGATGGGGGCTCCAGACGTTGTGGGACTCCCAACGCCCATCATCCTTGACTACTGGGCCATACTGGCTTTGGCTGGTGGGATCTGGAGTACAAAGACGTCCGGAGGACCTCATCCCTGGTCTAAAGGAACAGGCAAATAAATTGTTTCCCAGGTTATCTCAAATTTGGGTACTGCTAGATTTCCACTGGCAGAAGAGCAACATCTTTACTTTTCGCTCAGGGAAACTCTTCAGGGTGGCAGGAGCTTCTCGGTGGTGGCCCTCAGATTACACAACTAATTGCCTGTGGATGTCTGCCAAATCCAGCATCTTGGCCCTTGGCAAAACAGGATTTAAATACCTATCAGCCTTTATATCAGGGACAGCTAATAGTGGTGCCCTTCAGCTGCAGTGGACTACAACTCCCAGCATCCCTAACCACTGGCCATGTTGCCTGGGGCTGATGGGAGTTGGAGTCCAACGATGTCTAGAGAGTCACAGGTTCCCCAGACCCAGCTCCATAGAACATATAACCCACTCCTCTTTTACCAGAAAAGGAAAATTGGGATTTTTAAATTGTTGATGCTGATGCCAAAAGCTCAGCTGTGCCTCAGATACAGCCCATCGTTTCACGAAACCTCTTCTCCCTTCCTCTCCCCGAATCCTTGCTCCTTCCTTTGGTGCAATAGCATCACGTTTCTTGACTCACGTTCATCATCTGTGCAAACGCCTTTTTGGCGAACCACATGGGGACTGTCAAAACAGCGCTCTTCCAAAGCACACAGAAATAACATTTGAAAGATGCTCACCCAGCAGGCAAGCCAAGATGGGCCCACAGACCGGATCTGCCAGCAGAGCTTCTCTCTCGTAATATTTGCTGGAAGAGAGCAACCACACAAAACGACCGGCGATAAAATAACATTTACCTTTCAATGAAAAAAAGGAGCACGGGCGTTAATGAAGTTTGCCGTGCGGAGGAGAGAGAGGCTCTTCCGGTTATTATTATTTAAACACAGGCCACGTTTTGAAAGGAGCGAAGCCTGAAACAAAAAAAGCAGGGCTGGCTTTCTTACACAGGGGCCCCTGCCTTATATACCCTGGCAAAGCATTTGCTCCTTGAGCCTAGGGTTGCCTGCTCAGACTGGCAGCCGTTCTCCAGGCCAGAGTGGAGGCTGGTGCCTTACGGAAAATGGGAGGTCTGCCCCACCAACCTCAGTCTGCCCTCATACTTCTTAGCCCAGCTGCTTAGAGCAGGCATAGGCAACCTCAGCCCTCTGGATGTTTTGGGACTACAATTCCCATCATCCCTGACCACTGGGCCTGTTAGCTAAGGAGCATGGGAGTTGTAGTCCCAAAATATCTGGCGGGCCGAGGTTGCCTATGCCTGGCTTAGAGCGTGGGTGCTGATAATGCCAAGGCTGCAGGCTCTATCCCTGCATATTCTTGTATTGCAGGTGGTTGGACCTGACGATCCTCAGGGTCCCTTCCGTCTAAAAGGTAAAGTGACCCCTGACCATTAGGTCCAGTCATGGCAGACTCTGGGGTTGCGGCGCTCATCTCGCTCTATGGGCTGAGGGAGCCAGCGTAAGCTTCCGGGTCATGTGGCCAGCATGACTAAGCCGCTTCTGGTGAACCAGAGCAGCGCACGGAAACGCCGTTTACCTTCCCGCCGGAGTGGTACCTATTTATCTACTTGCACTTTGACGTACTTTCATACTGCTAGGTTGGCAGGAGCAGGGACCGAGCAATGGGAGCTCACCCCGTCGCGGGGATTTGAACCGCCGACCTTCTGATCGGCAAGCCCTAGGCTCTGTGGTTTAACCCACAGCGCCACCCGTGACCCCCCTTCCGTCTACAATTCTACATCCCTCTGATTCTATGGTGGGAATGGTGGCATTTCACCACTAGAGGGAACAGGAGTCCTCACTCTTTCCCCTAAGAGGGCTGATGTCATTCCCACCGCCCAGGAATATTTTCCTGGTTTTAAAAAAAGAAGCCATGGGCTGCCTTTGCAACTCGGTGGCCTGCCTTGGCTGCTGCCCATAAGGCAAATTTTTTTACAAAAATGAAAGAGGCAGCATCAGCATTTGTTCGTACAGATTTGGGGGCACAGCACACAGGAGCCTCTCTTTAATGCATATTGCTAACATGGAAAGGGAACTGGCGCAACGGAAGCCAGCTGCTCTGCGTCGACCGGTGAGAAGGAAAGCATCGTCTCTAGTTCCAGGTGTGCTGCTATTGATACTCAAAGATTATGCCCAATGCCAGAATAAAAGAAGTGTTTAAAAAAATCTAATCTAAAAAGAAACAGGAGCAAAGAGAAGAGAAGCAAGATGGAAAAAAGAAACAGAAGAAAGGAAAATAAAATAGATAGATAGATAGATAGATAGATAGATAGATAGATAGATAGATAGATAGATAGATAGATAGATAGATAGATAGATGATAGATGATGATAGATAGATAGATGATAGATAGATAGATAGATAGATAGATAGATAGATAGATAGATAGATAGATAGATAGATATAGATAGATACATGATAGACAGATGATGGATAGATAGATATAGATATAGATATAGATATAGATATAGATATAGATATAGATATAGATATATAGATATAGATATTATAGATAGATATAGATATATAACAGACAGATGATGGATAGATAGAGATAGATAGATACAGATTAGATAGATGAGAAAGAAAGAAAGGACTCAGTCGAGTTGTGAATTTAATTTGTTTTAACTGTTTTTAACATTGCTTTTTAAATTAATATGGTCCATTCTGGAGTCTTAGGGTAAAAGATGGGCAATAAATCAAAATTATTACTAATGATGAGAGAGCCTCCATTCATTGCTCTGCCCACTATTGGGACATGGCCTCTGGAACGTTGCCCAGAAAGGAATGCAGCCCTCAGGCTGAAAAAGGTCCCCCCCCCCCAGCCATTGATAGCTTTTTTATAACGACAGCATGTGCCACTCGTGGCTCTCTTCCCTTTTGGAAAACAAAACAAAGCCAAGCTCCGGCACGTCCCTTACCTGCAGTTGTCCACCACGTACTGCACAATCTTGTCCAGCACCCTTTCGATCAGAGCAGTGCGAACCCAGATGTGCTTGACGGCTTGTGGGGTCAGGGCAGGGGCTTTGCTCGTGGTGGACGCCTGCCTCTTGAGGGATTCCTGGCCAGCCGGCTGACTTCTCCTGCTAAAGAGAAATAAAGAAAGCCCAAAAACTCTCAAAACAGAGAGAGTTTAAAAGCTTCATCGCAAACACGGTTTAATTTGTCTGGAGAGGGACTGACAACTCTGTGCCTGCCCCAAATGCAAGGCCTGCATTCCCTCAAGGGGTCACTTCTGGGGGAAGAGCACCTATAAATGGCTGGTAGCCATTGACAGCCTTGTCCCTGATTTCGTCTAATCACCTTCAGAAGTCCTCCAAGCTGGTGGCCGTCCCCGCCTCCTGTGGCAGTGAGTTCCACAGTTTATGCGCTCCATAAACTTCCTTCGATCTGCCCTGAATTTTCTGACATTTGGCTCCATTGGATATCTCCCTGTTCTAGCATTAGGCAGGTGTTTGAACCACACTTGTGATGTTGTTATGTTCACCTTGTGCTCGTGCGTTGACTGGAGCTACCATTTCCAAACCAGAAGGCCTAATTGGTCTGTTTTCGAAAGAGTGTCAAAGCAACAGCTGATAGGAGAACATGCTAGCAGTAAAACAAGCCTTACTGACATTAGTAAACTAGTTTAAACCGGAGAGGATGGATGTGGGGGGTGGGCGGCAAGGAGGAGGAGAAAAAAAATCCATCAGAAACATTTTTGCTCCTTCCTTCAATCTGCCGGACTATGGGGAAAGAAAATAAAAACCCTTATTTGTCTAGCTCAGCCTTTGGCAATCTGGTGCATGCGCTGGACTACAACTCCCAGCAGCCCCTGGGAGCTGGGGCTGATGGGAGCTGTAGTCCTAAACATCCAGAAGGCACCAGATTGCTGTAGGCTGGACTACCCCACCTTATTCTCACTTGACATAAACTAGTAACCTGAGGAGAGAAAGAGGCGCTGGCTGATAGCTGAAACTCCTCACTATATTCTCCAGCTTTCTTAAAGGTGACCTGAAAAGGGAAAAAAGAAAGATGGATTCTTTTGAGGGTGGGTGTTTGTGTATGAGCGTGCACATGGGCACACTTGCACTTTGGGGGGTCATGCCTTTGGGGTCTGGGCTAACACAGACAAAACAGTCAGCACCTAGAACAGTGTGTTCCCAGGGAATTCTGGGTTAAACCGGAACAAGTCTCAGAGGAGAAGGGGTGCGAGAGAGATCGGCTCCCCCCCCCCCATAACACCTTGCCAATTTGAGTAGCCTCCTAGAGCATTCACAAAAACAAAGGATGGCTTGATTATGACAGAAACAATAAATATTGCTAAATAAACCATTGTTGTCCAAAATTGATGATACTGGAAAACTAATGGTACGGAATATAGCTATAATGGAGAAAATTATGCATAATTTGAGATTTTAGGAAGGACTAGAACACTTTTTTAAATGCTTTGGCATTCTTTTATGCCCAACCATCATTTTCAAGACAACCCTTGTCACCAGTTTAGCAATTCAGGAACTATACTTGATAATCTGATAATACAGATAGTCCTTACTTGGATTTTGTTATTTTAACCCCGTGTTAAAACCCGAGCGACTGTACTCATTTTATGTGCCTATTTTATAGTTTTCTTTTTTCACCTTTTGATTTCTGTCTGCTGTTACGAGTTGTTCTCTCCATTTTATATACGTTATAAAATGTTTGTTTGTTTTTAAAATAAACACTCCCCCTCCCCTTTCAGCACTGATTTAATATCTGCTGCATAGCCATCGTAGAACCTTTTCACATCACCACACGGGCTATTTAAATATAAACTTGTTCAAAATGTGGCAGCACAGCTGAAGCAAATATTTAAACAGGGCAAGGAATAAAAGGACCCGAAAAACCTGTCTGAGATGACCTCTTAAGAGTGCAAGTAAGGTCTCTCTTAGCCTTGCAATGCGTGCCTGGAGCCAGTCTGTTAAAATGTGCTCCTGCAAATTGGCATCAAGGCCGGGGGCAGGGGGATGAGAGTGCTGGGATCCTTGGCCGCTGCGCAAGGATACCGCCCCACAACATAGCTGTCAACCTTCCCTTTTTTTGCGGGAAATTCCCTTATTCCAGCGCCGTTTCCCGCTGCTTTCCCGGATTGTTAGATATCCCGTAAACTGTCCCCGGGACAAGTGAGGCTGCTGATCCCTTATTTTAAAATCTGAAAGTTGACAGCTATGCCCCCCGACGCCAGCCCTTTGCAGTGTGCAGAAATCAACACGCTCCAGTCTTTCAAATGAAAACCCTGCAGATCTAACTCAGGGACGGGCAAATTCTGCAAAACAAGGTTTCGTCACTGAGCTGCGGACTCCCTTCGGAGGCGGACCTTAACCCTCACCTGCCTTCTACCTGCTGCAGCAGCTCCTGGGCTTTCCTGCACACGTCGCTGGCAACGTCGTACGTCTTGCCGACCTTGGTGAAGAGGGCGGCGATCTTGTCGGTCCGCAGGAAGCCGGCTGCCCGTCTCTTGAGCATGTGCAGAAGGCAAGCTTCCACCACCCCTGGGAGGAGATAAGAAGGCAAGAGTGTCAAGGAGCAAACCCCACTCCGCTGCAGAGTTCTGTGGTCTCGGGGCAAACAGAGGCTCTTGTTTAACAATAGGAGCAAAAGGACGGTGTGGTTCTGGGGTGGGTGTCCCCGGAAGCTCAGGGTGGATGGACTCAGTGGTCCATCAACCACAGCCAGGTATAAAATAAGAGCCTGGATGGCGAAGACTACAAAGTTCCAAATGGCGCTTCAGGGGGAGGAGCCAACAGCCTCAGTGCATCCCATCCTAAGCCATGACCTGGGATGACCTCGGCGTACAAATGAAGAACTATCCCTGACTAGCATCAGGCTGCCGTCGCAAAACACAATGACAGTGGCTGTTGTTCAGTGTTAGAAACTCAGATGTATAAGCTAGGTGCCAAATAGCTCCTTAGACCAAGGTTAAAGTTGCCTAAACAGAATGTCTAGCAGCCATTTTGGGGCAAGACTGCTCTCAAGTCTTATTTTTTCACATGATGGACTGACTGTGATTGATTCTCAGTTAAACATCCGGCTAGTTCAAGTGGCGACCTAGAGCTAGGTTAAGAACTTTGACAACTTAAAAGAAGAAAAGTCACTTGATCCAGAGACATTGGCCTATTCCGACCTCTTTTTCTTAATGGTGATTGCTGCTGCTCAGTCTGCGTAGAAAAAGCATTTGGGTCCAGAAATTCATGCCCATTGTGCAGACAAAAAAGAACGGATAGAATTCTAAGGGAAAGGGTATTAGTGTGTGAAAACAGTCCAGATACAAGGATTCCCCAGGCACGCACCTCCAGATGGTGGAGATGTCAGGCTGGAACATCCTGGCACCCAGGCATCTTCACGTGGTCGATAGCCAGGTGCAAAATGCGCCAGGCGCCTGGCTCATTTCAAACACTGCTGTTACTTGCAAGCAAGGAAGAGATCTTCATTCCGGCTAAGAGCAGTACAGGCTCAGCAAAGTCCAGAAGTAGAGGTTCCAAGGCACACGATCAAGGGAAGAGGTTCACAACCAAACAGAAGACGTCCCAATAGTGGACACGCCCCTCCCGCCAAGCTTTTAAAGATGAGGCCTCATGAGCAGGACCCTCTTGCCCAGCTGGCCTGCTGTGTGCCCACATGTATGGCCCACCTGGGCAGGTGCATGAGCTGATCCCACCTATGAAGGCAGCGTCTGGTTCTCAGTGACAAGACAGAGCCACGCCCCTTTTATTTCCTCTTTTTCCCCCTATCTGAAGCTGCCAGGCCAGACCAGATCCCCACGGGGCAGAAGGCACCCATGGCAACGAGAGATCAGGGATTATGTTTGTGGCCCAGGTAAATTTCCAGTGTGCCCATTCCAAAGCATAAAAGGTAAAGGTAAAGGGACCCCTGACCATTAGGTCCAGTTGTGACCGACTCTGGGGTTGCGGTGCTCCTCTCGCTTTATTGGCCGAAGGAGCCGGCGTACAGCTTCCGGGTCATGTGGCCAGCATGACTAAGCCGCTTCTGGCGAAGCAGAGCAGCGCACGGAAACGCCGTTTACCTTCCCGCCGGAGCGGTACCTATTTATCTACTTGCACTCTGATGTGCTTTCGAACTGCTAGGTTGGCAGGAGCAGGGACCGAGCAACGGGAGCTCACCCCATCGCGGGGATTCGAACCGCCAACCTTCTGATCAGCAAGTCCTAGGCCCTTGTGGTTTAACACACAGAGATACCCCCTCCCTATTTCCTTGTGGGTCTGCCCAAAATCCCTTCCTGGTGCAACAAACATAAAGGGCTCCCGCAGCAGACCAGGCGATACAGATTGAGATTCCTGAAGCGAGGGAAGTCAAGACCCCAGAACTGCTTTTGATCACCCGGAAGCAAGAAGTGTTTAACAACCCTGAGGCGCCGATAAAGAAGTCCGAAATGTGCTTGCAAAATTACTGGAGGCTGAATTTAGCTCTTCCCCCCAACCCCCACCTGCCCTTCACGATGCATTCTCCTGCCGCTTCAGAAGATGCCCACGTATTGAATTCTATAGTTACCAAGTGGACTGAGCCGCATCGCAATCTTGGCGCTTAACACCTACGGAATGTTTCATCCATGATCAATCCCAGTTGATTGGTGATTAAATTCGGAAAGGGAAGAAAGAGGCAGGGAGCATGTACATCTCAGAGACAGCATCCTCCGCCCCCCTCCCCGTTCGCTCCTCCAACCCCCACTGCCCTCCCAAAGAAAATGATAGCATAAAGCGGATTGCCTCTTTTCCAGATTGATCTGACCACAAGTGCTTGCCTTTGCCTGTGTCAATTACTGGGAGCAACCTCTGGGGAAAGAAACTCGCATTTTGCAGCCTTGAAGAAGAAAAAAAAGGGAGGAGGAGGGTGGGGGAGAAAAGCATTATCCATTAGGAAGATAAGCTTCATTTTGCTTTTTTTTAAAGGAAAAAAGGCTGAACATCTCAGACCCAAACTCGGAACATTCGTAGCACAGCAGTGGAAAAATACCAAGCCTTTGCATTCACACCCAGGCATGACTGGAGAAAAATCACACACTTCATTGAAACATGTAAGGGGAGTGTGGGAGAGGAAACTCTGTGTCTTTTTTGAGGGGTGGGGGAGAATCTTTCTGCGACTCACAGGGCTCCATCGATAAGCACCAAAGGCTCTGAGAAAATGAAGCATGACTCCACGGGCTCTGTTTTCATTCTGCGTTCGTGAAAATTTGTGCTCATGGTTGTATTGGGGTTGGTTATAACACCACTTTCCCTCCTGTTTGCACTTAAAAAGGTTTTGCACCCTGCGTCGTGTCTAATTGGAACGTGCCCTGCAGCTTCCTGCTGAAATCCGGTAACTTTTCATACCGCAAAACATTGCGGAGTTTTGTGTTCTGTCCCACTTTTGTTGCGGGCTCTCCTTCCTTTGGAGGTTTTTAAGCAGAGGCTGGATGGCCGTCTGTCATGGGTGCTTTAAGCTGAGATTCCCTGTGCTGCGGCGGGTTGGACTAGATGACCCTCGGGTTCCCTTCCAACAATTCTATGATTCTAGGAAGAGCGCCCCTCCAGGTGGCAATAATGGGGAAGACTCACAGGACAAGCGGAATGACGTGCGGACAGGGCAGTATAAATCCAGTAGAGATCCACCACTAAGCGACCATTAGAGCATCAATGACATGTTACTGAATACACATGCAAAAAAAAAAAAAAATCTAGAGAGGTCCTTACACCAGTGGGGAGAACTTCCTGCTTTTCTTACCCTGCCAGTCTCAGCTCCCCAGTCTTAACCATATGGAGCTAACTGGGTTAGATGGGAGGAGGGTCCTTTCGGTGGTGACCTCCACCCACCCCAAATCATGGAATGCTTCCCCCAGTGAGGCCCGCCTGGTGCCGACATTACTGTCCAAATTTACTCCCAGAGATTCAGGCTGCATACACACAACACCTTTAAAGCATGTGGCATCCCTGGACGCCTTCTGGCACTGTGGTATGCCTGGGGCAACACTGAAACATACGATCTGGCCATTCCCTAGAGTGGCACCTTTCTAGATGAAAGTCACCGCCTGGGAAAATCCCTAAAGCGGTCAGATACTCATGTGTCAGAAGCTGGAATCATGCATAGGTCAGCAATAAAACACTGAGTGAAGTTAACTCTTTATTCAAAGAAAGAAAACAGCGTGGGCCTAGTGATCACAGCAACTCTTCTCAGCAGGGAACTGTCCCAATGAGGCAGTCACGAGGACTGAAAATCCCCGCCTTCCCACTGCTCTCTAAGGCTCCTCCTACCCAGTTCCTTCCCAAGCAATCTGAGGCTCCGTTGTCTTGTCTCTCTTTGCTCTGCCCTCTTCATACCTCTGCAGGGTCTGGGAGACCAGAGGGGAAGGGAGCTGGTCACAGCAGGAGGAGGAGAGCTCCTCCTCATCTCTGCCTCTTGACCCTGTCCGCTTCTGCCTCTGATTCTGGACTGCTCTCTGACATAGCCTCTTCCTGCTCATGAAAGCAAGAGACTCTTAATCTCAGGGTTGTGGGTTCGAGCAAAAAGTTACCTGCATTGCAGGAGGGTGGAATAGATGACCCTCATGGTCCCTCCCAACTCTTAAATTCTATGATCCTAAACCCTGTCCCCTCTCCTACTGCTGATACTTCCTCCTAGCAGTCTGCTACCTCCTCTCCCTCTGACCACTGATCGTCGTCCCGCCACCAATCCCCTGGCTCTGAGTCTTCTTCCCTTTGGGGTCCCCCAGCTCGTGTCACTCACCACTTCTCTGCCTCTAGCCAGTCCATGATGCCATGCTATATACACAGTAACATCCCAATGATCTGGGCCTTGACAGAGGGGCAAAGTTAAATGGACTCTACATTGGTGGCCAAAAGGCTAGTATTGCAATACTGGAAGGAACATAAATCTTGCTGCAACTCTTATCCACTCTTGCAGCCCGTGAAAAAGGTACCTTTAGTGGCCGCCAAAAGAGAACAAACACTCGGAACATTTGTGTTCTGTACTTGGAATTATTTGCAAGATCTGGCCCACAGGCTCTGCTGGAGCCAATTCCCGCCCCCTTTTTCTTCTCTTCCTCTCTCCCTCTTGTTTATGACATCAGGTGAGGGGCAGGCAAATCTTCAGCTGAGCCAAAGGAGGTTTGCAGTCACCTGATCAGCGGGTTGTCAGGGGCCTGTACGGTGCTTTGCAAGCCCGGACAACACGTCGTTCTCCCATGTTGGGAAAGGAGACGTCTAACATCATGGCAATTGCTTCAGGAACTGTGTTTTCAGTGGGTTTACTTTTCCAGGTGCGCTGAATCAAAACTCTCCCCTGTCCGTACTGCTGACCCCGTCTTACGTCGCCATAAGCTCTCAACCGAGCCCGCCCCTGTCTGAGCATCCTTAAAACACCTTCTTTTGCTGCCAGGGAACAGCCAATCTGCATGCATGTTAATTCCATTTCAGGGACACACACACACACACATACCCTGCCTGGAGATGGCTTCTGTGTCTGCGAGGCAGGCTCCAGATTGCAGCCAGTGCCTGTGTGGGCGGGAGAGACAGGATATATGGCTTTTTCACCTTCCGGGCTTCCCACACACAGCCTAGGCACGATTGCTGTCTTTGGCTTCCATCATGAGCTGGGGGCACAGAAGACTATCGGCTCCAACAAAATTAAAATTGGGGTGAAAGTGGGAAAGGCAGCTTGTCAGCTCAGTAGATTAGAACTGTCGGAAGGGCTGGATCCACAGAGGAAGGTCCCTGGGATCCTACAGAGGACCTACTTGCTCAGCATCCATCCTGATTTGCTTCAGGGTGTTTGCACATCTTCCCGTTGGTCAGTCGTTCACCCCACACTTCTCTGTGCCTTTCACTGTCACTTTCCAAACTGCAAAACATCTATTTTGATGGGTGGGTGTTTTCAAGGCACGTCTGTTGCACTGTAGCCCTTTAATCTCCTTTGAAATAACCAAGCTCCAGTATGGGCTTGGATCCCTCCCGGAAAGCACCTGACAGTCTGGAGGCGCACGCTGTCACCAACGCAAAGCAGGGTCCAATCCCTGGCATCTCCAAGTAGGGTTGGGATTCACTCTCAATTAGTAAAAACAGGATCTGCACAGGAGCACAGCAACTCATCTCCGGCAGGTCTTGCCCCCTTGAAATAGTTGCTGAGACTGAAGGTCCCCCACCTCCCCGCAGCTGCCTAAGTCCCCTCCTCTCCAGGGTTCCCCCCAAGCAATCTGAGACTGCGCCTGCATGAAGCTAACTTCTCCTCTTCCCGCTTCATGCCTCTCCTGGTTCTGGGAGACCAGGAGAGTGAGGTGCTTCTTACAGTGGGAGAGGGAGACGCCCATGCCTGTTCACCAGCTGGACTCATCTCTTTGGGCCTCCCTCTTCTTCTGCCTCTGAGTCTGAACTGCTCTATGCCCCAGCCTCGTCCTGCTCACTAAACCCTGTTGCCTCTCCTGCTTCTGTCACCTCCTCCTCCCAGGCTTCTCCCTCTGACTGCTGAACATCATCCTACCACCAATCCCCTGGCTCTGTGCCTTCATCCCATAGGACATTCCCCACCTCCTGCCTCCCACCATTTCTCTGCGTCCAACCAGTCTGTGACACTTGGAGAACTCTGGAGGTAAAACAAAAACAAACAGTTGAGGACGGGCTGTCTCCTTCTTGTTCACTCCTTATTCACTGTCCATGCCCTTCTGCAGAAGACTCCATTTTTCTGGCACCTCCATCCTGTTCTGGTCATAAGGCTCTTGGTGGCTGTCAGGCGATGGCTATGATCTCCATCCATTGTTGGTGGCACTAATGTTTCTGAATATCACTTGCTGGGAATTGCAGGGAGACAGAGTGCTGTTGTCCTCATGCTCTGCTTGTGGGCTTCCCATTGACGCATCTGGTTGGCCTCTGTAAGAATGCTGGACCAGATGGGCCACTGGTCTGCCCTGGCAGGGCTCTGCTCTTAAGGAAAAGCTGGTAAATGTAAAGCCGGCAGTTTAACACTGGAGAGCAATCCTGGATCCTCAGTCGGCTGATTTGATTAAGGGGCAAGAAAGGGAAGGGTGTCTGGGAGTATATTACATCCCTGGTCTCAACAGGACCATCCTGCTATCCCAGACTAACTAATGCCGAACATTAAGGAAAGCGAGCGGCCGTGGAATCAGCTTAGAGTCAGCACAACACCCGCGGAGACGGGAGAGGGAACTAATGAAATCGTACGTCAGCTGCGAAGCTGCCCGTCGGCTGAGATAGCACCACATGCATCAAAACAGAAAAGTGAAGCAAAGTAATAAAAACCTAGACTCAGTCAGGAGGGTTCTTCCTCTATAATTTAACTCCAGGTGACAATTATGCAGCAAAGAAGACTTAATTGGACTTTTCCTGCCACAATCATGCTTGCTTCTCCCTTATTGCTTCAGGAAATAATTTCAACTACGACAGCCCAGAGCTGGCCTACGGCATGCTTCTGTTTCCTTGCAAGAATATTTCTGAAAAGCATGTCATCGCCGCCTTCCCAGAGCCCTGAATCCAGGAGTTCCTAGATCTTGACTCTCTGAACAGAGCTTCCCCTGCCTTTGAAACATGGCCCTTTTGGCACCTTCCATCCTGAGATAATAGCTCAGCATGTTCCAACTGGGAGATACCACATTTTAGGGGTGCGCACTGTCCGCAATATTTTATCCAGACCCTGATTCAGCACTTCGGCAAACACCCCGCCTTCATCTGAGGAGCATCACAGGCTCTCCTATCAGGATCTGAGTCCGTCACCCCAAAAGCTCCCACATTTGTTATTGGGAAATTATATATTTTTTTTTAATGGCTACAGCTTTTTCCCTCTTTTGGCAGAAGTAGATGAAAATTGCAGGAATGCTAGCCCCTCCAAGTGGATAAAGTCTGCCAAATTACAGGCAAATAAATCTGGGGTCTTTTGTGCTGGAAACATTTAAAGTTGAATTGGGGTGAAGAAGAACTATCAATCAATCACCTTTATTGGCATAAGGACAATACAAAAATATATGGGTCAAAGCATAAAATTGGCATCTGTTCATAAAAGGTAATGCTTTAAGACAGAACTATGCAGACCTAATGAAGTTAAAAAAGTTTTAAGTGTCCTTTTAGGGGCATTATACAAATGTGATACTAGATGGCAATGGTGAGCATATGGCAAATTCAACTTATTTTTTAAAACGTGTTTTAAAAAAAAGCATTTTCACAGCATTTTTTAAATATGTGCCTAGATTCCACCCTGGTAAAGATCCCACTTTGTGTCTGACCAGCCTATCAAGCAAAGGACATCAGCCTGGTATTTGGAATACATCCAAATCCAATACACTGATCCTATACACCCCTCAGAGAAGACTGTGATTAAGTGGCTTACAAATTGCTGGAATAAATAAAAATAAAACTACATTGCGCTGCCCCCAGTTTTGAAATGTTCCTTCCTTCAGGAGGACAGAGATGGCCACACGCTTGTCAGGAGTTCCCAGTTCATATTCTCTATTTCCCCCTCACTTTTGGTGGTTTCTGGATGGACCAATTTTGGAGCCTCAAGTCTGTTTCGTTTTATGGTGCTGATTTATAGCTTTATAGTCCTGTCTGGTTTATTTGCTTTATAGCACGGCTGCTTATATTCCACTCTTCATTGCATTCTCTGATTTGCAATGATGTGACTTATTTATTTTCATGCACTGGGGTCTCTTGTGACAAAAAAAAAAAAAAAGGAGCATACAGGAACATTAAATAAATAAAATTATTTACAGAGAGCTAGGAAGATGTAGAGCCCCACCCCACCCCATTATTCTGTTCTGCAGAGGAGCTTATTTGGGAGGAATTTTCCTCCTCATCACAAATACAAAGGTAAGATAACGGGACTTCTGGCTTGTCCGGCTGTCTTCCAGATTTGCAAAATGCTTATCTTAAGAAAGGGATGCCCACCCCTGCTAAGTTTTCCACCACATTCAAGAAGCTGCCATTTCCAAACCCTCTTGGTTTGTTGTTGTTTAGTCGTTTAGTTGTGTCCGACTCTTCGTGACCCCATGGACCAGAGCACGCCAGGCCCTCCTGTCTTCCACTGCCTCCCACAGTTTGGTCAAACTTATGTTCGTAGCTTCGAGAACACTGTCCAACCATCTCGTCCTCTGTCGTCTCCTTCTCCTTGTGCCCTCCATCTTTCCCAACATCAGGGTCTTTTCCAGGGAGGCTTCTCTTCTCATGAGGTGGCCAAAGTATTGGAGCCTCAGCTTCAGGATCTGTCCTTCCAGTGAGCACTCAGGACTGATTTCCTTAAGAATGGGTGCGTTTGATCTTCTTGCAGTCCATGGGACTCTCAAGAGTCTCCTCCAGCACCATAATTCAAAAGCATCAATTCTTCAGTCTTCTTGATGGTCCAGCTTTTACTTCCATACATCACTACTGGGAAAACCATAGCTTTAACTATACGGACCTTTGTTGGCAAGGTGATGTCTCTGCTTTTTAAGATGCTGTCTAGGTTTGCCATCGCCTTTCTCCCAAGGAGCAGGCGTCTTTTAATTTCGTGACTGCTGTCACCATCTGCAGTGATCATGGAGCCCAAGAAAGTAAAATCTCTCACTGCCCCATTTCTTCCCCTTCTATTTGCCAGGAGGTGATGGGACCAGTGGCTATTCTTGGTACCTTCGCTTAAAAAGGGGAAACCAGCAGAAATGGTTTTTTTCTACAAGGGTGGTGACTCGGGTGTATGGACAATTCTGTTATGTTCTGAGCCACTTCTGCCAATGTTTGCTCCCAGAGAGAAAACTAGAGAGTAGCACTGCTCGTTATTTTCAGGAATGCTTTGTGATTCTCTCCTCCCCGCCCGATTTGTTGCTCTTTTCCTGCAATGTTTTAAAGGCCATTGTTTGACTTCTCGGACCATAGCTGGACCTCAAGACCCTGGGGATAGTGTGGGGGAGAGTAATGCAAACACAGAGGTCTCCAGCTTCAGAAATCAGGCAGCCAGAGGCTCCTAATTGCATTTGTAAGACAGAAAGGGGAAAAAATCTAATTATCTCCCCAGCACAATTTCTCTCTGCCTTCAGTAAAAGATTCACAAAAGCAGCCTCGGCAGACATCAGATCAGCAGACATGACAACCTTAATCTTCACAGTTAACTCTTATGTAACTGCATCATATATATATATCTTCCTATATACATAGAAATGTAAGGCTGTCGTCGCGCTGCCCCCATTGGAGGATTTGTAGTACCACATCACAATCCAGGATTTGCATCAAGATAAACCCAAGGGGCCACTAAAACTGAACTTAGTAGTTCTGCATGGGGTGGGAAGGGGAAGCTCTAGGGGTCAATAGCGAGATCACAGAGGGTTGGTAAGCAAAATGAGCAGGGGCACAGCTGTGTGTGTGTGTGTGTCTGTGTATTTCTACAGGTAATCTTTTTAGGTTTGCCAGGAACAGAATTCTCAGCCACCAAAACAGGAATGTTTTTAGATTCTTCCTAAAAATTAATTATGAGGATTGCCCAGTCTGGCTTGTTAGAGAACTACATTGCAATGGCCTTTGTCTACAAAACAAGAAATATCTGATAAATTAAATGCTGTATTACATTAAATATAATAATTAACAACAGCCCCAGTGTGGTATAGTGATTAGAGTGCCATACTAGGACCTGAGAGACCAGGGTTCAAATCCCCACTAAGCCATGATGCTTAGGCCAGTCACTGCCTCTCAGCATAACCTACGTCACAGGGTAATTGTGGGGAATTAAATGGGGGAGAACCATGTACGCCACCTTAAGTCATGGCCATCTGTCATGGATGCTTTAGTTCAGATTCCTGCATTGCAGGGGGTGGGGGTTCAACTAGATGACCCTCAGGGTCCCTTCCAACTCTACAAATCCATGTTTCCTTATAGTTTCTTAGAGAAACAGGTGGAATGTAAATGCAGTAAATGAAATCAAAATAACAGCCGCTGTCTTTTCATTTCAATACCCCATGTTTGCCAGAATATTCCTCGGGTTAGTGAGAGGGCTGCTAACTTCACAACCTCCTTGTAGGCTACGCTGAGACACCTGATTTGCCCCCGCAAATCCGCCCCTCGTTGCTTTGCAAAGAGACTTGAAATGCAGACCCAAGGAAGCCCCCGGCTGGTCACTAATTCTGGAGGCAGCTTTAAGCAGGCTGCTTTCCCTCTAGGCTGCCATCTCCACTTCCCTCCCTCCAATCTGTAAAACGGGTACAATAAATACCGAGCCACTTTTGCAGAGCTGCTGTAAACAAATTACCAAGATAATGCGTGCTGAAGTGCTTTGAAGGCCCTGGAAAACACCGGATAAATCCTTGAATGAAGAACAATGCTTTATTACCGTAACATAAATAAATAAAATAGTGCTTACCTGGGACCCTGCTGGCTAGAGAAAGGAGGTACAGCGCAACATCCCAGAACCCTCCTAACAAAGGGAGTTGGTTAGGTGATACTAGTGTGCCAATCCGGTGTTACCACCTGATATAAAAGCTTGGAGACCTGGAATTTGCTGCCCCCCACCCCCACCCCCCAGTTCTGAGGAGCATGCAATGGAGTGAAACAATGGCACATCACTCCTGCAGTATTGCCAGACGATCAGCCTTTCGCTTATCAGCTCAAAGTATCAGCATGCAGAAGCAGGCCACACCAGGCATGTCACTGCCCCTTTCATAAATACTTATCTCTTCCTTTCTCTGCAATTTTGCTATGGCAAAGCTGCGAATGCATTTGGCAGGGTCTCCTAATGATAATATATTGCCTTTGCATACTTCTACGATGAGCTAAACATGAAAACAATAGCCAGGGGCTACACCACAGGAAAATATTAGGTTTGGGGATTATATACAGTGGTACCTCGGGTTACATACACTTCAGGTTACAGACTCCGCTAACCCAGAAATAGTACCTCGAGTTAAGAACTTTGCTTCAGGATGGGAACAGAAATTGTGCTCCGGCGGCGCAGCAGCAGCGGGAGGCCCCATTAGCTAAAGTGGTGCTTCAGGTTAAGAACAGTTTCAGGTTAAGAACAGACCTCCAGAACGAATTAAGTTATCAACCCAAGGTACCAGTGTGTGTGTATGTGTGTATTGAGCGATCAGTGAAGTTTTAAAGATATATACCCTGTGACTTGGACTTCAATGATCTCCTAAACCAGGGGTCAGCAACCTTTTTCAGCCATGGGTCAGTCCACCATCCCCCAGAGCATGTGGTGGGCCAGACTATATTTTTTTTTGGGGGGGGGGGGATGAACAATTTCCTATGCCCCATAAATAACCCAGAGATGCATTTTAAATAAAAAGGACATATTCTCCTCATGTAAAAACACGCTGATTCCCGGACCATCCGCAGCCGGATTGAGAAGGCGATTGGGCCGCATCCGGCCCACGGGCCTTAGGTTGCCTACTCCTGTCCTAAACCTTGATGGAGTGATCAGCGCCGTAGAGCAAGCGCAGCTGAATCTTTAATGCTATATTCACCGTCCTAGCCTTCTTCATAGCTCCTTGTGTATTTTTAAAAACGATACACCTGTATACAAGTTCCCTGTGCATCTCTTGATCCTAAAATGATTCCTTGGCGGGGACGGGTTACCAGAGGTAAAAACAAACCATGCAAAACACGCACACACAAACTCCCAGTCGTGTAGCAAGGGAAGTCAGCTGGTTGCTCTTAAACACACAAACCCCGCCAGATTCGGAAACTGAATTGAAACGAGAAAGGGCCTGTCATGGACTGGCTGGATGCAGAAAAGTGGGGGGGGGCATCAGCTGGGGAACCCCCAAGGGAACCCCCAGGGGAAGAAGGCTCAGAGCCAGGGAATTGGTGGTGGGATGATAAGTGGTCAGAGGGAGAAGAGGGAGCAGACTGGGTGGAGCAGGTATCAAAAGCTGAAGAGGTAAAAAGGGCCCTCTGGAACAATATGCACAAGGGAACAGCTATCCTTCAAATTTCACTCTTTTCTGAATTTTGTGGCGCAGGTCTCCAAGCAACCCATGTTCGCGAAATGGCACGTTATTTGGGGAAAGTGTGCATGGAAATGAAGATATTTGTGAAAATAACATGCAAAAATACATACTGCTAGGGAAACTGGCTTGCAAAAATGTGTACATTAGTCAAAACTGGATATAAAAATGCCTCTGCTAGGAGAAATTTGCACTAAAATGCTGGTGACCTTTCAGGATTTATTTACCGTATTTTTTGCTCTACAAGACGCACCAGACCATAAGACACACCTAGTTTTTGGAGGAGGAAAATAAGAAAAAAAATATTCTGAATCTCAGAAGCCAGAACAGCAAGAGGGATCGCTGCGCAGCCTGCATTCGCTCCATAAGACGCACACACATTTCCCCTTACTTTTTAGGAGGGAAAAAGTGAGTCTTATAGAGCCAAAAATACGGTATTTTTTAATAACAGATTCCTGCAAAATGTGAACAATGACAAATTGAGAGAACCAAAGTTGACAGATCCTTCCATCACTACTAAGAACACGCCATTCAAATGGCCTGCGCAGAACTGCTTTTCACCCCAGAAACTGAATAAAGCATGTTGCCGAACTTTGAGAATTACACCTGCCCCTTTTCACATATTGGGTCTTCTTGGAACACAAGCTCCATTAAAAAAAATTCACCCCCACCCCCCCATGAAAAAGGGAAGCTCGTTTAATACCAGAGTGGAGGAGGCGGGTCAGAGAGATGATTGCACTAATTGTCTCATTACCATTAGCGCCACGATCCTATTAGTCAGCTCAGAAAAAAACGGTTTGTTGATACACAAAGAACAATTAACCAATAATCTGCTCCTTGGCAGAAGAACACAACAGAGGGAAACAACCACGTCCTCAGGTGGCAAGAGGTATTTTAAAACATCAGGAGCACCAACAGCCGCTACTATGGCAACAAAACCGCAGGGGGAGGGGAAACGATTTCCAGATGTGCTCTGCAGGACCTGGCAAAATGTGGTGCATTCAAAGCGACAGGCCGCCACTCCAAGACAAACAGAGCCCCCCCCCCAATCCAGCACAATGTGCATAGCACCCCAGGGTGGGGGTCAAGCTTTTTTGCAAACCAAGGCAGAAAACCTTGCAAGCAACTCTCCCAATCCTTGCTGATGAGAGAGAGAGAGAGAATACTAATAAATTGAGGAGGTAAAAAATTGCTGGCCTTTCGTGACGCCTCAAACCAGCTGCCAAGGGAAGCTGCTTCAGACAACCAATTGATGGCTTTTGAGCTGAGGTTTGGCCCAGAAATCCATTTCCCTGAAACCAGAACCCCTGGGTCAACAGCTGAGGCATCGGCTGATGGGGAGCCGGTGGGGTTCGATCCTGCACTGCCTGTGCAGGCCAGTTCCCCGGGGACTGGTGTAGGCAGCCCATTCTGCAGGAGTTAACCCTTGCTCATCAGCTGGTAAATGGCACAGGAGTTAAATCTTGCTCTGTCTGGCAAGGTTCCATGCAAACCCCTTCCTCTCAGCTTCCACCTCCTAGCAAAGTTTCCCTTGTAGAAGTCCGCAGGGAAGAGGATGGGGGTGAGAATGAGCAGGATCTGCCTGCCATTGGCTCTGGCTCCAGCCACGGTCTGGGCTCCCTTCTACCCCAGAGTCCCAGTGAGTGTCCACAACCACTGCTGTCATTAACTCTGGCGCCACCTACTGTTGGGCTCCCTGCCTTCCACCCCACCAGGCCCAATTAACTGCATTATGCTACCCCCGGCAAACGGATATTTTATTTTAAACTTTTATTTCTTCAGTTTCTATACCACCCTTCATCCGAGGGCCACAGGGCTGTTTACAAGAGGAAAACACAAAAAAGACATACCAGAGGAACAAACAATAACAAACAAAAAGAATTACAATGTCCGTTCTCCAGACTTTTCACAGAGGAGGCAGATGAAGAAAGGCCTCAGATTATGATTGCAGGAGGCTGATCAGTTCAAATGAAATGATGCAAACAAATAAGCAAAAAAAATAAAAATAAAACATTGTATGTTTGTGTGTGTGAATTCTTACACATTTCGGGAAGTGGGGAAACAAGCCTACACAGCTTATTTTTTAAAAAAACCTTTTTTAAAAAAAAGTTCTCTCTCCTTCTCATAGGCACACTGGGAAAGAATTCCTTCCCTTTCCCTCACAATACATTTCCCTCTGGATTTTGTGTTTTTTTTAATCGCCAAAGCCAATTCTGGAGATAAGCCTTCTCAACAGAATGTGGGCTTTTCAATTTGTCCACGGTTGTCTTCTGCGTTTGAAAATTACATTCGGTTTAATTGCCGGTAATAGGCTTTTGCTTTCAGGCAGGGAGAGAGACAGAGAAATGCGTGTATGGTTTAGAAAGGCTGATATCCACTTTGTGAAAAGGGGAATTTGAAAGGCGGAGGCTGCCAGAGACCTGGGTGTCAGCCACGCAGAGCAATTACGGCGGCAGTTCAGAGCCCCCTCTGCCGCCTCCAGATATGCCACAAGCCACGCTGAACTGACAAAACAGGGCCTGTGCAAATACATTTAACACTGGAGACGTAAATGCCCCCTTTTTAACTCCCTGCGGCAAAGCAGACGTGGGAAACCTCTGGCCTCCTCAGATGCTAATGAACTACAGTTCCCATTATCCCTGGCCATCAGCCGTACTAGTGGAGAATGGAAACAATTCCCTTCAGCTCCAGTGAGAATGGCAGCATAACATTGAGGTTGATGGGAACATAGCCACTAGGAAGGGTTGGTGTAGATCAGAGGTGGGGAGCCTGTGGCCCCCCAGATATTGTAGGCCTTCAACACCCCTGGTCATGGGTCATGCTAGCTGGAGCTGATGGGAGCCATGGTCCAAAACATCTGGAGAGAACTAGGTTGAAGAAGATGGGTCATACACCAAGGGTGTGGAACCTGCACCTCTCCAGAACTTGATGGCCACTAATTCCCATCAGTCCCAGCCATCATGACCAATGACCAGGTATCATGGACTGGCCAGATGCAGAGGAGTGGTGGGAGGCTGGGGAACCCCCAGGGGAAGAAGACTCAGAGCCCGGGGAGTGGTGGTGGGATGACAATCAATGGTCAGAGGGAGAAGGCAACAGAGTTTAGTGAGCAGGAAGTCTATGGCAGAGAGAAGTCATGAATCAGAAGCAGAGACAGAAGCCAGAGAGAAGGGAGGCCAAGAGGCAGAGATGAGTCAGGCTGGTGAAGAGGCCAGGGAGTGTCCCTCTCCTGCTGGTCTCCCAGAACCAGAAGAGGCGTGAAGAGGGAGGAGCAAAGACAGACATGATGATGTGGTCTCAGATTGCTGAGGAAGGACCTGGGAGAGGAAGAGGCTTAGGCAACTGGGGAAAGGCAGTGACCGTCTGTCCCCACAACTGCCTCATAGAGGCAAGATCAACCGGGTTGAGTTGCTGTGCTCACTAGGCATGACGTCCTGAGCAGACCTTGTTTGAAGGCTTAACTTCATTTATGCCACGTGATTTATTGTTGACCTGCTCCTCACATCAGGGATGATGGGATTCAGAGGCCCACAATATCTGGAGGGCCACAGGTTCCCTACCTGTGATCTACACCAACCTTCCCTGTGGCATGAGTTTTCAAGCAACGCCTTTTCAAGCAACAGCGAGCCGTTTCCAGACTGGAGATGGTTGCTGGGACATCCACGGCTTACGTCTGCCACTACAGAGGAGGTCCTGTGCAGCTTCTCCACAACCCACACGGAAACACAGAGGTCGTATGCAGTTTCCTGGTCCCTGCTGGTAATAAGCAACGTGCTGCCATTATATTGTACCATCAATGGCTATTAATAGCACTTAATGGACTGTGCGATTCAAAGAATTTACCCTGTGCCGGCAGTAAAGATATTGCCAAAGGCTTGGTCATCTAATGACGACAGCAGTGTTTCTGTTGGCTCTACAAGATGGGACACAGAAGCGGAGCATATCCTGTCCCCATGGCCACGTGGACACATCGCTCCCTTAAAGGGCAGAACAGCTGCAAGTGAAGTAGCATGTGCCTCTTCACGCTGCAATGGACAGATCAGTCCAATCGTTCCACTGCACAGCAGCAGCTGGCAGAGAGCTTGAGAAAAAGAAAAAGGTCACACAGAACAGAGGGCGGAAATTCGCCGCCGGATTCTCCAAGCTCGCACCAGCAAAGCCTTCCAGTGTTGCACATTGGTGGAACATGCTTGTCAGATGGTGGCGTTAAGAGTCAGGGAGGGGAGGATGTCATGCTCAGCTCTGACCCAGCGCCAGACACCGAGTCCTCAAAGGACGGATGAGACAGTCCACAGGTGGAGGACCCAGAGGAGCAGGCAAGGGTCTCCTGGAACTGGTGCCAGAGATACCCTCTGGTGGGTGACCTGCTGGGAAATCCTTGGGGCTGTCCGGGGGTTGGCAGCCAACTCTTGTTCCTTGAGCACTGAAAGGTGCAAGCCGAGGAGGGCATTATGCCTCTGGGCACCGGTTGTTGGGGGTCGCAAGTGGGAAGAGAAAGCTCCTGCCTTGGGGCTTCCAGGTTGGGGCATCTGGGTGACCACTGGGAGCACAGGATGGCTAGACTAGATGAGCCTGATCCACCAGGGCTCTTCTTACATTCATCTATAGGCCCAGAGTCATCTCACAACTTAGGCATAATGGTTGTCAGCTCCTGAGTAAAGAATCCCTAGAACTTGATCAGTTGCTAATTATTGAATAGACTTATGTGCTCACATCTTCCTCCAATGGAGCCCAGGGCAGCAGCACTACCGGCAGCTAGGGTTAGGGTGTGGACTTGGAAGCCACCATATAGAAGGTCTCCCTATTGAGCCTTCCAGAAACTACACAGGCCCCCGGCTCCTTGTACTTTGGGGCTGAGCTCCTATTTCTAATCCCCCTTCCTTGTGATATCGACTCTGGGCTGTTTCCTGATTGCTCCTGGATTATGTTTGGAAGCTAGATTGATTCTCAGTACCTGAGATGGACTTGGGATAGCTCTGCCGGTAGAGCATGAGGCTCTTAACCTCAGGGTCGTGAGTTGGAGCCCCCTGCATTGAAGGGGGGTTGGACTAGACGGCCCTCGTACTCTACAATTCTACGACCCTGACTAGTTCAGACTATACTGCACCTGGAACCCTACTCTCTTGGATAAATGCTTTTGTTGAAAGGCTTTCACCTCTTTGGAGCGAGACCCTGGCCTCCGAGAGCACCTCCTAGACAATAATGGAAGGGAAGAGGGCAGTTGTCTCCAAATCCCAGGCCTGCAACTTTGTGTTCAGTAGCCCAGAGTCCTTAGGAGAGGGTTCCAGAGGTGGACCTTTGAGCCAGAGAAGGCAAAGTGTGGATCACAGCAAGGGAAAGGCCCTGCTCTCTGCGTTGACCAAGTGCACAGCTGCCCTGCCCATATCACCAACCAGGGCTTATGGGAAGGACTGAGAAAATAACTCTTGTGTATTGTTTGGAACAAAGGCCTTGGCAGCTTGTGATGTTTTGAGCCAGCCAACTCTCTTCCTAGTTGGATATTATTTATTTAGGGTTTTTAACCTGACTTTCCATTCAAAGAGCACCCAAGGCTACCAGCAACTACAAAAAGAACAAGATCAGAATATCACACACACGCACAAAGAACAGAACCTATTAGTCATATTCCACTCAAAAGCTCTCACTGGGTAAATATCAAATGAGCCAAAGCTCTGCCAAATGAAAGGAGAGGAAGGGTGTTCTCTAAAGCCTGAAGGATCCTGGAGCTTAACTGGAAAAGCACCAGATTAGCACCACGGACAGCTCCAGGAGACAATGCGGTTGCTTCCCTTCCGAAGGCCTCTGATACCAGTCACTGCTCTCAGGCCTCCAGGGTTATTCATGACTGCCAAACAAGATTCTCACAGCACAGGGGGAAACGGCTCAGATTTATTGTGGCACAAGCTTCAGGGGCTTACAGACGATTGGAGAAAGTGGGCTGGGAATCTGCTAGCCTTTACGATGCTCCCAGACTTCATTCATAAAACTGATGGAGGGAAGCTGTCAAGCTCCAGCCCCAAAACGCAAAGGCAGCAGCTGTTCCTTGAAAAGCAAGGAAGAGGTCTTTATTCAGGCTGACAGTAGCTCAGGCTCAGCTGCGAGGGTAAGGTCCAGAAAACAGGACCCCAAGGAACGGGAGCAAGGCAAGAGCTTTAGAACTGAACGGAAGCAGACTGAAGAAACCCCAACTGAAGAATCATGGCAAGAAAAATTGACGGACTATGCAGAACTGGCAAAACTGACATACAAGCTCCGGGACAAGGATAACTGTGAGATGAATGGGAACCCTTTACAAAGTATCTGAAGACGCAACAAAGTGAACTGGACTCCTTGGCAGGTTTTGAATAAACATTCACAAACCTTTTATTGATAATAATCAGCTAAATAGTTTGAGGATCTATACAACTTTGTAACATGCAGAAAACAGCAGTCTCAGAGAAACCAAAGACTGGAAGTGAGGGATGTCAGGGGGTGGGTGGGTTTTGTGTGGGAGGGTGGGGGGAGGGAGGAAAAATAGGGGGGGAAACAAGGGTGATATGTTTTTGGATAATATGTCTTGTTTTAATTTTGAATAAAAAACCTTTTTTTAAAAAAAGAACTGAACGGAAGCTATACAGATGTCCCAACAGAGGACACATCCCTCCCACAGAGCTTTAAAAGAAGAGGCAGTAGACTCACTCAAGGGACTCTCTCCCCCTACGGCTCCACCACGTACCTGCTGGGCGGGTGTGTCTGATCCCACCTACAAAGGTGGCCCCTGGTTCATGGCTACAAGACTGTGTCCTGTCTTTCTGCCACCGGCTCTGCTGCCACCCCTTCTCCTTCTGGGAGGCCTAAGTGCTCCTCCCAGCCCAATGATGGGGCTCTGTACTCCATAAGGGGGGGGGGAGAGAGCCTCCCCCTCTCTGGCATCTCGGTACAGTTCAGTCGGTAGCAGCATGAGACTCTTAACCTCAGGGTCATGGGTTTGAGTCTGAAGCTGGGCAAAAGATTCCTACTTTGACCCTTGCAGTCCTTTCCAATATTTGAGAATTACAAGGGAAGAACCTCCCTCTTCCATCCCTTCCAGGCCCGCTATCTGCTCTTTCTCCCTCCATCTCCTCCTCTTCTGCCTCTGCTTAAACACCTCTGTGAGAGGGAGGGGCAGAGATAGGAAGCAGTGGCAAACTCTTGCAGTGAGGCAAACTCTGCCTGCTTCTGGCTCAATCGCCAACTCTGGCTTCCCCCACTGAATCACAGATGAATCTAATACTGCTTTGCTTCTGTTTAGTATCTGCCTCTGGATATGTGCTGATTGATATGATAGTGCAAGTTAATCGCTCGCCAGGTGCCTCGCAGTTGCTAAGGTCTCCTAGTGAGGCTTGGGAAGGAATCCACTTCCCCGCACGGAATGTGAGAGGGTGCCTGTAATTAGTGTTTTTAAGCAACGGAGGTGAGGTTGGCTGTTGTGATCACACCTTGGCTAATTGAAAGGAGAACTGCCAAGCCTTTCCAACAGGTTTGGAAAAATGGCCTTGATGGGGGGGGGCGATTATGAATTGCGTGTGTGTACAAATAGGCAAATTCCATGCTCAGGATCATTGGAATTGAAAATAAAAACTGCCAATATTGTAACACTATTATAGAAATCCAAGGTGCAAACTGCACTTGGGAGTACTGTGTAGGGTTCTGGTCGCCCCATCTCAAAAGGGAGTTGGAAAAGGTTTCAGAAAAGGACAAGCAAACTGATTGAGGGGATGGGGCAATTCCTCTATAAAGAAAGGTTGCAGCGTCCAGGACTTTTTAGTTTAGAGAAAACACCAGTGAGGGGCAACATAATGGAAGTTTATAAAATTAAGCCTGGCGTGGAAGAGGTGGATAGAGAAATGTTTTTCTCCCTCCCTTGTAACACTAGTGGGCATCTGAATGAAGCTGAATGATGGAAGATGCCGGGCAGATAAAATGCAGCACATCTCCATGCGGTGCATAGTGAAACTACGGAACTCACCGCCACAGGAAGCAGCGAGGGCTACCAGCCTAGAGGATGAGACACATTCATGGCTACAAAAGGCTTCTGGACACAATGGCTCTGCTCTGCTCCCACAGTTGCAGACGGTCATGCTTCTGAATACCCCTTGCTGGAAACCACGGAGGGGGAGAACGCTCTTGCGCTTGGGTCTCGCTTGCAGGTTTTGCACCTGCATCTGACCGGCCATGGTGAGAACAGAACGCCGGACGAGATAGGACCAGCAGGCTCCTTCTTACGTTCTCATATTATCTATATCTGCTGATCTCCCCTCTCATCCAGCTTGTTGCGAGGCTTGTTCCCGTTCTATTTTTGAAAGCCGCCCCACACAAGAGGGTGAGTCACTTGCCCACAAGCACATTTCTCCTTACCCAACAGTTTGGGCTCTCTTGATTGGGTCTGAGGTTTTGCCAGCCTCGCTGCCAGTCAGTGGGGATTCATTCTCCCATTCTTTATTGGGGCTTCCTGGGTGCCAGCAGCAGTGTCGGGTTGTCTTTACACAGATCTGCCTTCGGAATCCCGGCGAAAGCAAGCTTGCGCCTCTCACTTAGTTTGCAAGAGGCTCCTTTATCATTATATTGGGGGAGGGGGTGTTGAGTCATGTTCTTATGCAGCTGCATTGTTTTACAGTATACTTTCTGGATGCCTCATGATCATATTACAAAGCAGTCGTGTTCTGTGTTATGAATCAAGCACTGGTAGGATTTGTTTCTTTGCATTTCCCAACGTATTTCTCAATCAATAAAGAATCGGGTGTGGCACAAGCAAATTTTTACTCTGAAAGGATGGCCGAGAGAAAAAAGTTTGAGATGCACAGCTCTACACTGACTGGCAGCAGCCCTAAAGGGTGGCAGGCAGGGGTGCTCCCAGCCGGACCTGGAGAAGCCAGGGATCAAACCTGGGTGTATCTAAATGCAAACCAGTGAGCTAAGCTCCTTCCCCAAGCGCTTTCTTGCTCTCCTCCACATAAGCATCACAGAAGATGAAGTGATTCTCAGAGAGGTGGACAGGTGAGCCAGCTTGGCTTCACATCATCCAGAAACAGCGTTAGAAATTCCCCAGGAGCCAGGTGAGTTTTGCGATTGGCATGAGTCCAATGGCGACCACCAAGTTGGTGACTCTCGTCTCCATCTGGCTGGCCCCTCCGGTTTTCTTAAGCAGGTAGGCAGAAGAGCTTATTTATTGCATTTACAGTGGTACTTCGGGTTAAGAAGTTAATTCATTCTGGAGGTCTGTTCTTAACCTGAAACTGTTCTTAACCTGAGGTACCACTTTAGCTAATGGGGCCTCCTGCTGCTGCCGCGCCGAAGGAGCCCAATTTCTGTTCTCATCCTGAAGCAAAGTTCTTAACCCAAGATACTATTTCTGGGTTAGCGGAGTCTGTAACCTGAAGCTTCTGTAACCTGGGGTACCACTGTATATCCCGCCTTTTTCTCCAAGGTGTACAGTGGTACCTCTGGTTGCGAACGGGATCCATTCCAGAGGCCTGTTTGCAATGTGAAAAGCCCGCAACCTGAAGCGCCGTATCCGCGCAGGTGCGTGGTGCGACTTGGCGCTTGTGCACATGCGTGAGCGATGAAACCCGGAAGTAACTCTTTCTGGTACTTCCTGGTCGCCGCAGGACGCAACCTGAAAAAACGTAACATGAAGCAAACTTAACATGAGGTATGACTGTACATGATTCACCTCCTTCCTCGGTCAGTTCCCTACAACGGCCCTGTGAGGTAGGCTAAGGGGCTGTGACTGACTCCAAGGTCACCCAGCAAGCTTCAAGACTGAGGGGGAATTTGAACCCTGATCTCCCAGGTCCTGGTCTGACACTCTAACCACTACACCACACTGGCTCCCTAGAGCACTTCTGCTATGGGGCAGCTCTATAAATTAAGTAGGTAAACAAGCATGGAGAGAGCAAAATGTCACTTAGAGAAGGATCTGAAATATTTTCCTTGAAGCTTGAATTTGTTTTATTCTGGATTGTTGTATTTGATGTTTTAAAGTCTTGTAAACCATTTTGAGATTTCCCCCCTTTAAAAGATAGAGATGTAGAAATGAAATGAATAATAATAATTAATTGCAATGTATAAAAAAGGGCGCCTAGACACTCTGTTGTGGTGACCATAACATAGGTTTAAGGTCCCATTTGGTGATTAAAGGTAAAGGGACACCTGACCATTGGGTCCAGTTGTGACTGACTCTGGGGTTGCAGCGCTCATCTCGCTTTATTGGCCGAGGGAGCCGGCGTACAGCTTCCGGGTCATGTGGCCAGCAGGACTAAGCCGCTTCTGGCGAGCCAGAGCAGCGCACAGAAACGCTGTTTACCTTCCCGCCGGAGCGGTACCTATTTATCTACTTGCACTTTGACGTGCTTTCGAACTGCTAGGTTGGCAGGAGAAGGGACCGAGCAACAGGAGCTCACCCCGTCACGGGAATTCGAACCGCCGACCTTCTGATCAGCAAGTCCTAGGCTCTGTGGTTTAACCCACAGTGCCACCCATGTCCCTATTTTGGTGATTAGCTTATACTATATCTGAGTTTCTAACACTGTCCAGACTGGGGTGGCCTGCATTTAAGCCTCAAAGCCGCACCCCCACTTTCCAGACAGATGCATTAGATGCAGACAGCTCCCAGGCTCAGTGACCGCAGGCAATGAATGCCCTGAAGGCTGCTTGACTCCATCTCCTACAAGACAGACAAGAGATCAGGGTGTTGCATCGATTTTCAGGCCTCAGGAAGCACAGCATCGCTCATTACCAGGGCTGTCTATCGACCGCAATACTCTGCAAGTGTGCGGAATGTGGAACTGTGCACAGAATCAATCTGTCTGCAAAGCTCAGGCTTATTTGACTTTTTTAAAAAGTGCTTATCAGGCTTGGTTTTAAATCAAGAGAGACCTGATTGATTTGCAAGTAGACAAAGCCATTTAATTGTTGATTCAGGCTATTCCCCTCGACTGATCCTATCCAGCAGAGAATTGGCTGCCTGGCTACAGAGGCTCCTAACCTGGTTGCGCTGTTCAATGGCAGGTCAGTGCAGGAGTAGGAGCCAGCCTTATCTGTGATGTGATCATGGATGAGGGAACTGAACTGGCTTGTGCAACCAAGACCTGGGTGGGTGAGTTGCTTTTCTGCAATGCAGTTCTGCAGCTAAGGAATGCATATACCAGGGTAAAGGTGTTCACAAGAACGCATTAAAATGCATGTATTAGTGAAAATGACGTACAAAAATGCATCCTATTAGGGGAATTGGTTGCAAAAATGTCTATATAGAGCAGAGTATATTAGGGAAATCTGCAATGAAATGCTGTGAATTTAAAGACTTAAAGAAAAAAGCTGGTGGGGGAGGATTGCAATGGAACACAATAGGCAGGTTCATAATTGATCACTGACACTATTGATATTTACCCTAAGATTATTAAATAGTCGCTGCTGTGATAATTAAGTACATTGGTATGATAATGTTTTCTAGAATAATGTGTCGATGTATGATTATGCTACATTTCAGTTTTTACTCTTTTAGTGTACATCTAATTGAAAAATGTAAAAAAGAAAAAAAAGGAGGGCAACATGGTGGAACAGATCAGATCACTTTGTCACAAGTGGCCAATAGTCAGGTGCAAAATGCACTTTGCGCCTGGCTAATTTCGAACACTGACCCCACTCATCTGACTGGGCTGACCCAGCTGATCTGGGCAGCTCCCAACAAAATATAAAAACACAATTAAACATCTTCCTGATAATCTGAATAATGTAATAATTTGAATGACGTTAAGAAGAACCCTGCTGGATCATGCAAGTGGCTCATCTACTCCAGCATCCTGTTCTCACAGTGGCCAACCAGATGACTGTGGTACACCCCCAAACACAACCTGAATACAAAACCTGCACTTTCCCTCCCTGCAGTTTCCAGCTGCTGGCATTCAGAAGCATTACGATATATACGATCCAATATCTTTATTGTCATTGTCCCATGCAGAACAATGAAATTGAAAAACTACATAAAACTACATAAAAACTACATGAAAACTACATAAAACATTCAAAAACCCTTAAAAACTCTGAAACCCCATTTTAAAATACACTATACTACAGAAACCTCTTATGCTACGTTTAGAACCAGAATTGCATTTGCGTAGAAGCTGTTTCTCAGGCAGCTAGTCCTGGCCTTTATAACCCTATACCTTCTTCCAGAAGGCAGAAGCTGAAAGAAATCATTTCCGGGGTGCGTACTATCCTGCGCTATCTCTGCCGCTTTCTTATGGCACCTGGCAGCATAGATTTGATCTAAGGTGGGAAGAGTGCACCCAATTATTCTCTCTGCAGTCTTTACAACCCTGGATAGCATTGTTTTTTCCCTGGCCGTGCAGCTCCCAAACCACACACAGACTGCTGCTGGCATTCAAGTTAGAACATAGTCATCGTAGTGAGCAGCCCTTGATAACCTTGCCCTCCATCGATTTGTCCAATCCTCTGTTAAATCCATCCAAGTAGATGGCCATCCTTGCCTCTTGTGGAAGAGAGTTCCACAGGTTAACCATGCGCTGCGCCTCGCCGCCCTTCAGCTCAACCATCTGACCTGCTGGGGATGCTCTGCATAAACTTTGCAAATGCTTCCCATCTCTCCAGAGACTGCAAAAAGACATTCCTGGGGTACTGGGGAGGCAGATTGTAATACAAACCTTTTCCTAGCTGGGATGGGCTGCCAAGCAACTAACGTTTCAGGCGTTGTTAACAAAAAGCGAAATGAAAAAACGTTGCCAATAAAACTGTCACTTGAAGCACAAGCCACAACTCTGCAAAAAAAGCAAACAAAAAGAAACCAGCCTCTGTGCCGGTAAAGAGGCCTAGCAGGGGGATCTTATTTTATTTCCTTAAAGTGGGGAATCAATCAAAAACCACTAGTGTTGAACAGCGGGTGTCAATCAAATGGAACAGCACTCGCCTCCGCACGGCGGCAATGCAAAACATAAAACGATCCACTGAAACACTTGAGTAGGAGGGAATGTACTACATCGAAGGACCATGTGAAAGAGGTTTGTCCCAAAAGGAAACTTTATCCATCTAGTGCCGTGCTATATATCCACGATCCTCTCAACAAAAGAGATCAGAAACTGAACCTAGAGGTCTTTCAGGAAGCAGAAGGGGAAACCAACGAGGTGGAGACATGCAATGACCATCTTCAAATATCTTAAGGGTTAGTAGAGTACCTGTACTTCCTAGGGGAGCTATTGTTATTAATTTGTTACTTAATTAGTCACATCCATTCTGAAGGAAATCAGACCTGAGTGCTCACTGGAAGGACAGATCCTGAAGCTGAGGCTCCAATACTTTGGCCCCGTCCTGAGATGAGAAGACTCCCTGGAAAAGACCCTGATGTTGGGAAAGATGGAGGGCACAAGGAGAAGGGGACGACAGAGGACGAGATGGTTGGACAGTGTTCTCGAAGCTACCAGCATGAGTTTGACCAAACTGCGGGAGGCAGTGGAAGACAGGAGTGCCTGGGGTGCTCTGGTCCATGGGGTCACGAAGAGTCAGACACGACTAAACAACTAAACAACAATAATTAGTCACTTTGCTCCTAAAAATGACTCAAAAGTGACCTGCTAACACAACAAAAACACTAAAACCTAAAAAACAAAACACACGCCTCCATACAAATAGAAGACAGAGTCAGCAGATCCTGCCCCACCAAAAGAGGTCAGAAATACTTAAAAACCCTTCAAACTAAGGGCCAAGAGTGCCTTAAACTAGACTGAGAGGGCTCCAGGTGAGCTTCCCCAGAGAGGGCATTCCACAAGCAGGGAGCCACCACTGAATAGGCCTTGCATTGCCTCCCTCCTGCGGAGGGGCACACAGGGTATTCTGTGTCCACTGGTTCAAAAAGGCTGGTGACCAGGGAGGGGCCATAGTTCAGTAGCAGAACATCTGCCTTGTCTCCCAACAACAGCTCAGCAATAAAGTTCCTGGCTCTTTAAACTCTACAATCTGATCAAAGCCAGTGTATTCAACTGCGGCTAATGTAGTCATGATTTGCAACATGCATTCCAGGCACAGAACTTGCGGTCCTGTTGGGCTGCAAAGCTCTTGCAGCAGCACACACACACAAAAAGAGTGCATGGTAGGAAAATTACAAAGGCCATCCTAGTTTACACCAGCTCGGAGCTCCAGCAGTTTTGTTACTTACCACATAATACAGCGACGAAGCAACGGTTTGTCACTTGCTGCATGAAGCAATGATAACATAATGGTTTTGTGCACCGTAACACGACAATTATTCACTTACCGCACAATGCAATGACGTGGCTGCTGTCTTCGTGCACAAACTTCCGGGTGACGGCTTCTTCCATGATCTGCTTCACCTGAACAGGAAGAAATAAAGAAGTTTGTGCATGGAAAGCGACAGTCGATGGGTCATAAAGACGCAGAGGGAGAACCTTAGAGAGTCCAGCAACAGGTTGGGTTGTTTGACTAGGCAAGTTTTGCTCAAGCAGACCGCAGGCTTCCAGGGCCTCAGGCAGAGTGAGTATCTTTCCCCACAACCTGGTACCCGATTCCTTCATGACAGGGGATGCCAAGCACTGAGCACAGAAGTTTCACATGCAAATGTGCTCTGCTTCTCGGCTGCAAGACCCCAGCTCACTCGGTGGTGGAGCATCAGGCAGGCCTGAGAAAGCTCGGTTGGTAGAGCATGAGACTTTTAATTTCAGGGTTGTGGATTCGAACCCCACATCAGGCAAAAGACGCCTGCACTGCAGGGGGTTGATCTAAATGACCCTCATGGTCCCTTCCAACTCTATAATTCCACAATTCTACAACATGCTATTCTATGCAAAAGATAACAATCCAAGGTTCAGTCCTCAACAGTATCTCCTGGTAGGGTGACCTAGACCCTGAAGAGCGGCTGCCGGTCAGTGCAGACAACAGTGAGATAGATGCACCAATGTTCTGACTCAGTAGAAGGCTGAATTCTCTGTCCTATGTTCCCACTGACTCTATGAGTATCCCGGTATTAACTGGCAAAGATCCTCCAGGGTCTTGGAGACTGATTTTCCCCGGGGCCGATGTCAAAGGGGCCATTGCCAGGCTGCCCTCTGGTGCCCCCCTCATGCCAATGGGTGTCTCTGCTGATCCTTTATTTCTGCCAGATGAGAGAGTGGTGAGCTCTTGCCACTAAGTCCTCTTAAGGGGGAGCACTTAATTAGGAAAAGAGAGAACTTCCTGACAGTAAGAGCTGTTCGACAGTGGAATTTGCTGCCAAGGAGTGTGGTGGAGTCTCCTTCTTTGGAGGTCTTTAAGCAGAGGCTTGACAACCATATGTCAGGAGTGCTCTGATGGTGTTTCCTGCTTGGCAGGGGGTTGGACTCGATGGCCCTTGTGGTCTCTTCCAACTCTATGATTCTATGATTCTATGAAAAAGTAGCAGGTGGAAAACTGATCATTTTCCTCTGCTCCAAATCACCCTTCCAATCCTCCTAAAACAAGCAGCTGTCTTGAGGGAGCTTTTATACCTGTTTCTGTCCAACATGCAAGCCTGCTGTAATGTTCAGTCTAAGTGACAATCCCATGGCCCTCGCTGGTTTTTGCTGGGCGTTGCTGTGTCAGTCGGTTAAAGAAAGCAGTGCGCTAACCCTGTGCTTTTGGCTGTTTTTTGACAGCAGCAGAACAAAAACAAACAAATAAATCTCCACCCTGCGAGGAGGAGCCAAGTATCCCCGAAAGATGTCTCGCAGTGAGTGACCTTTCACGCCTGCCTTAGAACAAAGCCAAATGAGTGCAGGATCAGATCAAACTGAACAGGAGGCCGTGCAAGAAGGCACCGAGGGTTTTGTTTTTGTTTGCACTGACATTTTGCAGCAAGCACCACTGGGGGAAAAAGATGCTTGCCGACACAGCTGGACAGAAAGCAAATTGAAAGAAGAATTATTTGCAAGCAATTGGCCTAAGGCAGAGGAGGGAAGGAAAACGAAGGAGCACACTGAAACAGGCAAAAACCTCTGCAGGAAGAAGAAGAGTGATGGCAGCGTTGCAAAGCTGCCACCCCACCCCACCCCCTTCGCTTGCTTTGGAAAACATTATTGTCTCTGGATCTCTGGGCCAAGCCAAATGTGAGTGGGGAGCCACAGCCAGGTTTGCCTGTTTGACTATTTATTCCTTCTTTTCCCAGCGTTCTGGCTGCAACCGCCATTCACCAGACAGCCAAAACTATGCCACCCGTCCACAAAAGGAATGGATCAACAGACTTGAGATTTGCAGAAGTAGAACATCTTTTCAGAAAAAAAATCAGAGACACTGACTCTCGGCCCGCCAAAAAACCCCCACATCCCATTTATGGGAGTTTGTGGACTCTCCTTCCTTGGAGGGTTTTAAGCAGAGGTTGGATGGCCATCTGTCCTGGATGCTTTAGTGGAGATTCCTGCATTGCAGGGGGTTGGACTAAATGACCACCAGGATCCATTCCAACTCTACAATTCTGTGATTCTGTGGTCAAATTCACTTGCTGGCTATGGAATGCTGGCTAAAGTCCCATCTGCACTACACATTTAAAGCAGCATCATGCCACTTTAAATACAGTGGTACCTCGGGTTACATACGCTTCAGGTTACAGACTCCGCTAACCCAGAAATAGTACCTCAGGTTAAGAACTTTGCTTCAGGATGAGAACAGAAACTGTGCTCTGGCGGTGCGGTGGCAGCAGGAGGCCCCATTAGCTAAAGTGGTGCTTCAGGTTAAGAACAGTTTCAGGTTAAGAACGGACCTCCGGAACGAATTAACTTCTTAACCCGAGGTACCACTGTACTTTCAAACATGGCTTTCCCCCCAAAATCCCGGGAACTGAAGGGCACTGAGGGTGGTTTGAGAATCTCTATTCTGTCCACAGAGCTACAGTTCCCAAAACACTTAAACAATCAATCCCTTTTTCCTGGAGAATTCTGTTTTGGGATGGGAGAATGACAGCTGGAAGCTCCAAACATCTGGAGGACACCCGGTTGGCCAACTGTGTTTTAGAAGGACATGCAAACACAGCTGGAGTCGACCCCAAGTGCTTAACCAGTTCTGAGCCAAAGTGCTTGCTGCGCAGGGCACTGTCTAGGGTGTCTGTCTGAAAAGGAGGAAGCAGTGAGGAGTAAAAACACTGCAGGATAAATCCTATGGGTTTCTCAGAAACAAGCCATTTGCCAGATGAATCTCGTTTCTTTGATATGATAAGAGTTACAAGTTTGGTGGAAGAGGTGGGTGCTGTGGACATGAAATGGCATCTCTTGGATCCTGAAACCACTTGAGAAGCACATTTGTGGTGTGGGAATGTGGGTGGGCTGCCAAAATCTTCCCAGGTTCCTGAAGCAAGCGAACAGCGATGCAACACTTGGCAAGAGGGAACCAGCTGCTAACATGTTCTCCTCTCCCATTGACCATGACCAGGCAACTTAAGAGGGGTGCAACGACAAGAGGCTACCCAGCCATAGCTGTCAACCGTCCCTTATTTGGCGGGAAACTCCCTTATCCCAGCGCCATGTCCCACTGCTGTCCCATATTGCTGCTGTCCCTTAAATTTCCCGTGTTTCATGCTCGCCCGGCTCGGGAGGGAAACAGTGGCTCGGAGTCCTCCGCCGCAAGAGAGAGAGCGCGTGCACGAGCTGCCGCGTCTCCGTCTCTCCCTTTTCCCCCTCAGGGGCGCATCGTGAGGAGACGGGTGGCGGCGGGCGGGCGGGCAGGCAGCCCCTCTCTTGCAAGACTTCCGCCACGCTGCCAGGGGAAGCCGGAGGCGGCAGCGGCAGCGGCCTGAGGGAGGAGGAAGAGGAGGGGACGGGGAGGGACGCAGAAGGGTGGTACTTCAGCGGCCGCCACGGCGCCACAAGCACCTCATGCCGGGCTCACAGGCGGTGTGGGCAAGAGTCTCTCTCTCTCCCTCCCTCCCTCTCTCTTGGGCGGGGAAGGGCCGATGGAACTCCTCCTGCCAGGACGACAGCAGGCCCGACGTGCTGCTTAGCATCCCCTCCAACCAGTGCAGCATCTTAATGTAGTGATTTCCCCCTCTGCATCCCTTTCATAACTCTATTTTTATAAATCATTTGTCCATCCATAGTTCAAATTTTTACTACAAGTTTTCTGTCAATCCTACCAATGTATGTAACTCTTTACAATAGCTTTTCAAATAAATGATAAACTTTCCCCATTCTTTCTGGTTTCTAATTCTGCCTGTAAGCTTTGCCATCTCGATGTCGTTCATCAGTTTTGTCTGCCCCTCTTCTTTGGTCGGAGTTGTAGACCCTTAGGATCATCTAGTCCAACCCCCTGCAAAACACAGTCAGTCGCAGCAAAAGCAGCATGGCTCCATCAGTGCCGGACTTCTGTATAAGCTAAGCAAAATCCCTTATCTTGGCTGCTGATCCCTTCTTTTCGAGGCTGCTGGTCCCTTATTTTCTAATCTGTAAGTTGACAGCTATGTGCCCAGCACAGCTGACTCACAGCCACAGAATGTGTGGGCAGGCCGGAGAGGCAACAGCGCCGTGTGTTGTGAAGGCCCAGCCAGCCGTGGATCTGATCCAGGAGGACACGAAATCAGGACAGAAGCTACATTGCCGAGCAGAAGGCAGATAGCAGGCTTGGAGTTTGGTCCATCAGGGAGAAATCCATCACTGGAAGCCACAGCAGGATGGAAGAAGAAGCAGACTTTGAAGGATCAAGTGCTCTTGGCTAGGGGCTGCAGAGGATTTTGGTTGGACTTGCTCTGCCATCGAGGAAGGAGCCAAGAGTCACACAGCCAAAGTGGACAAGCTGGCCCAGAACCAGCATGCTTGGAAAGCAAACACGGTTCAACCTGCATAAAGGCGAAAGGCTATTGGGAAATTATTTTATAATGAGTTTTTTTAAAAAAGGTTTAAAGTAATGATTCCCAAGAAACCTGAGGCCTTTCTGTTAGGTATAACTGGTCCAGAGCTTCCAAAGGAATTGTTTTAATTTGTTTAAGTATGCTACAACGGCGGCAAGAATAGTCTAGTGCAAAAGTGGAAAGAAGAAGTCCCAGCGAAAGAACGGATACAAAACTTATGGAATATGCAGAAATGGTGAAACTTGCCGGAAAAATAAGAAATCAAGACAACAAACTTTTTTTTTTAAAAAAAAAAGAATGGAAATGATTTGTTGAATATAAATAAACTGTAAACAGATAAGAACATTGGCAGGATTATTGTAATAACCTGCAGTTTTATAAGAGTATGTATTTAAAGTAGATGAATAAATGAGTAAATTAAGCTAATTTGGAAAATGCAAAAAATAAGTTTAAGGAACCGCAGAAAGAAGGGGAAGGCAATCCAGCTTTGAAATGTTAAAATGATTGTAAAATTACTGAAATGTATAAAATTGAAAATCATAAATAAAATAAAATAAGTGGAAAAGAAGAAGTCCCAATGGAAGAAGATTGGCTTATGAAGATGATGAAATACCCTGAGATGGCTAGACTGACTGATAGAATTAAAGAAGAAAATTTATTGAAGAATGGAAATATTTCGTGGAATATTTGATTAAAAAAAAGATCGTGATTATGTTAAAATGTATGCAGGATTTAAAGTATAGCAACAGATGAGAATTGGTAGTTTAATAAGTTAGAATTAATGTATAATGTGATGGGATTATGAGCTGCTTGTGCGTAAAATCGTATTCCCTCAGAGTTTGTTCAAGTCCACAAACCTCTGTCTGTGACTGAGCCCCTCTGACATGGCTCCTCTTAGTCACTAGAAGATTCCGACAGTGGTTGCTTTCGTAATCGCTTCCAACATAAAAGCTCCTTAACGGAAACACGTCTTCTGGACTCTCTGCGTGACAGTTTCCGGCGAGGAGTGGGTGTCGCTACAGGAGGTCCGGAAACCTCACCACTGTTTTCGCTGGAAGTATCTCTGAGCCATCCCCCAGCTCCCTTTCCCTCAGTTCAGCTTGTCTCCCCTGCTGGTTTCCTCTTCCGCTGCTGAGTCTCTTCCAACCTGTCTGAGCCCTTTCACCTCCCTCAGTTCAGCTTCTCTCCCTTGCTGGTTCCCTCTTCAGCTGCTGAATCTCTTCCAACCTGTCTGAGTCCTTTCACCTCCCTTCCTTCCGATGGCAGTTCCCTGACATCCACCTCCCCTCCAGGGCCCCCTTCACCCCCTCTCGCCCCCTCCTCTACGGGCGGTGAGGAGGCAAAACCCCGGAATGAACTTCCTTCATCTTCCGATGTCTCGAACACTTCTCTCCACCTGTTGCGGTTCCTGGTCTCGAAGCACTCCTCCTCCTCCGAGTCCATCTCCCCTTCCCCTTCCGATTCTGGGAATCCTTCCAACTCCTCCTCCTCCTCAGTGGTCCCAAAGTATTCCCTCCGGAACCTCTCCACAGGCTGAGGTTTCCGCGGGAACCTTTGATGGAACATTTCTATCAATACCTCGTCATTGATATCTTTGGCCATTACCCACGTGTTTTCTGACTCCGGTTCTCCTTCCCACGCTACCAAATACTCCACCTGATTCCCCTTCCACCTGGCATCAAGGATTTCTGCCACATGACTGCTGCATTCTCTTTCTTCTATGACCGGTCCCCGAGTGTCCATCCCTTCTCGTCCCCCCTCGTACGGTGACAGTAACGACCTGTGAAATACTGGGTGCAGTTTCATGTGGTTGGGTAACCGGAGCCTGAAAGCCACTGGGTTGACCTGTTGAATGACCTCAAAGGGACCCAACCTCCTGGGTCGTAATTTCTTACAACCTCCTTTGAACGGCAACCCTCGGGTTGACAGCCACACCCTATCTCCAACCCTTATGGTTTCACCTTCCCTTCGGTTCTTGTCTGCCTGCCTCTTGTATTCTTCCTTCGCCCTTTCTAAGTTGAGTTGGAGCTGACGGTGGATTGCTTCCATTTCTTCTACAAAATGCTCGGCTGCCGGTACGCTCCATCTCTCCCCTTCTCCCCTGGGAAAGCCCTGGGATGACACCCATAATTAGCCAAGAAGGGGCTCATCCCTGTGGACACATTCTCGGCATTGTTGTAGGCAAATTCCGCCAGCGCCAACTTTTCTACCCAGTCATTCTCTCTGTCATTGACATAACACCTCAGGTATTGCTGGAGGACACCGTTTGCTCTTTCCGCCTGCCCGTTGGTTTCAGGGTGCCGGGCAGTCGAAAGTTGACCTCCACCTGCAGTAAGCTCATGAGCTTCCTCCAGAACCTGGAAGTAAATTGTTTTCCTCGGTCTGAGACCACCCTCAATGGCACCCCGTGCAACCTAAAAATGTGTTCTACAAATAACTTCGCTGTCTCTTCCGCCGTGACTGCATGCGAGCAAGCTACAAAGTGGCACATCTTTGTTAGTAGGTCTACCACCACCATGATGGCTGTTTTCCCTTTGGACTTCGGCAGATCAGTCATAAAATCTATCGACACTGCCTCCCAAGGTCGTTCTGGTGTTGGTAAGGGTTCTAATAGCCCCGCCGGCGCCCGCCTTTCCCCTTTGGCTCGCTGGCACTGCTCGCACCCTCTTACATACTCACGTACATCCTCCCTCACCTTAGGCCACCAAAATTCCCTGGTGACCAACCACATGGTTTTGTGTTGCCCAAAATGCCCCGCCGTGGGGCTGTCATGCAACTGCTTGAGTACCCTCCCCTTAAGTCTCCTTCAGGGATATACAGTGCCCCTTTGTAATACAAAGCTCCATTTCTTTCCTCGAAACCCCTTGATTCCTCTCCCTCATCCCTAAGACCTCTGAGCTTATTCTGGGCGTATTCATCATTCTCTGTTTCTTCTACCAGTTCTCTTTGTCCCACCAATGCCGCCCCACACACCCAGCGGTCCTCTGGAATGACATGTCTCTCTTCGGGTGCTCCTTATTCTCAGAATACACCAACACGTCGTCTAAGAAGGCCACACAATTCTTGTAAAGCAACGGCCCCAGGACGTGGTTCATAAACAATTGAAATGTTGCGGAGCCTGCTTGTAGACCGAAGGGCATAACTAAGTATTCAAATGCCCCTAAAGGGGTGAACATGGTGGTTTTCCATTCATCCCCCTTCCTTATTCGTATCAGGTTGTACGCCCCCCTAGATCCAGCTTGGTGAAAATCTTTCCCTTTCGCACCCTTGTCAAAATGTCGTCAATCCTGGGCATCGGGAAGGCCACTGGTTCTGACACTGCATTTAAGGCCCTGAAGTCACACACCAGTCTCGGCTTGTTAGTGTTTTTTGTGGACAAAAACACTGGGCTGCCCCCACCGCCCTGGACTCTCTGATGAACCCTCTCTTCAGGTTCTTGTCAATGAACTCTCTTAGCTCCTGCATCTCTCTGTCTGACATGGCGTACAGCTTGCCCACAGGGAGCTGTGCCCCAGGGAGCAAATTGATTTGACAGTCAAAGGCTCTATGCGGTGGTAGTTGGTCAGCTTCCCTTTCGCTGAAGACGTCGCGGAGATCTGCGTATTGTCGTGGTACCTTCACGTTCTCCTTCACTTCAGTCCCTGCTAGGGTGGCTTGGGCCCCTGCCAAAACCTTTCCCTCTTTGCAATGTTCTAAGCAATGTGCTGACCCAAAAGAAACCACTCTCTGATGCCAGCCCACCAGCGGATCATGTAACGCTAGCCAGCTCATCCCCAATATAATGGGAGCTCCTCCCAAGGTGGCCACATTAAAAGCTATCAGTTCAGTGTGCCTTGCCACCTTCATTATCATTGGGACGGTCTGCAAGCTGACTTCTCCTCCCAACAGCTCCCTGCCATCGATCGTGGTTACCTGCAGGGGGTTGCTTAAAGGGAGCGTCTGTATCTGGTGTTCAGCTGCAAACTCTTTGCTCATGAAATTGCAGGAGCTGCCTGAGTCCAACAGCGCCTTTATCTTTAGAGGGTGTCCGTTTGGGAGCTCTAGTGTCACTTCTATCACTAGGGCGGGTTTAGGAGGTTCTGGAGTGGGCACTTTCACTGCTCTTTGGCCTGGCTGCTGTGCCCCGACAATGGCAGCCAGGCGTTGGCTTTTAGTTGCTCCGGTATTTTTCCTCTCTTCCCTCCACAGCTCCCACCATCCCTTGCCATTCCTTCCTCTGGGGGCAGACTCTGGCAAAGTGCCCTGGCTGTTGGCAGAGATAGCATTTCCGGGCGCCTTTTCCATCCTTCTTTCCCCCTCACTGGGCTTTGAAACTGCGCGCGCGCGCGCTGTTCCGATTTCCATCGGCTCTGCCGGCGGGACAGTTGGCTCTGGAATGTCTGGAATGCGGAACTCCTTCCAACGTTCCCCTTTCCCTTCCCGCCTCTCCAATGCTCTCGCCTCCTGGCGCGCTCCTATGGCCAGCGCTGATTTGGTCAGCTGGTCCATAGACTCCGCCCTGGGCGCCCGGGAAAGTTCATCTTTCACAGCCGAAGAAAGCCCTTCTTCAAAGAGCATTTGAATGGGTTCCGCCGATAAGTCCCACCCCAATCTGTGTATCAGCATGGTGAACTCAGTCCAGTACTCACGTACAGATCGGCTCCCCTGTTTGCAAGCCATTAACTGTCTGCGCACCACTCCCTTTTCAATATCGCTGGAAAACATCAGATCCATGGCGCGAAAGAACTTCATCGTGTCTTTTAAGACGTCACTATTCGCTGCCATCAGGGGTCTAACCCAGTCTCTCGCCCCCTTTTCAAGATGCCCAATCACAAAAGCCACTCGTGATTCCTCATCAGGGAAATCATCAAACTGCAGATTGAGGGCATATTGCATTTCTGTCCGAAAGCTATGATAGTCTTTGGGCTCCCCCCCAAATTTTTGCACCAATCCTGGTACCTTTCTGGCGAGCTGGGTGGCTTTCTCCCTTTGTCTGCATCTTGAGCCCTCCTCTCCTCCAGCCTCGCCGTCTGCAGCGCCAGCTGGACCTCTAACACCCGGTACCTTTCTTCCAGGCTTGGACCCGCTCCAGCCCCTGCTTCTCCGGTTCCTGCTGGGTTGCTCATTATTATGCCGTCTCCTGCACAAGCTGCGTTCAAAGACTGTCGGAATGCTGTGATGGGATTATGAGCTGCTTGTGCGTAAAATCGTATTCCCTCAGAGTTTGTTCAAGTCCACAAACCTCTGTCTGTGACTGAGCCCCTCTGACATGGCTCCTCTTAGTCACTAGAAGATTCCGACAGTGGTTGCTTTCGTAATCGCTTCCAACATAAAAGCTCCTTAACGGAAACACGTCTTCTGGACTCTCTGCGTGACAGTTTCCGGCGAGGAGTGGGTGTCGCTACAGGAGGTCCGGAAACCTCACCACTGTTTTCGCTGGAAGTATCTCTGAGCCATCCCCCAGCTCCCTTTCCCTCAGTTCAGCTTGTCTCCCCTGCTGGTTTCCTCTTCCGCTGCTGAGTCTCTTCCAACCTGTCTGAGCCCTTTCACCTCCCTCAGTTCAGCTTCTCTCCCCTTGCTGGTTCCCTCTTCAGCTGCTGAATCTCTTCCAACCTGTCTGAGTCCTTTCACCTCCCTTCCTTCCGATGGCAGTTCCCTGACATATAAGATGGGTAAAATATGAGAAATATAGCAGTTTTATATGGTAAGAAAAGAACACCATGGAAGGCTGGGTGGGAAGTCAAGGGATATGAGAGATGTGTTGTCTAAAAGAATTTGTAAAATCTTTAAAAAATTAATAAAAAGATGATGATGATGAAGAAGAAGAAGAAGAAGAAAGCAACCACAGTTCAGAGATAGAGAACCTGCTTTGCAAGAAGACAATCCCAGGTGTGCAATGCCCATTCATCTCCAGTTAAAAGGATCTGCTTGAGACCCCAGAGAGCTACTGCCTGTCAGTCTCAATAATCTATCTATTCTATTTATTCTGTTTCTATCCCACCTTTTCTCTAAGGAGCTCAAGGGTTATACAGATTGAGGTTAAATCCTGACAAGACAGAAGTACTGTTTTGGGGGACAGGGGGCGGGTGGGTGTGGAGGACTCCTTGTTCCCAAATGGTGTAGCCTGGGAGTCATTTTGGACTCACAGTTGTCCATGGAGGCACAAGTCAATTCTGTGTCTACCAGCTCCATCTGGTACACAGGCTGAGACCCTACCTGCCCACAGACTATCTCGCCAGAGTAGTGCATGCTCTAGTTATATCCCGCTTGGACTACTGCAATGCGCTCTACGTGGGGCTACCTTTGAAGGTGGCCCGGAAACTGCAATTAATCCAGAATGCAGCAGCTAGACTGGTGACTGGGAGTGGCCGCTGGGACCACATAACACTGGTCCTGAGAGATCTGCATTGGCTCCCAGTACATTTCCGAGCACAATTCAAAGTGTTGGTGTTGACCTTTCAAGCCCTAAACAGCCTCGGCCCAGTATACCTGAAGGAGCGTCTCCACCTCCATCGTTCAGCCCGGATACTGAGGTCCAGCGCCGAGGGTCTTCTGGCGGTTCCCTCACTGTGGGAAATGAGGTTACAGGGAACCAGGCAGAGGGACCTCTTGGTAGTGGCACCCACACTGTGGAACACCCTCCCATCAGATGTCAAGGAAATAAACTATCTGACTTATAGAAGACATCTGAAGGGAAGTTTTTAATGTCTGATGTTTTGTTGTATTTTTAATATTTTGTTGGAAGCCGCCCAGAGTGGCTGGGGAAACCCAGCCAGATGGGTGGGGTAATAATAATAATAATAATAATAATAGGGTTAGCATTAGGGTTCATGGCTGAGAGGGGATTTGAACCCACGTCTCCCTCTAACCACTACCGCACACCGATAAGGCTGCGACAGATGGACGGACAGTATGGCTTGCCATAAGCTAGCTTGCTACGCCTCTAAGTTGGTCAAATTTGTCTTTGTTCTGATAGCACAGGGCATCTAGAACGGCTCAGGCGGGAGACTCCAGAACTGCAGAGCTCAAATATTGCTTCAGAAATCAGTGTCTCTGAGGGACCAGGAGTCACAAGAGGGTAACGAAACCTCCTTGGGCCAGGAGATACCGGCCTCCTCTTCTGGGACTGCCCCATGGGCAAGTGCTTCACTGCCTCAAATCTCCGGCCTAGTTCCCTGAAGAAGCCTGACTTCCCTGCCGCAACCCCTCTCCAAGGGCCATAACAAGCACCAGGAACACTTGTAGAAAAAGGAACCTGAAGTGAAGTGGGCTTTTAAAGCCTGTTGAAAATCCTGAACTGACGGGGCCTTATAGAAAGAGGCCCCTGAACGATTAGGGCCACACCCGCCCCATACATTTGAAGCAGCGTTAAACCTATTTAAGCAGTCCTGGTTCCTCGAGCCACAAAAATCCTATGGTCTATCATTTGTTAAAGGTGCCGAGAGGTGCTAAGGTAAAGGTAAAGGTACCCCTGCCCGTACGGGCCAGTCTTGCCAGACTCTAGGGTTGTGCGCTCATCTCACTCTATAGGCCGGGAGCCAGCGCTGTCCGCAGACACTTCCGGGTCACGTGGCCAGCGTGACAAGCTGCATCTGGCGAGCCAGCGCAGCACACGGAACGCCGTTTACCTTCCCGCTGGTAGCGGTCCCTATTTATCTACTTGCACCCGGGGGTGCTTTCGAACTGCTAGGTGGGCAGGCGCTGGGACCGGACGACGGGAGCGCACCCCGCCACGGGGATTCGAACTGCCGACCATGCGATCAGTAAGTCCTAGGCGCTGAGGTTTTACCCACAGCGCCACCCGCGTCCCTTCCTAGGAGACCCCTTGTCCCCTCACAAACTCCCAGAGTTCCCCCAAAAGAAAGAATGGAACTGTATCGGGTTGTCTTTTGACTTCGGAAAGGCGGGCAGTTCTCCCAGGACGCAAGCCAGTTCTCAGAGAAGTGGCAGGAGGCAAAAGCTTGGCACATTGACAAGCAGGAAGCAAGAGGGAGTGGAAATGGGCCTCTAAGTGGCATCGCTAAGGCAACACCTGGGCAGCCTTGTTGAACTACGGGGCGGCCTCCTCCCTGCTCACTCGAACAAGCGGTGTTGTCTTAACCAGCTCCATTCCCTGTTTGCCTTGGCAGAAGACCCAGAAAGCACTGTCCTGAGATAATATAGATTTGTGCGTTGGGGAAGAGCCAGGTTTTGAGGGGAGCGAGCAGAACAGAGGCAAAGGGCCAAGAGACCGAGACACCACGTGACAAGCCAGGGGACTCCATGTGGCAAGCCAGAGATACCACGTAGCAGGCAGGAACACCACATGGCAACCAGAGAAGCCACATGGCAGGTGAGACACCTCATGGCAAGCAAGATACTACATGTGGCAAGCCAGAGACACCATGTGGCAAGCCAGAGATACCACATGGCAATCAGAGACTCCACGTGGCAAATCAGAGACTCCATGTGGCAAATCAAAGACACCACATAGCAGGCAGGGACACCATGTGGCAACTGGAGACGCCACATGGCAAGCCAGAGACTCCATGTGGCAAGTCAGAGACACCACGTGGCAACCAGAGCCGCCACATGGCAAGCCAGAGACTCCATGTGGCAAGTCAGAGACACCACGTGGCAGCCGGAACAGCACATGGCAAGCCAAAGACCCCATGTGGCAAGCCAGAGACTCCTTGTGTTAGGCAGAGACCCCACATGGCAGCCAGTTCCAGGGGCAGATAAGAGCTCACTGCAGACCAGGGAAGTCAAGAGAATTCTTATGAAAGAAAGAAACGGGAGCAAAAATTGCTGGTGGCTGATTATTCATCCCATGCTCAGAACTGAAAACGATCCAGCACAAGTTTCTCTGTGCTTGGGAGTCTAGAGGATACAGCCATCCATCACTGCAAAGAGGGAAGCAACAGCAACAAGCAAAATGTCTCCCAGATGGGCACAAATCCACCAAGCATATTCTAGTCCAACTGAAACCGCAAATTGCACATTATGTCGGGGAGGACTGTGATAGATCACACTTCCCTGCCCTCTCGTCGAGGATGGGAGAATTACTCAGTGGTGGCAGACAGACACCCTTGGCATGCTGGCAGTATTTCTGATCATGGGAGGGGGTGCCCCCCATACCTAATTCCAGATCTACAAACGTACCATGCATTACAACAGCAAAAGTTTTAAGATGCTACAGGCAGTGAAGCAACACAATCCATTCTCTCTGAATCAGACGCAGGTTGTTGGAGACAGTTGGGCATTTTTGCTTTGCTTTAAACAAAAAACGTGTAAGAGACTTTCGCCGCCCACCCCCCAAACTTCCGACCAGCTAGAGAATTATGATTCTACCCTGAAAACTGCCTGGAGATGCATTTGAAAAATGGGCACCATTCCTTTCATGCCCACACAGACCTGAGCACAGATGGGGTCTTACATTGGAGGCCCTGAACCCACTCCAAAACAGGCAGAAATCCATTTAATTTAGCTAATGGCTTCGTAGCTAATAGGATCTTGCTGCCCTGGATATAGGGAAGCCTCTATTAAAATTTCAGCACCTGGCCAACACAATGAAATCAGGGAGGAAGAAACATGGAGGTGTTTCTTTCCTGTGTTGTGAAGAGCAAGCAAGATACTTGGGCAAAATGAGGAATAAAAAAGTGGTTTTTAAAAACAAAAAAGCTTACTTGTTTTAATATGACAGAGGTATTATAGGCTATGTTTTACCCTTGCTTCATTGATTTTTGTGTGCTGCTTTGATGATGATTATTATAATATACCATCCTCCATCACAAGATCTCAGGGCGGTTCACAAGATCTTTGACCACTTTATTCAGGGTGCTGGGAACTATAGCACTGTAAGGGTTAAACTACAGTTCCCAGTATTCTTTGGAGGAAGCCATGTGACTTTGCATAGAAAACAGGAGCAAAAAGGAATTGGAATTAAAATCAGGGGAGCCCCGCAACAAAATCTCGCAGTGCAGAATGCCCTTGTTCATGATACTCCAATTCATTCTCCCTCCTGATTTTCCATTCCCTACCCGCTGCAACCATCAGATGACAGGCCAGGACTAGCAACTTGATCCGAGCCTGGAAACAAATTGGCATCCAGTGTGAACGGTGACTTGCCAAGTCTCAAAGCTGCAATGGCAATAGAAGCCAAACATGATAAACTTTCCTGTTCAGGGTCCATAGGCCAGCCTTTCTCAGCCTTGGGTTCCTAGATGTTGTTGGACCACAACTCCCATCTTTCCTGGACAGCATGGCCAGCAGTGAGGGATTATGGGAGTTGTAGTTCAAGAGCATTTGGGGAACCAAAGTTGAGAATGGCTGCTGTGGACCTAGAAGCCCACCTAGGATTTGGGGTCTAAACTAGATATGTGAAGCCCCAGAAGGATGTGGGAGAACACAGAACATTTTTGAATCATAACTCTCTGCTCAATGCCTTCACACCTCCAGTCTAGACTCTAGTTTGACTATCCTCCAGCCTGGAAAGCCCCCGCCCCCCAACTGATTTTGGTGGCAGTGGCAAAGAGAGAAAGATAGACATGGCGTCGGGATGAGCAAAGATATGAAGTACCCACCCTGTGCCACCCTGTAAAGTGAGTGCTGGGGAGCAGTGCTAGAAACTCAGTTATATAAGCTAGGTGCAAAATGGCTCCTTAAACCAAGGTTGCAGTCGCCAAAACGGAATGTCTAGTTGCCATTTTTGGACAAGATGGCTGTAAAGTCCCCAGGTATGCATCTCCAAATGGTGGAGACGGCAGGTGCCATCCTGGCGTCCAGGCATCTTCACTTGGTCGTAAATCGTCAATAAAAGGTAAAGGGACACCTGACAGTTAAGTCCAGTTTTGGACGACTCGGGGGTTGCAGCGCTCATCTCACTTTATTGACTGAGGGAGCCAGTGTACAGCTTCTGGGTCATGTGGCCAGCATGACTAAGCTGCTTCTGGTGAACCAGAGCAGCGCACGGAAACGCCGTTTACCTTCCCGCCGGAGCGGTACCTATTTATCTACTTGGACTTTGTGATTTCGAACTGCTAGGGTGGCAGGAGCAGGGACCGAGCAACGGGACCTCACCCTGTTGCGGGGATTCGAACCGCCAACCTTCTTATCAGCAAGCCCTAGGCTCAGTGATTTAACCCACAGCGCCACCCGTGTCCCTTTAAATGGTCAATAGTCAGGTGGAAAAGGCACCTGTCTAATTTCGAACACTGCTGCGGAGGGGGAAAGCTGTGTGGAAAAGTGGTGGGTGAGAGTAGCTCCCTGGCCAAAAGAAGTTTGACTACTCTGGACCCCCTCCCAGCACAGAGACCACCTCTTGCACTCTTCTCAGAGTTGTGGGTTCGCACACCCCATACTGAGTGGTTGCCCAGGGTTAAAGCTGGATCGCCCATGTCGATCTGGTTCAGATTTGCAGAAACCCATAAATCAGCTGGAGAAAGACCAACGAGCTTCACAACACTTCTCATCAGGACAGGCTTCCCCACAGAGGAGGTAAACGTCGGGAGGCAACTGAGCCAAATTTCTCAAGACATTTTACAGGCCTGCCTTTCTCTTAAAGTCAAGAAAATAAATTGCTTCCCAGTGGGAACAGCAAGCAAGGCCGCCAGAAAATCCAAGCCAGCAAATAAGTTCTTAAATGTTCCCCCAAGGACGAAGATTTACCTGAAACGGATCGGTTTGAGGCAGAGAAACATATTGCTCAGGAAAAGGAACTCAATTTTAGCAGTTTCCCAAGCAGGGCAAGGGCAACAATTTGCCGCACGCAAAAGCCTAATTTACTGCTTCGGCGCAAAAAGATGCAGAGAATTAAATGCCACGAGGGAAAGGGGGAAATCAGAGTACACTTTAGCAATCGAAACACATCTGCGTGGCCAGGAAGTGGTTTAAGCAAAGGTGGGCTGGATGTTCCCACAAAGGAAGCTTCCGGACCCTTTTGAGGGGGCAGGTTTGCCATCAGCAACAGGCACTCGGGGCACTACTGCCCTTCCAATGCCCACTGCCAGCGTTTGCCCTGAGACCACTTTTTCCTAGCGGTCGGCTGCCATTTAAATTTCCTAAAAATGGCAGCCATGTAGTGTTGTACCAAGGCATTGTGGGAAATCTAAAAGCTCCTTGGGTCCTTTTGCATGGTGGGTATAACTTCTATAATGCTGCTTTCTTGGCTGGACGGAGGGCAAAGAAGAGTGTGCAATAAAATTAGCTTACTCTGCTAGAAGGTAAAACTCACATTTATTGCTCCACCCACTTTTGCCTCTGGCCCCACCCACCAGGGCACATGGCCCCCCCAATTGGCCTCCTAGAAGGGAGTGCGGCCCCCAGGATTCCCCAACTTTCCTGTTTGTCTACCTATCAGGAAGCAGGGGTGCGCAGAAAACTGTGTCTCCAAGTCACGCCTCGATTGCTGGCTGTATTATATAAACCTTTATAAAACCCTCCATAAATGTAGGGAGGGGGAGGGAGGCAGAGGTCTCCAGGGAACCTGGGTGCAACTCTGCCAAAAACCTGGACTGCCCTGGGCCTAGGAGGACCCCAGAGATTTGCACATATTCGGCAACTGCTTCATGAACTGCTGACAGCTGCCATCAGGCAAGCCATCTCAGCAGCCCGGAGAATCTCATTAATACACACAGCCTTGATTTCATTGGTCTGACTCGCTGGATGGGCACAGCTGGTTTCAGAAAGGGGATGCGTACAGGCAAATTCATGAAGAAGAAGAGGACTAAGAATGAGCCATAATGGCTGCGTAGAACTTCCATGTCCAGAGGCAGTCTACCTAGAATCACAAAATCGCAAGAGTCGGAAGGGACCCTGAGGGTCATCCAGTCCAACCCCATGCAAGGCAGGAATCCAAGACAGACTTCTGCTTAAAAACCTCCAATGGAATCCACCACATCCTGAGGGTGTCTGTTCCACTGTCGAATGGTTCTTCCTGATGTTTAGTCAGATTCTCCTTTCTTGTAACTCGAAGCCATGGGTTCGAGTCCTACCTCTGAATTCCAGCTTGCTGAGGACACCACCAGTAGAGGGCTGTAGCTTCAGAGCCCTTCTTGGGGTTTTCCCAGAGGCATCTACAGTAACCGGCCACTGTGGGGCGGCGGACTAAATAGGACTTTGGTCTGATCCTGCAGGACTCTGCTCTTATTAACAACGATAGCTAGAAATAGAGTCTCTGTGTTGAGGAGCAGTCTACCCCTTAACTGCGTGAGTTTGATAGATTTGGCTTTAAATGCAAACCAAATCAAATTTCTTGCCCATCCCTAACTCTTAATATGGGTTGAGGGGGTCAGGACAGGGCTACTGGCTTCTTGCACTGTTTATGTGCTTGCCGGAGGTATCTAGTCAGTCACTCTGAGATGCTGGACTGAATGGACCTTGGCTTCCTCCCAAGCAAACTCTTCTTATGCCTTTAATCTCGATTTTCACATCTTCCTGGAGAGATTTCTGGCTTGCACGAAGTTGCCTGGTGTAGGCTATGCATTGATTAGCTGGATAGGTCGATCCGAGTTTTGATTGATTGATTGAAAAGTGCCACCTTAATAAAAGCTCCGTCAGGAGAGCATGAGACTCTCGACCTCAGGGTTGTGGGTTCGAGTCCTGTACATCGTAAGGGGGTTGGACTAGATGGCCCTCGGGGTCCCATCCGACTGCACAATTCTAGGATTCTAAACATATTGGGCTACTCAGAGTAGACTCACTGAAAATATAGATCTAAGTCAGTCATGGCCATTAATTTCAGTGGGTCTACTCTGAGCACATCTAAACACTGGATACAACCAATAACATCTTTAAGATAATCATATTGCAATCCCTGATAAATCTGTGAGTGGAAGGGACTTGTGTGACTCTCTCACACAAGCAGCTTCTTCTAACTCTGCCTTAGGAAGATTTGTACCTCTCTCTTTCACACACACACACACACACACACACACACACACACATGGATGTGTTTTGGGGGGAACTTTCTTTTTTTTTTTGCACCAGCTAAAAAAAAATAACCTCCCCGGAAAAGATAATAATTCTTCTCTCCCTCCAATTTCAGAACCTCGGTTTGTCATTCATATGCAAATTTATGCAGCTCTCAGATCAATTAACTGATGGATTAGAACCCAGGCAGCTAATTCACAGCAGATCCCTTTAAATCAAGCTGTCGCGGCTACTTAACATGCATCAGGGGACACAGGGCTGGATGCGGCTCTTGCAATTTTTGAATGAATTCATGTCCCCGTCCCCCCCCCTCCACCAACACACTTCGATGAACACACACACACACACATCAGCAAGGCAGAAGCATCTGCGTCACTGAGGACAAGGCAACTGATAAAGGGGGGGAGGCGGAGAAGAGGAGAGAGAAAGCGTGGAGATGAACCCTCTAGAGCCAGCTGCCCCCCCACCCCAAAAGCAAAGCATCCATCGCCATCCTAGAAGCCCCCTCCCCACCGAAGAACAGACTGCTACTCTATCTCTGTGCAAGACTCACTGAAGGCAGGGTGTGTGTGTGTGTGTGTGGAAATGAGCTGGTGAAGACTTTTGGTGCTTTCAGCCAGTATGCCAGTATGCACACACACACACACACACACCCCCCTCAAAAAAATGTATTCCAGACCCTCTCTTTTTACCATCTCTCTCCCCACACAAATAAGCAACCTTTGCCTACAGGGGACAAGGCTTTCCAAGGCATTTGGGGAAGTGTGCTCAGAGTCTGCAAAGTGAATCAGCCAGTAAAATGCCTTTATTGTCTCGCCTCCGGCCAGGTCACAATCCCCAACGGTAGGGCTGGGAACGTCCCCTGCCTGAAGCCCTGTTGCCAGTCAGTGTAGGCAATACTGAGTTAGATGGAGCAATGGTCTGAGGCTGCTTCCCTGGTTCTGCTCTGCTAGTCAGCCGGTCAAGTGATCTGCTTGGTGTTAAGGCAGATCCCAGGTTTAGTGCAACACTGGAGCAATCTTCCTCCCTGAGAGCAATGTTGTTTTAATCTGTGAGATCTTGGGGGTTCAAAGCAGCCCCCAACACCACAACCTCTGAGCTGGCAGCTCCTGTGCCAGTCCAGACTTACAGAGGAGTTCTTCCAGCTATGTGTGTCGCGGTGGTGGGAGAACGGCACTCTGCACACACCCAGAGACACTGTATCAGGCTGGCGACTGGTTACACAGCTGGTAGTAGGAAGGGGGAGGACTAATTGAAGATGCACCAGGAAAACTGCTCTCTTCACAGAGCCGAAGCTGAGCCTGACAAACCCCAGGCTCAAATGCAAAACATCCCCAGCAGCTTCCAAACTGGGAGCAGGTTTGCTTGCCGGGTGTTTTGAAAGCAGAACCTAGGAAGAAAACAGGCTCTAGAGTCCTAGGCCCCCAGGTCAAATCCAAGCTGTGGTTCTGTGTGCTCTTTACCAAAGAGTCAGTCCCATTAAATACATAGTAAGTCCCATTAAGAATAAGGTTTAAGTCTCGCCTGCAGAATATATATGAGAGCATGCACTTTGGGGGCACACACCCCATTTAAAGCACACACACACCCCCGCAAGAATCCTGGGAACTGTAGCTCTGTGAAGAGTAAACTACAATTCCCAGGATTCACATGGGGAGGGAGGTGTGCTTTAAATGTATGGTGCTCACTGACAGACACAGAAAGAAAGAGTGTGTGTATGTGTGTTCATTTGAAATCCAAACATCACCTGCACTCAGTACCTTGCAATACAGAAAGTGTGAGTGAAGGGGGAAAGGGAGCCTCTGAGCTTGCACAGAGTGCTTTTCCTTCGCCATTCGATAAACAGCATATATACACACGTTTTTCCACCTGATCCCCAATTCTGGGCTGAGAAACCGGGAACAGGGTGGGTGCTGACCCCTCCGACCCACCGCAACCCCCGGGGGGCAGGCATGGCTGCCCAGAGACCTTTCTCAAAGCACCTCCTTGGTTCTTCAAAAACAAACCAAGCCCCCTTTCCGCACCTGAGCTTCAGCCGAGCCGAGCTCTGGCACCCCTCAAATGCCCACAAACAAACCCCGGAATTGGGGTGAGAGTTGGATGGGGAATCTATCTGGGGGGTGGGGGGAAAAGACCCAAAATGCAAAGGAAGACTCCAGAGGGAGAGAGATGGGGAAAATGGAAGATGGGGGGGGGGGGATCAGTCTCTTGGGAGGGACGACCCCCCCAAAAAAAAATTGTGCAAAAAAAAAAGTGCTCAGAACCCAACCACCCCTCTCTCTCTTACCTCCTTCTTCACATTCCAGAGCAATTTTTCCTTCACTGCATCTTCAGGGAGACTCATGGTGCTTCCTGGGCTGAGCGAGGGAAGGTGGCCAAAGGAAACTCTTTCCAAAAAAAAGAAGGAAATATAGAGATCGAGCGATATAGAGGTTAAAAAATTAAAACCCAGGCGGCGATTGCAATCCCTGCGGCCGGTGCAAAAGGAGGGCGATGGGCGCTTCCTCGATCCGGCCCCAGCAGCGTCCCCCGCGCGGCCCCGCCAAGCCTGCGCTCCGCTCGGCGCTGCGGTTGCAAGAGGGCATTCCCTCCAGCGCCAGCCATCTTCCGAGCCCGCCCCCACATTGACGTCAGCCGAGCGGGGCCCGCCTCCTTGGCGGGGGGGGGTTCCTCGCTGGGGTGGGGGCGGGGAGCCGGGAGGAAACGGGAGACGCGGGGCGGGGGGGATTATTTGGTAACAATGTGCTTTTGTGAGGGCGGGTCGCGGGGGATGGGACGTTGCGCCTGCCTTACTGGAAGGAGACGAGAGGGTTCTGGAGCATGGGCAGAGTTCTCGGACGCGCGCTCACACAAATAATAATAATAATAATAATAATAATAATAATAATAATAATAATTTAAATACCCGCCGCCCGCCACTTCCATGGGTTTGGGAAGCTGCTGCTCCAACACTAAGGTCTTCATGGAGGGAGGGAGGGTTCGTTCTGTGCTTTTTGTCTTCACAACAGCCCTTTGAGGTAGGTCAGGGTGAGAGTCAGAGGGGACCCTGAGGGTCATCTAGTCCAACTCCCCCACAATGCAGGAGGTAAGGTAACGGGACCCCTGACCGTTAGGTCCAGTCGCGGATGACTCTGGGGTTGCGGCGCTCATCTCGCTTTATTGGCCGAGGGAGCCGGTGTACAGCTTCCGGGTCATGTGGCCAGCATGAGTAAGCTGCTTCTGGTGAACCAGAGCAGCGCACGGAAACACCGTTTACCTTCCCGCCGGAGCGGTACCTATTTATCTACTTGCACTTTGACGTGCTTTCGAACTGCTAGGTTGGCAGGAGCAGGGACCGAGCAACAGGAGCTCACCCCATTGCGGGGATTCGAACCGCCGACCTTCTGATCAGCAAGTCCTAGGCTCTGTGGTTTAACCCACAGCGCCACCCGCGTCCCTATTTGGTGATTAGCTTATACTATATCTGAGTTTCTAACACTGTCCAGAAAGCTGCATTAAGTTTGACTGGGGTGGCCTGCATTTAAGCCTCAAAGCGCCACCCGTGTCCCCCAGTGCAGGCGAGGGAGGGCTTAAACCCAGGGCTCCCTGTGAAGTCACAGGTGCTAACCGCTGCACCACACTTCCCCTCCAATATGCAACCGTACAATGGGCAAAGAAATAATTTAAAAGGCAGTGTGGTGTAATGGTTGGAGTGTCAGACAAGGACCAGGAAGACCGGGGTTCAAATCTCCCCCACACAGCTATGAAGCTCACTGGGTGACCTTGAGCCAGTGGCATTCTCTCTCTCTCTCCCTTAGCTTGCCCTACCTCACAGGGTTGTTGTGCAAGATGAAATGGCGCAGGTAGGTGGGTGGGTGGGCGGGCGGGTGGGTGTCTGGCACAACATCCTGAAGTTTCTTGGAAGAAGGCTGGGGTAAAAATATGATCGAGAAATCCAAATTAAATGGTGCCCCTGGGCAAGTGCAGAGTGCAGGAATGCCGTGTGAGGGAGCAATTTCCAGGTCTTGGTGCTTAAAGAACTCAAGGGTGTAAGGCCCAGAAAGCAACATTGCATTGAAAAAGGGCTGCAGCTCATATTGTTTTACATGCAAAACAATCAGGTTCGATCCCTCGATTCCCCAGGTAGGAATGGGAGAGGCCCTCACCTGCAACCTTGGGGAACTGCTGACAATCAGTGCATTTTAAAAAATAAAAAATTATTGAGAATATTAAAACTGAATACTGGCAGGGAGTTCCACAGGACAGGGCCTGCCACACTGAGCAGTCAATCTTAGGGAAACTCTGGGCCTGCATAGAGAGCCAGCAGAAGTGCAGCCCCACCAGCAGCAGAGGAACAGTACGTACCTGGGTCACCTGCAAAGCAGGTAAGCGCCTTCATTGCCATCTTCCTGCTTTGCTTTGCTGCTGTTCCCCCTGGAGGGAGAGGAGAGACTTTTTCTGAACCATCCCTGGAGGATTCTGGACCCACCCACCACCAATTCGTAACAGTGGCCTTGACCCCAGACTTCTGGGTGAGTCGGGGAGGGGGAATATTGGTTTGATGTGAATGGTTGAGGGCTGAGGTTTTGCTTATTTGCAAATTAGTGGGTCAGTGTGTAGCTTTGTTTATTGTTTTGAGTATGGTTAATGCTGTTCGCTGCTATTTATATGGCTGGTATGGTTATTCCCACCACCAGCCCCATGGATGTTGTGTTATATGAAATATTAATGTATTATATGATTCTCACCCCTTTCCCCCCTTATGTAATGTAGATCTTTTTCTTTTTCTGCTGTAAGTAGCTTGAAGACCTTCGAGCGACAAGCAACCAATCTCCGGGGTGCAAGCCTGGGCAGTGTGCATGGAGGTCCTGGGCTGCCCTCTCTTGTCCTCGCTGATGTGGTCCAAAGGAAAGCAGAGCAAGATGTTTGGCACCAGCTTGGCTGCAGGAGTTGCTGGAAGAAGGCAGGCGAGACAAGTACAGTGGTACCTTGGGTTAAGTACCGTATTTTTTGCTCTATAAGACTCACTTTTTCCCTCCTAAAAAGTAAGGGAAAATGTGTGTGCGTCTTATGGAGCGAATGCAGGCTGCGCAGCTATCCCAGAAGCCAGAACAGCAAGAGGGATTGTTGCTTTCACTGCACAGCGATCCCTCTTGCTGTTCTGGCTTCTGAGATTCAGAATATTTTTTCCCCTTATTTTCCTCCTCCAAAAACTAGGTGCGTCTTATGGTCTGGTGCGTCTTATAGAGCGAAAAATACGGTACTTAATTCGTTCTGGAGGTCCGTTCTTAACCTGAAACTGTTCTTAACCTGAAGCACCACTTTAGCTAATGGGGCCTCCCGCTGCCGCTGCTGGACGATTTCTGTTCTCATCCTGAAACAAAGTTCTTAACCCGAGGTAATATTTCTGGGTTAGCGGAGTCTGTAACCTGAAGTGTCTGTAACCTGAAGCATCTGTAACCCGAGGTACCACTGTAATTAATAAGTAATAATAATATTGTTATAATAAATAACAACAACAATAATAACAATAACAATAATAATCCCCATCAGAAATCTGAGTGATTGAAATGGGGCATAAGAAATAAAGCAAAAATCAATAGAATATTTATTTATCTATCACTCTTCCTCTGTTTTTGGTGTTCAGTGCTCTCGCTAATTGTGCCACACGTAAGAAGGAGGTATTAGGAAGCTTTGGGGTTTGCAGAAGCTCAGAAATACAATTGTAGTAGCAGTAGTAATAATAATAATATTAACAATAATAATAATATAATGCCCCAAGAAGAGAGGGGAATATGCCCTAAAACAGCCGATTGCCTGCTAGTTGTTGGGATGGGGGGGGGAAGAAAACTTGAGTGGGAAATGGAATGGAGTATCCTAAAAAGGAGCCCTCCACACCCTGCAGCTTTGGGTAGCCAGTCCCATCTGTCTTGTATCCTTTGTAAGTTAGGAATGGAGCTTCCATCATCAGAGGCAGTCTACCCCAGCTGCTCAGACACGTTTGGAGAGGGTCTGTTGTTGCTTTCGTGCTCCCCCAGAAGCACCTGGCTGCCTGCTTTCAGAAACACTGGGCAAGATGCTGCAGAGGGGCTACCCTGAAAGAGCTTTCCTCCGTTTATGAAAACACAGGCATGAGTGGAAGAAGTGATCTCTCTCTCTCTCTCTCTCTCTCTCTCTCTCTCTCTCTCTCTCTCATGACCTCATCATCCGGATGCAGACAGGCGTGAATTCGCTGCTGCAGAATTTTATTTGTTTCTTATTCCAACTCTGATTGCTGCCCTCTTGAGTTAGATATGGGTTCAGAGGAGGACAGCAAAGACAGCAAGTGGCACGTTAAACAAAGTTATTTGCAGCAAAGTCAAAGGGACCAAAGAGGTTTAGCTCGGGAAAGATGCGAGAGGAGCAACAGATGCATCTAAGGCCTTCCTTTTCCTGGCATTCCTAGCTATTTCTTTACCTATTCAGACTCCCAACCATCAATTTCTCTTTTTCTTAGGACTGACGCATTCACTGAGAACAGCGACGTGGCTCATGTGCTCAGAACAGGGGTCAACAAACTTTTTCAGCAGGGGGCCGGTCCACTGTCCCTGAGACCTTGTGGGGGGCCGGACTATATTTCGGGGAGGGGGGGGGAATGAACGAATTCCTATGCCCCACAAATAGCCCAGAGATGCATTTTATATAAAAGCACACTTTCTAATCATGTAAAAACACCAGGCAGGCCCCACAAATGACCCAGAGGTGCATTTTAAATTAAAGGACACATTCTACTCATGTAAAAACATGCTGATTCCGGGACCGTCCGCAGGCCAGATTTAGAAGGCCGGATCCAGCCCCTGGGCCTTAGTTTGCCTACCCTTGGCTCAGAACATAAAAGTCGCAGAGTTAATACAGGCGGGAGAGATCCTTCGAGGTCAGCCTTCCCGCTCAGCACAGGAATCTTGCAACTTCAGCAGCCCTGAGAGATGGGCGGCCGGCCTCCGCCTGGAAACCTCCAGCGAAGGACAGCCCACCCACCACTTCTGAGGTCAGTCGGGTCCCCCCCCCCCCCCGTGGGAGTCAGTAGGGCTCTGGATGGCAGCTTCTGGGAATTGCAGTGTGGCATTCAGGGCCTGGTTGGAGGTTTCCCACGGGTGTCTGGTTGGCATAGAATTGTAGATCTGAAAGGGGTCATCAGGCTCAGCTAGTCTAACCCCTGCCGCTGTGAGAACAGGAGGCTGGAATATTCTGGCCAGAATTGGGGCACGCGGTGTGTTGACGTCACATGGCTCTGGGCCCCCTCAATTGCGGGGGGCAAGGCGTCATGCCTGGGAAGAACTTTCTCAATAAACATACAAGACGTAACCGGCTGTAAAGGTAAAGGGACCCCTGACCATTAGGTCCAGTTGTGGCCGACTCTGGGGTTGCGGCACTCATCTTGCTTTATTAGCAAAGGGAGCCAGCGTACAGCTTCCGGGTCATGTGGCCAGCATGACTAAGCCGCTTCTGGCAAACCAGAGCAGCGCACGGAAACGCCGTTTACCTTCCTGCCGGAGCAGTACCTATTTGTCTACTTGCACTTTGACGTGCTTTCAAACTGCTAGGATGGGCAGGAGCAGGGACCGAGCAACGGGAGCTCACCCCGTCGCGGGGATTCGAACGGCCAACCTTCTGATCGGCAAATCCTAGGCTCTGTGGTTTAACCCGCAGCGCCACCCGCGTCCCGTAACCGGCTGTACTTTTGAATAAATAAGGAACCACTACTATGCTATAAGATCCACTATCCTGTAATATTACATATGAGCCTGTTCTACTGATGAAGCCTAGGATGGCGAAACAAGGCTAATATTCAGGAAATCCTTGTCTTAAACTCTGTGAAAGGATTCTGTGGAACTGTAACAACCCTTCATGTGGATTATTGGATTCTATGAACAGACAGGTGGAATAAACACTTATACATGTACAGAACTTGTGCATGAACTGACTAGAGAATGAACTGATCCACTGGGTCTTCTGCTTTTTTCGTTGAACTTTATGAGACTTCCGTTGAAATCTACAATTTGATATGATCACTAGTATTCCTTATTTATTCAAAAGTACAGCCAGTTACGTCTTGTGTGTTTATTGTGTATTGATCCCTTCCTTGGGCTCTACGGTTCTAGGATTCTTTGCCTACGCTATCTAAAAGCAAAGGAAATGTGCCTCTCTCTCTCCCCTGCACCCCTCTAGTTGAAAAACCAACCAATTCAAGGAATCAACCCCAATTCCTTTCAATGGGCAAAGGGTCTCGATAATGCCAGTTCTCTTTTTAACCGGCAGCTGTTTGCATTCCTAGGGGGTTGTAACCTGCTTAAAGGACTTCACAATCCAGAGACGTTGAACCAGGAAGCTGTAAATAAAACAAATGGGGAGGAAGAGGGGGAAGGAATAATAACAACAACAATAATAATAATAATAATCATAATAATTTATTATTTATACCCCGCCCATCTGGCTGAGTTTCCCCAGCCACTCTGGGCGGGGAACACTCCCAACTGAGTGTTAAAAATTAAAAACTTCCCTAAATAGGGCTGCCTTCAGATGTCTTTTAAAAATGGGATAGCTGCTTATTTCCTTCACATCTGAAGGGAGGGCGTTCCACAGGGCGGGCGCCACTACCAAGAAGGCCCTCTGTCTGGTTCCCTGTAGCCTCACTTCTCGCAATGAGGGAACCGCCAGAAGGCTCTCGGCGCTGGATCTCAGTGTCCAGGCAGAACGATGGGGGTGGAGACGCTCCTTCAGGTATACAGGACAGAGGCCATTTAGGGCTTTAAAGGTCAGCACCAACACTTTGAATTGTGCTCGGAAATGTACTGGGAGCCATTGCAGATCTCTCAGGACCGGTGTTATGTGGTCCCGGCGGCCACTCCCAGTCACCAGTCTAGCTGCCGCATTCTGGATTAATTGCAGTTTCCGGGTCACCTTCAAAGGTAGCCCCACGTAGAGCGCATTGCAGTAGTCCAAGCGGGAGATAACTAGAGCATGCACCAGTCTTGCAAGACAGTCCGCGGGCAGGTAGGTTCTTAGCCTGCGTACCAGTACTTTTCAGGATGCCTAAGGAACATCAGTAGCAAGGAATCCCAAGTGGGGAGAGCCTTTTTGTGCTCCTGTCCTGCTTTCCAGGTTCCCAGAACTGTCTGGACAGTCACTGTGACAGCAGAAGCATCTTCCTTATGCTCTTAAAACAAGGTGATTTTACTTCCGGTTGCATTTGGACTCTCCACATCTAAATGATTTTCACCATCCATTTCTCACCAGGCTATGCTGTTAATGTGAGACATAAACAGCCATCTCCCTTGGAGACGAAGGTGGAATAATGTTGCCACCTCCATGGAATGCTCAAGTGATGCGCAACAGCTACCGGATCTTTTTCAACTGATCCCTCCAGTTTGGCATCGGTGCAGCCAGGGTATAACATACATGCGTGTTTTTGATCTCATCCCCTCTTGTTCTTGAGGGACACAGAGCAGGTAAAGGGATGTGTTGTTGCATCCAAGCAAGAACTATCAATGCAGGAGTGCACAGCTTAAAGCTACACTGGACTCCTCATCGAGCCCGTGATCCTATACATGTCTCTCAGAAGCCTCACAGCGTTCAGTGGGGCTTATTCCCAGCAAAATGGGGTGGGGGAATGGGTCACCACCAACAGGGAAAGGACGGTTAGTGAAAATCCAGAAGGTTGCAGTGATGCACAAACATACAGAATTCATGAGAGTGAGAGATGATAAGCCGAGAAATAGGAAATCTTAAAGATATTGTAAATGGAATCCTCTAACTGAATTTGGAAAGCGTAAACGCAGAATAAATATGGATGAATAATATAGCTTTTCTGCATGGTGAAATATTAATAGTTCTACATGACAGGTGTTTATAATGTTTGTATTTAGCTGTTTGCTGTGGTTGCCATATGTTTCTTGAGAATTATCAAAGTTTAATGAACAATAATAAAAATGCAGAGGGACTCTGACTTTCGTTAACGTTCCTGAATGGAAATTAGATCCGAGTCCTGTTTCTTGTGGCAAGCTCAAACCACTTCTTCTAAGGCTGGCGTTGCCATCTGTTTGCTATAAACTTTCCTTACAGCTTGAAAACAACGACGAGGGAGCTTGGATCTTCGAAGAAGCTTTCACTTCTTACTCTTTTTTTTTAACACTTCTCCTCCTGCCAAGGAAATTATTGCTATCTAATTGCTAGCCAAGAGGAGAAGCTTCCAAGTGAGCAAACACACTCTGAACCTCTGCACACTATCTCTGAAAACAGTCAAATATTTACAAGTTAGAAATAGTCACTAAAATATAATCAATCAAATAAACACAAAAAGCAGTATTTAAACATAAATTGCTTTAAGAAAAGTATATTTGGCCCTCCAAACAACGAAAGGCCCCATGTCCTCCCCCCTTTTTTTTGGTGGGTGTGGAAAAAGTACTATAAAATGCATGTTTTGAGGGCAACAGCTTACTGAGATGTTTCAGCACCAGCCCATCTGGGGTTTGATTCTTTGTTTAGGACTCGATCAGCACCAGGGCTTTGTATCCTAAATCAGGTGTCAACTTAGCATGACAAAACTAGGAAGATTATTTTGTTTATTTATTGAATTTGTTAGTTGCTTATCTTGCCCAGGGCAACCCAGATTGTGTCATCACTGTTATGTCATTGTAAATTCACTGTGCTTCTCTAGTATAGGGTATCACAGAGCAAACTTGTTGGATTTCACGGCCATTTTGGCCTCTGCAGTTTGCTTCAATTTCCCTACAGTTACTCTCCCCCTGTGTACATATCTTCCAACTGAGGACAACCATTCATGTGGGCTCATTCATGTGGGCTCAGCAGGCCACAAAAGCTTATGCCACAATAAACCTGCTAGCCTTTAGGGCATGGCCAGTGGTCAAGGGTAATGGGAAGTCCATAATATTTGGCAAGCACCACATTGGCTAGCCCTAATATAAAGGCTAAGTTGAGCAGTCTTTAGATCCAGTTTTCAAAAGGGCCAAGATGCTGAAATTTGGCAGACCTCCTCTGAAAGCAACTGGTTATCTCAGCTGGGGGCCACCACTACAAAAGCCCTGTCATCCGAGTCAATGAAGGAATCATCAAGAGGTTCCCAGAGCAAGCAACCATACAACCATCTGATGTCAGAAGCACCTGGATCTGAGATCGCCTGGGAAACCCTTTATTGAATACACATTTCAATCATAAGATGGGTCCTAAAAAAACAGCACATCCCAAGGATCAAAGTGCAAAGACGTGCATCGTCAGCAAACAACCAAATTTGTTTCTGCTTGGTTTTTTTAGCTCTCACAATATCTCATGGCTTCTATGCTGTTTGCAGACACTGTTGACAGGGAATGTAATTTAGTTCTTAAAGCAAGCTAGGAAAGAGCACTAAAGCACCAAGGAGACAATTGTGTAGCCTTGAGCAAATCACATTTCGCTCTTTTAATGGGATTTACTTCTGAGTAAGCTGGCTGAGTAAGCCAGGCGTGAGCCGCTCTGCCAAGTACTTTGTGCAACTGTTAAACATGCCATTTCATCGCCAATCTCTAAACCGGGGCAGGCAACCAGCGGCCCGTCACATGCTCACATGCTGCGGGACTGAATCTCCCATCATTGCCCCATCCCTGCCTCTGGGGATTTTAAAGTGGGTTTTTAAGGATGTGGAATTGAGGACCAAGGGAGCTGAGGCAGGGAAGGAGACACTGAGCCTTATTTAAGCCAGCTAGCCCGCCAAAGTTTTGCAACACATAAGGAACAGAGGATGCCGTCTTAATAGGATTCAGATCATTGGACCATCAAGCAGAGCATCGTTGACACTTTCTGGTAGCAGCTTTTCAGGCAGAGAAAATCCCTAGCCCTACCTGGAGACGCCAGGAACTGAACTTGAGACCTGCAGCTATCTAGCTCAGGGTTGTTTTGCACTGATTGGAAGTGGCCCTCCAGGTTTTTGGAGGGTGAACATTCCTCGCTTTACCAGGAGATGCCAGAGGTAGAACCCGGGACCTTCTGCATGGCCAAGCACATGTGGGAAACCTTTGACCCTCCAGATGTTGCTGGAATACAATCCCCATCAGCCCCTAGCAAGCACAGCCAGCGGCCATGGATGATGGGAGTTGTAGTCTGGCAACAACCTGGCTGGAAAACAGGTTCTCCACATCTGCCTAATGAGAACAGGAGGGTGCCTGCAAAGACAGAGGACCTCTAGATGCTGCTGGACTACAGCTCCCAATATCCCTGGTTGCTGGCCATTCTGGCTGGGGCTGATGGGAGTTGGAGTCCAAATAAACATTTAGGAGGGATATAGGCTCTCTATCCCTGGGGGTTGGTGCTGGATTTCCTCTGGAGTTTGAAGAATTAAATATAGAAAGGACTTGTGCATTGGACACTCAACTAGCCAAGTCCCAGACCTTGCAAAAGTGAGGACAGAACAGGCGTTTCTGTCCTGGTCGGTCATCAGAATTTCATGCACTTGCAATAAACATACAGGCCACTTGCAGCAGGCAGGCAGGGCCTCGGGTGAATTTCTGTTTAGAATGATTACAGACCCCACCAACGTATAAAACGTTTTCCATTTAAGACCCACGTTTGTCTTAACGGGAAGAAAATTTGTGTTGAGAGGCTTGCATTCTTTCCTCCTGGGAAATGCTTGCGAAAATAGCTCAAAAATGGGGAGAGAGGGGGCAGGAGAAAGAACGGCTGAGTTATGAGTAAGCAGTGATTGCACTCGGCTCTGATGTATTTTGAAGCTCCATTCTGGCACTGGATGATGCAAAAAAAGGAGAACACATGACAGATGCTGAATTTGCCAGAAGACATCTAATTCTACAGCATTTTTAAAAGACATGGGGGGGGTGGAATATCCCTATTGGAACATTAAAAATGATCAAGGGGCAATTGCATCCGTTTTTTTTGCAAGTGGAAGGTTGGGTATTGCATATAGCAATACCATAAGAATCTCCACTTTTTTTACTTTTAAAGAAAATCATATTGGTAGCCGTTGCAGTGAGGCCTGCAACGTGTGTGTATAATATGTAAAATAATTAAATAAATTCATGCCCAGGTTTATGCCCAAGCAGAGAAATCTAGCACAGGCTTCAGAATCAAGCCTCAGTTTTAAAACACCATCCCAACCTCATGTTTCTAGCCCTCATGGATATTTAGAAAAACCTTGAATGTCTCCATGCCCTTCCTAGTCAGTTCCACAAGCAACAGCTGGGCAAGACCCACAGCTGCGAGGATATGGGATTCTTGTGCCTTTCTTAGTAGCTTGCGCCTTCCCACAAAAATGTAAAAACATATATATAGATAAATCTTTCCATGATTGTATACAGGTTACAAGAAAAATTAGGCCTGTGTGATACAGAATATTGTTTATTTGTTCTGTGCCAGGAGCACACAGATGTCATGATCCGAGTTACCGGATATATAACCCATTGCACGTTCAGCCAAACATGGGTTAACCAGAAGCAGCAACTTACCTTGGGTGAAAATTAACCACCATCTAACCACCGAGGATTAACAACTTGCTAACCACTGCTACCAGTGACCCCACAAATTCTGGTCCAGCCTATACTTGTGGGGAAGGAGCCGTCCTCACTCCTACGCACCTCAAAGAACCTGCTAGCCTGGACCACGCAGGGGGAACCTTTTGGCCCTCGGGCTGAACTACAACTCCCATCATCCCAGGCCGCTGGCCACGCTTGCCGAGGCTGATGGAAGTTGCAGTTCCGCCACATCGGAAAGGGCAAAAGGTTCCCCACACCTGGCCTGGGCAGCCTGCAATGAGGTCTGATTAAACAGGGAGGTATAGAGCACAGCTAGCAGTCATCACAGAGAATTCAACTCATGTGCTCTTTGGCCGCTCCGCCAAGGGGTGGCCAGGATAGTGGTGTTTGCCAGATGTTCTGGACCACAACTCCCATCACCCACTGCTCCCATACAGTATGAACCAAGGCCTATCCAGGAAGCAGGGCCAATGGCCAGGGGCCAGTTGTGGTTCAGTAGCATGGGGCCAAAAGTGTTTCCCCCACCTGGCCCAATATCTCCCCTCCCCCACCATCCTTGCCTCCATCTCTCTCCTCCCCATTGCATACAACACTCATTGTGGTGTGGCTTCACTGCCACAAACACAATGCAGTATAAAAAATGTGATTGTTTTCCCCAAACTGAACTGATCGGCAATCGAGTAGGGCGTTGCCCCGCTGGCTTTTCACTGTATTTCTATAGTGAATCTGCACTTTGAGCAAACAGTATAATGGATATGTCCCTCCACCACTGCCACCAATGTGCACTTTGTCTCACTCTACAAGGGGTCGTTTCAGTCTCATGGCAAGAGCCGTCTCTCTCTCTCAGCAGTCCGCTATGAAGGGAGGAAAAGGGATGGAGGAGCAGGGTGTTGGAGGTAGAGAGGGTGGCCTCACCCACTTTGGGCCATGGCCTGCACCCCCCAACAAATCAACTCAAGAGTGAACATAACTCTGGAAAGCAAAAAACGGAGCTCCTGCCCTCTGATCTAATGATAGCAGATGTTTAGGACTAGAAACAGCACTTTGAGGCAGGCAAACTTGCACCCCCTCCCCATGCACAAAACGCGTAAGCTCCTCAACCGGTTTGCAGGGCAAAATCGAAAAAGGATGCATTTTGATACACCCCCATTCCTCTTCTGCCTCTCCATCCCACCTCACCGGACACGCAATCCTTTCAGGACCGGGGTAGAAGGATGGATTCACTTTTCACCAGAAACCAGTCCCAGTTGGCTTTCCCATTGTTCCTTGGCATTACGTAACAAAATATTTAAGTCAGGGTTCGGGGCTGAAATTCTTCCTGCTCTGGCAAAGGGCATTCTGTAACAGATGTGTGTAGTGTTTGCCCTACATAAGGAAAACTAGTGTTCGGCTTTCGCTCACCATCCTCAGCACCTAGATTCTAAAAACCTAACAAACAAACAAAAAAGGGTTCTCCAAGAAGAGTCTGAGACTACCCAGCCCAAGATGGTTCCCCCCCTGGCAAGATCCACTCTCAGAGGGGAAGGAAGGAAACCGCAGCTTCTTTTCGAGCCAGAAATAAGTTGTTCAGCAGCTTCTAAAAGAGAAGCTAAGTCTCAGAAGAACAATTACAGCTGGTAAGGTTTTGGAAGCTGGCATTGTGAATTGTAGGCCTTTGGAGCACCTTGATCTGTACTGCCGGAATCAGAAGCCAAGCGGAGCTCCGGCGCGATGAAGGAACGCCGGCTTGGGCGCAGGGCAGGAACCGTTCCGAGCACAGAATCGTTCTTGGGGAGGCAGGGTTGGAAGTAGTGGAGGTGGAGAGGACAGTTCCCCTGCTTCGAAGCCAGCCGGACCCTTGCGGAAAGGGCGTCATCCCTTGCGAGCTCCCCCCCCCCCCGCACTGCGTGGGCTTAGTGGCCTATCTGCCGGTCGTCGTACGTGCTGTAGCGCTTGACGTGGATGCGCCGGACACGGTCGCGCAGCTCAAAGCTGCCGTCATCGTCTTCGCTCTGGGAGGTCTGGGGGCGGCTCCGGCTGGTCGCCTCGAGCAGGGAGTTGTCGGGCACCCGGGGAGTCTCGTAGAGCAGGACGTTCAGGGTCTCCTCGTAGATGCGGGCCTCGGGGAACTCAACCTGGAGGGAGAAAAGAGTTGAGGGGGTTACCGGGAGGAGCAAACGCACCAAAGATCACCCTTCTTTACTGACACTTGTGGAACGCTTTCCCCAGGGAGGCTTGCCAGGCACTCCTGTTACGTGTCTTCGAGCGTCAAGCAAGAACCTTCCCTTTTATCCAGGCCTTTGGCTTTTTAGCTATGGCCTTTTAGAGTGAGTAGAATGCTTTCATGCATTATTATTATTTATTGAACCGCAATACCTCAAGGACCGCCTCTTTCCATATGAACCTACTCAGACACTGAGATCGTCTTCTGAGGCCCTTCTTAATGTGTCTCCTTCACGAGAGGTCCAGAGGGTGGCAACACGAGAACGGGCCTTCTCTGCGGTGGCTCCCCATCTGTGGAATGCTCTCCCCAGGGAAGTTTGCCTGGCGCCTTCATTGTACACCTTTAGACGCCAGGCAAAAACGTTCCTTTTTAACCAGGCCTTTGGTTGATCTGATTTACATCCTATACCCTTTTAAATGTGGTGGGGTTGGGGGGGGCTATTGGGTTGTTGTTTTTATTTTTATTATGTATTTTGTGGTTTTATATCTTGATTTTATTCTGTGAACTGCGCTGAGATCCCCAGGTATAGGGCGGTATATAAATTCAGTAAATAATAATAATAATATACCGCCCTTCTGCCATAGATCTCAGGACAGTCCACAGACTTAAAATACAAGATAAAAACACAGAATGCAAACAAGAACAAGAACAAGAACAGAAAATAACCACCACCACCTATTTTAATGTATGGATTTTTAAAATATAAGCTGCTTTGACTTGCCATAGCAAAGAAAAAAAGCAACAAGCAAATTTAATAAATACTAATAACGGAGGCCAGAGGGAGTAAGTCCTCTCAGCTACTTCCCCCTGCCCTGCTGCTGAATCTTATTCAAGTAAATACAAGCCTAAGGGCTTAGTTACTTCCCCACCCCAGAATCCTCAGCTGCCTCCTTCGCTCCACTGCGTCAGACAGCAAGAGTGGAGCAGGGGTGCTGAGGGCAGGGAAAGAGGTTGTAGCTTCTGCCTCCGCCAAAGCGCCTTACACCCTTCGCCATAACTAGGAGCAGCAGAATCTCGTAAAAAGAAGGCCATCGCCGATCACAGTGACGAGATGGTTACATGCACAAAGATGGGAGGAAGTATTATTGCCTGCTATAGAAGAACAGCTGTTGGAATTAATGGATTTGGCTGAGATGGCCAAGTTGGCATGCTTAATTAAGAGAAAAATCACTGTTGACATTTATTAATGATTGGAAACCCATCAGGGGCTTTCTGTGCAATAAGGAAAATGAACTTGTGCAGTATCAGGTTTGAAGAGTAAAAAAACGGTTGGCTATGGAAAGTGGAAGAGTTGAATGTTGTTATGAATTAACAATTTTGGACAAATTTTTAAAGCTCATAGACAGAGAATTGGAAGTTTTCTCCTTTTATTCTTCTCTTATCTATTTTCTTTTAATTTTCATGTTTAAAAAGGCTTGATATTTGTTGCTTATTTCGGTATACTGCTTTTTTATGTTTATTTCTGTATACTGTTTTTTCAAGCTTTAATAAAAATTCAAGGAAAAAAACAAAAAAGAAAAAAGAAAGCACAAACATGTCAAATCGGAGCCCTCTCCCCGTCCCCAAGGACTGGTTAGTTCGACACTGGTATGTGAAATTTGGCACCCTGCTCTGCTTTTTTGTTTCACATGCCACCCTCCCTGCTTCAGACTGTTGCAAGTCAAACGCAGTGGGGACAGTCAAAGCAAGAATGCCCAGAATTCCCTTGACTGCCTTTGGTCTATTGTTATTTTAACTTTTTGAAAGTTTTATATTACTGTTTTACATGTTTGTTGTTTTAGATTTTTTTATGTTTGCTTTTTACAATCAAGACGTGCACAAATCTTCTGAAATAAATTAATCTGGCAGGCCGCTGTGAGAACAGGAGGCTGGACTAGATGGGCCCCTTGGCCTGATCAGCAGCCTTGTCTTATGTTCTTATTGGATTATTAAGTTATATATGGTCCAATACGTGTGCTTTGATATTGGCTCTTTCCCTGGCCTACGGAGGCACCGTGAAATCCTCCCCTGAAATTTGCCCAGAAGAAGCCACACAGAAAGGGATGTCCGTGTTGATAGCCCCGCCCCCCAACAGAAACCACAAGGTTAAAATACCTTGGTTTGCTTCTTCTCCGTAGCGTAAACTATGGATGTGCAACAGACTTCGGCCAGCTTCCTCCCCTGACCGTAGAATGACCAGCAACAGATCTCATCCCCAATCACGTCTTTGATGAAGAGGACTCTCCCGTTGAAGCTGAGGGAGAGCTTATCGAACAATTCTATGTTCTTCAACAAATTGTCGTCGGAAGTGCTGAAAAAATGATTTTAAAAAAAGAGGAATGACGTATGTGGATCATGGGCTTGTGACAGGGCCTTTTTGGTGGCGGCTCCCCGTTTGTGGAATGCCCTCCCTGGGGAGTTATGTCTCCCACCCTCGTTATTGACTTTCAGGAGGATGTTAAGAACATTCCTGTTTCCCCCAGGGGTTTGATGGCTGAAAGACACAGTTCCTGGCAACCCTGAAAGCACTGGTTGAATGTTTTAACTGTTATCGGAATGCTTTTTAAAGTTGTCATGATGTGTTTTCCACCCTGGGCTCATTTGCAAGGAAGGGCAGGATATAAATTGAGTAAATAACCATTTTTTCACATCTGGATTCTGCCTCGCCCCCCCCCCCCCAAAAAAGAGCTCAGAGGTCCCTCTGCCCATTTTAATCCTCACAAAAACCCTTTCAGGTAGGTTGGGCTGAGAAGATGGGTGACTGACCCAAGGCTGCCTAGCAAGATTCACAGCTCAGTAGGTATTTGAACCTAGGGCTCCCTAGTTGGAAACTTCAACCCCATTACACGATGCTAGTCTTCACATGCTCAACATCCCAAGCGCAAGAACCCCGTCCTCACATTCTTTATCTGAAGGAGACCAAGTGAGCAGTGGAAGATCCGCTTGCCCCAGATACTCAATAAGAACAGGCTGAGCGTTTCCAGTTAAAATAAAAATTAAAAAGAAAGAAAAGAATTGGTAACAGGGCAATGTATGGCCAAGACTGTAGGCAGCTGCTGCCAGTCAGAGTGGACAATGCTAGGACTGACGGGCAAATAAAATAAATAGGAAGCTGTTTATAGCAGATCAGACTATTAACTGCCTATCCTCCACGGTATTTTAAATTTAAATTGGGAGAGCTGTGCTGTTTCGTACGGCAATTAAATCAAATCTTTCCAAATATTAAAAAGAGAGAGAGGTTTGCTCCAGCTGAAACCAACATGGAATAAATATGAAATAAGCCCGGGTTCACTGTCCTTCACATTTACTACCAGAGACAATAAATTCAACACTGTGGGGAGGGTGTCTCAAACTACCGTGAGATGCTGGACTAGATGGGCCACAGGCCTGATCCAGCAGCCTCGTCTTAGGGAGACAGCAGAGACTTTACCTTGTGTAGGAATACTTGTTGTTGCTCCTGTTATACAGCAGCTTCACCACAGGCTGGAAGGAAGAGGGGAAGTGTCAGAAATATAGAGCTAGACGGGACCACAAGGGTCATTCAGTCCAGCCCCCTGCAATGCAGGAATCATTCGCCCAACGTGGGGCTCAAACCCACCACCCTGAGATTAAGTCTCGGGCTCTACAGACTGAGGAAGAAGACGGCTAGGTCACGCTGCTCAGTCAGGGCCTCTCCTGGGCAAAGGGGTCTCTGGTGAGCCCCCTTCGTGTGGCACTTTCTTGAGCCTATTTGTCAGTAGCAGCAGCGGCAGCAAACACACCCAAGGGCAGCCAGGAGGCTCCCTGTTTCTCCAGAAACAGTAAAAGGGAACCTTTTTTTGTCTTAGGGCCACATTCCCTCCTGGCTAACCTCCTGAGGGCCACATGCCAGTAGTGGGTGGGGCCAGAGGCAAAAGTAGGCAGGGCCACACATGAAAATATTGTCTTTGTGTAGTCCAGGGGTAGGCAAACTAAGGCCCGGGGGCCGGATGTGGCCCAATTGCCTTCTCAATCCAGCCTGCGGACGGTCCGGGAATCAGCGTGTTTTTACATGAGTAGAATGTGTCCTTTTATTTAAAATGCATCTCTGGGTTATTTGTGGGACATAGGAATTCGTTCGTTTCCCCCACAAAAAATATAGTCCGGCCCACTACATGGTCTGAGGGATGGTGGATCGGCCCAAAGCTGAAAAAGGTAGCTGACCCCTGGTGAAGGCGGTTAGTTTCAACACACACTGACGTGCCCCCTCCCTGTAGTCTCCCGCAAGGAGCATTTTTGGACTTCAAAGACAGGTTCCAACCAGGAAAAAACATTTGGGGGTGTGAAGTAGGGGTGGTGAGGGATGTCTGGCCTGGCGGGAGCTCAGAGGGGTCCGGAGGGTGTCATTTGGCTCTGGGGTCTGGGGTTCCTCACCCTTGGCTCCAGGGCACTGTCGAAAGTTAAAATGGTGGGGATCCTTTTGACCCTCTGGATGCTGCTGAACTACAACTCCCATCATCCTTGGCCACTGGCCATACGTGCTGAGGCTGATGGGAGCTGTGGTTCAGCAGCATAGTGTCAGTCTAGGGCTCCACTCATGCCTCCTATCTCCCCTTTCTGGGTCTTCCTGGGGTACCCCGATCCACGAATTCCCCATCTCTGGAAATTCAAGAACAAGACCTGGAAGGAAAAGCACTCACTTTCATTGCGGATTCGATGAGCCTCTCCTCTTCTTTGGGTGACGTGATGACCGGGATGTTGCAGACGGGCTTGTACGAATCTTTCTTGTCCTGCAGAAGAGAATTGCAGGCACACAGGTGAGTGCAGGTTCGGTGTCCCCTTCTTTGGGGGACCACAGAATCGTAGAGTTGGAAGGGACTCCCCCCAAAAGGTCATCTAGCACAACATCTAGCAAGGCAGGAATCTCAACTTAAAAGCACCCAGGACAGATAAGCCTGCAAAACGCAAAAGTCAATACCCAGCCTGAAAACCACGCTAAGCACACTTGCGAGGGGATAAGAGTTTCAAAAGTTAGAACTCTCCAAGATCCAGTTTAAGGAGGTGGTTAAAAATGCACTTCACTGCCCTCCCCACACGGTTGCCGACTGTGTAAAACAGGTGTGGAGGAACCTATGCCCCTGCTGAACTACAACTCCCACCATCCATGATCATTGGTCATGTTTGCAGGGGCTGGTGGGAGCTGTAGTTTGGCAACAACTGGAGGGCCTAAGGTTCCCTGCAGCTGGTGTAAAAGAGGAATGGGGGACTGGGACTGCACCCACAGGTCTCTCACAATGTCGTTGGCCCTCAAAATCAGTGCAGGAGCTGGTCCACAGGGAGACAAAGGAAGTATTTGCAGGAAATATTTAGGACCTTAGGAAGCTGGCTTATACGGAGTCAGACTATTGATCCACCAAGTCTAGTACTGTCTACACTGACTGGCAGTGGCCCTCCAGGAGATGCTGGGGATTGACCCTGGGACCCAGGAGCTCTATGGCCCTTTCCCATGTCAGAGGCTGGGCAGCCATCTGTCAGGGCTGCTGCAGTTGGGGAATTCCTGCACTGAACAGATGGCTAGTAAGAGCTGTTCAACAGCTGAATGGTCTCCCTCGGGAGGTGATGGACTCTCCTTCCTTGGAGGTTTTTAAGCAGAGGTTGGATGGCCATCTGTCATGGAGGCTTTAGCTGAGATTTCTGCATTTCGGGGGGGGTGGACTAGATGACACGTGGGTGCCCCTTCTGACCCTACAGTTCTGTGATTCTATGACCTCCAAGGGTCCCCCTAACCCTACGCACATGCAGCTCTCACCTGCAGAGCAGCCTGGCAGAGGTCTACCAAGCCCTGGATGAGGTAATATTTGGCTTCAGCCATTAGCTCTTTGACCTCCTGCCGGTTCTTCGGCAGGGCAACCGTGTTGTCTCGGAGGTAACTTAAAACGGTCCCAAAATGCTTCCCGCAGCGGTCGATGAGGATCCAGCCTGTGAGAGCAGGAGAAGGTGAGAGAGCTGCAATCTGAGCTGGCATCAGGTAGGAGTGGAAGCTGATCAACAACAGGCAAGAAAAAGCTTGCGCCCGCCCCAACCCTGGTTTAAATGGTTCTTCATTGTTATATTTATTTAAACGCCACCTTTTCCCCTAACAGTACTCAAGGCTGCTTACAGATAATAATAAAAAACAGCTAAAAACACAGAAAAATACATCACTGGAAAATGAGTATGCGTCGACAGAATTCAGACTACAATGGTACCTCGGTTTATAAACTTAATCCGTTCCGGAAGTCCGTTCTTAAACCAAAACCATTCTTAAACCAAGGTGCACTTTCCCTAATGAGGCCTCCCACCACCGGTACTCTTCCACCACTCGGATTTCGTTCTTAGACCGAGTTAAGTTCACAAACCGGGACGCTACTTCCGGTTTTGTGGGGTTCGTAAACTGAACAGTTCTTAAACAAGGCTGTTCTAAAACCGAGGTACCACTGTATATACATATATAAAATCTGTTTAAAAGCATACCAATAATTACAATAAAAACAGCACGGCACCAGCCCTTTCATTAAAAGCAGTTTCCAAAATCCTGTCGGCGCAATAAAGTCTTTACCTGCTGGCGGAAGGACAGCAAGGAGGGAGCCAGTCCGGCTTCTCTAGGGAGAGACTTCCAGAGTATGGGAGCAGCCACCGAGAAGCCCCTCTCCTGCATCCCCACGAAGCATGCCTGTGAGGGTAGCAGGACTGAGACAAGGGCCTTCACTGAAGAGCTCAAACCCCGGGCAGGTAGAATTTGTTATATTCTGTTTTATTTGATGCTTTAATGTGTTGTAAACCATTTTTTAAATTTAAAATATAAAGCGGTATAGAAATGAAATGAACAATAATAACGCCAGTAATACTAAATCTCATTGCAAAAAAAAGCAAAAACAAAAAGCTGCTTAAGACATTTCGTTGTGGCAACCACAAGCTAGGTTTAGCTTTTGCACCCGAGCTTCTAACACTGGCTGCCAACACTGGCCCCTGGCTCACCTTCTTTGTCCGAAAGCACCTCCATCCTGCCGCTGAACATGGCCTTCAGCATGGTGTCGTGCCGCGTCAGCACCTGCACCGTGGTGTAGTAGAGGGACCCGCCGACATTGAGCCGCACGTACTTGTTGCCCAGGGTGCCGCCTTTGAAGCCGCAGCCCTTGGGCTTGGCTCCTGGCGAGGGACAGGCGGCTGCCAGGCAGGTGTCTCCGGACATCTCCTTCTGCAAGTAGATGACAACTCTGCAGAGGGTGGGCTTGACCGACTCCGCCGTGGTTGTGGGGGGAGGTTGGAGAGCCACGAGGTCACTGGCTGGGCAAGGAGAGTATTCCCAGAAGCAGTTTGCCCCTGAAGCCAAGAAACTGAACAGAGAAAGGGAGAGGGAGAGAAACTTTATTTCTCTTTGCACAGGGAATACAAGCAAGACTCCGATAATTCTGATATGAGCCCACGCAGGTGCCAAGGTTTGGCTGGCTTAGTGACCTAGCTTTCTGGGCTCTATGGACAAGATTGTTATCTGTCCACAATCCTGGGAGCCAATATTAAAAGGTGGGTGGTGGCAGAACCCACCTATCAGTCGCCTGACATTATTATGGTGTCAGATGATTGACGGATGGGTTGCCAAGGCACTACAGAAAATGCTCCCGCCTGGTTGCTACCAGCCATGGCCCACAAGGTTGAGGGAATCTGGGGCTCAGGTGAGGATGACCAGAGCTTGCCAGGAGAAATGTACAGAAGTTGATTGTCCCCAAGGGACCAACATCCCAAACCATTTGGGATGTTGCCGGTTAACAGCAGTGCCCTGAACGGAGGCTGGAAACAGAGGCGCAGCTGCCTCATTCCATGCAGCACTTGCAAAAAGCAATGAGTGCAAGAGGACGAGGCTCGGAAAAGTGCAGACAATGCTTGTTGAGTTCTCCAAAGGCAAAGCTTCCTAGCAGGGCATCATTCTCAAGCCTTATCCAACAGCCATCTAGAACATTTGCTAAAGCCAGGTTTCTCACGAAACCAAGTTGCTAGTCCTTGTGATTACAATGAGGGCAATGAACCCACTAGCTCCAAGTTCCCAGGCTGGCTGTTGAAAGCCCTACCGCTCAAGAAAAGGACAGTGTGGTCTCACCAGCAGAGAATGTAAGAAGAGGGCAGAGGAATCGGTGCCCCAGAAATCTCCATGTATTTGTTGCCCAGTTGCCCAGGGACTGCAGAGCTGATGGGCATCACATTCTGGGTTCTGCCATCAGCCAGGGGTCTAATTGCCACTGGGTGGCTGAAACCCCAGAGGAAGAGCAGTTCAAGCCCATCCAGTGGCCAAGCAGCAGCAGCAACAGCAACAGCAGGGAGCTAGCTTCCCCTCTTCCCACCAGAAGGAGCACTGATAAGAACTTTCTGCCTAAGAACCAGCACTTGTGTTTGCTTTCCACCTCCTCCAGCCCAATCCCTTTTCCTTTTGTGCTGAGTCTCTGGGATTGGAAGCCTGAGGGGCAGCAGCCCTTTTCAGGAGAGCAAAAGTATTTTAAACAAATAAAATAAAACAATACTTTGAATAAAAACCTTACAGGGGTGCCGTAAGGACAAACTGAGATGTGTAATACCTAAGCAGCTGCAAAAAGTTTTATAAAAGCTGGTTCTAAGCAAAGGGGGAAAGGTACCTGCCTTTTCTAAGCTGCAATGGTGCAGAGCGCCAGCCAGCCGGCAGATCAGTAAACTGCCGTCTGGATGAGACCAAAGTCCGCAAACTCAATCCACGCATCTCCAAACAGCGACAGGAACCTGGGGCCCCTTCCCAGCCTTCCAGGATGACGTAATGGGCCTGACTCAAGACTGTCCCACACAATAGAAGCATTTCCTCTGCTTCCCCTAGTCCTCCAGTGCATTTTTGCATTTGTGACACACACACACAAACTGGAAATGACCGAAGGCTTAACAAGCTTCTATTTCCAGCAGCCCCGTTTCCATATCCAAGCGTGGCATGCAGATGGCATTTGGGAAAGGGCGTGAGAAGCCTGCTGTAACGAGAACGGCCACGGAAATATTCGATTGCAAGGGAATGCAGAGATAAGTGACCTTTGGGAGAATGCAGTGGTTATAATAAACAGTCTGTGTGCTGTGTCCTCCAGCAAACTGAGTCATGAGTGGGTCCATGGGCCGATAATGCAATTATGCAGCCCAACACCGGACATTCCTCTTATGAGCCCAGGAAGTTGCTTTGTACAGAGGTAGACCCCTGGTCCATCTAGCACAGTATTGTCTACACTGACTGGCAGTGGCTCTCCAGAGTTACAATCCCTATTGGGGATTGAACCTGAGGCCTTCTGCATGCAAAGCAGGTGTCCTGTCACTGAGCTGTGGTCCTTTCCCTAAAAATAAAAGAAGAGTCTAGTTCTCATGGTTCTGGATAAAGGAATGAAATAAGTAAGCATTGCATTGAGATGCTTGACATATCTAAGAGCTGACGTAGTTGGTACAGAACAGGCACAGGCAAACTCGGCCCTCCAGATGTTTTGGGACTACAATTCCCATAATCCCTGACCACTGGTCCTGTTAGCCAGGGATCATGGGAGTTGTAGTCCTAAAACATCTGGAGGGCCCAGTTTGCCTATGCCTGGTACAGAACATATTGATATGTAGATTTTAAATATTAGGCTTCAGCCTTCTGACCCAACATCACCCTCCCCTGAGGGGAAAGAATCTCAGCCAAGGCAGCAAGGCAGGCAAAAATTCTAAACCAATAGTAACTTCATTCACCAAGTGCCAAATGCTCATGTAGGAAAAACAGAACAAAACCAGGCTTCATCTCACACACCCATGTTGAAAAGGGAAATCGGAACCTTTCAAACTTTCTACACACCGGATTTTCCCATTCTGCATTGTTGCCTATTTACTTAACTATCACTGACCCATTCATTCATGTGATTTAATGAATGGCTGAAGGGGAGGGGGAGATGTAAGGCTAACACTGTAAAAAAGGTCAGTCGGTGGAGGGAACGTTGGGAAGAACCAAGGGGGTAATGGTTACAGGCTGCAGGAAAAGAAAACTTTAAAAAGAAAATTAATTAAATCAGGGATGGGGGTGTTTTTTAAGTCAAGGGCCGCATCCCCATGTGGGCAATCCTCAGAAGTCCACATGGCAGCGTGGACTGCAGGAAGGTGCCCAAATGCAAAATTTATTCATCGTGATGGTTTCAAAAGGGAGGGTGAATGGCAGGTCTTCTTTCTCTCCAGCGCTCCATATTTATTTGGCCCTCTTGCAGGCCGGTAACAGCCAGCAGAAATCCAACAGGTGCGGCTTCCCCGACCTCTCTCAGCCACGCTGTGGGATTTCTATCGACCCCAGCTCTGCAGCCACCCGGCTCTCTTGCTGGTTTAAACAGCCAGCAGGAAAGAAACCGGTGTCGCCTATCCCTATCAGCGCAGCACCTGTGGAACTTCCTGCTCCCACTTTGTTTGTTGTTGTTGTTTAGTCGTTTAGTCGTGTCCGACACTTCGTGACCCCATGGACCAGAGCACGCCAGGCACTCCTGTCTTCCACTGCCTCCCGCAGTTTGGTCAAACTCATGCTGGTTGCTTCAAGAACACTGTCCAACCATCTCGTCCTCTGTCCTCCCGTTCTCCTTGTGCCCTCCATCTTTCCCAACATCAGGGTATTTTCCAGGGAGTCTTCTCTTCTCATGAGGTGGCCAAAGTATTGGAGCCTCAGCTTCACGATCTGTCCTTCCAGTGAGCACTCAGGGCTGATTTCCTTCAGAATGGATAGGTTTGATCTTCTTGCAGTCCATGGGACTCTCAAGAGTCTCCTCCAGCACCATAATTCAAAAGCATCAATTCTTCAGCGATCAGCCTTCTTTTTGGTCCAGCTCTCACTTCCATACATCACTACTGGGAAAATCATAGCTTTAACTATACTTACCCCTTACCCACTTACCCCTGTTTAAAGGAGCAACCACGCAAGAGAAAGCAGCCATTCTTTATTTCCGCCTCCCCAAATATTTACCTCCCTTTTCCTCCACGGCTGACCTACTTCTGACCGCCCCCCCCCCGCGTTCCAACAGCCAATCAGCTCTCTCGCCCAAATTTACTCACCCACCAGCCAACTTTCCGCCCTCCCGCCCCATTTCCTCGCCCGCTAAACGCAAACACAACGCCACTTTCTCAAATGGGCCCGCCCGCCTCCCCACTGGCCCCTCCAACCCCCGGCTGTTTACCTTACCCGACTCGCGAGGCAACCGGCGCTGCTGCTCCAACTAAGGCCTCCGCCTCGCACCGGGAGGCGGCGGGATCTGAGCAGAACCGGCTGCGAGCGAAACCAGCCAGCCGGCGCGCCCCTCAAGCTTCCCAGACCCGGCCGAAAGGCGGAGCCCAGGAACGAGCAGCTCCAGCCACAAGCCGCCCTTCCCAGTCAGGCGCCTCGGCCTACAAATCCCAGCGTGCAACGCGCGCCGACAGCCGCCCGCAGACGGGACTACGTTTCCCAGCATGCACTGCCCATTTTGCCCCCCTCCATCGCCAGGCAAAAGCTTTGAGTCCAGAGCTGTCGATCGCCTTTAAATTTTTTTTTTAAAAAAGACCAAAGTAGTAGACTATGAAACACCCCACGCGGGGTGTTCATAAATGTGCAATTATTTGAGGTTTGTTTCTGATGTAAGGGACAAGCATGATTTTAAACAGTTTAAAATCAGGAGTGGGGAGCCTTGTTCATCTCAGGGGCCGCCATGGTAGTAGCCAGGATTTATATTTTAATTGGGAGGGGGGTAGAATCTTAAGTTTTCTTGGCAGGGATAGTGGAGTGGCTTGCCGGTTCCTCCTCCAGGTGGATCACGTTTGGTCAAAACTCTCCACTATGACCTGTTCATCTTGGGTGCCCTGCTCGGCATAGTTCATAGCTTCTCTGAGTTACTCAAGCCCCTTCGCCACGGCAAGGAAGTGATCCATGAAGGAGAAGGGGACGACAGAGGACGAGATGGTTGGACAGTGTTCTCGAAGCTACCAGCATGAGTTTGACCAAACTGCGGGAGGCAGTGGAAGACAGGAGTGCCTGGCGTGCTCTTGTCCATGGGGTCACGGAGAGTCGGACACGACTAAATGACTAAACAACAAGAATCTTAAGTATTTTAAGTTGTTAAATATTTTAAGTATTTTATTGATTTACTTGGTCGGGAAGGCAATTGCACCCGCTTCCCCCCTTGGCTAATAATAATAACAACAACAAATGGTGTTAGCCGCCCTGAGCCGGGTCTTGGCTGGGGAGGGCGGGGTATAAATAAAATTTATTATTATTATTATTATTATTATTATTATTATTATTGGCCAAGGGGGGAAGCGGGTGCAATTGCCTTCCCGACCAAGTAAATCAATAAAATACTTAAAATATTTAACTTAAAATACTTAAGATTCTACCCCGTCCCCCAATTAAAACATAAATCCTGGCTACTCCCATGGCGACCCCTGAGATGAACAAGGCTCCCCACTCCTGATTTTAAACTGCTTAAAATCATGCTTGTCCCTTGCATCAGAAACAAACCTCAAATAATTGCACATTTATGAGAGCGTCGCGTGTATAAAGTATAAAACAATTGATTAAAATACAATGGTTCCCCGTTTCTCTGTAGACGTCTCTGGCGCCATCCCTCGCGCTCCCCCTCCTTGCTTTTGGATGCTTCCTAGAGAAACTACACTTCCCGGGATGCCTTCTCTCTCCTCCATCCCCCGCCTCGCTAAGTGGTACGTTCCTTGTGGGCGGGGCGGCAGGAGGCGGAGCCAGTGGCGGCTGCTGCTGCTGCTGTCGCCGTGGCAGCGGAAGGCCGCGCTGGAGGAGGGAGGGAGGGGCAGCCGGGAGCCACCTGGTGCGTCCGCAGGGGCTGCAGGTGAGCCGGGCGACGGGGACCCCATAGGGGTGGCATTGGGAGGCGGAGCGAGGAGGGTGGCAGGCAGGCAGGTAGCCCATGCCTCTACGTGCCAGTTGCTGGGAGAACAGCAGGCAGCCCGTCCGCCAGGGCTGCTTGCCTGCCTTTGTGCCCATCCTCGTGGGCTTCCCTGGGGCACCTGCCTTGCTTGGCCAGCAGGCGATGGGGCCTCGGGTGGCGCTTGGGGTGGAATATGATGCTCGCCTTTAGCAGCTGCAGTAGCTAGAGACGAGCCTCCCTGTTCAGGGACAGTCTATCTCACGGGACCAGCTGGTTATCTCCCGCTTGGACTACTGCAATGCGCTCTGCGTGGGGCTACCTTGGAAGGTGACCTGGAAACTACAACTAATCCAGAATGCGGCAGCTAGACTGGTGACTGGGAGCAGCCGCCGAGACCACATAACACTGGTCTTGAAAGACCTACATTGGCTCCCAGTATGTTTCCGAGCACAATTCAAAGTGTTGATGCTGACCTTTAAAGCCCTAAACAGCCTCAGTCCAGTATATCTGAAGGAGCGTCTCTACCCCCATCGTTCAGGTCCAGTGCCGAGGGTCTTCTGGCGGTTCCCTCACAGCGAGAAGCCAAGTTACAGGGAACCAGGCGGAGGGCCTTCTCGGTAGTGGCGCCCGCCCTGTGGAACGCCCTCCCATCAGATGTCAAAGAGGACAACAACTACCAGACTTTTAGAAGACATCTGAAGGCAGCCCTGTTTAGGGAAGCTTTTAATATTTGATGTATTACAGTATTTTAATATTTTTTTGGAAGCCGCCCAGAGTGGCTGGGGAAGCCCAGCCAGATGGGTGGGGTATAAAGAATAAATTATTATTATTATTACTATTTTGGGGTGGCTTTTTTTGTGTGGGCTTCCGATTGCCAAAGGGTTGGCCACTGTGACAGAACAGGATGCCGGGCTAGGTGGTCCGGGGAAGCTCGTTTTGTAGGAAGGGTTAGGTTGGGTCGCAGCCACAGGTGGGAATAATGGGAGCATCCATGTTCAGGGGGAGTGGACCACTGGGTAGAGCTGTGAATCAGCTGTTTGGCAAGGCTGCCCAAGTGTGTTTTATCATCAGTAGAAACACAATAGAGCTGAGCTGTAAAAGGAAGGTTTCATCAGCTGGCAATTTGTGTGTGTGTTTTTAAAGAGTTGTCTTGATTTTATTCAACCTCTTCTTATGATTTGTTTTGTATTGTAACCTTGAGATGTGGTCCAAGAATACTTTAATAAAGTAAAGACACTCCCTCCCATCCTTCTAAACACATAAATGTTTTGACGCTCCCTGCCACAAGGCTGGCTTCTATTTATTTATGTTATTTATTTCCCATAAATATGCATAAATACATAGCCAAAGAGGGGCCCGTCAGTGTGTCCCTTTGGAGGGAGTTCCACAGGTACCACCAAAAATAGCTTCCTCCCCTGCTAGGCAGCAACATCTACAGAGCTAAAGGTTCCCCATATTTATCTGAATGGCAGATGAATGGTAGGCCTTCATTACAGTTGTTAAATTGAGTTTAAAACCACATCCTGACTGGTGAAGTGGGTCTCGGCCCTGGAAAAATGTGGCAAAAATATTCTCAGAGTGGCTGAAAAGTAAATCTCTCTAGGAAGTGTAAGCTCTGTGAGAGGACTAGGCATCACCAAACAACTCCTTACCAAACTACAGTTCCCACGATCCTTTGGAGGAAGGCACAACTTTTAAAGTGGGGTGATACTGTTTTAGCTGTATAGTATAGATGAGGCCTTACTCAGGGCTTTATATGCCAATAGCACGGCCTTATCCTTCACCTGATAGCACATTGGCAGTTCTTTCAGCAGAGTTGTTATGTGCTGTCAATAAGGCACCCCCTTCAACAGCCTTGCTGATCCATTCTGCATTGGCTGCGACTTCTGAACCAACCTTAAGGGAAGCTCCACACAGAGTACATAAGGATACACTGAAATAAGGAAATGGGCGACAAGCCTATTGGGAACCCAAGCATCAAAGCCTATTGGGAACCCAAGCATCAAAGCCTATTAAGAGCCCAAGCATCAAAGCCTATTAGGAGCCCAAGCATCAAAGCCTATTAAGAGCCCAAGCATCCCAATACAGTGGTGCCCCGCAAGACAAATGCCTCGCAAGACGAAAAACTCGCTAGACGAAAGGGTTTTGCGTTTTTTGAGTCGTTCCGCAAGACGAATTTCCCTATGGGCTTGGTTCGCAAGACGAAACGTCTTGCGAGTTTGTTTCCTTTTTCTTAAAGCCGCTAAGCCGTTAATAGCCGCTAAGCCGCTAATAGCCGCTAAGCCGCTAATAGCCGTGCTTCGCAAGACGGAAAAAACCGCAAGACGAAGAGACTCGCGGAACGGAGTAATTTCATCTTGCGAGGCACCACTGTATAGAGGGATACAATCTCTCTCTTTTTTTCTCTCCTTTTTTTTTAAAAAAAAATGTTTCTTGTGTTTGGTTATTTTGCACAGAAGCCTAAAAAGGATCCATCATGGCCAAAGATATCCTAGGCGAAGCAGGCTTTCACTTTGACGAACTGAACAAACTGAGGGTTTTGGACCCGGAGGTGTCCCAGCAAACGATTGAGCTGAAAGAAGAATGCAAAGTATTTGTAGACAGTAAGTTCCCTCTCTGCCGAGCACAGGCCTGCATCTCTCACTCTTTGGGGAAACATTAATGTTTGGTCAAAGGGCTGGTTCACACACATTGCTTGACTGTTCACTGCTTGTCTCCCGTTTACTGTCTCCCGTTTACTGTTGAATTCTGGTTCAGAAATCAAGAACAGCGATTAGCAATGACAGCATCTTCCCAACTTGCCTATGTTTGTTTAATAACCGTGGTGGGAGAGAGAGAACCTTGGTCTTGATTGTTTCTGTTCCTCCTTTCCAGAAATTGCAGAATTTAAGAAAATAGTGGGCAGCCTCATCGAATTGGTAGATCAGCTAGCAAAAGCAACCGAAAATGAGAAGATTAAGGTAACCTGACGGGGCAAAGTGACGAGCCTGTGTTTTTTCTCTCTACTCCAGACGTCAGAATAAGTAGGCTAGCCCTTTGTTGCATGCGCCTTTTCTCCAGTAATTTTTTGTTCCCCAACAGACATGCAGCATCGTGCGACTATTGTTAAAACTGGACAGTAGTTGGGTTTCCCGGTTGGGAATTATCCAAGGCCCTTTTGAAGCACAGATTCATAACTGAAGAGGAGGCTTTCCCTCTTGAGAGAGCAAGAAGAGGATACCTCTCTTGAGATGATGCCTTCTGCAAGACATGCATTGTTTAAAAACCAGTTACCGTTTATTATTATTATTATTCAGAGCATTTATTTTCTCCTATGCACATTTCATTGAGTGACGCGGGTGGCGCTGTGGGTTAAACCACTGAGCCTAGGACTTGCCGATCAGAAGGTCAGTGGTTCAAATCCCCGCAACGGGGTGAGCTCCCATTGCTCGGTCCCAGCTCCTGCCAACCTAGCAGTTCAAAAGCACGTCAAAGTGCAAGTAGATAAATAGATACAGCTCCAGTGAGAAGGTAAACAGCGTTTCTGTGTGCTGCTCTGGTTTGCCAGAAGCAGCTTAGTCATGCTGGCCACATGACCCGGAAGCTGTATGCCGGCTCCCTTGGCCGAGAAAGCGAGATGAGCGCCGCAACCCCAGAGTCGGCCACGACTGGACCTAAATGGTCAGGGGTCCCTTTACCTTTACATTTGACTGATGAAGTGAGGAACGTACGATTGCGTCAATACAATTTCGGGTGATGGCCCTGCTATTTTCAAATCACAGAATCGTAGAATTGTAGAGTTGGCAGGGACCACGAAGGTCCTCTAGCCCAACCCGCTGCAATGCAGGAATCTTTTGCCCAACATGGGGCTCAAACCCACAACCCTGAGATTAAGAGTCTCTTGCTGTGCTGGCTGAGAGACTTACAAGTCCGTGGCTGGCAAACATCTTCTGAAAGGGTGCTTGGTTGTGATCGCAGGAAGGCGTCATCCAAGTGGGGTATGTGCAAAGACACTTTAAAAAAGTTTTCTCCACCTGCAATATATGTGCAGATTAAAAGCAACCACTTCTTTAATCCATTGAAGCTCCATTCATTGTAGGTAAGATTTATTTCATTGCGTCGCATCACTAAGAATCAGTCCCCCCTCCACCCCCAAATTGGAGGGCTGCTAAGGTGCTCCGGGATCGCCCAGAATAAAATTCCTCTTTCCGCAGGCAATTGGCGCCCGCAACTTGCTGAAGTCCATAGCGAAGCAAAGAGAAGCCCAGCAGCAGCAGCTTCAGGCGCTGATAGCCGAGAAGACAACACAGCTGGAAAGGTGCGAAAAGAAAAGGGATACAGGAAAGCTTTCCCCCATCTCTCATAACACCAGAACCCATGGACCGCCAAAGAAGCTGAATGTCGGAAGAATCAGGACAGACAAAATACTATTTCACACAGCGCAGAGTTAAACTATGGCACGTCCTCCCATAAGAGCCAGTGGTGGCCACCAATTTGGTGGAGCAGGAGGAGGAGGAGGAGGAGGATGATAATAATAATAATAATAATAATAATAATAATAATAATAATTTATTATTTATACCCCGCCCATCTGGCTGGGTTTCCCCAGCCACTCTGGGCGGCTTCCAACAAAATATTAAAATACAATAGTGCGTCAAACATTAAAAGCTTCCCTAAACAGGGCTGCCTTCAGATGTCTTCTAAAAGTCTGGTAGTTGTTTTTCTCTTTGACATCTTATTGGAGGGCGTTCCTCAGGGCGGGTGCCACTGCCAAGAAGGCCCTCTGCCTGGTTCCCTGTAACTTTGCTTCTCGCAGCGAGGGAACTGCCAGAAGGCCCTCGGCGCTGGACCTCAGCCAGTCATAGAATCATAGAGTTGGAACGGACCCTGAGCAAGTCCAACCCCCCTGCAATGCAGGAACATGCAGATGTCCCATAAAGGGATTCAGCCTTGGCGTTATCAGCACCACTCTCTAGCCAACTGAGCTGTCATGTCTCTTTGAATGTTTTTACTTTGTGGGCGGCAAAAATGAGAGGATCTTGTGAGGCACCTTTGAGGCGAAGATGTGCCCTGTAGGAGTCCTGCCACTACCTGCACAATAAATAAGCACAAATCGATACAAATAGTATTTATATTATATATAGAGAGAAAAAAGATCAAGAGCTTGACAGTTGCAGAAACGCATACAGAATCCTTCAAAACAAGGAATACTGTCAACCACCTGCTGCAGATCACTGTTTGTTTTTTTAAAAAAGTCCCTTTTTCAAGTTCATGCAACTGACTGACAGCTTCTAATTCCCCGGGGTGTTTTTTTTGGGGGGGGGTGTCAATCAGCAGGGAGTTCCAAAGGTGCTGCTACACTAAAAGATCGATTTCTTGCACTGCCGTAACAAGTGTTATTTGGCATCTGTAGCCATGCCAGTTCTGCAGATCGAAATGGTCAAGTGGGCATACAGGGGATGAAGTAATCTAGCCCCACGTTCATGCAATTGCCTGGTGGTTTCTAATTCCGGCTGAAATCTGAGAAAAACCAAACTTGGGAAGGGAGCTTTTAACCTGTGATCTGTAGCAGGTGGCCAACAGTATTCCTTATCTGGGGAATGCTTTTGCTTATGCTTGTAAAACTCTGATGCCAGCCTTTTGTGTTCATATAGTAAGAGATACTGTTTGGATGTATTTGAGTCTTGCTTATTACACACTTTCGAAGCTGAAAGCCCTTCATGGCAAAAGCAGAGAGCCCGGGTGCCTAATCTGCAGCCTTCCAGGCACTGCCGAACTACAACTCCCATCATTCCTGGCATGCATGGCCAATAGCCGGGGTTGGGAGGGAGGTTGCAGTTCAGCAACATCCCTCCTCACCTGTCCTTGTTCATCAGGAGCTTGGCAAAAAGGGCAAGCTTTTACCTTGTGCCAAGGAAGAGGTTGGTGAAGATGCCAGGTGGGCCTCATTGGAGAGAGTCTTCCACAGATGTGGAGCCCCAACTGAAAAGGGATTTCTCCTATAGCGCCATTCTTGAAACCTTCCCCAAAGAAGGGAAATAGATCTGGTCATTGAGCACACTGATTCAGACTGACGGAAAGCTGCCAGGGCTGTTCTCGTGTAAAGCAAAATCTGGAAGGTCAAAAGTTAGCGAGTCCTGACTAGAGCCCACTTTTTCAGACACGCTAAGTGGGCAATTCCTGTCATCTCTTGACCCTTCAGCCATTTTGGCCAGCCGTGGCTAATTGGACTCGGAAGATGGCCGAGCTAACACATTTGCTTTGCTTTTTCTCCAGGTACCGCATCGAATATCAAACGCTGTGTAAAATAGAAGCGGACCAGAACGAATTCATCGACCAATTCATTTTCCAGAAGTAGAGAGAGAGAGAATGAGAATGAGAGAATTTATGACCAGCACCAAACACACTGGGAAATCTTGAACCATTCCTATAGTCTAATGGGGGTTTTTTAGGGGGGGGGGCAATTTTGACCTTTTTATTTTTTGAATTGACCAAGATCACCTCTCAAAAACAAAACAAAAAAAGTTTAGATCTTAAATACTCTTTTGGACTTACTTTAGGTCTGGCAATAAGATATTTCTAAAAGGTATTTAGGGACAGCTACAGCTATTGTATTTTTAAAGATTTTTTAAAAATGGCCAGTCATTTATATAGTCATCAGACTGTTCTGTGTTTTACACAACTTCCCATTGTTCTTTTTTTTTTTTTGGTTTTTATAAAAAAAGCCCTGTAAAATACCTTCAAGGAAATCAGGAAATAAATTATTGTTTTTAAAGACGCCTCATTTCCTTTTTAAGTTGCCCTTAGTACATTTGGGTGTGGGCTGGAAACATGATTGGGAGAGCATGTAAAATTAGCCTGGCATGGAAAAAGTAGGCATCACTTGTGGTCCTTGTGATGCGACACTTGAATCTTGTGCAATCTGTCGCACGACTGTCCAGTTCTGGACACTGCACTCTGAGGAGGAGATTGACTAGGTGGAAGGTGTGCAGAGGAGGGCGACCAAGATGATCAAGGGCCAGAAACCGAGCCTTATGAGGCAAAGCTGAGGGAGTTGGTTGTGTTTCGCCTGAAGGCTTGAAAAGTGATATTTGAATATGGCCGCCATATCTACTGCTTTGGAAGGCAGAACCCCAACCAATGGGTTCAAATGACAAGGAAGAAAGACCGCAATAAACATCAGAGGAACTTTATGAGGGCAAGAGCTGTTTGACAATGGAAAGGAATACCTCAGATGGTGGTGGACTCCCCTTTGTTGAGGGGTCTTTAAGCAGAGGTTGACCATCTGCCAGGGATTCTGCAGCCGTGGTTCCTGTAGTGCAGAGGGGTTGGCCCTTGTGGCACCTTCCAAAACTACAATTCTCCGATTCCATCCTTCCATAATGTACTCACGTTTTCCTCTTGTGGAACATCATTTTGCCAGTAAAGGTAAAGGGACCCCTGACCATTAGGTCCAGTTGTGGCCAACTCTGGGATTGCGGCGCTCATCTCGCTTTACTGGCCGAGGGAGCCGGCATACAGCTTCCAGGTCATGTGGCCAGCATGACTAAGCTGCTTCTGGCAAACCAGAGCAGCGCACGGAAACACCATTTACCTTCCTGCCGGAGTGGTACCTATTTATCTACTTGCACTTTGATGTGCTTTCGAACTGCTAGGTTGGCAGGGACTGAGCAACGGGAGCTCACCCCGTTGCGGGGATTCGAACCGCCGATCTTCTGATTGGCAAATCCTAGGCTCTGTGGTTTAACCCACAGCGCCACCCACGTCCTTACCATTTTACCAGTGCAAGAAGTATCGTACCAAGTGACTTTGATACAACACCTTGTCTACAACAGGGATGTCCAACCTGTAGATCGCAATCTACTGGTAGGTCCTTCGCTGATCCTGGTAGATCACGGGATCCTTATCATGTACAATAAGTTAAGGGGAGGACTAAAAAACACTACAATCCTCCCCCCAAAAGCTCAACAACTCTGGGCAATCCACCCACTCCATGCACACTCCTCCTCCCTCCAATGACAATGGGTAGATCACTGCCCGTTTTTTAATACTGGGAGTAGATCAGTGTCTCTTGGGAGTTGGAAATGTCTGGTCTACAGTATTGGTTTGCAGAGCAACAGTTCATTCCGACAAAGCTGCTCTTAATCCCTCACCCTGGGGGAAAGGAGAAGCACACGACCCCTTTACTCTGGAATATCCTGGGATAAGAATGAACCAAGAGGGTAATAGATTAGCATCGGTGCTCTTTCGACACAAACCCAGAGGCGAAACAACCTCTTTTACCAGATCAGCAGGTTGTTTCGAGGGCAGAACGTCGGTTTGGAAATGGCCAAATTCCACTTCCTCCTCGGTAAATAACAAGGGGCTTCAGTTATGTCAGGGATGGAGAACCTGGGGGCCAAAGAGAATCAGAATAATAGAACTACCCAGTTGGAAGGGACCACAAGGGTCATCTAGTTAGTGGAAACCCCTGCAATGCAGGAATCCTTCTGCCCAACATGGGGCTCGAACCCGTAACCTTGAGATTGAGTCCATCTGGCCCTGGGACTCTTCCCCAGAAAACATCCTCCACTGGCCCTGCTGCACACCCTCCTTGAGTGTTGCTGCCTGACTGAACTATGTCCTTCACTCTGAAAAGGCTTCTTGCCTGTCTGGATGGATAGGGTTTTGGGTTTTTTTGTGACTGCACACTGGCACGTGGCCCTCAGAAGCTTGCCCAGAAGAAAACGTGGCCCTCGTGCCGCAAGTCCCCCTCCCTTTGAGCTATACATCCATCCACCTCACGGACACCAACACAATAATAATAATAAAAAACATTTTATTGGCCCAGTTTGCAAGCTTCCGAATCCAAGGGCTGACTCCTTCCCCCTCTTTTAGGAAGAATCCTCGCCGGCTTATTTCTTTTTCCTTTTATCCACCTGGTTATACAGGGGGCTGAAAAGCATCGTGAGAAGAATGAGGCAGGGAATCAGGAAGTAGGGGCTGTAAATGGCGCAGAGAGTCAAGCGTTCATGCAATGTCTGGGGCGCAGGGTGCTTGGACCGCGAGAAATCGTTGAACAGGACGTGGCTGAAGATGGGGAGCAGCGTGGTCATGACGTGCGTCGCGTAAATGATGGCTGGGATTCGGATCCATTTGCAGTTGCCTGGATTTTTTTAAGAGCAGAATTTAAATATTCTTCAGATCACATCGCACATGCATACACATGCGTATCCTGCTCGACAACTCTCCCTATATTATTATTATTATTATTATTATTATTAAAATTTGTATACCGCCCTATGCCCATCGGTTTCAGAGCAGTTCACAACACAAAGTTACAAAATAAAATTACAAAATACATAATAAAAATAATTAAAACAATTAACAATACTAATGTATTCAAACTAATAAAAAAATGGACACTGCCCAACAAGCCCCTAACCAAGCCCCCAACCCACAAATACCCAAATAAATAAATAACATTTAAAAACAATTTAAGACAGCCCCGCCCTCCTTTGCATCTCACCCAAGCCCCCATCCCCTCACAGCTCTTTCCAGCAGTGCCCCCATAGCCTTACGGTTCTTCTGTGTCCCTCCACCCCTGCTTTATTCAAACTTCTGCTGTTGTTTGAAACCACCAGTATAAACCCCGCCTTCTCTTCTGCTCCCTGCCTCTACCGCAGCTGCATGCAATCCAAAATTGCGATGCGGAGCAACAAGTCCTCCCACGGGGGCTGCATGATGACAGCCTTCAATTATTATGTCTATATGAAGATTTATTTGGTGTTACTGCGATCTACTCCCACTAAAAAAACAACTGGCAGTGGTCTACCCATTCTATTGACCAAAGTTGTTGAGCTTTTTTGGGGGGGAAGACCCAAAATTGTTGAGCTTTGGGGGGGGGGATCAATCAAGGTCACACGGTCTACCAGGGTCGACCAGGGATGCCCCGCAATCAACCAGTAGATCACGATCTACCTGTTGGACATCCCTGGCATATATATACAGTAATATCTCGGGTTACAGCTGCTTCAGGTTGCATTTTTTCAGGTTACGCACCTGCCGAGACCCGGAAGTACCGGAACGGGTTACTTCCGGGTTTTGGGGGTCACGGATGCGCAGAATCGCTAAATCGCGCTTTGCGCATGATCACAACCCGGCTGTGCGCAGATGCACCACTGCGGGTTGCGAATGTGCATCCCGCACAGATCATGTTCACAACCTGAGCATCCACTGTATATAAAATTATCTGTTAAAATGCAGATCAAAACACTATTTGGGTAACATTAGCAAAAGCTGCTGAGCTATTGGCCATAATGTTCATGAGAACCTTAGAAAGAGCCCTGTTGAGATCAGGCCCATCAAGTCACAGAAGCATAGAATCGTAGAGTAGGAAGGGACCCCTATGGTCATCTAGTCCAACCCCCTGCAATGCAGGAATCTCGACTACGGCATCCACGACAGATGGCCTTTCAAGCTCTGCTTAGAAACCTCCAGTGAAGGAGAGTCCACAGCTTCCTGAGGGAGACCGTTCCCCTGTTCTAATGCCCCCTGCCAGAAACCTTGACGAGCCCAGACAATACTGGGCTAGATGGACCAAGCTTCCTACATTCCTAATCACAAGTGCTCCCCCTGAACCCCACCCCAGTTGGCACACCAACCTTTCCAGAAGGCATAGGCTGCAATAGGGAAGAAAGGCAACTGCAGGAAGGCTTCGCAGACTATGAAGGCCCTGAACCAGGCAGGGGGGTCCTGCATCATGGGGTCCTTAAATGAAACCGTGTACCATGTTGTCAATTCTTTCAGCTTAGGGAGAGAAAGGGGGGGAAAGGGAATGTTAGCTGCAGCTAAACATAAAAATCTCCCGTCACTTATTTTGACCACTGTTAATATGCTATCAGTACAAATGGCTCTTCAAAGATAAATATAAGCAAAAAGAATAGGAGGGAACAGTTCCACAGGTCACAGCGATCTAGCAAGCCACGGTTTATTAGACCCTCTTTTCTTGCCTACTGCTTGTTAAACCATGGTTTCCTGTTACATTTGAACTTAATATTAATATTGGATTACAAAAGAGGATATGAAACCAGGATCAGATCAGCCACCTGCCCAATCTGCAATAGGGAGATATTACCCACATTACTGGAGACTGGGAAACCGTGGTTTAATCTGGGACTACAATTCAATGTCATACCACAAGGAATTATATTGTAACCTGGGGGGCAACTTTTGGCCCTGCGACGAGATCCTTCTGCAATATGCATTTAAGGAAGCATCATTCCACTCTGAACAGGGAGGGCTTCCCAAAAGAACCATGGGAGTTGCAGTTCGTTTAGGGTGCTGAGAGTTGTTAGGAGACCCCCTGATTCTCCCCACAGAGCTATAATTCTTAGAGAGTGGTTTGTCAAAGCTCTCTTCTCATGAAACTAGGAATTGTACCTCGGTGTGCGGGAATAAGGGGTCTCCCTAACAGCACCCTTAACAAACTACAACTCCCAGGATTCTTTGGGGGAAGGCACCGCTTTTCAAAGCGGCATGATACTGCTTTAAATGTATACTGCATATGGAGCCAACGTGTGTGCTTTTCGTTTTTTGCAGAAGAACGCCCTCTATAATAATCTTAACAGCAAGATATTAACGGCATAATCTCAAGGATCTTTCAGCAAGCACTGCAGTCAAGAATTCAGGCACATTGACCCGAGGGCAAAAAGCTACAGGTGCAGAGCAAACACTTGGTTTTATAGGCCCTGTATTATAGAATCGCAGAGAGGGAAGGGACACTGAGGATCATTTAGCAACACTGGAATATGCAGCGGTCCCATACAGGGATCAAACCTGCAACCTTGCAGCCCTGTTCAGGGAAGTTTTTAATGTGTGACATTTTAATGTATTTTTAATCTTTGTTGGAAGCGGCCGAGAGTGGCTGGGGAAACCCAGCCAGATGGGCGGGGTACAAATAATAAATTATTATTATTATTATTAGCCCCACGCTCTAACCAACTGAGCTATCCAGGCTGGAAGGAGAAAAGCCTTCTGCATGCTGACCACATGCTCTGCGATTGAGGTACAGCTCTTGCCCCTTTGGACTGTGTTGCAAGACGGAAGCTGCCGTCTTAAAAGGCACCTTGGAAAGAAAAACTACAACTAATCCAGAATGCGGCAGCTAGACTGGTGACTGGGAGCGGCCGCCGAAACCACATAACACCAGTCTTGAAAGACCTACACTGGCTCCCAGTACGTTTCCGAGCACAATTCAAAGTGTTGGTGCTGACCTTTAAAGCCCTAAACGACCTCAGTCCAGTATACCTGAAGGAGCGTCTCCACCCCCACTGAGGTCCAGCACCGAGGGCCTTCTGGCGGTTCCCTCGCTGCGAGAAGCCAAGTTACAGGGAACCAGGCAGAGGGCCTTCTTGGTAGTGGCACCCGCCCTGTGAAATGCCCTCCCACCAGATGTCAGAGAGAAAAATAACTACCAAATTTTTAGAAGACATCTAAAGGCAGCCCTGTTTAGGGAAGCTTTTAATGTTTGATAGGTTACTGTATTTTAGTGTTTTGTTGGAAGCCGCCCAGAGTGGCTGGGGAAACCCAGCCAGATGAGCGGGGTATAAATAATAAATAATTTATTTATTATTATTATTATTATTATTATTATTATTATTATTATTATTAAAAACAGCACAGCAGACAAGGGCGATCCTTCGCTTTTTCTACCTAGAAGCAAACCTCACCCCACTCGCCGCCTTGCAGGAATAGTAATAAAAGCTCCATTCCCCAAGTTTGAGAAAGTACGGAAGGGATTGCAGCTTGAGCCACCCGTCCTCGGTTGACTTACGCTGCGGGGGTAAAATCCTGCCCCGGGGAGCGATTGCAAATCGACCAGCAGCGTGATGGGGATGTGAGTGAGGAAATAGAAGGCGAAGATCCATTCCAGGAGGCGCGTCGCTGCCCCAGCCGCCATCGCGTCTTTCTCGGTGCAAATCAATGAGCTTCCCTGCAGCAGCGACCTCTCATCCGAGATCGGCCCACTTTTCTTCCTCCTCCATTGGTTTCTCCAAGAGCGGGAGGGGTGTTTCCAGCCCCACTTTGCGCCCGCCCATTTTTAAAAGGGCTGCGGAATGCAAAGGGGCCGGGCCGCTTCTTGCAAAAGGAGACGGAGCTCAGAGCAGCTGCCAAGGAAAAGGGCTCGGAAGGCAGCAGACCCGGCGCAGGGAGGGAAGCTGTTGCCCGTGGAATCCCCGAAAAGACGCTGTGCCTTTAAAGCGCAGTCTGTAGTTCGCCTCCCGCAGAGTTGCAATGCCTAGCAGCCCTTTACAAACTACAGTACCCAGAATTCTTTTGGGGGGAGGGAAGAAAAGTGCTTTAAAGAGATAGCGTGTCTTTTTCCTTTTCATTTTAAATGCTCTTAAAACCGTATAATATAATCTACAGATATTAAAGAGAAAATAAAAAATAAACACTCATTCATTCCTTGTTTGTTACTTATTCTGTACATCGTTTTGTAATTAAGTTTGACATGACCTCCGATCTTCTTTTAAACCCCCCCCCAAAATTATAAACAAAACAAATAAACATGAATCATAACCTTATTAAAATTACACTTATTAACATTGTTAAGTGACTTCCTCGCTTCCCCTTGGTTGAATTTCCATGCACTTCCTTTTAACGGTTTTCCAAATCAAAGTTCTTATGAAATTTAACTAAAACATTAACATCCTTATATCCTTTAATTTTAAAATTAAACATATTGATTCATCACTTAACTTAGATGAAATCTTAAGCCAATTAAATATCTGCAAGCTGATTCCAATTAATTTGACCTCCGATCTTCTCATTATGTTCCCGAATTAGATTCCTTAAATACACACTTATTTTCTTGGTTCGGCAGCACATATACTAAAATTGGAATGATAGAGAATGATAGAGAAGATGAACATGGCCTGTCTGCAGCCTTCATTGCAGCTAAGTAAGAATAGGATATTATTTGATAATAATTCATTGCACTCCAGGAGGCACAGAACTGTTGAGCTGGGGAGGGTGAAAGAAAACTTAAAGAGTGGTGGTGTGATTAATAGCTTAATGGTGCCCTGGTTAGGCTGAAAGGCAGCAGCTGGCCAAAGGTCACCCAGGGATCTGAGCCCTGGTCTTCCAGGTCCTAGTTAAGACACTCTAACCCAGCCTTTCTCAACCTTGGGTCTCCAGATGTTGTTGGACTACAACGGCCATCATTGCTAGCCAGCTTGCCGAGTGGTCAGGGATTATGGGAGTTGTAGTTCAAGAACACCCAAGGTCGAGAAAGGCACTTCTAACCTCTATACCACAATGGCATCCCAAGGTACACGCCAGTTTTAAAAGCATCACCAGTCACCTGGGTACCATTAAAACCACTGTGATTTCCTATTAAGTTCCCATCAGTGCAATGGGAAGCTGGCGTAGCATAGCAACTTGGATGAAGCTCATCTAACCTGACATTCAGACAGTACATCAATTCCTGCAATTAAGAGAGAGATTGTATTACTCTCTTGCCTGTAGTTAGGACCCAGAGCACACCGAAAAAAGGAAAACAAGACCCCACACCATTTTCAAGATGTGTTCGATGAAGATGGGTCCATTAGGATGAACAGGGTACTGCCCCACCAACCTAAACTCAGGCATGCTCCACCTGCCTGCTTCCTAAAAACCAGCCCATGGCGTGGGCTTCTCTCACGTTTCCTCCTCCACCACCTCAGTTACCTTTGTCAAACTCAGCAGTGCGGAGGATGGGGACAAAATGAGAACTGGTTCTGACTTTACCTGCTGTTTGGGCTTCCTGCCTTCTGGGCCACCAAATCAAATGGGCAGTGGTCACTACTGGTTGGAATAGCAAAGTTATGGGACGTACTTACCATGGACAATACAACTACTCAGCCGACAGCAATAACCAACCCTAAATATACTGACAATTTATTGGAAGTGTGTGGCGGGGAAATACAACCCCCCAGATGGGTTTTTCGCCAATACAATGCAACAAATCCTAAACGACCTGTGTTTAACCTCAATTGTTCCTTTATTAACGGCACACAAACCATCCTTTGATGCATTCCTCTTCTTCCTATGTCCTGTGATTTGTATGTTTCTAGTTTTACAACCAGATGGGCAAAGTTGAAGAGTCTTGGAGCATGGATGAGATAGTGATGTTTGGGAAGAGGTTTTTGGATGTGCGAGGCAAAACGGACAAGCTCCACTGTTGGCACTCCAAATCCAAAAGGTTCCAGAGGGGCACTTAAAATAAATGCCAGTTTAGAATAAATCCAGTTCCAAATAAATCATCCCTAAGAGATGAGGGTTAAAATGTTTTGATTGTTCAAATGGGGGGGGGGGGGAGTAAGACAAGGCAATGAAAGTGCCGTAGAATGTGCTTCAAAGTGCTGTAGGGGCAATGCACATGCCAGAGGAATTGTGTACAGGTTTTTATATGAAAAGCACATTGGAGGGCTACAGCTCAGTGGTAGAACATCTGCTTCGTATGCAGAAGCTCCTTAGTGCAATCCCTGGCGTTGCCAGGTAAGGCCAAGAGCATTCCCAGTATGAAATCCTAGACTGCCGCCGCTGCTGCCAGTCAGAGCAGACAATACTGAGGTAGATGGGCCAATGGTCTGACTCTGTGTAAGAAAGCATCCTTATAGGACGGAAGCAAGCAAGAGCAAAAGCTCCCTGACAAGCGAAACCCCTATGGTAGCCTGATGGGCAGTGAGGATGGAGAATAGTAGTAGCCTCACCCACTTTCAGCTTCTATGGCCAGATCAGCCCTGACTAACCAGGAGGCCTTTAAGAAATAAACTCTACCCCCAAGAGGAATGCAGCCCTCCACAGGAAGGAAAGTCTCTACCCCTGCCCTAGAGGTCCACATCTTATGTAAGTCTCCAGTAGCTGGCATGCAGCCTCTGAATGATCTGTTCATTGGACAACTCCATGTAGCAAACACAGCCCAAGTCCCACATCCAAGAACGTGGATTCAATATAAAGGTGAAGTCAGCAAGAGAATCCACAACCCGCCTCGGCCAGATGGAGAACAGAAGACTTAGTCACGGTGCTTCTTTTGTTTGTTTCAAATGTCACATTTAATGTTTCCACCACTGTACTTCAAAATCTACATTGTACAAAGTGACCCGCAAGTGTGCCACATTTAACAGACCAACCTCTGAGATTTTACCTTTCATACCAGTGTCTTCTTGGGCTCATATTTAAGTTAAAACACGTTTTCTCATTCATTCAAGTGAATTGAAATGCTTCAGTTGGTTGTTGTTGTTCTTGTTGTTGTTGTTTTTAATTCCTCAGGAGCCACATAAAAAACAAAGATATTTCATCATCTTTGTTCGAGAAATTCAACGTTTGTCTCTTTCACAGCAAAATAATTACTTCATTGAAGTTAAAACTTCCAAAAACATAACTTAACTAATAGTATTCAGTTCCAGCTCAGATCACTCTTCTTGAAAATACTCTGCTAAATACAGATAACTTACAATAACTTTAACAGTTAATTGTCCATGACAAACACCAAGGTTTCTCTCTCTCTCTCTCTCTCTCTCTCTCTCTCTCTCTCTCTCTCTCTAAATATCCCAGACCAATGTTCAAAATTTAAGACCATCCATTCATTATTTCTTTGTACAGGTGAAAAACAGTCTTCAATTTTTCTTGCCTTTTTTAAATATAAAAGTTGGGAGGGACATTCAAGTTTCAAGTCTCCACACTGAACTTAAAAATAAAAATAAAAATCATGTGGAGGTAAACAAACCAAGTTGTATACTCCAGGAGGTAGAGGCCTTCAGTTTGTGTTCATATATATATATACACATATGCACAGAATAATTCAGTGTTTGAACAGAACACACACACAAAAAGGAGTTAGCCAAAACGTAATAAAAATCATTTACTACTGTGACATTTCAAGACTTCCACAGCTTTGCCTATGGACACAAATACAATTAACGTAATTCCCTATGTGCTTTTTTTTTTTTGCGTTTTTGCTTTTCTTTTTCGCTGACTGTCCAGTGCAGAATTTAAAAAAAAAACAAAACCCACAATGTTTCACAGACCTAAAAATGTGCAAGCTACTTCCTCTCTTCCGCGCTCTCTCTCTCTCTCTCTCTCTCTCTTTACACAGCAATGGATAGCAAGATTCTTTGACAGTATTAGCCCCGGAAATGGAATTATTTACACACATTTGCAGATGCACGCGGAAGGTGGGGTAGAAAGGGATGGTTTATGTAAGAAAAGAGCAGAAAAAACTTCTAATAAAAATAGATTAAATATATATATATTTATATATATTTATTTATACCAGAGGAAGGGGGGTTAAAAAGGAAAGGGGAAAGGAGTCTCATCTCTCCCTAGTCACAAACTCATTCTTTCTACTCGCAACATCTGATTGGAAAACAGCACACAATCACCCCCACTAGTGAGAAGGGTTCTTCTAAACTGCCAGATGACACTTGCCCACAGAAGCTGGGCTATTGTCATCAGGTGGGTTTCATGATTGGTCACAGTTTTTAAAACTTCTGTACTCCCTAAACTTTTTATTCTCTTGTTTTAGAAAAAAATCCCTAATCGTCAGGAATGGCTCGATATCAAAAATGACTTATCCACTTGGAAAAAAGAAGAAGAAAAGCCCCATCATTTATTTATTTTTAAAGCAACTTCCCCACCAATTTGGTTCAAACCCTCTGTTTGTTCAGAGCCAAGCAAGATTACAGCTGCGCTACAATTCATACTTTAAAAACAAAACATGTGCAACTCTGGATAAAATAATTATTTTTTTTCTCCTAAAAGCACAACCCCACCCGTGACAGGAATTTTAAAAGCCTAGTTAACATTTCTAAGTCTTATTCATATATCATACAAGGATAGTGGTTGTTAATTTAAAACTTCATTAGTAAAATTACAGTACAAGCATGATTAAATGTCCAGAATTGCAAATCCCAGAATCCAGTGGAAAGCTACATTATGTCTTCAGTAGTACATCTTCCACGTTTACTCCCAGACCAGTGGAGATGGAGGCATCTCGGACGGCTGAGCGACCGTGGAACTGGAAGGCAGAAAGACACAGAAGATCAGCGTTCACCTGCAAGAGGCTACAGGAACACAGAGAAGGCCACACCGCATGCTAGCATGGCAGTGGCACTTGCCACTTGTCTGTGGGGTCAGGCACGGGGAGGCAGCAGAGCCTTGGCAGCCAGAATGCACAGACTGTGGAAGAAATATCGCCCCCTGATTCGAGAGGTGTGACTGTGGTTGCTCAGAGACAGAGAGAGAGATAGTAAGGCCATATGTTGCAAATACAGGATCTGCCTTTTAGGCTAAGTAGATTCCATACACTGAAAGCACATCCATCCCCACCAAGAGAGTCATCTTAACTGTACTTTGTTAAGGTTCTTCTGAATTTTAATTCGGTGAGGTGCAAATTATAATTGTCAGGATTATTCAGAAGGGAAATGAGCTTTAAATGTCCCTTTGTCTGAACGCTGTGCTCTTGCCTTACCTATTTCCCATCTTGGCTCCTGCAACCTTCCCCTCACATCTCAGTTCCCCTCACAACTCTCCTGTCAAGAGCAGGCTTCCTCAACCTCGGCTCTCCAGATGTTTTTGGCCTACAACTCCCATGATCCCTAGCTAGCAGGACCAGTGGTCAGGGATGATGGGAATTGTAGTCTCAAAACATTTGGAGGGCTGAGGTTGAGGAAGCCTGGTCAAGAGGCATTCAACCCCCTTGTTGATCAAGGCGTGTAACTTAATTCCTTCCACTGGCTTCCTATCCCCTTCTCTGCTTAACACCAACTCCTTCTCCTGGATGAGTGGCTGATTACCACTTTATGGAATACTTCTGGCACACCCAATCAAGTCAAAGAAGATTGTAGCGCCATGAAAAAACCCCAAGGGAACAACTCGCCAAGTGTTCTCTGCTCCTGTTCAGTGGGGTTTTGCACGGTGGCAGCTCTTGCTGGACAAAACCTAATCATGGTAAACACTAAAGCACTCAAATAACACGTTAGGTGCATGGCTAAAGTTGTTGCAGAGCTCTTAATTCAAATATAGGCTTCATTTTAAAAGTTGCTGCACCACTAAAAAAAAAAAAGGTGAATGAATATCAGATGTGATTACATACAGTTACCTAATAAAGCTCTTAAAAGCAGCAGATTGCGGGTTGATGCACAGAGGCACTCTGTTTCCTTTCTGCTGTTCCAAAATGAACTGATGGATTATTTCTGAAAAACAAGAAGTGATCAGGGATGAAAGGAAGGAAACCCGACTTCACACAAGCTGATAAGAACTGCATAGTACATTAGGGTTGTACAGGGGGGAAGCATGCAAGAAAGTCAAACAACACCACTTGAGAAACACAAACATTCATCAGATCAGGATGTACTGTAGGAGCCCAAAGCTCCTCATCTCCTGTCTCAGTTTGGTTTTTCTCAAAATATTCAGGAGTTCTACTATGTTCGTTCTTTCTTTCGTTCTTTCGTTCTTTCTTTCTTTTTACTACTGAACAATCACACAAAGTATAATTAGAGTGGTCACCTGCTTAAAGGAAACTTAAGTTGATTAACACCATGAGCCATAGTCAATTAAGGAAATCGCTACAGTAATTTAAAAAAAACCTCTTTGCGGACTTCCAGGGTGGCACCATCGGCAATGGCGGACTCCCTCTGAATTGGAGGGACTAGCTCTGCGCGAAACGGGTCTTCTCCGCTACGGCGAAGCAGGGACCCTTTTAAAAATCACAGGCGGATGAAGCCTGTGACCATGGGACTCGGCGGGCACCCTTAGCGCCCCCCCAACCCGCAAAGGAACCCACTAACGGGCTCCGAAGCGAAGAGGGGGAAGTGGCGTGGTGCTGTGAGTCAACTGCTATTTCCGTGGAGCGAAGCCACACAGCTGTTGCTGGAGAGCGCTGCCTTTTTCTTGGGACAAATTGGCTTCTAAAATAAGCACCCGTGAGTACTTAAACTTTGAACAATTGGACTTTAAATAAGGACTTGCGAGCAGAAAGGAATTGGACTTAAAATTTTTATTTCAATTTGGTACTGAAACGGGAAGGTCTAAATAGGAAGTCAGCCTTCCGTTTCTTTGTAGACAGAATAAAGCAAAGACAACGTAAACTAGAGCTCAGAAAATCGCCTCTAAAGGATTGGCTTTCATCATTTAAAATTGTTGAATCCCCCTTCGGCAGCAGGAGAAGAAGGGGGATCTTTTCTGGACTGTTTAAACCTGCAGAAGTGCGTTTAAAGTGGAGCGGGGTGTCAGGACTGACGTTTGAAGCTCATCGACCAGAAATAAGCGCTTTTGACAGATAGCTAAAAGAAGAGGAACATAGTGATTCCATTGTTTCCTTTCGCACCTTAAAGGAACAAATATTGACAAAATAACTGAAAAAAGGAAACTCTGTTGCTAGACTTGTCTTTAAAAGAAAGATTAAACAGAAGTTTTCCCCCTAGAGGGAGACTGTGAAACTGTAACCAACTCCTGGGAGCCGGCATCTGTTACAGATTACAATCGTGGGAATAGACATCTGACCTTCAGGACAATGTATTCAGAAGCTCTGTTGTGTGCTTTCTATAAAACAAATGCCCTACTGGAACAGTTACATGAGAAGACAAATTTGATGGCTGACTCGATTAGAAATTTTGAACAGGCAGTGGGAAATTTTGAACAGGCAGTGGGAAAATATGTGGAGCCCACCCAGGAATTAAATCAGGAGTGTGTCTTGACAGAACAGGCCCTACAGGAATATGAGCTTTGGATTTGACAAATGAACTTGGAAAAAACCAGATTTGGAAAGAAAAAGTTTGGTTTGGTTTGGAAATGGGGGGTTGGATAGACCCTCCTATGAAATTGGACTTTTCAAGTCTGGCAATGGGCCGTGAGATGTTTGGGATTGTGGGGACTCTTAATTTTGGAGGGATACTGAAACATGTTTTTAAATACCACATGGAATTTAGTGTCGATTATGGAAAAGGGGCTGATCTGTCGAGAAGGGTCAAAAATACTGTTAAGTTGCAGTTCCCACGAGTGAAAGGAGCAGGAGACAAAGGAAAATACAGCTATAAATATGAAGAAGAGCTGCGGAAGGTACATGGAAGGGACTTAAGGGCCTCGGATATAAGATTACCAGGTTAATGCGCCAGATTGATGGGATAATAAGGACTGACAAAACCCGGGACCAGGAGGAAGGGACGCTGGATGAAGATTGGATTTGTTTTTATTTCTTTTTTTCACTACTAGGACCGTTTTATAAAATTGATGAATGTTAGAAAAATGTTGGAATGAAATTACTTGGCTTTAGTAAAAATGTTTAAAGAATTATGCAAGAATATCATGGTTATGGGAAGTTGGTAAAAATAAGATTTAAGTTTTAAGTCTCAAGGTTTTTTATAGTAAGATAAGATTAAAATAGTTTAAGGTAATGTAATGACAGAATATTATGAAATATGGAAAATGAATGTTAGAATGATGTTGGATAGAAATTAAATGGTTTTTAGCTGAAATATTATAAGGGAATATGAAAAATGGATTACTAACAGGTAAAAATTTAATGTTACAATACTTTAAGATTAAAGATTAGGATAATCAAAGAGGGGAAGGATTTGCTGAACCAACAAACTGAACTGGAATACAAAAAAGGGAGGCGTGAGGAGGTCCGGGAAACAAGCTAATGAAAAATAAGTAATGGAAAGATTGACTTGTCTTTAACTATTTTTATTTTGTATTTTTCTTTTTTCTATTTTTATTTTGTAATATTTTGAAAACCTTAATAAATATCTTATAAAAAAAAAATAAAAAAACCTCTTTGCTCTGAACATGCCTAGGAAAAACAGCAGCAACATCTTGTGGGGCAGAAATCTGCAAAATGCTGAAACATTCCCATTTTGCATGTATTTCAGAACTCACAGATTAAAGAGGGGCACTTCTCATACATATGCTGTAGTAAAGGATGCTCTCCACATTATGCTCTCCAGGCACAATGTGCACACATATTATGTATGCTCTGCTTTATACACAAATATTATACATACCTAGCTCTGTATGCAGCTTTATCAATCTGACATAACAACAAAGCAGTCAACAATAACCAAGAGGAATGAGACATTCCTAACCTAAAATACTGACCTTTAACCTGCCGAACAGAACTGAGGTTCTTTTCAAAAGTATCATCAAATTTGGGATTTGTGATGGGTTCAAAATCACTGGTGTAAACTCTTCCAGTAGAGGTGGAAAAACAACATTTACACATACAGGTATGATATCGCAAACGCCCTTCGTCAAGATATGGATGAGCTAAGGCATCCTTAGCGGATATTCTTTTGGACTGGAATATGAGGGGAGGGAGAGAAAAACACAATTAATTATTTTAAAGGGGGATTTTTATTTGCTCACACGTATTCACAACATGCAAATATAAAACTAATCATTTTTTCTAACCTCTGTGTACTACTACAAAAACCACTAGGAGGCAGTGTTTGCTTGAAATACCCAGCGCTGCGAATAATTGAACTTTTCCCCACATGGCAACAGGTGGCTCATAAGTTAAACCATATACTCTTCCTCACCCCACCCCACCCCACCAGAAATGCCTTCTGGAAGAAGTAGTTCTGATACTATTAAATAACTTTGTTGCAAACAGCCTCCAAGACTAAATTGACTTGCTGGACACAAAGGGCATCTTATTAAGAGCGTTAGCTGTTTATAGATAGGTTGGATTAATATGTAAAACATATTAGGTGGGGAGAGAAAGAGAGAGAGAGAGAGATGGGGAGACATAGACATCCGTTTTATAGAGAAAAAAGGCATTTTCTGGGAGTCTGTACCTGTGAGGTTCCACCCGAAAGCCTTAAACTCATCGGGCCTGTTTACTCTCCTTACCTCTTGGAAACTTTGAAAGTTCATGCCTTGCCAGAGGTGTGAGCCACTGGGGCACTGAGTGCAAGAGCTAAAGCACTCTTGTCCTGTGGCTTTTTGCCTACAGCCCCAGAGAGGAGAGGACCGCCCCCCAAGTGCACTCCTCCAAAGGGAGTGTGGAAAGGGGTTGCCTTTAATATCCCATATGGGAAAAGGCATCCTAGGCAATCTGGATCTTCTGTGGAACCTGTTGTCCCACCCCTCAGAAAACAACACAGAAACACTTCTCTGAGGCTGAAAAAGAAGTCGAGACTAAAAGCTACAAAATATCTTGCTGCCTGGGACTGCGGTGCTACAGCTGCTGCTCTGGGCAAAGAAGCCCCTTCCCAAAGAGAGTATGCCAGCTAGCAGGGGGTTGTTGCTCAGCAGCCATTTCTGATGCAGTGGTACCTCGGGTTACAGACGCCTCAGGTTACAGACTCTGCTAATCCAAAAATAGTACCTCGGCTTAAGAACTTTGCTTCAGGATGAGAACAGAAATCATGGTGTGGTGGTGGAGGGAGGCCCCATTAGCTAAAGTGGTACCTCAGGTTAAGAACAGTTTCAGGTTAAGAACGGACCTCCAGAACGAATTAAGTTCTTAACCTGAGGTACCACTGTATTGTGATTGTAAGTTTGTATTGAACTGCATCAACTGTTTTGATGAATATGGTTGTTGTTGTTTTGCTTATATGCTATTGTCTTTTTGGTACGATTATAGCAATTTTAAGAATTGCTACTTTTTAATGCTATTATGTTCATATTGTGAGCTGCTTTGTGCTGAATGTTGTTGTTGCAAAACCATTGTAAAAGTATTAAAAGCAAAGCAAAGCAAGCCTCCGATGAGTTTGGTATGCCTTCTTGCCCCAGAGCTTCCCATACTGCTTGGTTTTGAGGGAGTGTGGTCTGCTTCCTAAGGGCCTGTTAACTCTGGAGCGTTGTAAAGCAAAACAGTGACAGAATTCCTCTTTAAGGAGCCTCTGCCATACCTCTCACCACAGGCAAAAAAACCCCCAGGCATGCCAAATATGCTCTTCCTTCCAGGAAGGTCTGAACAAAGAGATAGGGCTTTTTGGAGGAAGGAGTAACTCATCTGCTGTCAGCATTCCACAGCCACCCTCAAGAGTCCTCTAGCCACAGGCTGCCTCTCAGTATTGCTAAAATGAGGGAAAGCCAAGGATGCTTCATGGAAAGTGAAAAGTTGAAGCCAAGAACAAAGGGCTCGAGACCAAAGAGGAAAGCACAGAGCCCTCCACACAAGTGGCAAAAGGGAAGTGGAAAAAACCACTTGCTACAGAAAGGCAAGCGCCCACATGGTGCCAATCAAGTGTTCTGCCACCAACACTTAAGCTGAAGAAGGGAGCCCAGGATGAGTCACCAAACACCTTTGCATGATAGAATCCCACTTCCCTTCCGAGGGTGGCCGGTTGTAAAGATAGAAAATCCACAGCCGGGTAGATGAGTTGAAAGGAACTCAGATGAGCTCAGGCAACAGAATAGAATGTGTTTTAAAAGCAGTGTTTGCTTGCAGAATGATGATGAAGAAGAAGAAGAAGAAGAAGAAGAAGAAGAAGAAGAAGAAGAAGAAGAAATGGAGACCCATGAAGATTCACAAGGGGCTATGGAAATCTGAAAATTTGACATGCACCTGTGTTCCAGTATGAAGTGGGAAACTGTGTCCACACAGCTTCATTGAAATGGTTTTTCAGAGAGTGAGGACTGGGACTCATGGATGTGCTCTGTTTAAGCCCCGTGTCTCCTACTCTCCTTTCAGTGATATTGGAGCAGTTTCCCCCTTCACCTTCCCTCGAAAGGGGATACTTGTGACCAAACAGTAGTTGTCACAAACCAATGGGTACAGGGTGGGCTTTTTGCAGTTGTTTGTGTGCCTCTTTCAAGATGGCTGGGCTCACTCCGTCACACAAGGATGTGCTGATCATGCCCTGGAGCCATCCAGGCAAACCTCCTCGGGCAAGCTTTAATCATCCAAGAAGGGCAAGGGCTGAGAGAACACATGGCTGGCCGCATCATCACAAGCACCTTGTCCACGTGACCAGGCTGCATCAGTGAATGTGGACGTGGTGTCAAGATTGCTATGGAGCCAAGCGACCTTAGCCCTATGCCCACACACAAATATATTTTTTGATTTCCACCCATTCCCCACCCTTTCAAAATGCAGAACACGAAGCACCAACTCACTGGATCAAAGACCAACATCCTACAAAGGAGATGAACGGCTTCATGTGTAGCTTGGCTGGATAATGTATACAGGACAGGAAGGGATGGCTGTGAAAAGAAAGAGAAAACAGGCTGAGCCTCATCTGATACATGCAATTCACCCTTAACATAAAGATCCAATGCAATTGTGCTACTTGTGTGAAGCCCAAATCTGAGCACAGGGGGACAGAATGGGACAATGTGCTAAGCTTCTGTCCCCAATCACTCTCCAAAATGTGGAGGGGAGAGGTCTGCAGCAGAAAAGATCCATGTAGGGTTCTCAAGCAACTCAGATCCCTAATCATGCGGGAAACTTTGCACAGGTAGTAGAGGCTCCCTGCTCAGACCTTGCCCTTTCACAAGGGACAGCAAGGCGGGAGGAGAGCTTAGCATGCCAATTTTGTCTCTCTGTGCTCACAGGAAAGTTTCACATATGAACAGAACACCTACAGACACCTAGAGCAGGGGTGGCTAACTTGCAGCCATCCAGATATACTACAACTCCCATCATCCATGGATATGCTGTCTGATGGGAGCTAGACTCCAATAACATCTGGAGGGCCACAGTTTCCACATCCCTCTGCTAGAATCCACGCAGGTATATAAGAAGAGCTCTGTGGGATAAAAGCAAGTGTTTCATTTCAAAAACTCATCAGGCCAATCCCACCTTTATTTTCTCATAGCAATATGCATTTGCTTTTTTGCAGAGCTGCCAGAAGACTCGATTTTAACTTTCTTAAATGAAGGCAGGCAGGGAAAGAAATACAGGAGACAACCCTGCTAAAACTGAAAAAAGGAAAGGAAAAGAGCTCAGAAAAGCTCATCTTGTATCTTTTAAAGTTATTGTTAAAATAGGCCTATTATCTGGAGCAGAATGTGGGTTCAAAACCCCTCAGTATTTTGTTTCATTCAATGAAGCAAGTTTCTAGGTTTTCTAGGTTATGGAAATGTGTGCATAAAAGGAGATAAAGAGGACAGCATTTCTAAGATTTAATCACTGCAGTTCTCTTAGAATTGTGAGGGTAAACTGGAATTAACACAAAAGTGAGAAATTGGGAAATTGAGGTTGGCTGTTGAACAAAACTGAAATCATTATAACAAAAATGACCCTATTTCTATAACGAGTTAGATGGACAGGAGAAGCCAGTCAGGTGTTTTTGTTTTTTGTTGAGAGGCAGCCCTGCTAGCTAAAAATCCAAGGTCAGTTGATTCCTGCATTCCAGAAATCTGTCAGGTCTGGAGCATCTCCTCCTCCCATTTTTGTTCAGTAAGGATTCCTGAAGCTTAGAATCTATGTAAGTATTCATATATATCCTCATTTTGGTCATTGATATTGTGCAGTAATGCTGTACATAATTGGTAAATTCTATATATTTAAAGGTATGTAAACTCATCAACTTGATGAGTGAACTTTTTACAGTCTCTTTCTCCCCCACCCTCAGACACGCATCTTCAGTGGGAAGATAACCTGAGCCAAACCTACAGGGGTGTTAAAAGGTCATTGAAATAATGTTCTAAGGGCTTCACGCAAGTTATCTATCTACTACCTACCCACCCACCCACCTACCTACCTGCTAAGTATTATTATTGTTCATTTGGAGGACATTCCTCCAACCATTCACAATACTACTCTTCATTGTCAGCATAGTCTCTCCATGCATGCATATGCGCACTCAAGCGTACACACACATAGCATCCAATGAACACAAACGTTCTTACTTAGAATCTCACTAAGAAACATAAGAACAAGGAATATGCTATGTGGTATTTTTAGACCACAAAACCCAGGTTTTCATTTATTTTAATTTTAAGCTTACTATCTTAGTCACTCATAAGTTTCTTCAGAATGGGTTTTGGTTACTTTCCCCCCCTTTTTACATACCCATGCTTGAGCTCAGGAAATGAAGTACTGTACAGAGGTGCCTTGGTTCTCGAACTTAATCCATTGTGGGAGTCCATTTGACTCCCGAAACCGTTCGAAAACCAAGGCACGGCTTCCGATTGGCTGCAGGAGCTTCCTGCACTGAAACAGAAGCTGCGTCGGATGTTAGGCTTCCGAAAAACGTCCGCAAACTGGAACAGTTACTTCCGGGTTTGCGGCATTCGGGAGCCAGGCCATTTGAGAGCCAAGGTACCACTGTACCTCTCCAAAGCTACTGTTGCTATTCTCAGAACCATGTTTTGGGTGAAAACGTGCATTATGGGTCAAGTTACTTCTGCTTCTTTCTTAATGTATATTAAATTCCGTTCACAGAACAAGCAAGTAATGCTGCCCTCTTTTTGTATAAAGACACTAGTATTTATTACATTGACAAACTGATTTTCAACCAAGATGGACACACACCAAGGTATTAGTTAAAGCCCATCACAAATTAAGGTACAACATAAGCCCATGGTTTGAGGGAGAGGTATATGAAGGGAGGAAGGCAGTGGCTGGCCTTCTAGACAACCATTAGTTGTGGTCACCAACACACACACCCCACCATCCTCTGGCAGACAATGGGCTTGGGAGAGAGGCATGGTGTGATATCACAAGTGTAAAAGGAACAGCAGGCGCCTCTTTTCCAAGCAGTGTAAAGACTCCTGCTACTTACTACCTTCTCTTCAACTTTGCCAATATTTTGGGAACAGGGATCTGCAGAAAGCCACACAACCTGTTTGCTGGGGGGCCAGAGCCATTTGCTCCTAGCAAAATTATTTGTGGAGACTTGTATGCATATGGCGGAAAGAGAATGTAGCCCCCAGGGCAGAGTTTGCAGCTCCCTGTTCTAGCTTCATGTTTGGTTCTTGCATTTTGATCTGCTCTTGCCAAAGCCACTTGGCTACTTTATTCCTTCTGCTGAACCTTCAAACCCTCACACACACACACACCCAAGTCATTATTTCAATGACCTCCCTAGAAACAGAAGACTCTTCTGCATAATGAAAGTTGTTTCACTAAATACTGCCAACATCTATTAGGGCCATATGAACTACAGGAGATCAGGGACTACCCGTTGGAGATTATGGTTCGGAAGCATTTTGGACATTGGCCCTCCGTTCTCACCCTTACTTTCCAGTGGCTCATCCTAATAGTATCTACTGTCCAACAAAAAGACTAGTAGAAGCTATGCTCTTCTGAGTCACTATGCATTGGATCAAGGATGCTGAGAGATTTCAGCCTGAGGGTGCCTGATCTTAAAATTAGAATGAGAGCACAAGTGGGGAGTGGGGGAAACAGCTCCAAAATTAAAAGTAATTTTCACAGACAAAAATAGCCCTGACCTCTTTATGCAAATCTAAAAGCCTTGCCATTTTCTTTTTTAAAAAGAACATTGCCTAAAATTCTGGGCTTTGAAGCTGTTTGTTCTCCAGCACTTCCTACACTATCATTTCCTTAGCATGGTGCTTTTTCTTTTTTTAAAGAAATCATCTGCTTTCCTATGCAAATATAAAACGCAAAGCTTATTACAAGAGGTCTAGAGTGTGCAGGTGCTGGGAAAAAACCATTAGGAGCAAAGAAAGGCAGGGGGGAGGAGATTATATAAGAGTTTTCCTATTAATGGAAGATGATTAATTGTTATTGGTATGTGGGAGGAATATGCTGTATGCCAACCAAGGACTAAAACATACTCTGCCTGAAATATGATGAAGCAATCAAGCCTTTGCCTTATCTATTTATGGGAGAACATTAATAGAAAAGGTTAGGTGCTACAATAGCTTTACAGAAGCTGGCAAACTGTATTAAATGTTTCATGAAAGCTGTAGGGGAAGCTCCTTGGGCAAGACATCTTACACCTGCCACAGTTTATCCCCACCCCAAGCCAAAAAAGGCAAAAAAAGCCAAGTGAGAATGAATGCTCTGCAGGGATGCAGAGGATGACTATTGATTTATATCACATATTCAAACTGCTATAAAATCAAGCATGTCTTATATGAAGCTTCATTGTGGAAGTAACAGGGAAAGGTTACAGCTCATTGGTACAGAATCTGCTTTGCATGTTGAAAGTCCCAGGTTTAATCCCTGGCATCTCATCTTAAAGTTGGGCAGGGACCCTGCCTAAAACCCTGACCGAGGGGGATGAATGGGTCTGACTAAGTACAAGGCAACTTCCTATGTTCCTATGTCAAGCAGCTAGTCCACTTAGTCTGGTACTGCCTTCTCTGACAGGCAGTGGCTCTCCAGGGTCTCAGGCAGGGCCTTTTGCCCAGTTGTCCTTTCAGGGAATTATTTAACAAGTGTGTGCAAAAAATGGGATTTATTACTCAACTAGCAGGCCTCATATCTCACGAACTGCAAAATTGACCTTCTGCTCCCATTCATTGCCCCTCCATTGTATTTACATACACAATGATTGATCCGCTCAATTATGGTAGCCTAAGAAAACAAAGTCTTCATCTACAGAGAGGTTTCCTGCCCTCTTTTTCTTCAAAAGCTCTAATAAACTTATAATTCCTTAGCTGTATTATTTATGACCCTGCATGCACAAAATCATAGCTCTCTATACCCAATTCTACCAGAATTTCAGTGAACTGAAGTTTTTCTTTTTCTTTTTAAAGGACACAGAGCTTGTTTGTGAGCTGGGACTGTTCCATTTGAGCTTCACATTTATCAGAATTACTTGTGCAAGTTAACATCCTCTGCTGAAGCGATACATTTTCTTGAATGAGGCAGCTGCTCCTCTGCAGACTTACAAGTCACTTTATAGTCTCCAAGCATTATATTTAATTTCCTTATATCTTCTGCGGATATGCCCAAGACACAGATGGTGAAAGAAATTGAGGTTAAGTGGCTTGTTTAAGTAATTGGATTGTATTCATTCTAATTTAGCCTAAGTGTTATTGTTCATATGCTACCATCAATGCACACGAACTCAGAACTTTCTCGTGGTTTGCTATGCATGGTTCACTAGAACCACACACTGCCAGCTATACCTATACCCCAGGTCAAGCAGACCTGCCTGCTTTCTCCAACAGAAACCTATTGTAACAGGCAACTATGTCTTGAATCCAGGAATAAAGAGTTACACATAAGTTCTCGTGCCATATATTTTAGGTAATTCACTTTGTGGCTGCTGCCTGGATCCATTTCCTGCTCCTCAAGTGCCCTTGGTTTAAAAGGTACCATGCTTTCAGAAAAAAAACCTAAACACTGCAGAATCACAGAAATGAAAGAACCTGTGAGGTCACCTAGTTCTCCAGGTCAGAAACTACTTTTACTGGCCAAGAGATGGGCTGTGAAGCACAAAGCCCCATGTGATGCGAGATACACAGGGTATGGTTGGAAGGCATATGCTTCAGCAAAACTACAGCTCTAAAAAGGTCTGGTCAGTGGTTGGGCTGGGAAACCACACAGAAGCGCTAGGGGAAACACTCTGAAGATAAGGCAGTATGTAACTTAACTGAACTACACCCAAACTCTATTTTAGGATACTTTCTTATTTTATAATCTTTATTAAAAATATGCTGAATATTGACAGAGAATGGAAATACCACGAGCTAAGAGAATGAATGGTATACCAAAATACGGGAGTCAGCAATTCTGAATAAAATGTTTGTGCATTTTTTGGGTGAAATAGGGTAGGTATAAAGTCAATGCACTGAACAGGAATTCGACCACTCAAAGTACTCTGAAATAATAAACATGGTTAAACATGAGGAAACCTGCTCCTTTTATTATAATGAAACTACCACAAAGTACACTAAAATTGTAATAGTTTGGATTAAAAATACTCAACTTGTTATCTTGACCTAGAGTTTTATATCTTGAATTGTCTAATGTTTTGTAGAAGGATAAAGTGTTTTTGAAGAATGTATGTTTGATAATTTATATGATCAATATGTCTGAACTTCAATGTCCCACTTTTCTAAAATGTATTGCCATTTGTCCAATTTCACTAAATATATTAGTGATACAGCATAGTGTTTCATTGAAAAAATATTTAATGAAATGATTCCAAAGAGAGGATTCCTGACTGGCCTTCAGTTATTTATCATTCAATCTTGTGCCCACTTATTGCCACGAGTATTAAAATCTTACATTAGAATAGGCCCAGATTAGCACCTCCATAATGTGCTTGCAGAATGGGGCTTGTTGGGAAATTCAGAGTCATAGTTTTTCATCCTACCTGTTTATGAGGACCCCTGAGTATGTGTGCCTTGGCGCCTTCACAAGCCGTCCTCATTGCTTCCAGTGACGGTGTTCCTAAGAGATCTGTGATCAAATCCAACTGTAAAGATGGAAGAAATTGTCCACAATTTTAATCTGGATAGAAGCATATTCTTTTCAAACTATGAGCACATACACACATTCAAATTCTCAGTATCTCTGGGTAAGGTTGGGAGAGAGTCACTGCCAGTTAGTTTAGAAATACTGAGCTAGATAGGCAAGAAAGAGATTTGAGGGCCTCGGACACGAGACAACCAGGTTAAGGAGCCGGACTATCGAGGTTAAAAGGACTGACAATCCCAGGTCCAGGGGAGGGGCGCTGGAAGTTAACTGGATTGTGTCTGACTTATTATCTTATTTTATTTTTCTATTTTTCAATACTGGGAACGTTCATAAATGTTTGAAAGATGTTGAATGAAACTATATGGCTTAAGTAATGATTGGTAAATGATTTGCAAAAAGGTAATGATGTAAGAATTTGGTAAATACTGAATATAAGCTTTGAGTTTTAAAGTTTTTATATGACAAGAGGGAAAATAGAATAAGGAAATGTAATGATAGAATGTTATGAAAAAACAGAAAGGATTTGCTGTAAAAATTAAAAATTAAGAAACAAGAGAGGGAGGAGGAGGAAGTCTAGAAAGGAAGTTAATAGAGATCGTAAATGATTTTATACTTTTGTTTTTCTTTTTTCTTTTTTTCTTTATGGTTGGGTCTTTTCTTTTTTATTTCTTTATCTTTTTTGCTTTTTGTATTTTCAATTTTTTTTGGAAATTTTTGTTGTTATTCTTTGAAAACTTAATAAATATTAATTAAAAAAAAAAATAGAAATACTGAGCTAGATGAACTCAATGGTCTGACTCTGTATAAGGCAGCTTCCTATTTTCCTAAATGAATACACAACTTTGCACAATCAGCCTCTTCCCTTCTATTCTCCACTTTCTGGTACTATTTGAAACTGCGGCATGTGTACATGTTTACACATGTATGGGATTTATATCTTGCCTTAGAACCACAAATAAACCCACAAAGATAAAAGACAGTAAAACCAGCAGATTAAAAGCCAACAAGAGGACATAAATTTTCATTAAAAGCATGAAAGAACAGGGGAGACTTCACCTGGCTCCTAAAATATGACAACAGATTGTGCCAGGAAAACATATCCAAGCAGACAGCTCTACAGTTTGGGCATTGCCACAGAGAGGTTCTCTTTATGGTAGACATCCACCTAGCCTCAGAAGGCTGCGTAACAAAGAAAGGCCCCTTAAGATTATCTTAAGTGGCAGGCATATTCACCTGGAGATGTATTGCAGCCATCACTGCTTATTTTAGGTGCCCAATGAGCATCCTGGAAATAGTAACCTTTAGAGGGGGCTCTAATCTGTTAGGGTAGGCATCCCCAAACTCGGTCCTCCAGCTGTTTTGGAACTACAACTCCCATCATCCCTGGCCACTGGTCCTGTTAGCTAGGGATGATGGGAGTTGTAGTCCCAAAACAGCTGGAGGGCTGAGTTTGGGGATGCCTGTGTTAGGGATTCCTCAGACCCCTTCAAAGAACTTCCAAGGACTCCATTGCATGGAAGTTAGAAGGATCTGAAACTCTCCGAAAACAATAGGGCTGACATGTCCATAGTCCCACAGGGTTGCGTTCACCTAAGTTCTACTCAGACAAGACCATTTGAAATTAATAGACCTTAGTTAGTCATTTCCATTCATTTCAATGGGTCTCTCTGAGTGGAACAAGCATGTGATACAACCCACAGTGACGCAAACCCCAAAAGAACAACAACCCAAAAAAATTCCTTCCAGTAGCACCTTAGAGACCAAGTAAGTTTGTTATTGGTATGAGCTTTCTGAAGCGTGCATGCGCACGAAAGCTCATACCAATAACAAACTTACTTGGTCTCTAAGGTGCTACTGGAAGGAATTTTTTTATTTTATTTTGACTACGTCAGACCAACACAGCTACCTACCTGTACCCAAAAGAACAGAAAGAGAAAAGCTGTATAGTGAAAGTGCCAGATGCGCCTCTGTGGGGAGGAAACTACAAACGTAGGGGCTACCAAAGAAAATCCCCACCACCCAAACATCTGAGGACAGCAGAACCACCAGGAGCGGCCCCTCTGCTGACCTTAACACTTGAGAGCATCTGTAGGGAAGGAGGCGGAGTTTCAGGTATTTGGGGCCTAAGTTGCTCACCATTTTGTAGATACTAAACCAATGCAAAGAGTGGTAATTTTGCAAAGGTTTTGCAGAATGTGATTGTATTTGGCAGTTCTCCTTTATTGCCGCTGCCCCAACAACGTATTGCACTGATTTCGGTTTTTGGCGAATGATGAAGATGCATCTCTTCACCCTGGCCTCTGACCTGTGTTTACAGGACTCACCCTATTCCTGTGACTGCAATTTGTTTTAACTGATTATAATTCTGAATTTTAAATGGCTGTAAACTGCCCTGGGACTAGTTGGTGAAGGATAAAAATAATAATGAAAATAATAATGGGCATAGCAACCTACCTCACAAAGTGTTCCTGTGAAGGTAACAGACTTCAAAACATTTTGCACATTAAGCGTGCTACATCTGAGCTTGATTGGTTAACAGCGATGATGAGTGCAATTAAAGTCAGGATACAGCCTGAAAAACTGATTTAGGTCAGGTTTGTGTAGCCCAGTCCTGCTACTTTGACTGGCAACAGCTCAGGAACAGGTCTCTCCCAGTCTTGCTACTCAATATCCTTCAAGTGGGGATGCTGAGGATTGAGTCTGGACCTTTTGCATACGGAGTGTGCATCCCACTGAGCTATGGCAGCAATCTTTTGTACCACAGTGTTACGGATACTTGCCCAAATATACCATTGGCAGAATGCAAATGGCAGCAACCAAGTCACAATTTGGGGGGTAGGTTTAGCTTCTCAAACTGTGTAGTGGGATTCAGTGCTGGATCTACAAGTTTTGATATAGAGGGCAAAGGTCTGCTCTGCTGCCCTCCAATCCTGCAAATGGATTGATGGGGCAGGGGATGACACAAAGGGGATGAAGTCTTTCACTCCTTCATGTCACATGCAGATTTCTTTTTCTCAGCTGCTGAGGTGGGACAAACTAGGCTCTATTATCTGAAAAACTGCACTTCCTTATCCTGTGCAGGTTGTCTGAAGCTATGGGAATATTTTGTAGACATTGTAGACCTCTTATGACTGAAATCCAGTTATACGCCTTGCAAGTCAAACCTTTTGGCTCCTGAACACCGCAAACCCAGAAGTGAGTGTTCCGGTTTGTGAATGTTCTTTGGAACCTGAACGTCCAACGCAGCTTCCACGGCTTCCAATTGGAAGCTCCTGCAGCCAATCGGAAGCTATGCCTTGGTTTCCAAATGTTTTAGAAGTCGAATGGACTTCCGGAACGGATTCCGTTCAACTTCTGGGGTACCACTGTATTGCTAAACCTCAAATTCCATTTAGCCACAGCATGGTCTTCTTCACCAGAATCTGGCAGAAACAATTTCTTGATAACACTGTGTTTACTTTGTTACATACGATCCCCAGCCAATTGTCGCAAAATCCCTTCAACTCTGGAGATGACAGATTACAGTATAAACTAGCATCCTTAATATAGTAACCACTGGAAGACTGTGACACTGTCAGTATATTTACCCAAGCATTTTTATATTCTATGAAAAACTTCGGAATAGCATTTCACTTTTTCTCAACCAACTTTTTTATTTTTTAAAAGCACTTCTAGTTTGCAAATTATCAGCCACCCACACCTGTCCTCGCAACTCCTGGACAAGATGGGCGGCCTTGGGCAAGCTTCTCTCTCAACCTCCATTCCCCATCTGTCATATAGGAAGGATGACAATCTACCTCAGAAGGTTGCTGTGAGCATGAATCAGATCAGCAAGCTGCAAACTTGTTATCTGCAGGCAGGAGCTAAAGGACCCAGGAAAAATAAGAACCAAGGCTGTCGGCTCAGTGTTCTACAAGGCAGAAGAACCATTGCACAAACGTTCAGGAAACCCTGTTTATTTAAAACATTTATATTCTACCTTTCCACCAGTTTAGGTCCCTCTAATAATTAAACAGAATTCCTTACTATAATAAAAATGCAAAGCCAAAGGGGCAGCCACCATTAAAACTATGTATACATTTTTTTAAAATCCTATCACAATTAAATGCTGCCAAGCGCTTAACCCAACGAAGACGTTTTTAGTTAGGAACATGGGAAGTTGCCTTTTATGTACAGAGTTAGACCAACACTCCATATAGCTCAGTATTGTTTACACTGATTGGCAGTGGCTCTCCAGGACTTCAGGCAGGGGTCTCCCCCCAGTCTTAGCTGGAGATGCTCATTGGGGATTGAACCTGGGACATTCTGAAAGCAAAGAATGCCATCTACTGCTGAACAATGGTCCCTGGCACAGAAGAGAGGAAGAAACCTGAGAAATATACCTGGGGAGGAAATTTTTCAAGTCTTGGTGTGACCACACAAAAGGACCGTCACTGGAAGCCACCCCCTTCACCTCTGAAGGTGGAGAAACTTGGAGCAGGGCAAGCTCACATGGGAGTAGGTGATACCTTCAGATCTGCTAGTTTGATATTTTGAACTATGGAGTTTAAAACTAGTACCTGAATTGCATCAGGAAGCCATCCATTGTAAAGTCCAGAGAGAAAGATGGGACACTCTCCCTTATTTTGGACAGGCCAAGCTGATTCAAAGCATTACTTAAGACACTACAACTTCATTTATCCAACTGTCCACCCCAATGGAGATTTCAGGATGTTAAGAATGACCAGAATTTGACATGCACTGAATTCCATCCACTAGGAGAGTCAGAGAGCCGGGCATCACTTGTTAATCAACAGGGTTAGACTGAAATGCCTTCATACCTGCTGAATGGGACTTTGCGCTTGAAACAATATTCTCCGTCCTAGCAATTCTGCAAATATACAGCCTACGGACCAGATGTCGATAGCATTGCTGTAGTGACGGCTGCCCATCAGGATTTCCGGAGCTCGATAATACTGAGTGACAACTTCCTGAGTCATGTGACGAGATTCATCTAATTCTTCCACCCTGGCCAAGCCAAAATCACAGATCTGGAAAATAAAGAAAGAAAGAGGTGAGCAAATACTTTGTATATTTACAGATATACAGATTTAAGAATGGTGGCTGATATGTGATATCTGAATCTGCCTTCCTCCAAATAGTCCACATAAAACTTGGTTTGAGCCATACACATATGAAAACCAGGCATATGTACCTATGGGATGCATATTTGTTTAGCTAAATTTTTAACAGTTCAGGATTACCAGGATCTGAAATATTTCAGAAAATGCCTGAAACTTCAGATAGTGGCAGGTTTTCAAATTTCATAGTTGCGTTCATGCTAAATCTAGCTCTCCCAATATAGGGATGAAATGTTCACTAACTGTTAAGCCTTCTTTGTGTTCAGACTTCTCAGGTTTCTCGTGTTTTTGAGATTTTTTTGTGTGCAATTAAGAGTTTGTCCTACCAAAGTATTAGCTGTGTTTATGTTTCTATATACAACCTGCTTCCCCACCAACTTCTACAAAGTAAACTAGACTGTTTGGGAACAGGATTCTATCCTAGCCTTTACTTTGACAAGAGTTTTCCCTGCATATGATTTTTTAATTTTTGTATTGAGGAGCATTCAGTCGTGGAAGCCCCCATCTGCAGAATAAATTGCTACAACCAAGACACAGGTATTTTGCCCCATAAGAATGTGCACATAATGGATCTTGTGCACATAATGGATCTTAGAAGCAGAAGGGTGCGCAGATCAAGTCAAAGCATTGTATGATTGATAAATATCGGGATCAATTTAGCTTTTATGCTGGATCAGATGGAAGGACCAGGCTCCTGCTGGATTCCTGGGCTGCATTCCTACACCCACTCACTCAGGAGAAACAGGATGAGTAGACGTGCACAAGACTGTGCTGTTAATCTGCAGAGAAATGCTCCTGGCTTCTGAGCAGGAGGTGGGGAGAAATTATAGTCCTCCCTCTCCTTCAAGCCAAGTCAAAGCAAGGCATTGCTATTCCCCAGTATTGTACAAATGTGAGAGGGGATGACAAAAACTCTTGTGTTCAATGCCATATTAATAATGGTAACAATGTACCGGAATGAAAGGAAACACACTTTTCAAATGAAGAGGCACCTACTTGAAGAGAATCAACTCATACTTATCACTAGGGCTTTTTCCTAGGAAGTTCAGGGTTCCTGGGTTTTGCTTTAAGCATCTCAGAGCTACAGACAAGCGGATTATAGAAGCAACCCTCTATTTCTATTTTTGAAAGAAACAGCAAAACCTTTTTGGACCTGGGCATGGCATGTGCAGTATTTTTTATATAGGTGTGAAAAAACCACCTTAAGAACACAGTTGCTGTTCACAAGTAGGTTCCCTGGTTTAATGTCTCGATGCAAAATACCAGCCGAATGTAGGTATTTCAGACCTGCAAACAAAAATAAAAAAGAGAAGCTGTAAAAAAAAAGGCAAACTATGCATAGAGTAAAAGGAAATAACAGATCCTAGAAAGACATGCAAGGTGTGTGAGTGACTGCGTGATATAAGGCATGAGCTACATCTACATACAAAGTATGACATCATATTTACAATGTTTTGTCATAAGGTGTTGAGCAGTTACATTCTTCAGACTTCCATTAGGATGCAAAACTAACCCAGCCAGGCAACAGATATCTGTTGCAAAGCTCTCAATGCAGAATTACAGTTCTCAGTAATAGTAGCATTTGATAAGGAATTTCCAGCTTACTAGCACACTCTATATCTCCAAGTTAACATATGTTTGGAAGGCTCTCTTTTGGCCAGCAGACTATTTAGAGGAGAATGTTAAGTTATCAAGGAACAGAGTCAACACTCCAGTATTTTTCCCACATTAAAAGTTAACACAAAGTTTTGTTTCTTGGGGGGGGGGGTGGAAATCTGCTCCTTACTTTTTTTAATAAAGGCCTAAAATTTGTACATACAAAGGAGTTTAAGACATATATCAAGGTGCTACTATTAAGACTGACCATGGCCAAAAGGTCCCTTACTAGACTAACTCCAGCTGGTTAAATATTTTGGAAGCTTTGGGAGATATGCAAGTCGAAATCAAAACCATATATTTTCTAAGTATGCCCAGGCGTGGTGGTTTTCATCAGAGTATGCATAGCTGAAGATTAAGCAGGTTTAGTTTTATTTTTCCTCTGAACACCAAAGACTGGGTTTGTTCAACTTAATAAATTCTTCCAAGCTGAACTGAACTTCAAATTAAAAGATATGGAGTTGTATTCAACTAAGTTCTGCTCAGAGTACAACCACTGACGATAATAAATCTAAGTGAGGCATGCCCATTCATTTCAATAGGTCTAACTCTGAGCAGCACTAACATCAGATATAACCCATTATTTTCACCAAGTTTAAATGCTGGGACATTTTAATTTTGGGAGGATAATTCATAGGGAATGAATTAACGTATTAAAATTGGAGCAGGACCGATCCATAAAGTATACCACTGTTGTTAAAGGCTTATAAATCTCCCGACTTCCCCCACATCACCCTTCGCCACATTTTAACCAATACACCATCCTTGCCCGCCCCGCCCCGCCCCACTTTATGGATGGTCCCACAGCTGGATTCCACTGTCAGAGGTAATGGAGAAGGTGAGTTTACAGGTTGCAATGGGGATAGGGTGGGGTAAGGACCCAACACATTCATTCTGCATTAAAAACCAAAAACATGTTACCTCTTAAAATCTGGTAAAGAAAAACCTTTACATGATCCGAGCTGAGTGGCTGAGGAGAGACAATAATCTTATGGAGGTCGCTCTGCATCAATTCTGTAACAACATATCTTCAATTGCACTCATTAAGGAAAGTACAGACAAATGATTTCAGCTCCTCAACTTGGTGCAAGAGATGTCTGAAAAGCTGTTTCTTCTTGTTCTCTTTATCACATGATACAGAGAGTTAGCAAAGGCCAGAGTAGCAGCTAGTGGCATTTTATTCTACAGTAATTGTTATTTTGATTTACTTACTTAACTCCCCAGGTATGGGAAAAACCAAACTTGACTTTAGGGAAAGTTAGTCTTACTATACCAGGCATGGCCAAACTTGGCCCTCCAGATGTTTTGGGACTACAACTCCCACCATCCCTAGCTAACAGGACCAGTGGTCAGGGAGAGTAGGAATTGTAGTCCCAAAACATCTGGAGGGCCGAGTTTGGCCATGCCTGTACTATACGGACTCAAATGATCCCCAAGAGCTGACAAACCAAATTGCTTCCTTGTTTTGAAACCATAAACACATTTTTCCTCATGTACACATGGACCATAAAGAAAAATCTAAGAAAGATGCAGTCTTTAAAAAAACCCACACACACATTGCTTTCAAATTCAGAACATTCAAACATTCAGAAATGTTATTTCAATGAACAATAAAAATGTAGCCCATTTTTCAAGTAAAGTAACTTCAACGTAGAGCTCATTTCTTTACATTTCTGCTATTTTCAGAACCATCAGCAGTGGAACCTGTGCAATTCTTTTTGCCGATAAATAACTCTACCAACTCCTTTCGTGTGTGTGAAGAGGCACCCTGAAACTAGGCAAACAATACAATCTGGGTGCACATCTTTAAAGTTCCAGTTTTGTTTCTTTCAAATTGGCAGGCTCACATAGAGAAAGCAAGATAAAAGGAACCATTTAATAGACTGGCACAGTTGCAGAAAACGCAACTGCTTGTTGGCGATATACGGCAGTAGTTCAGCATGACAAAAATCAGCACCCCCTTCCTGCTGACATTTAAAGGTGGAGATGCAAATGAGCATCGGAAGCACCACAGACATTTACAGAGGGATGGCAAAAAACCAAATGTACTAAATCAAAATTGTTATCAGGGAGCCCGCCTGCTTCTCTCATGCATCATCAGGATGGGAACACAGCTGAAAAAAGCACCTGAGAACAGCCGATAGCTGCTGCCTGTTTGCCTGAGTCATACCTGCTTAAGCGGTCTGATTTTCCCCACTGTCAGCAATAAAGTGCTTAGATGTAACTACAAAAAAGAACAAGATGGTATCCCAGTTTCACCTCCCATACCAATGTAATTGTCAGGCGAATTCTCTGATCCACAAGTTTGGCTGTTGACAAGAGTCTGGGTGGACACACAGCCTGCAGCAAAACCAGTGCGTCAGGATTTTCAGGTAACAGGTTATGCCTGCAGTGACAGGACTAGAAGAGTTCTGGGGAGGGAAGCAAGGTGGAAGAAATCTGTTCTGGGTTTAAAAGGTCTTAACCTTTGTGGCTTAAAACGATGTGGCTCGACTATCTGCTCATGTGGCCCAAATACCTGCTCGACTATCAATCTGCCAGCCCCCTGAGATCACCATCTTCCTCCAGGGTCCCCCACCATCTGAAATGTTACAGGTCATGACCAAAGAGAGTCTTATCAGCAGTGTCTCCTCATCTTTAGAATGCCCTCCCCAGGAAGCACCTTGGCTACCAATCATTTCTGAATGCCAGGCAGAAAACGTTTGTTTTCCCAGGCTTTTAAGAACAGCTTGTGTTAGCATATATATATAAAATCAAAGTTTTGATCTTACTGTTTATTTGAATGGATTGTTGCTATTTTAGTTGGCTGCATCTGTATGCTTTTTCTTATTTTCTATTTTTAATCATTGTACTTTTATTGTCTCTTACTACTTTTCTGTAGCTGCCCTGGGACTATGCATTCAGGATGATTCAGGATATCTATCTATAGATATATAGATATGCAACATAAAAAAGAAGCACTTCTTTTGTCATTGTACTGCACACTTCAGAAAAAGCAGAGCGAACCTCCACAAATGAAATTTAGGGTACATGACAGTCACATAGCGTTTTCTAGATGAAGCATGTTACCTGACATACCACACCCACGCTATTTCATGCAACCCTTGAAGTGAGCCAAGTTGTCTATGCTTGTTTTAGGAGTTTTGTGTAAAGCGTCGCTTCTTTACATGTAGTCCAATTAGTGCCCAAATGACAGATCCCACTACATGTTGGCTTTTATATTTTCAAAGGGAGAGCAGTGACTGCATCCACATATACCACCCACGTGGCTTTTGCTGCAAACGGAAATCCCGTTTTGCCTGCAGCACTGTCCCATCAAATTAAGCTTGCAAAGCTGCTTCCCCGGTTCCCAACTCAAAAAACGGTAGGACTATGATTCATTTCATCATGCTCAGGAAAGTAGGTTTTCTATCTCCCTCTTTTTTGTTCCTTGCTCACTACTCTGGACATTTTCAATGGCCGTAATAAAAATATTACTCGGCTGTTACTTCTGCCAATGATGGCTGCTAGTTTTGACGACTGCATGCTATCTGCAGAATGAGAAGCAGCAAGCCCCTGCACACCAATTGCTGGGAAACCACCGTAGGAGAGAGCTACTGCCTTCTTTCTTTCCTGCTTGTGGGTTTCTCGTAAGTTGGCGACTGTGGGGAACAGGAGCCTTTGGTCTGATATAGCAGGGCTCTTCTTATGTTCTTAACCATCTTTGCAAAGCCTGGTCTTACGGAGAAATTTAAGAAGGGCTTACAGAATCTGCTCAGGAAACATGATCCTATTGTAAAATCCCCACCCATATTAGCATCCATTGCATTTTTCCTCTTTTCCAAACAGATTTTCCTCACCCAGCCCCGTCCCCCCTGCCTGCCAATACACACACTATTCTAGAAAACCAGTTACAATACTCTGTGCTTTATTATGGTATGACATCCCTGTTTGGTTCTCCCACCTAAATCCTCCTCAACCTCAATCCCGAGCATTAATGTCTCCCAGATGTCTCAACTAGTTGCCATGCCAACTAAAGCAGCTTAAATTAAACGAGGGCCTGGAATGGCACCTGCACAGCTCCAGGTCTGCTGTGCATTAAAACAAAAACAACCCCTCCAAAAAACAGCTTTTGATAAGGGCTCAGAGGTGCTATTAGCTTCAACAATAACTATCTCATAATTGTCTCTGGATAATTTAACAAGGGCCTCTAAGCAAGAGCAAAAGCAGGCCTCACTAGATTTTCCAGTTTCACAAGTACAGCAACCTCTTAAGCAGCTGGTGTCTGGATAGGTCAATGTCATTTGCCTTCTCCAGTGCTTATAATTGTTAGTAAGGCTTTGGGGGGGGGGCTCCATAAAGCTAAAGTAAGGGCATTTAATGGAAGCAAGTTTCAGTGCATGTCTGTCTTTCTAAATTTAATGTTGAGCCATAAATATCATGGCCAGAGGACTTGCGAGGTTGCTCTAGTTTTTATACCCCCAAACAGAACAGCACTCCTGGATGGAAAATGCTGACAGTAATAATTAGTGAAGGAGATGCATAAAATTAGAAGTACGAAACACACCAATTTGCTTCAAAACAATTATCAAAGGCACAAAGCAGAGGACAGGAGAAGGGCCTTAATTTGTGCTGACTGAGAGACTTGTTGAAGCTAACAGACTATGCCATACTGACAAGCAACCCTAATGTACAAGCCTGACACATCACAACAGTATTGTTTGCAGTCCCCTTCCCTGGGATCCGCAAAGCTCAAAGAAATTCTTCCCTAAGCATGTTCCCTTTTTGCAAAATGTAGCATTTTATCACAGGGGTGTGTAGACACAAGCACACTGCCTGCACCAGATTCATAGCAGTGTCAGACTAGCCTTTAGAAATCCTAAATCAGCTCTCCTGCCATATCCAACTGTTGCTTGCAGCCTTCTGACATATTGTGGCAGATTCCGCCTAAGGAAAACTGCTCCATCTTTCTTTGGATGGGGCAATTCTCATTCCAGCAGCCAACTACCCAGAAAGACCCAATGCAGCCTGCAAAAGAGTGGACTATGCAAAACCCTGAAGAATATTACTTGCCTTACAAAGTGCAATGGCACCCACTTCATGTGTCTCAAATTTCAGCTTTGAGTAGAAAATACATATCTACCGTGTTCTTAAAAGTCTAATTTTATGGATCATAAATTTTGTATATATGTGAAATATAACAGAAAAAGTTCACGAGGAAAATTTTTCCCCCCTAATATAGTCATCATGTATCAGACTGCAGACCACAAAGACGAACAGTTCCTGTCAGTTCTCTTTAGTACAACATAAAAATCAGCATTGTGTCGCTCTTGGGACTGATTCTCATGTTGCATTTGTTTTCAGCTTGGTATGGGGAAGTGTTTCTATTTGGTAATGTAGAAGCAATCTAGCCAGCACATTTGTTTTGTCACATTTTTGACACTGCTCAAGAAGATCCACGCGTACAAAAATGATACATGGGATCTGACTCTTGTTCACCCACTTCAGCTTGTATAGCAGTTCAGCCCACTAACTTTCCCCCATGCTCCAGATTTATGTCTTCAAACCTTAGAAATTACAGGAAAGGCACCCGAAACAACTTGCATTAACACGAAGAGCTTCAGTACAGATCTGACTCCTGTGCTTAGTAAGTAGAAGGCTCAGGGGTTGATTGTGGTTTAGCCTGATGATATCGTTGCTGCCGGGCTACTGAGCCATACATACTGCTGCTGAAATGTGCACTTTGTGTAAAGCCCAGCACTCACGCAGTTCAGGCAATTTTTAACCACTCTCAAATGGCATGGCCACAGGAAGAGCCATACCACTTCAGTACCACTGTACCAAGTAACTCTGCGGTTAGACATACTGTGCTTCTAGATGTGAAACATCATGTAGCTGGCCTGAAGCAATATCCAATGCTCAAGACACTGTGAGTGAAAACCACCACCGGCAGAACGATTGTATCACCCTAGGTCTCTTCATACAAAATTTTTCAAGGAGGCAATCATTAATCAGGGTAGAGCAATTTCAATAATTAAGAAAGAGGATAGATAAATTAAGCTTCCAACTTTCTAATCCATGTACAACCACACATACCAACTGAGCACTATCAAAATTAAAATGGACTTTTAAAATGGAATGTGGCTGCACTACACCTGGGGCATAATCTAAAAATTCTAATCAAGCAGCCCATGTGCCTTTTACACTACAGTATTTATATCTGCTTGTGGGATTGTGAGATTAAGGATTTCTGTTTGGCTGTCTCTATGTTTGTTAATGGACTCTCTATGACACTTTGTAACTGTAGTTCTCTGTACATACTCATGCAAGGGGACTGAGCAAGTTCATTTACTTGAAGACTAAGGTCCCTAAAACTTTCCAGGAGCAAAGGCCAATAGATGCAAGTTAGTACAGTATTTCTACATGACATAGATGGTATCTGGCTGAAAGTCTAAATTGTCATGATACAATTATAAATAGTATTTTATATTATAGTGTTTAACAACAAGAATTGCATATTTCTGTTCCTGGTTGATTCTTTTACAAAGAAAAACTGGTTTGACAGAAGATCATGGCTTCAATTTGTATATGCTTTTATTACATCCAAATATCTGAAGATCAAAGCAATGTTTTGTAAAGAATAAATAAATTTATTTTTTAAAAGATCATTGATTTTTACTGACTCAGTAGAACACAATCCCTTTATTATTTGTGTGTGTGCGTGAGCACACACACACACTAATACGCTAGCATCTTTTCTCAACAACAATAATAGTATCAGCCCATCCATCTTGCAAGAGGATGGTTTTTTAGTATCTCTCTCTACGGAAATAAAAGCCTTGTCAGGAAAGGCTATTTTATGATAGCACCATAGAGCCCTCAATATAGCTTCCTCTTTCCACACAGATGGACAGAAAAAGGAATAAAATAAAGGGATTCACTTTATCACAAGAGCTCAGTTCCCCTTTGGGCCTTTGATAAATGCACTGGAACCATCAATAGGTGACGTTGGGAGCTCTTGGTTTCCATCAGGCACAAGCAGAAGTACTCATTGCTAAAAAAACAAAACAAAAAACCACATACATCTTCAGGTAGTCCTAATCATGTAAACAAGCGACAACAGTGACAAGCTGAAAGCGCCATGCTTTCTAAATGGGTAGCAGGCCACCCTGACAGTTGGCTACAAGTTTAAGCGTATCACAGAACCAGAGTGTACATCAAAAGCTCAAATATTAGGGAGCAGGGATCTGTAGCCAGCTGGAATCCTGCCCAGAAGCTCTTTGTATTGCTTGGCTATGCCTATGGTAATGGGGAATGTGCCATCAATGCCAGCTCAGAGATGGATTAACTGGAGGTGGGGGCAGGAGAAGAGATGAAAAAATCCAAAAATAACTTCTCCAACTGTGCAGGACAAATTGCTAGAACCAATGTATTACGATTAGGGTTAACACCATGGGTGAATGTGAATGAGTGAAAAATAACTGGAATTGTGCTGCCAAACAGATTCTCTTGCAAATAAAAAATAATAATAAATCACATACACAAACCAAAAACAATTCCCCCCATTTCAAAAGTAAAGACAAACAATGAGCAATATGCAGCTCAGATTTTTAAAAGCTGGATGTAGAGCCCTGTTGTGAAGCTTGACCAAGTGATTAATGAACACGTCAGTGGTGAACACCCCTTGTACTTGTGCAAGCACACAGGCCGACTAAGATCTTCTGCCAACAGCCAGATCATGCAAGCCACAGCTTTGCCCATTTCTCTTTCAAATGCTTGCTGCATTATGGGATGGCATTAAGCTGTGAACATCTCAAAGTTCTAGCCATTAAGTTTTAAACCTTGCATTTCATAATGCCTGACCTAAAGCTTCTCTTCTTTTCTTGTGCCACACTTCTCAATCTCTCCCTCCAGTTCAAATAATTTTATCTCGGACTCTCATCTTTAAGCTGTTCCCTATGCCATCTATCATTATGTTCATTAGAAGAGCAGCCCCTCCTGCAGTTTGCCATATGCCCACCAAGAAGAACAGTAAAATGCAACTAGATACCCTCCTGTCATCTAGCAATAAACTTGATGTTTTCTGATTATGTCTAATTTGGACTGGTAGTGGGACTTCAACACCTCAAGTAGAGTTCCTTTAGCTGGAGATGTTGGGCACAAAACCAGGGACCATTTGCATCCAAATCATGTGCTAAACCACTGAGCCATGCCCCACCATCTTAGTTTTCTTTCCACTACCATTTGTCACCCACCAATCCACCCTCATCCTCACTTGTCAACCCACATCCATTTTACTTCCAATATAAATTAAACCCTCTGGCCTGGCCTTTTAACACCTCTATAGCCCCAAGCAGAACACTGCAAACCTGTGTGCATGGAAGGAGACTAGAAGCAAGCCACCTTGCAAGTTTCATTACTGAGGGTTGCACAGAAATGTGAAGAATTGTTAACACAGAAGTGGCTAAGGTTAGACAACAGTCCACAGAAACGAATGCCCTTGGCCTAGTTTATATTTCGACGTTGATTTGCAAGTGTCTTCATTCCACTATCAAGTTTTTAGGGTTGTTGTTTTTAAGTTTACTCAGGCTCTGTGACAATTAAAAATGCCTCTCTGTGAATCAAAGTGTTCCTGCTAGAACTAATTACTATCAAACATGCTAAGCAATGACAGCCCTTTGAAGAAGTAGCTGGAAGTCACCTTACAAAGACCTCAGACTCAAACACCTCATTGTTGTTAGGGAAACCAAGTCTTAGACAATGGGTGAAACTGCAACTGATAACATCCAAAAAACAACATGATGGTACAAGAATCCATTTGGGATCAATACCACCACATTTTTTCAAAAGCACTTACATATTTAAAGCTTATTGAAAATTGTTAGTATTAGAAAACAAAACAACTTAAACGATTAAAAAATCCATTAACTGAAGCTGCATTACAAGGAAAGGAAGGCACACATATTTAGTATGTTACAGTGTAGGGGAAGGGTGCAGTTTCTTCTGTCTCTCCATTACAATTTCTTCTAGTAGAATGGAAAGAACGATGAACTGAAGCAAAGAAACTGATATATAGATCAACACCAGCTGTTACAACAGGGGTGGGGAACATGTGGCTCTCCAGAGGTTATTGAACTACAACACCTATCATCCCTAGCCACTGCCAATGCTGCCTGGAGCTGATGGAAGTTGGAGTCCCAACAGTATCTAGAGGCCTGCAGGTTCATCGGCACTGTGTTACAAGAAGCACTAACCAGCAGTTGCCCTACCACCTCTTGTTTCCATTGAACTATATGAAAGAAGGGAAACTTGGGAGGAGGGCAAGGGGAAAAGGCAATGCTTCAGAGACACATTCAGCTGGCATATCTGCCCTCAGCATCTTTCCTGCTGGAGTTCACCTTGACAAAAAGCAGGGGCGCGAAAGAACAAAAGACAGAAGGACAAAGCACTCAACTCATACCCTTGCAAGTGCCTCACAGAATATTTGCAGCTCTCTACAATTGCCTCATTTCAAGTTTTATCACGTGGGAGATGCTAAAAAGGGACAAGCCTGCCAATATTTTATTGTATCATATTCATGCCAGAGCTTCAAAACCTAGAAGAGACACACTCACTAAGAAGAGATTGTGTATAGATTGACTTGAAAGGTAATAAAACAGAGATAGCATTGCCTACAGTACATATGTTCATATGTTTATTTATTTTTGTCCTGCTATGATCTCTGGGCAAACGGTTCTTATTTTTGTATTTTTAGCAACAGAGCAAACGGTATGCATCATAATACCAACACATATAAATAACATGATCACTAAGGAGAAAGAATTATGAAGACTTACAGTGCGCAAATGGAGGGATGAAAGAAGTACGGGGGAACCTCAAAGATCAGTGTTGGAAACTGTGCTTTTTAACTTGTGCATATATATGACTTAAGAGTTGAGAGTGAGAAGTGAGGTACCCAAGTTCACTGATGACACCAATTTGTTTGGAGTGTTAAGAAAGTCCCTGAAGGCACCTGAGGCCACCAACTTGCTGAAACTAAGGAGGTGACCACCTGGGAACAACACATACACTGCCTTTGGTTCCATGGTGAAAGGAAGGTGGGATATAAACAAAAATAAAAAGGGACTGTGAGGAGTTCCAAAAGGGTATCTCCAAACTGGATGACTGGATGACTAGTAAAATGGCAAATGTGATTCTGTGTAAGTAAGTGTAAAATGATGCACAGTGGGGCCAAAAAAATCCCTTACTTCCCATATGTGCTTAAGGGGTCTGAACTGGCAGTGACTGACCAAGGAAGGAGATCTTAGGATCTGTGGTGGATAACTCAATGCATATGTTAACTCTGTGTTTGGCAGCTGTGAAAAAAGCTAATTCCATGTTGAGGATTGTTAAGAAAGGATTGAAACTGCCAATGTCATAATGCTGTCATACAAAACTATGGTGTGACTGCATTTTGAATACTGTGCTCATTTCTGGAATACTGTGTTCAGTTCTGGTCGCCGCAGCTGAAAAAGGAAATTGTAGAGTTGGAAAGGAACAACCAAAATTATTGTGAGCTTCTGGATTGACTGGAAATTAGCCACTGATTTGCAAAGGGGGGGGGTAGTTCCTCCTAGGCTTGTTTGTAGTATAATGCCACAGTGGGCTGTATCAGTCTTCTCTACTGTGGGCAAATGCTTCTCACAAGTTTCTGAAGTACAACAAAAACCTGTTGGACCTGACATAAGCAAACCATGAAGGAAATAATGAACTTGTTTATTATTGTGCGGGGAGTTGTGCTGTTTCGCCACCTGCAAGCCCAGGGTTTACACTAGCATATGGCCATTAACTTACTACTGGACCTATGGTTGCCACTGACCCTTTTGCTTGGGAGTCCACACTTTGCTACATTTGATGCATCACATTTTGCTGCCTCTGCTTTTTAAGCTCCCACAGCAGCTCTGAGCAAGTTGGGTGGAACGGAGTTGGGACAGAAGCATAAAAAAACCCCAATGGCATTACTTCCAGAATTCAAAGTGTCTAGTTGCCCAAACAGACACAGCTGGAATAGAAGTAGATTCACTTTTTAAAGCAAATAATTTCCTCTACTCCCTTATGCATTCCAACGATCAGAACAGCCACCTCATGAAGCTCTTGACAACCAAAAAAGAATTAGTGACCTTATCTGCTGTTTATTTAAATTTATGAAGGCTGCTTTCACTCTGGTCAAGAGTCTGAAACCCACATAGAACCACCTCCTAAGCGGTAAGATCCTAGCACTATTCCTTTGTACCAGGTTGTGAGTTAATTTCAGTTTACAGTTCCATGTAGTTGGTTTAATCAGCAGGGAAAATGCTTACATTGTCTAATATATACACCTTATTGCAGCTCTTGTTCTCTTTGGACTGTGTTGATGATAACACATGTAGCAACACAGAACTAGCAGTGTTTCAATGTGAACTGTTAAAAGTGAATCCTAATAGTTTCACTTTAGCTACATCACTTGAAGAGTCTTTTAAATGCGATGGAAATGCCTGAACAGATTAAGGTTTTGATCTCTTACGCAAACTAAGATTTAAATAATTAAAACTTGAAAGGGTTTCCCCACCCAACTTGTAAATTTCCAATTTTGTACACTGACATGCTTACAACGTATCATTGCTCAACTTCCTTGCTCAAGCTCTTAGTGCATGTGGTTAATAAAAGAAAGCCAAGCTTCATTACACCATAGGCACTGCTTTTTTCGTACCATGCCGAAACTAGTTGACAAAGCCAGCTCAATGAAGTGAAAAACAAAAAGGCAGTAAGATGTCAGGGTCTCTGGGAAATGCATTACTTCTATCTGGCTGCCTATTTCCCTACACTAGAAAAAATAAAATAAAAAAATTCTTGCCCAACACCCTATAGGCAAGCGTTCGTGACAATACAGGCAATATTTTATTCATCTGCCTCAGGCAAACATTTGCCTAGAGTGCAGATGGCCAACTGGCAGCTGCTCATGGACTGCGTTCCCCCTGCAAGATGACTTTATAAAGCCCTGAGACCTACCTGCAACCACACAGAGAGGGCCAGGGTAGAAAAGCAACTGGATCCTATGAGTGAGGACAGATCCCATCTTTTCTGTGATGTACAGGATTATAGGAAGCTGCCTTATATTGAATGAAATAAGATGACTGGAAGCATCTCTCCAAGGTTGTAGAGAGCAGCCCTACCTGCAGTTGCAGGATCTAATCAGGGTCCTTTCTGCATGTAAAATGCATGATGTCTGGTGCTCATCCCCTACTAAAACAAAGTCGGTTTACCCTCATCTCTACCCAATCCCTCTGTGGCCTCCCTTTCCTGAATTTTGGGCTTAGCTCCTTAAGTCAGAGATCTGTCTTCTGTTGCTCTGTAAGGCATCATGCACACAGTGCTTTATCAATATAGGTCACCAGCCATAGGTCCCAGAAACCTTCCCAGACACCCACCAGATCCTGCCCACCTCTTCTTTCCCTGCTGGAATTAAGCTTGCCCGATTACAGCACATGGGACATTTTCAGAGGGAGAGAGTGCAGCTGAAGGAAGAAGCAACTCTCTCCCCTCCCCAGCTATTCCACCCCCACCTAAACACACTGAAAACACCTCTCTCACATCATAATTAGGCTTCAAAGAAGCCTTTTTACTAACTACAGTAGCCTTTCTTGAAGCTGAATTACAACAGAGTAGAGCAATTTCAAGGGGTTTCCAGCTGTGACTTGCCCACCCCCAAATCCCCTTTCCCTTGTTGCAATTAGGCTTGAGGGGGGAGCCTCCCATATATATAATTAATCAAATGGGTATTTTATAGTACCCGTGACATTTTGTTAAAATTCCAAATCTTTCCCTAGCCTCAAAGGGTGGGGGTTGGGCAAATCATGCTCCATTGGGTTGAAGCTGGTTGTTCATCATATTTGTTTCCTCCTCCCAGGCCCCATAAATTAGAAACTTTCCCGAAAACTTTTGATTTTCATCATGAGTTAAGTGCAACAGAGCAATACTTCCATCACCTCAAACCAGCATCTCAAATGGCAGTCAAGCTAGGATGCGGTTATAAGCAATGATTCATAGTGGAGGAGGGTAAAACACCCCAAAGCACACCATCTTTTTAGAAATATTTTCCAGTGTCCATTGTGGGAAAGAACATATCTCTGTACAACAGAGTTTGCATTTTCTACTCACAGGTCCTAGATAAGCTGCACTGGGTAGATCACAGAGGACTCAGGGTAGGCGATCCTTTTTAACATTGTGTAGGGCCCCAGCCATCTGCCTCTATCTAGAGGTAAAAGCAGCTAACCAACAGCAAAATGAGCAGACCTTGCCTTTCTCCAACAAGGGATACCTCAAGCATGCAATGCTGAATCACACTGAGGAACAGGATAACTTCTGTATGTGCCCAAAGCATTAAGTATAGCAATGGGTGGGTTTGCCTATATTATCTAGGACTTGTGCCTTTTCAGCATTCTTCTCTAATGCAGTGTATGTTGCTTGCAAGCGCAGATTATCTCTCTTTCAGTACACCATAAGGTCACGGCTGGAAAAATCCCTGACACCTAGTCTCCAAGCACCAGGACTGCATCTCCATTTTACCCAGTTTTTATAGGGTTGGTTCCTATTTCTTTTGGTGCCAAAGTATTCAGCTGCTAAGAATTCAAATATCTGATTTTGGCTCCTAGGAATTTGAATATATTTTTAGTCCTTTATAAGGGTTGCCCACTCCCACTTAGAGGGATTTAGCAATTAGGTTTTCAAGGAAATATTAAAAGAGTTATGGCTTTCAACCACTACAATCGGTGTGCCCCAGTAATAAGTTTTGGGTCTAAATGAAAAGAAAAGTTTCACAAGAGCCTGCTTTGTAGTAAAAGTTTGACCTGCAGCAAATCATTTGATCAGCCTCATTCAAACACCTTCTGGCCATTTAATGCAGCCCGCCTGCCTTCTTGCCTTGCACTGCATACTCTTAATAGTGATGTGGACAGTTCCAATAGTCAGGAACATCTGGATGTTTCTTCGCCACCTTGTTTATTGCCACAGTTGTCATCTTATACAAGCTTTTCATCTCCTTCCAAGAAGAGCTTATACAAGCAACATGTGTGTTGTTATTATGTATTTTAAGAAGCAATTTGAGCAATGAGGTTTGCTTCCACACCCATGTCTTTCCCAGTGTTAAGTCTTAAGAGTAAGAGATAAAAGATGACAGAACCAGTAAAGATAAAACTAGTAAATTACTATCAGCTATAAATCACCCAAGCCATTTCTGAGTTCCCCTTTATTACTCTAGTAAAGGAAAGACCCTTGCTCTGAAGAGGTATTGGCTTTAGAAGAGCGTGAATGTCAACAAGTCTGGTCAGAATTGGAGCTGTGGCACTCATATCGTGTGCAGGATTCACTTGTGGTACCGTATTTTTCTGTGTATAAGATGCTCCCATGTATAAGACGACTCCTTTTTTTTGGGATTGCAACAATAATTTTTGGGGGGGAAATTGACCAAAGTTGTTGAGTTTTTTGGGGGGAGGGGGTCACCACCGCCAATCGCTCTACAGCATGTCCACCACTGCAAATCGCACGCATCTCCACAAACACCAATCATCTGCACGCTCGACACCAAAAGCCAAAAGCCCACCAGCCCACTTGACAAATCCACAGACTATTGCACACATGCCTCACCGCTGCCATAAATCACCCGTTCCCCCTCTGCTATCCATGTATAAGACAACTCACAATTTTTGCCTATTATTTCTAAGGAAAAAATATTGTCTTATACATGGAAAAATACAGTTATTGACTATTGTTACAGTCTCAAACCACCATTAAACCCTCCAAACTATGTTTTAATGTATGTGGCACTTTGTCATCAACCTGGCACTCTTAACAGTTCAAAGATTTGTAAAATCTACACAGAAATGAATGCTTTTTTTGGGGGGGGGGAGCACAAATGATATTCAACACTGCTCTGTCTGTCTACTTTGTGTCTTTTACTCACCCAAATAAGACCTGGCAAAGCCTTTTCCAAACGTTTTGCAGCAATTATCTTTTCATCTGCTCTAATGTTTTAAGTTAACTCTAAATATAGTAATAGATTAGCCGGATGAGTCTAGGCAGACTGTTGCCATTAAGATCTTTAGCACTGTAAGCTGGTAAACTCCCTAAGAGGAACAAAAACAATTCTTATTTAAATCACTGTCCTTGGCTAGGTGGATACCATCTACAACCTCTTTGAACTGACAAAAGGAATATTAGCAATTTCACTTTCTGAACGATGCAAGTATATAAGAAATAGGGGGGTGAGATCCTTAGGAATATATCATTTCTACATGCACAGCATATCCACAAATAATGCAAATACAGAAAAAGTTATTGTAGCCGACAAGAAGCAAGGATCATAATTTGTTAATTACATGTCCTCTCAGCCCATATACATTATCTGTTATAAGGCCAAATTCTTAAGACACCTGGGAGATTTTAATTTGAGGAGCTGAGGATCAAATCTGAGCATTTAGCCCCTCTACACTGGAAGATCCACAAGCCTTTTTTTATTGTACCATTTTGAACCTAAAACTTCATATATAAAGCTTGGCGCTAGACTAAATGTGATTACTAAACAAGACCTAATCAAGAATCTCCTGTAGGTTAAAAACCCACACTGATTAGCAGGGGTAGGTGACAGCTGTGTTAGCATGTAAGCATGTGTGAGTGTCAGAATATGAATCTGATCAGTATCTTGGCATCAAAGGTGATGCCACCAAGCAATTTTGTTGCTTAACCACACACACACCCCAACACCACCAAAGGTGGAAGGAGTGAAAAGATAAATGGTTTATCTTCAGTTGCTATTGAGTTTTTAGAAGACAGCAAGAGATCCTGATCACACACTTCTCGTGTCATACGTAGTTGACCCTTTAAAGGTCAGCAGCGAACAAAAGCCAATTCTTGGCAATGATCTTAACCAGAAGCATCTTTTGAACCCAAGATAACCTGCTGCCGAAAACATCTAAAATATAGCCAGAGTACCAACAGTACTGGGTCACTGCCCAAGTAACGTGTCATAGACTGCAAAGCCAGGCAACTACAGACTTATGCTCTGTTACACAATATGAACTAAATAAAAGGTAAAGGGACCCCTGACCATTAGGTCCTGTCGTGGCCGACTCTGGGGTTGCGGCGCTCATCTCGCTTTATTGGCCGAGGGAGCCGGTGTAAAACTTCCGGGTCATGTGGCCAGCATGACGAAGCCGCTTCTGGCGAACCAGAGCAGCGCACAGAAATGCCATCTACCTTCACGCCGGAGCAGTACCTATTTATTTACTTGCACTTTGACGTGCTTTTGAACTGCTAGGTTGGCAGGAGCAGGGACAGAGCAACGGGAGCTCACCTCATTGCGGGGATTCGAACTGCCAACCTTCTGATCGGCAAGTCCTAGGCTCTGTGGTTTAACCCACAGCGCCACCCGCATCCCTATGAACTAAATACCACCCCTTTATTCCATACAGTATTGAAAATCAGAATACTCTTTGGTCATAAGCAAGCATTAAAAGAAAAAGAAATCTACACTTTGACCGTAACACTTTAAAACCAATGATGATGTAACTAACTCCACTCTGCATGTGCTTCAAGGCACAGTCACATGTTTCAAAACTATTATGTCAGCAATAATGCATTACAAAATCATTTATCTGCAGCCATTTTGGAAGAACTCTCCTACACATTTTCAGTAGATAAGGGGGGGGGAGTGGTGCACGCTAAGCTCTTACCGATGGGACTAGAATTTATTCATTCATGTTATCTAAAGATGACCACAAATACTTACACTCACACCCGCCTCCCTAACTCCCCCTCTGATCGGCAACCACTTGCCATATGGGCTATGACAGCTGGCCTACCTACCACCTTTCCAGAGGCCAGAAAGCTCAAAGATTAAGAAATTCAAAAGCAGCAGGCATTTTTATAGGCTGGAGTCAAATCAACACCTACCTCATTTAAGACTGTTTATTTAGTGTTTAGGATACATTTCTTCAAAGTAGTCAATGTGTGGTGGCTGGAGTATGTCGAGAGCAGAGAGCACCTACAAAACAAGGGGGAAGCTGATTTGGTTACGTGAAATACACCAGAAATCCTCACTTTAGAGAAGCAACTGTGAAATCAAAGACAAGGCTTTCTTTTCAACTCACAACTACGCTACCTCCACCTTTATTTGAGGGGAGAGATGCAAAGTTGAGAGGTCTTCACAAAGAAAAAGGGCACTACTGATGTCTGATCAAAGAAAAAAATTGCAGAACTGACGTTTCCAGCAAATGATGGTCCTTGTGCTGCTATGTATGTCATAATCCTTTATGTCTGCTTTATTCAGATTTTCTCAACCCACAGACTCTATATGCACAATATCTTTGCTCATAACTTCTTAGGCAAGGTCTTCTCCAAAGTCTGCAACTTTATTACACTTAAGTATTTGCAACTTACCTTCCTCCTCTTTGCAACAAATTTACTTCATTTTATTTCAGAGTTTTCATATCCCACCTTTCCTCCAAATGAGAACAAGGTAGCTTCATGGAGACACGGGAAAGGGCCTTCTTGGAGTCTCCTCCAAAATTCCCCCTGCCTAGAAAAGCTAGACGGGCTCCCTCCTGGTACTTCTGCTGGCAGGTGAAGATCTTTTTCCCAACAGGATTTTGGGAACTGACTGCTTTTAATAAACACCATGCTGTTTTTATTGTAATTATTTGTATGTTTTAACAGATTTTATACATGTATATAGTTTTAATTCTAGTAATGTTTGATTTTTTATGATTGGTTTTTCTATGTTTTTAGTGATTGTTGGCTTTATCTGTTTTTATCTGTAAGCTGCCTTGAGTCCCATCAGAGGAAAAAAGTGTATAAACAACAACAACAACAACAACAAGCAGCAATGTACATGGTAATGAAAAATATATAATATATAATAAAACCATAATTCCATTACAATTCCAATCAGCATAAGAATCATCAAGTTTCAAAGACTTGGATAAATATTTTGACCTGTCATCTAAATACCTCTAATGTGGAGGATTGTCATCTCTCAATCAGGAGGAAGCGCCTTAAATTGGGTGCCACCACCAAAAATGCCCCATCTTTTATGACTGTCCTGCCCACCACACTAGCTGGCAGGGACACAAGCAGGGACTTTCAGACAGATCTTAGGGCTTGGAAAACCAGGTACGAGAGGAGGTGTCCTGCCAAGTATTTAGGTCCCAGGCCATCTAGGATTTTACAGACTGACATCAACCCCTTGTGTTGGGCCTGGTAGCTTACCAGCTGTCAGTGCAGTGCCTTCAGAGATATGACCCTGTCGGGCTGCACCCACTAACTAGCAGGCAGCAGAATCTTGCAGCAGCTGCTTTCGTGGGAAGTGCCACATGGAATGCACTGTAATATGGGAAATCTATGGAAAGTTATCAGAGCATAGATGGCTGATACTGGTCTGGGAATGGCTGCAGCTGACGAACAAACTGTAGATGGGCACAGGTGCTCCTCACCATTGTGGTAGCTTGGCCTCCAGTGGCAGCTTGGACTACAAACCTGCTCTTTCCAAAGAGTGCTATTCCACCTGAACTGAATACAGCAGGTATTCTGGTGAGTTTTGTTCGTCCTTATAGTAAGGCATTTGAATACCGTTTGGGGTTACCAGATTATTTCGAGTTATGCTCCCTCCATTTGAAAAGACTAATATGATGATGCCTACTTTTGGGAATGACTGAATGCAAGCATTCTTTGCACAGATTAAAATATCACAAAGCTAGGAGATTTCAGGAAGAATGCTGAAGGTTTGCAAAGCCCTTGGAGTAAGGAATAATGGCCTGCCAGACCTTCACTCCCTATTTCTTCTCCACCATGATTAACCAGTTTGTCAACAAAAAAAATGTTTTCCGTTTAGGTGGTAATCCTAGTCAGTCTCAGTCATGATTAATGTGGTGACAGCAAGCTCTTGATCTCGGCTAGTGTGTGTGAGGGTGCATGTTGCCAAGGAATGGCTCCACATTTGTCAACTGTGATTCACAGAGCACCAGAGCTGCATCTGCACCAGCTCTTACATCTGGCAATCTCACTCAACACAAATGAAGTGTACAAGTTCTCTATGGCAATTGCACAGATATAAGAGGCTGCTTTTCACTAATGGGTAGTGCATTTTGTGAAAGTTTGTAGGAGAGAAAACTTCTGTTTGGTTATGCTCTGCATTATTAATGTAAATAATCACACTATACCAATCTCCTCCCATCCCTGCCTATAAGTGGCAGTTGATGATACAATAAAATAGGAATACGTGCAGAGCTTTACAAGCTAAGGTTTGCAGGAAATGCAGCTCACTCCTTCCCGCCCCCGCCCCCAAAATAAGGCATCTTCATGTTAATGGTGTTTTTATTTCTATAGGTTCCTATGATTTCTATTACACCAAAAGTCTAGAATGTATTGCTGAAGTCTCTGGTTCCCCTTTTTGTCTCTTGATTTAATATATCTAACCTGTTTTTTGTAGTGGCTTTGTTCATGCTCGATTTTGCATTTAACAAATAAACAAGAAGGTAAAAAGTTTTACACACAGTCCCTACTGGTTAAAAAGTCAACAAAAATATCGCCACTGGTAACATAATTAGGCACCTTGCTCAGAAAAAGCTTAAAGTAATGATTTCAGAGTCATTACCGAGACACTAATATTGGCTTTATTCCTCTCCTAAAGGTGGGAGAGAAGAGACTGGGTGTAATATGCCATTTGCACACTTCGATGGGGGCATTTGCTACTTGCCATAAATGAGGGAGCCAGTCAAGTCTAATTCAACTGCTTTTTGCCTGATAGCAAAGGCGTGACCATAGTCCTTAAAAAAAACCTGCCTCATTGGGGCGGAGGAAGGGGGGTGCGGTGGGTGTGGGTCGCCCCAGGTGTCACCACTGAGGGGGGTGACACTCACCGTGGGGCCTGCAGCACGTCCAAGCCATCCACACTGCCCAAACAGTCCACCCAGGCACCCGAGCAGCTTCCTCTGCCGCTGTGCCCCATTGGTATTTGTATTTTGTATTGAAGTTCATGCAAAGCAAGCTGCAGGCCACTTACATTGTCATGCTTAAAAAAACACAACATCTTCAATTCACGGAAGACCCTTTTGCAAGAGACCAGATTTTGGAAGACGTTGGGCATCTTTTTGAGTGCAACTCTCTTTCCATCTCGCGGATCTGTTACTGACCTGAAGAAGAGGAGAAGAAGATTAAGCATATAATCTGACTTTAAACAAACAAGTTCTTTCATTCCTACCTATGCTAAAAAAAATAAATCAAGATGAATCTGGATGCTCAAAGCAGAAAATCAAGAGAGGCATGTAGAATTCTTAAACAAGTCTCGCTGCATTTTATTCTGTATACAAAGTGAATTCAATCCACGCTTCAGGCAACTCTGCATGTTATTCAGCAATGAGATTACTATGCATTCAAGTCCTCGCGTCTTCCATCAGTAAAACTATTCACCTCAACTGTACACTACTATTTAATGTCTGGTCAATAAATGGCAGTATGTGATTACTTACATTTTCTTCTCTTTAATTACTCTATTAGTTCTAGGACACCTTTCCCATTACAAGACTTTTCAATATTAAATTGCCACAGTACATTGCTTTTCAACATTCCCTGCTAACAAGATTAATTTTGTATGAAACTATTGAAAAAAGTTGCTCCCTTGACATCAAATTAGACCATAGTGCATATCTTCTGGTGGGGTGTTCTACATGCAGTTTCTGGTCTACATTGTGAGGGAAGGCCAGGGGAAGACACTGAATCCCTTGTCTTCCTTGATACTTCATGGCAGCTAATGTCCCCCCATGCACAACATAGTAAAATCCTACCTATCTGCAATGATTACAAAATATTTCAGGAAGAGGATAGACACTAATATATGGCTTGCTACTTCCAAGAACTATATGGGAAGGTGGTCACTTTCGGTTCTGTTGAACACATTGAAACAATATGCCTTATCATTAAGTGCCGAAAAGGACCAGATATAATCTATAACGCTTGCCCCTCTAGCTCCTAGAAAAGTATAGTATCCCCCGGACCGGTCTTTGGGTGTACCATGCAAGCTGTGCAGCCCGCAGTTAATGGTAAACTCCAACAGTATGATGCCAGCCCTATTAATGGTCTTGTCATGTGAATTCCACGTAGGAAACCACTCCTCTTGTATGAATAGTTGCGACTTATCGGTGAATGAGCTTATATCTGCTCCGATTCTGGCATTAAAGTCCCCCATTATGAGGATCTCTGACTTTGGGAATTCAGCCACAGATTTATCAAGGATAAATCTTAGATCCTCCCAAAACCGATTTGTATGGGAAGAGGAGTAGGTAGATGGATTGTACAAATTAACACATATGAAGTCCCCAACCGGGCTGTTAGTGATGTGCAAAATTTGAATACAATTACTCTCTAAAATATGAAATGGCCCAAGACAAGAAAGCCACCCAACTCCTAATTCAGGCTAGCTATGCTGGATTTACACCAAGTCCATCTAGCTCAATCCAGTGTGATACTTTTCTGCAGGAAAAAATCTATTTTGTAAGTTCATTATTAACAATGAACAACATCAGCTTCAAATACAGTGTTAGACAAGATCCTAAATTACACCACTCTCTAGGGCAGGTTTGCTGTTTTGGGACTACAACTCCCATCATCTCTACCTAGGAGGACCAGTGGGAATTGTAGTCCAAATATAGCTTGAGACCCCAGTTTTTGGGAAAACCTGCTCTAGGGCATCAGAAAATTTTCTGACGAAGGCTGAAAATTTTCCAAAATAACTACGCTAATTTGCACAGGAAAATTTCCCAGAAAACCCACACCCCTGAGCTTGGGTACTGTCCACAGTGATTGGCAGCAGTTCTCCAGGGTTTCTAGTAAGAGCAGGGGTCAGCAAACTTTTTCAGCAGGAGGCCGGTCCACTGTCCCTCAGACCTTATGGGGAGGCTGGACTATATTTGGGGTGTGTGTGTGGGAAATGAACGAATTCCTATGCCCCACAAATAACCCAGAGATACATTTTAAATAAAAGGACACATTCTACTTATGTAAAAACACTCTTGATTCCTGGACCGTCCGCGGGCTGGATTGAGAAGGCGATTGGACCAGATACGGCCTCCGTGCCTTAGTTTGCCTACCCATGGGTAAGAGTCTGGAGAGGCAGAGGATAGAACCTGGGATTTCCTGCCAGCAAAGCCTGTGCTTTATAAATATTGAGAAAAACAGCCGTTTGCTCATATGTGTACCAAAGATGAGACACGCACAAATGTCAGCAAGTGCCACATTTTAGACTCAGGTTCCCCCTTGATAACCAAATCCGCATGTGAATATATTTGCACATGAAAACTGATTCGGAAGCATGCCTTTTCATCCAGGTATCTAGAAGCTAATGCTTAACACATTTGAAATATTTTTCTCTCCAAAAATCTGAGGGCTAGCTTCCCCAAAAGTTTTTTGTAATACTTCTCCACCAATATACAGATGTAGATTAGCAATTTGTGTGCAGCAAGTGCCATACTCGAAGTTATGAAAAACTCCAAGCTCTACAAAGAATAGTTATGTACTGATGAAAGAAGACATCTGATTACTTAAACTGGGATAATTTCAACATGTGAGAACTAGTGCCTGTACTTTCTAAATAGCAGTTCCATGTTTAAACAGTAACTTAACACACTTCCCCCCCCCCCCAAATGGTTTAATGTTGGGGTTATCTTACATAAATGAAGTTATTTCTTTAAAACAAACAAGCACAAAATCACTCTTCTTTCACATTTTGAACAGACACAAAACCTGCTCCCCAAATATAGGGCTGTAGTTTGTTAATATTGTAAAGTTAACACAAAATCACAAAGCAACATTTCTTTTAATTATTCATTCTAAGCCCAACCATGCTTGTAGCTGGAGCAATATAACCTAATGAATGTGAATGGCAGTGCAGTAATTTCATGCCATGTTGAGCTTGTTCTCTCTTAACTCGGGGTAGCAGCTGCTTTGGTTCAGCACAAATAGTACCAGAAAACAGATAAGTGCTGAAGCCTGTTACACAGGAATGCTTTTATTTTCTTTGTTGCTGAAAAGGCTTGCTGTGCTGAGCTCTTCGGCCAGTTATCTCCATCTGTATGAGCTAATGAGTTACAGGCGGTAAAGATAACAGCCAGTTCTGACAGCACCTTTCACTGCCTCATTTTTGAAAGAGGTCATTCTAACAAGTCTAAACAGGGCAGTTTCTTTAAAAGTTAAAGAGTTCTACAACATAAATGTGACTATTAGACTGCTAATAATACCAGACTGTGCGTCTTATGAGGGAGGGGGGACAGAGAGAAGAAAATGACTGACTTTTTAGAGCACAGAAAATTAATTTGAGCAGCACTCAAGGGGCAAAAAAGTAACATGACTCCTGAAAGGCTAATTGGTTTGCAGTGGCATGAGCTTTTGTAGGCAACAGGCTGAATCATCATATGCTCATATATCTGCCATGACACACTGAAGCCTACGGAAGCTCAGGCTACATGACTATTTATACAACATCATCAATTGGCCTTTTACAGAATAACATAAGCAAAAGGTCAGACTCAGGCCCCTGTACAGAAGACTCTATAATATGAATTTCGACAGAGAAGAGGAAAGATAACAGAAGTAGTGGGAAAAAGGCACTGGGGAAGTATACGTGCCAATTTCAAACCAAAACATTCCTGGGGAAAGGTGGATTTTGAGGTTTTTAACTATACATTTCAGAATACTAGTCATGATGTTCTGCAGCAGCAAGAAAGCCAAGGGCTGCAACACATTAAGTTAAATCCTGATCACAATCCCACCTGTTTCAGGCTTCTGAGACGGGTAAAACTGTGGGAAAAATAGGGATGATGAGATGGGAATAACCTGTTTATTTATTTATGAAAAATATTATGAAGAGCAATTTTTGCAATCATATCACACCTTTCAGCAAATAGCATTCCCTTTGTTCCCTTCAGAGTTCCCTCTGCTCTCCCTCCTACATTTCAACACCATATGTATTAAACATTTTAACTACAGTGTTTAACCATACACAGTAAAATTAGGACATAGTATCAAAAGATTAATCTTCTTAGTATAAGCTCCTCATCATGATGTGAATATAAAAATGTTACAAAAGAAACCTGCTGTGCCATAAACATGCAGGTGTGAAGAGGAATACAACAAAAAGGAATAAGGAACAGCGTCCACAAAGAGATCACACTCACATTGACCTACATAAGAAAGGCTAAAGCAGTGAGAGAGACAGGGAGAATGTTCATCTAGTTGCTGCAAAACACATTAGTTGAAAACTAAAGGAGGAGGAGTTCACAACAGACCATAAGGCATGCAGATTCTTAGACTTAAGCAATGTGCCTGAGCACCAGCTTCCTATTTAGAGTTCTAGGATGTTTCAAAGCTTGCTTTACGCAGATGCAGACACATACCATATTTATGCAAATCTAATGTGCTATTGAATCTAATGCACACCTTGATTTTCAAAAGGTTGAAACCGAAAAAGTATTTGCTGGCGAATATAAATGCGCCATAAAATCTAATGCACACCCTAATTTTTGTAATGTAATTTGGCCAAAAAAGTGTGCATTACATTCAAGTAAATACGGTATGTGTGACTACATGGAAGCCATAAATAACTATTTGTTCATTGTATGCCAAACTGGTTACTGAGCCTATATTTAACTGAGAAGAAAGCATGAGAGAGAAAAATGCAGTGTTTTGATTCCATAGCCCCACAAAAGGAGTGGTGGGACCTTTTTCTCTGCCCATAATTTAGAAACATGAAGTCTAAAAATACTTTTGGAGCTCCAAATTTTATAAAGTCAGAAAAAGAACCTTATATTAAGGCAAAAGTATGGAAAATAGTTCTTATAAACCACCTTGGCAAAGTTTCTCAAGTATTCTGGGTTTTACTCTTTTCCAAACAGTAAAATTATAATTCTGTAAAAATAATAAGCATTTGGAAAGCTCCAAAATCCATATTCAGAAAACAAGTTTTTTTATTTCTGTTTTTAAAGTTTACTTGGTAGCTACAGTGTCTTGCATATTGATAAGAATTCCAATACTTAGTAAAGTGAGAGAGTTTTTGGCTCCAGGGGCCTGCAGGCCAACTATGACAGGTGGCGGGCAGGGCAACCCACCTCCAATTCTTTCATCCTGCAACATTGGGGGTTGAAAGGGGAAGCGTGTGAAAGGGCTTTGCAATCCTCCCTGCAATCCTCCCTATAGAAACTGCTTCCCTTTAACCAAGCCACATTCCCAACACCCATCAACTGAATAACTGGGAACCTACTTTAAGCTCCCCAATGTTCCACTGAAGCCCCCCACTTACCCACCCCACACCTGGGGTGTTATGTAGGATGTTAGGTAAGGCAGATGGGCATGGCTCCCCCCACCCAAAAGTGCAAAGGTCTGGTGGGCCATGCTTGTCCTGAAGGCCAGAAGTTTCCCATCCTTGAATTAGATCTACCAAAGTGGATAATCCATTCCACCAATGCAGACCAGTCAGTATGCCCATTTATGAAGTATTCAGGCTATTTATCAGCCACTTCTGAGCTGTTGGGAACCAGAGCCACTTTCCTGTGTTCAGTGTTGATAATTCTTGAGGCTAACAAACTTTTCAGTAACTTCACATAACATCCCAAGTCTTCTTCCACGACATATAAGAGCAAGGTTCATTTAACTGTTACTTGAAAGGTTACTTCTGTAATTTATCAATCTCTGAGTACAAGAGCACCACATATAAAGAAAACCTCACATTATCATTGTCACATTTCCTTCGTCTGAAAGTTCAATGAGAGCACAGAAAGGAAACCAAATATGCCTCCTCTAGAGGACATACAGTACATGATAATATCCTTGTTTATTCTGGCTTCATCTCCTCATTTAGATACATACATTGCTCCCTTTAGAATCACATGCAACCAGTAAGCATGGACTGGAGGAATGAGGAGAAATATTTACCTAATATCATATCAACCTTATTTGACCAACAGTAATAACAGTGAGGGACGCGGGTGGCGCTGTGGGTAAAACCTCAGTGCCTAAGACTTGCCGATCGCATGGTCGGCGGTTCGAATCCCCGCGGCGGGGTGAGCTCCCATCGTTCAGTCCCAGCTCCTGCCCACCTAGCAGTTCGAAAGCACCCTTAAGTGCAAGTAGATAAATAGGTACCGCTTTCTAGCGGGAAGGTAAACGGCGTTTCCGTGTGCTGCTCTGGTGCCGGTTTGCCGGAGCAGCGTCGTCACGCTTGCCACGTGACCCGGAAGTGTCTGCGGACAGCGCTGGCTCCCGGCTTCTAGAGTGAGATGAGCGCACAACCCTAGAGTCTGTCAAGACTGGCCCGTACGGGCAGGGGTACCTTTACCTTTTAATAACAGTGATTAGTTAGCTGTTAAATCATCTATCAGTGCTAAGCTATCTTGAGGAGAGGCTGCCCATCTAGTATCATTCAAGAAAAAAATACTACCTCCAACATAAGCAGTAGGCATAAACTATTAATGCATTTCAATATGCATGTAACTACAGCTTTCACTAAGGCATGCAAGGCTGAAGAGTATCAGCATGGTCTAACTACTGCACAAAGTTCAATTTGTCTTCAGCAGATAAGCAATCACATTTGGGAGTAGCAATTTCTCTTTTGTCTTGGTAGTTTAACAGTCAGTGAGTAACGTAAGTAGTGCACTCCCAGGAATAACTACTATGTGCCAAATTTCGCAGTACCGTATTTTTCGCACCATAGGACGCACCGGACAATAGGACGCACCTTGTTTTAGAGGGGGGAGAACAAGAAAAAAAAAATCTCCCCCTCTCTGCCCAGCGCCCCTTCAGCGAAGCGGCAGGAGGCGCTGCGCAGAAAGGGGGAAAATTTCCCCCCTCTTGTTTTCCCGCTCTAAAACAAGGTGCCGTTTAAGGTGCGTTCAGGTGGCTACCTTGGAAGCCTGGAGAGCGAGAGGGTCGGTGCACACCGACCCTCTCGCTCTCCAGGCTTCAGGTTCTTCGACCTGCTCTTTGGGGCTGGCGGGGAAGCCCACCACCAGCCCCAAAGAGCAGGTCAGGGAGCAGCGGAAGGCGCAGCGGAGAGGCTGCTGCCATAGTCACACGTCAACTCTCCAGCTGGGAGAGGGTCGCGGGGCTATGGCTTCTTTAGCCCCGCACGCGCTCTCCCAGCTGGAGAGGTGGCGCGTGGCTAAAGAGGCTCCTGCCATAGCCACGCGTCACCTCTCCAGCCGGGAGAGGGCCGCAGGGGGCTTCTGTAGCCCCGCGCGCGCTCTCCCGGCTGGAGAGGTGACGGGCAGCTATCGTGGTTCCTGCCATAGCCGCGCGTCACCTCTCCAGCCGGGAGAGGGTCGCGGGGCTATGGCGTCTTCGCTCCATAGGACGCACACACATTTCCCCTTCGTTTTTGAAGGGGAAAAAGTGCGTCCTATAGAGCGAAAAATACGGTATATGCATACTGAACAGTCACAACAATTTTTCTATTATTTCAGCCAGAACCTAGTCCTTAAAAGAAAGAAAAAAGTGCATGTAAAACCTATTTCCTGGAAATGTAAAGTTAGGACCAGTGTGCAATTTAGATGTACCACTGAGACCCCAAATACAATCAGATTCTCTAAGTGTGTTTAGGATCTTGCTCTTAATCAGGTTTAAAAGCGGTAGCACAGATTATCGCAAGTGTGTCTGCATGCACAGTGCATGTGTGTGTGTGTGTGTGTGTGTATGCAAGAGAGGCCTAGAAGCATGAACTAGGCCTAGGAGAAACACTGTTAATAAAGCCTGATAAAACTACCGGTACCAATCCCAACAACAATTCTGTATGTTCTGTTCTGCTTGAAGCATTAAGATTTTATCTGTAGTTTTGCAAGCATTAATGTATTTGAGGAAAGTATTTACATACTGTCCCCATGCTGCCACACTTGGGAGACAGTTCAAAAGAGTTCCTATTGAGACATTCAATAGCTAATGCATTGCAACAGTACTTTAACAGCTTCAGTTGTGGATTTCTAATCCTGAGCCCTGAACTGACAGCTTGCCACATGAACACAGCATACAGTGCAAAAAAATAAAAACCCAGCAAAGTATTGTACGTAGGTGAGAGAGAGAAATGGAGAAAAGGCATTCCTCAACGAAGTCACAAAATGCATACAGAGTTGGTTACTGAACCATTTAAAAAGGCTTGGTCAACTGACAAACTAAACAGTGAATCTTTGACCAGTATTTTTAAACCATTAACTTTATTAGAACAAAAGAGGTACTTTAATAATCAGCCAGCTTGATGCTTGTGCTGTTATAAAAACAAATATATGCAAACATAGCCAATGAAGTGTACCCTGGCTATATTGAAAAATGACACCATCTAGTACACCTAGAATTATTCATCAATTTCCACACTCCACAGTGGATCAGTCAATCAAGTTTCAGAAAACAATCATGGGCAGAGTTGACACAAACTCCAATACTGTATTATGTTTCTTTCATATTAAATAGAAGTGGTTTCTCAAAGTAAGTGAGATCTAGTCTCCCTCCACTGCTGTATCCAGACTAAGTTCTTCTCACAGTTACACAGGAATCTTTCATATACATTCTAGAACTCCAAAAATAAAGAACATAAGAACCTGCTGGATCAGGTAAATGGTTCACCTGGTCAAGCATTCTCTTCTCACAGTGACCAAACAGATACAACAAAACTGGAGTGTAAGATGCCCAGCCTCCAGGTCAGCTCCCCAAAATATAGCCCCTCCCCATAGAAGAATGAAGAGGTTCCTCTTTTACACAAAAATATGGGGTGAGGGCTTTTCTCTACAGCAGGAATAAAGAACATCCTTGGCCTTCTAGATGCTGCAGACTCCAAATCCCATCAATTCCAGCCTGCATAGCCAATGGAAAACATTGAAGTCATCCTGCAGAATCAGACCAAAGGTCCACAGACTCCTGCTCTCAACAGTAGCCAGAGAGATGCTTCCAGCATGTCCAAAAACAGGGCAGGAGAGAAGCAACCCTCTGCAGTTTGACCCCACCAACTGGTATTCAGAGGTAACCTGTCTCTAGACATGGAGTTTCAATTTGGTTAATAGCTACTGTGAACCGCCCTGAGATCTATGGGTATAGGACAGTATACAAATCTGAATCTGAATAAGAATAAGAAAGCCTTATCTTGTTCTATGACTTTGTCTAATCACCTTCTAAAACTATCTGGAAGATCAAAAATAGTCCCTCAAAAATAGAAAGATGTATTTAAATATGCACATATTACATTAGTATCCTTGGGCAGCTGAAGCATCTGACAAGTCACAGCATTCTAGGATACATACCAGCAGCAAAGGAGTGATAGAGAGGAATGGGTATGTGGCACTGGCAAGAGAGCTGGCAAGAGTCATTGCCAAGTACATACCATTTTTATGTGGTGAAACAATCAAATGTTAGGCCATAAATTCTGGGCTACAGAACTACGCATCCTTACAGACAATGAAGGGAGGGAGATGGGTCTGCAATTGCTAGCTACAAACATCATGTATCATTATTTTGGATAAGGTTGGTAATTTAGAAGCAGAGCAGCACCATTTAATTTTATTTTTTTAAATACACCCTTTGGAAAACATTTGTAAGATGAAACATTAAAAAATTGGGTATGGGTATGCTTAAACATGTACACAAACACACAAATGATTACTGCATGGAAAAGGTCTGTGTAACATGCAGTCACAACAAGCCTACCAGTGCTGAAAATGACCCAGGCATGTGCCTGACTGTATGCACGCACAGTATAAACGTGTGGATGTGTGCATTTGCATCTTCTGGTGCAAAAAAGTCCCCCTCCCAAGGATGCTTTGCAAGGCAGAAGAGTCCATTAAGGCGACATGCAGCTACAGTATAAAGGCCTGTTTACCCCTCCTTCACATGTGCTCCTGCTGCACACTTTACAAGCATGCCCCCAGACTCTGTAGTGCCAAGCCATGCATGGTCTTGGCTGACCTATGGTCCATAGACAAGGCATGCCACCCTCTATGGCAAGAGCTAGAAAGGAATGAGCAGAAAGACACATGGAGAGCAGTTCCAAACAAAGCCCCCTACTCTGACGCAGAGCAGTAGCACTTGTGCTGTGCTTCTGTAAAACTGAAGTATTCACATGCAATGAACCGTGCTATGAACAGGTGAGCAGCCTTTGTCATATTAGAATTAACAGCCTGTGTCCAATAGGATAACAAGACTTTCCAGAATGACAAAATAATTTAGGGAGGGGGAATCTCAGGCTTGAATTTCAGTGCACCACCTCCTCCATCTGGCCTTCTGCAATCTCCTTATGGCTCTGATATATCAGCCTATCCAAAAGCCATGGGAAGCTTCAGCCAAGTTGAAGGTTCAAAAGGTAAGATGAAGCTGATGGACAGAAGGCCAACTTGTAAGCAAGGATATGTGTGTGCCCAGATACTAGAATGAAACCTCTTTTGTGGATAATAGTGCATTTGTATTCATGGAAGAGAGTGACAAGTGGCCAATTAAAACTTTGAAAGAGTGAGTCTTAGTTAGAGGGTATTTATTCTATTTCTCATTTAATAAATTACATGTACATTTATACTACTAAATTTAAGGTGAAAACACGTATGTTGTAACAGATACAAAAGCGGCTTTAAAATGTACTTCCTGCTCTAAAGCCCAATGGAAAAATCAATAATGTTTCTATATTTGTGGGTTAGACAAAAAACCCCCCAAACAAACCACGCTCATAGCAACTTTCTGCTGATATGAGGGAAGGCCAGGTGACATAAAGGTTTTGAAGATTTGATGTCCAAAATACATTTCATACTGGGTAGCTTTTTTAAATCACAGCACAGACTAATAATAATAATAAGATTCAGTAACTACAATACAACCATAGTAATGTATCTGTGCAAGTGGTGACTTGATATTTTAATGATCCATAATAAAGGAAGTTAGTAATAATAATTTGACTTCCCTTTTAAGAGAGAAAGTCCCTTAGTCAGTTTTTCAGAGATCTGCCTTCCTGTTAAACAGTATACAGTAAGTCATAAGGTGACAGTTTTATTGGTAAGCACATAATTTTTTAAGGCTCACACAGTAGACTGTCATGGTGATACAAATTTCTGTTCATTGTCATTTGAATTTTAAAGTTGTGCTTTAAACATTTGATGTCCGACATCGGGCTTTATGTAATTTGATTGCTGTTAATTCTTAACAATTTTATGTTTCAACCTGTGGTCTTAAAACAATATCAGCCACCCATGGGTGTAGCCAGGATTTATGTTAGGGGGGCAGGATTACTGGGGAGAGGCAGAACCCAGCTCTCTGTGACACGGTTTGCCAGTTTTTAAAGTATTTTTATTTATTTACTTGATTTAGAAAGGAAAGCTGCCCCCCACCCCTCTTGCCTACACCCATGCTATCACTAGCGATGTGGGGGAATATGGGATGAAACAGCTGTAAGATGCTCAATGGAAGAGAAGAATCTTTGCCATTTGCTTAAAGACAGAAAGAGATAATAATAATAATAATAATAATAATAATAATAATTTATTATTTATACCCCGACCTTCTGTCCAGGCTTCCCCAGCCACCCTGGGAGGCTTCCAACAAAATATTAAAAGACCGTAATGCATCAAACATTAAAAGCTTCCCTAAGCTAAGTGCATCAATTGTGGAAGAAAAATTCAGAAACCAGTTGCTGCTGTAGAGAAAAGCTCACATTCACCAACTTAACCCCAGACAGAGGTGGGACACAGTTCAGGGCCTCCCATCCCCAAAGATCTTAGTGGTCAGGCACTCTCAAAAGGCAGCAAGTGGTCACAGATGCACAGAAGTGGTCATCACACGAACATGGTAAGTGAAACAAAGTGGAGTTAGAATCAACTTTGGAAGTCCAAAAAACAGAGGTGCCCTTATAAGTAAGAGGGTAGTTTTTTTAAAAAAATAGTTCTCTGGTTGAAGGAAAATGTTTGCCTTTTTATATAGTACATATATGGATACCATCAAAAATCAGGTCACAAATACCCAAAAGAAACCTGTGAAAGCACGAAGTCTCCTAGGAGCTAATTGAGAGAGAGTAACTTTACTTACTGTTGTTCTCAGAAGAGAACATTTCAATTCCCTACCCAGCTTTGTTAGGATGTTGCATGACTCTAGCGACAAAGTGAGCAGCAGGCTGGGAACCCATCCATCACTTACTTCAGACTCAACAAGGGTGCTCTTTTAAGGAACTACAGAAGTCTGCTAAAGGTTTTCATATATGAAGCATAGCTGAAGATGAGTGATAAAAGACTAAAATCATTTAACTTAAAATATTTTTAAAATATTCGAGATCAAGGTATTTGAGGTAAGAATTAAAGGAGCTTCTATAGTCACAGAAAGAATTCATGCAAGACCCCACATACAAAGCTCAAGGAAGGTGTGGAATCCAACAAAAGGACACCCACAAATTACAGCATGCATGTATCAGACTTTCAGTGTCCTTCTCAGAAGCTTTTCTACCAAACACATTTACTGTATAAAACTAGGTACAAGTGACACATGAGTCTCTGGATCAACACCTAAGGCTTTGCAGGGGATTTATTCGAGAAATGTGAATGTTTTCTGATATTCATGATCTTTAGATTTCTTCCAATATGTCAGAGTGACTACTATTTAAAGAATCATATAATTGCAGAGCTGGAAGGAACTCAAGGGTCATCTAGTCCACCCCCCCTGCAATGCAGAAATCTCAACTAAAGCATCAGGGAGGCTACAGCTTCCTCCTTACATCAATTATTATGTCATCAGGTTGGACCCTCCTTTCCTTTTGGGTCATGGCAGGCAAAGTAGGTGTTCAGCAGTTTCATGTTCTCTCTGTTACCCAACAGCATTCCTCTTTTTTCTCCACACAGAGGACCTACTTGCTTGTTCTTTCTCTTGCTTTGAACAAAGCCGACTAAACCTTTTTGATTTTTATTATTTATTATTAAATGTGATTTATTACAATATATAGTGATCACAGGCTTTCTCCAGAGTTCCTTTGCAGGTTAAGACAGGATAGGGAAGGAAAAGAACAGCTGTAAGACAAAATTTCAAAACTCTAGCTAACACTATTTACATAGGAATGCAAATGAACCTAGCTGCTTATGGTAAGTAAAAATTGTGCCCAGCAGACCATGCAGCCTTCCTTCTAGAAAGATGGGAGCAAGATCAAGGAAAGCATAAAGACGAGACTAGGAAAAGAGAATAGACTGCCTCAAAGCAGATCCTTGAGTACCTATAGGTTTGATGGAGTTGGTCAATCACAAGCTGGCCAAGAGCAGCATTAGTTCGCAGTAAAATAATCATATCTAATAATCAGAAGCAGTGTTTGAAACTCCAATTGTTCTAGGCGCATTTTGCGACAGGGAATTTCATTAGCACGAACAGTTTCTGAGCTCTGGGTGCAGTACTGCGCCTAAGATTTCAGATTAAAACTGATGAGTGGAAGGTAAGGAGGACCTTTTTTCTGCTTCACCACTTCTAGATACTCTCTGAACACTGGAGAAGAGACCCTCCTAAGAATATTAGGGAGGTGGTCCAGGGAAGGACTAGACCAAGGGGAAAATGGACATAATATTTTAACTGCAGTTCATTCATTTTCAACTTTGTATCCTTGTTATAAAGAAGTGTGCCTAGACATTCCGTTGCTACGCCCATAACCTAGGTTTAAGGTGCTATTTAGCTCCAAGCTTTCATATCTCAGTTTCTAACACTGATCAGAAGAGGGGAGAATCCTTTTCACTTTTGAAATTGCAACTTTGCTTTTGACATACACACTCACATACAGAAAAGCAAGACAACTGCAGAAAATAGCACATATTCTTTCCTGGGCACATTCAAAATTTACATAGTTTAGACTTAACAACAAGCTATGCTTTTTTTTTGTAGGAACGAGTCTGCAAAGCCTCAGGCTCACATACACACATCTTGCTGCACATGTGAGACAGTCAAAAGGTTTCATTCTTTTTGTAAATTGTTTTGAGTTATTTTTTCTTACAATCAAGTGGTATATAAATTTTATAAAATAAAATAAACAAAAACCCAAGCACCATTCCCTGTTTCATCCAAGCTTAAAGAACACAAGGATCAGACACTGGTCCTGCTCCTTTGCTGTTACAGCTAAAGTGTAAACGTAAGTATTACCATGTCAACTCTTAAGGGTAGCTACCACACTAAGACAGAACGAATACGAGAGCCATGTGCTTAGTCTAATACAGCAGCAGCAAGACAACTGCCACTGTTTCCCCGCAGCTGCGGGAATCAATTGCATGGAGCCTGCCCCTGTGCTTAGCATCCCAGCAGCAGGAACAAATTTACTACATCTGCTCTTGGCCTTGACAACTTTAAAATACACTCAAAAAAATCCAATACAAAATAAAATTAAAAACAAAACAAAAATTAAAAATAAACCCAATTTAAGCTAAAACTGAATTGAGCACACTCTTAAAACTCTTAGGCATAACTTGCTACACTACACTGATCATTTCTGTTCAGAGTTTCCTTGCAACTAAAGCACATAGTGCTGTTCTGTATGTTACGTATTGGTAAGCATCTTCTAAGAGAAAACAGGTAATTTCTTGGTCAGGGTAGGTTCCTGCACCAGACAAAGTATTTCTCAGAAATGTTTCCCTTGGGCCAGCATATAATGGACATTTCAATACATAGTGGATTACATTCTCCACCTTTAAATTACAGGTGCAAATCCCTGGCGAAGCTGGTATCTGTCTGAATATGTAATCCAACATGACATAATCTGTAGGCAGAGAAAGCATCCCATTGTGGGATAGGGTGAACTATACAAAAAATGACGGTGGCCTCCCAAAGCTATCCAAACATACCACAAATTAAATGGAACAATCCTATGAGTCTGCCATATTTTACAATCCATCTACAGAAAAGCATGGAAGGGTGAAACACGAGCCAGGGCAACACAGTCTCGGGACCACTGTTTCTAGCAAATGTTCAGATTACATGAACTGGAGGATGTAAACAAAGATGGCAGGATGATTAATACAGGGAGGCAATCTCAGTCTGAAGTTTGTTGGTCCCAGGCTGTGAAAAGGTTTTATAAGTTAAAAACAATACTTTGAATTGGGTCCAAAAGCACACTGTAGCCAGTTGCAGTTGACAAAACTGCAATTGTTGTTACCTGCTGTAGGACCTTAGGGTGCAGGGCAGATAATAAATAAAAATCAAAAATCATTTGTCAGGAGATGGGCTGTAGCACTGTGCACAGCTGAAGCTGTCAAGTCATCTTCAAGGGCACCCCAACATTTCAATTCTCAAGCTTATATGTTAAAACAGGGTGGCAAAATCCCTGCTCTTCATGAGGGGACACAGGCTGCACAGCAGATGTAGCTGACAGAAAGCTGCTTTAGAGACCTCAGAAACCTGCTTATCAAAGAGCAAGACAGGGTCCATCCAGACTGACATGCCTTGTGCCTGCTAAGCAAAGATTAAGAGAGAAAGAGAGAGACCAATGAGATCTTTTGCTTAAAATAGACAGTTCAGCAGTGCCGACCAGGAGAGATATATAACACCAAAGACTCTCTAATTTTATTTGAAGACTATTTAGTGGTCTCTTTCATGATAATCAGCAAAATTATAGCCATGAAATGTACGAACTGCTGCTGGAGGGTGGGCTTGCTTATGGAAACTCGTGTTAGCGGTTTACTTAACTCTCGCCTCATCTATTGGTTTCCAATGATTAAAGATGACCCCCTAAATTCAAGTATGAAAGTTAGAGTCTGGGTTTGGTCAAGAGTTGGAGGGGATGAGAAAGAGGCAGCCCAAAAGTACATACCCCCTGAAATTCAGTCATGTTCAAACAGTTACTTCAGTTTCATAACACCATTGTAAATCCTGGCTTGTTCTCAGACAGGTAAATTAGAAAGGCTGCATTCCCAAAAACAAAGGTAAACAGCTCCAGGACATCTTTGGAAAAAGGTTGTCCTTCTGTAGGGACTGGAGAATATTTGCAACTACACAGATACACAAACACACACAACCCTCTATGAGAATGTTCAGTGACATGCTGCTGGTCCAGCTAGTAAAAGGAACATTTGGAGGGGAACATATGGTTGCCCTGTTACCTGTTTCCTTTGTGTTCCCTTGCAATAAATTCCAGCCCTCAAGAGCCGGGAGTAGGATCACAGTGCGAGCAGCCCCCTGCTCTGCAAGTCTTTTGCACCCTGCTCCTTTTACATGCCCTATTTAGCTAAAGCTGGGAGACAGGCTAATGTCCTAGCAGCTGGAGTCAATGAGGGGCTGTTGCTCAGTGCCGCCCATGGTGCTATGGGTCTCTTTTCTTCAGGTCCTGGAGGCTGGAACAATGAAAGGAGGGCTGGGCAAAAATATAGTGCAGCCCCCTCAATACCACTCAATATACAATGTTGAACTACTTCTCTAACTCAGGAGAGCCCATTTGAGACCATCCTTTTATAGAAGAGAACAAAAGAAAATATGGAGTGTTCTCAGCAGAACTGAAGCCCTGCAGTATGGTTGGTCAAGAGCAGTTGGGTGAGTTTTCCTGTGGAAGAGTCAATTGGCAACTGAACCTAACCTCAAAGAATACTGAATGCCTTCTTGTCTCCATGATACAACTGAAATTGTTGGCAACTTTTTTTTTTTGCCTGATCCGGAATGACTTCAGTGAGAAACAAGAATGAGAAAAGAAAAGTGATTGGATTGATTCCCTGCTTTTCAAACACACAACACTGAGGAGAGAGCCACACTATATATTTAAAGCACATTCAATGCACATTTAAAGCATGTCTTCCCACAAAGAATCCTGAAAACTGTGGTGTGTCAAGGGTGCTGGGAATTGTAACTCTGTGAGGCGGGGGGGGGGGGGACTACTATTCCCAGGATTCTTTTGGGGAATGAGGCCCTGTGCATTAAATGCATGTTGGATATGCTTTAACTGTATAATGTAGGTCTGCCCTGAAAAAAATAAAACTGTTGAGTTTATGCATTCTCTCTCAGTTCTAATGAACATCAATTTATTTTCAGCAATAGAGATAACAGTCCTGGATATGATGCTTACTGAATATTATGTTGTACTAAAAAGGAAGTACAAATTCTTAGTAGTATATGCTACTTAGTAAACCTTCCCTAACTTATACTTAAAGTTCACTTTCCAAAACATAGGCACTCTTTTTCCATCTTTACTAAAAGACAAATGATTATTCTAGAAGGGCATACAGTGGTGCCTCGCAAGACGAAATTTATTCATTCTGCGAGTTTTTTCGTCTTGCGAGTTTTTTCGTCTTGCGAAGCACGGTTTCAATTTTTTCAAAAAAATCTTCAAAAACCTCAAAAAAGGCTACCACACCGCGTGCTATGAGTTGCTCCCCAAAGTCAAGTCGCAACTGCACCTCTTCAAGCAATGCACCCTGTATTACTGTAACGGTTTTAAGAAAAAGGAAACAAACTTGCAAGATGTTTCCATCTTGCGAAGCAAGCACATAGGGAAATTCGTCTCACGAAGCAACTCAAAAAACGAAAAACTCTTTCGTCTTGCGAGTTTTTCATCTTGAGAGGCATTCGTCTTGCGAGGTACCACTGTATCTGGCAAGCTGTAATACATTTACCAGGACTGTTGGGTTAACATATGGCCACATACTCAATCCAATTTAAAGTATGTTCACCTGGAGGGCAGATGAGGATTTTTTCTTATCAGATCAGCGATTGCTGTCACTCTGGCTCTCTGCATCATAGGTCACAGAAATACTTTAACAAGCCTTCCTAGAAACGGGCATTCATTGCTCCTTCGCTAAGCATACCCCATCTACCACCTTTTATCAGACCTTCAACATATCTAGCCTGATTCAACATATGCTCCAGTCACTGATGGATGTCAACTCCCACTACACCATCCTTTTACTTGCAATGTTTAAACACTGTCAAGACAGTGCTCAAGGGTGCACATGTGCCTATAGAAACCTCCCTGGTGCCCTCTGGGTAACTCCTCCCCTCCAATGAAATTCGGCTTTAAAGCAGCATTATGTCATAGCCAATATAGTAAGTTGCAGAGCATGGTGCCCATGACAGTTTATCCAGTTTGATGGATAAACTGGATGGACCTCAAAAAGTTGGCAACCCCTGACTTAAGTTGATCCAGCAGGTGTCCCACTCTGGTTGCCTCTACCTTCAGAAGATTTCCTGCTTTATTTTATTGCTGATGGTTTTGATGCTGGTTTTACTGCTATTTTATTGGCATAGTTGTATAAATGTTTATATTGTACAAAGTCTCAAAATATTTAGTAAAACAAATTATGATTAGCCCAAGGCTGCCAAGTGAACTTCATAGCTGAGCAGGGATTTGAGTTTGGGTCACCTTTGTTCTAAACCAACTTTGCATCACTGCAGGATGGGTTAGATTCATCAAATCCCAGATCAGAGCTTCTCAAACTTTATACACCCAAGGCTCACTTGGGATGGCTAAAAATACTGAGGCCCACCAGTCACAAAATAGTAGTGCAGTGGCAGGACCAGTCACAGAATAGTGGCAGGTGGCAGTAAGGCTTAGCTAATCAGCTGGCAACTAGACATAACTTTCTACTAACATCCAACACCATTTTGGAAATTTCCAAGTTCTTCGCCACAAGCAATTTCCTTGTGTCAATGAGTTCCGTAAGTCATTTTTCTTCCAGCTAAGTATAGACATTGGCTCTGGAAATATTCCACCTCCCCAATTTAGGCAGAATTTCCTGATTCACAGACTCTAAGGTAAGAAATATTTTCATTTAATTATTTCCCCTCCCTGCACCATGCATCAAAAAATGTTTTTACCTGTCTCCTGACATTTCTTTCACACTCATCTTGTAAATATTCCCAGCTACCCCAAGCTGCCAGCTTCTTTGATCTCTCCTCCGTGGTCCCTTTTCATCCACTTCTTTTTGGTATCAGCTTTCTTCTCTTATCCCAGTGTTTCCCAAACTTGGAAACACACCCTCAAACTTATCTGTTGCTAGGCCACCTTTAGTCAGCATGCAAGGAGTTCCTGGTGTCAGCATTGCTGCAACAAAAAAGCTATGGGGAGATTAGAGGGTGGGGTGGGCAAGCAAGGAGGCCAATAAGACTGAAAGTGGTCCAATGACTACATGAAGAACACCGTCCTATACCCAACAATGGTATCATCCAAGAGGCAGAATGTTGCTAGGAATTAGTTGCTATCCTAATCAATTTCTCCACAGCGAAGCAAAATAGTTGTGCCTGACAGCGGGGAGGAAACATGACTGTTAACAATGACTGTCCGTTATAACATCTTTTTCAAGCTTTCATTGATACTCTCTTCAGAGATAACACTGCATTGGGGGGGGGGACCATTGGAGTCGAATAAAACAGGGTTAGTGGGTTAACCCAGACTCCTACTACACTCAGAACTTTATACTGAGAAACAACTGGTCTCCCAGGAGGCTCAAGTGACTACCATGCTGAAGAGAAAATGTCACGCCAGTGATTACACCCCGCAGTGCTGTGTCTCTCCTGTTCTCCCTCACCTCCTCACTTTCTAATCCACTTCATTTAGTACTTTAAATTCCTGACCAATTAGTTAAAAAAACAAGTTTGTGACCACCTCATGACAACAATAAAACACAAAAAATAAAGAATGTTCTCAAAGAGTGGAGAGAGGGGAAACTTGATTGAGTGCCTGCCTCCTTGTGTTTTTATAGGCCACACCTAGTCATTTACACTGAGGAAACAGAACACAGAAAACATTTTCAAACAAATTGGACTTGATAAACAACAAAAGCAATTAAACAGTTACCTAGCCAAGATTGTTTTAAGATGCTAATTTGATATCAAATACTTTCTCTCTCACCTGCCTGTTCCCCAGGCAAATCCTTAATCAGAACCAGGCAATCAGTATAACCCAGGGTCTGAAGTGACCTTCTATTTGATATTTTTCAGAATGGTAAGGTAATTATTGTTCAAAGCAGAGTTCTTGTGCATAGAGAAAACAATAATCCGGACTACAGTCCCTACTGCTCTCTTTTCATCATAATAGATAAGATAGATAGATTAGATTAAAAACACTACTTTTAGGTCACCATATAGATACATTCTAGGTTAAATAATACTTCAACCTTGCAGAAACTACTGGAAAATGTACTCTGTGTTGGAGAAGTTAAGAGAACTTTGAGCACATTAAAACAACAATTATTTCAATTATTAATTCCCAAGATCCAGAAGTTGCAACAGAAGTAATATGAAACCAATCTAAGTTTGTGCCATAGATATCCCCCACAACCCTTTACCTAAAGAGATCGGGTGACTTTATTTTTCTTGATACTAAACCTGCTCCTTTCCCTTTTTAAACCAATACATTTACTAGCCCACAATACTTTTACTAGGGTAACATCATATACCGATAGTAATGATATTTATTTGGAAATAAAATTTTTCGCATTTACAGAAGCTTCTATGTCTGGAGAACATGCCACACAAAAACCAATAGATAAAGCTATCTCATTGAGCTACTGACCCTTTTATAAAACCTATTACACCACCTAAAATTAATCTCTGGTTTTGCTAATCTAACAATTGTTATAGTTTTCTTTACTGCTGTTCTCTACCTGAAGGATTTTGTGCGTTTCACCTTAGGCCGGAGACAGATTCAGAGAACTGCTGGATTTTATATTTTGAAAAATGGGTAGTCAGCAATGATATGTTTCTTCTTTCCACCATCCCCAGGCGTAACCTGAAACCTGCATAACACCTAATCTATGGAGTCAGCTATCTCTTTCCACAATCCATCTTAAAACCAAGGCTAATGCAGACTTTATGGCTTTTTGCAACAAGCCAGCTCCCCTCTCCCTCCCTCCCTTTCTCATCCAAACCCCCTGCTTTTGTTAACACCTAGCCTGATGAAGAATTCTGGAAAACTTGAAAGCTTGCTCCTTATTTTGTGACATTTTGGTTGGCCCAATAAAAGAATCACCCTGCGATGGAGTTTGGAATTTTACTTGCCACAGGTACTCAGCCAGAGGCCATTTACAAGGTTTGACTATGCAGATAGCTGGACAGAAGTTTTGAATCAGCCTACAAACTGCACCCTCAAATCCTGAGGGAGTAGGAAACCACAAAGTGTTTTTCCTTCAAAGCTGCTTCCATTCCATCTTTCTATCCAAAGTTTTTTTTATTCTTCCCAAAGCCTGCTGCTTCTTCATTCTTTCCTTCAACCTCACCTGTAATTACCACTATCATGCTCCTGTTATAGAATCATAGAATCATAGAGTTGGAAGAGACCACAAGGGTCATCGAGTCCAACCCCCTGCCAAGCAGGAAACACTATCAGAGCACTCCTGACATATGGTTGTCAAGCCTCTGCTTAAAGACCTCCAAAGAAGGAGACTCCACCACACTCCTTGGCAGCAAATTCCACTGTCGAACAGCTCTTACTGTCAGGAAGTTCTTCCTAATGTTTAGGTGGAATCTTCTTTCTTGTAGTTTGGATCCATTGCTCCGTGTCCGCTTCTCTGGAGCAGCAGAAAACAACCTTTCTCCCTCCTCTATGTGACATCCTTTTATATATTTGAACATGGCTATCATATCACCCCTTAACCTCCTCTTCTCCAGGCTGTTGCCGCTTCTAAAGCCTGTTCCACATGGTCAAGGCACAAAGCTCTATATGCTATCCAAAGCTCTATATGCTATCCAAATATACAAATGTGGGCATGTGGGACAGGGAGAGAGAGAAGGGTTACAATAAAATTGGGTGAAATACCGGACATAGGACCTGAAATCTTTACTGTCATGCATCCTCACTAGTCAAACTAATACCCCATAACAGTCCAAATTTCTGATCACAGGTTTTCAGAATCAATCAATCAATCAAGAGTCACAATAGTCTCAAACTATTTTCCTTAAGCAAATAAGAAATGCTTGATTAAACAGGATCAATAGTTGATCAGAAATATTGGTAAAAAGAAGCCAAATTAACTTCCCTGGACAAAGAGTTCTACATTCTGGTTGCTATGACAGGAAAAGCCCTCCATACCAGTGTTCAAAATTCGCCAGATGCCAGGCACATTTTGCACCTGGTTATCGAACACTTGTGACCAAGGGAAGATGCCCAGGTGCCAGGATGCCATCTGACATCACCATCTGGAGCTGCATGGCTGGGATTCCTTGGATCTTGATTGTTTTCACACACTAGCAACACATCCTATAAAATTACATCCATTATATTTTATCTGCACGATCAGAATGAATTTTAGGAACCAAAACATTGTATTGAAAAATATGACTTTTTAGCTGTCTGGCCCCCAAATGGCAACTAGGCATCCCTGGTTTAAGGAGCCATTTGGCACCTAGCTTATATATCTGAGTTTCTAACACTGCCTTACATATCCCTGCCAACCATACTTCAGAAGGTGGTAGGACGTACAGTGGGGGGAGGGGCATAGACTAGTCTTACCATACATATCAGGGGCACATCAAGATTTTTGGATACAAGTCTCCTGAGTTCATGAAATTATATTCCTATCTTGTTATGGTAGACAGAAGGGGTTGAAAATGTTGCCTCAAAGGCAAGGAACAGCCATTTTAAATTTGTCTGAATAGATTTGAAGCAATCCCCTTCATTATGACAGAATTTACTTGCTCCAAGTAAGGAATGACTGTTTGCTCCGTAAAAGCACTCTAGGCTGGTGTCACTGCCAAATAGATGCTCTTTTCTATGACTAAGTACAGTGCACAAGGTAGTCATAGCCAATTTGTACTCCCTGATTCCTGCATAGGCTTTTTTCTACAATACTAGGAATGCCATGCAGAAAATGCTTCTCAGTTGAATGATAGCAGACAACTTGCCTTGAAAAACCTCTCCTGAATAATATACCTTTTACATTTTGAAGGATATGCACATTAACACATCTGTAGCCTGTATATGTCAGTGATGACCAAACTTGGCCCTCCAGCTGTTTTGGGACTACAGTTCCCATCATCCCTGACCACTGGTCCTGCTAGCTAGGGATGATGGGAGTTGTAGTGCCAAAACAGCTGGAGGGCCAAGTTTGGCCATCACTGGTATAGATCTTTAGAGCTGAAAAGTAGTCTGGGTAAAATGGGCCTTTTCTGCGGTGACACTCGCACCCTCTCAGGGGCAGGTGCACCAACTCTAGTAGATGGAGGTGTCATCAGCCCCCTCAATATTCTTTGCAAGGGGCTAAGCCCTCCAAATATTGATGTCAGTGGTTTGAAGGAGCTCTTTTCATTGTAAGGCTTTTATAGGTGAATTGAGCATGTGTTTGGACCCTGGATGAGAACCCAGAGGCTTTGAGGGAGAATGTGTCATAAGGAAAATAAATTGATATTGATTTATATATATTAGTAACTCTCTATTAATTTAACTGTGTATTTTTGTAATATTTTGTTTACGTTGACTATTGTTGCTTCAGTTTTCTGTACACTGCTTAGAGATATTTTTAATATATTAAGCGATACAGAAGTAAACAAATAAAATGGTCAAAATAAAGCTCTAAAACGTAACACTTACACCAATTACATCAATTAAATACAAACCACTGTTACCCCCCCCATCAGTATTTCAGTTCAACTACTTTTGCTATTGCAAAAATATTTTCAGATGTTTAACAGTTTGGCACTTTTAAATGTGAGTACAATCCAAAACATACTTAAATTCCATTTTTAAATCAACGGAAATAAGCATTCAGACACAGAGGCAAGTGTTTACTTCATACTGATCTTAAATGAGACTGGAGTCAGATTTTGTATCATGCGGAATCCAAGTACCTTAGTCACTTAAAAAAAACCTTAATTTCCACTGCAGCTTTAGACCATACTCCAGCTGAAGGTTGTTCATCAAGAAACTGTCCTTACCCATTTCTTTCTATATCCTGCCTATAGAGATGGGATGAATATATTAACAAAGGCAAAAACAAAAGAAAACCCATGTCTTACAATTATAATTAGACATCTGGGACCTGTAAGCTGCAATTTCCCCAGCTAAATATTTTTCTTTCTTGCCAATGAGGTGGCAAATCCAAGGATTTTGGATTGATCACTAGCAGTGTGGCCATACAAGCAACTACAGAGAGCCGCTTTTTTTCTTAAAAGAAAAGCTGGCTACCAAAAGGAAGCAGACCTAGTTAACACATTGCATTACAGTTTAAAATAGTCAATACTAAAGTAGGATTTTAGTCTGTTTAGTAAAAAAAATCATCTTCAACAACATGCACACATTTGACAAGCGCTCACACCTTCAAAACTTGGAATTAGTTTTAATACAACCTGTTCACACCATTTGATTCACGGACTTAGGATCTGCTGGGACTGACAGAGCTGAAAGATGTCTAATGCATGTGAATGTATTGTTACAAAAGTTGGGTGCCTGCCCCTCTTTCTGCCGAGCAGTGGAAGGAGCCCATGGGGTCCCAGGCACCCATACAAGGTCTGTGTTCCTTTGAAGAATGGAAGACCTGGAGTAGACTGTTGGGACTTTAAGAAATATGGTTTATTCACCTATTTACTTTCAGTCTGCATGGAGGGAGTCCAGATCTTATGGCATAGTCATTTCAAGAGCCAGCAGCGCAGGCAGCCTTCAGCCTGTCTGTCCAAGATGAATCTCAGCCTTTCTTCCTCCTCTTTCCTTCCAGCAACCCTTGCCCCACCCCAGCAGTTACCCTGGCAACCGTCCAAATCCCCAGTCTCTGTTCACACCTGGGACAAGGGGGAAGGAGTGAGTTTGTTTGTTTATTGACTGACTGACTTTATACACCACCCTATACCCACAGGTCTCAGGGCAGTTCAAAGAATAAAATCAAAATATAAAACCACAAAATACACAATTAACATCATGTAGATGTTAAACAACATAGGGGATAGGATTGAGCCCTACGGAACCCAACATTGAAGGTTCCACAGGGCTGAAAAGCATTCCCCAAGCAACACCCTCTGGGAACGACCATCCAAGTAAGACTGGAACCACCACAAAGTGGTGCCACCAACCCCTAGTTCAGACAGTTGCTCCAGAAGGAAGAAGAAGAAGAAGAAGAGGAGGAGGAGTTTGGATTTGATATCCCGCTTCATCGCTACCCTAAGGAATCTCAAAGCGGCTAACAATCTCCTTTCCCTTCCTCCCCCACAACAAACACTCTGCGAGGTGAGTGAGGCTGAGAGACTTCAGAGGATACCATGTTCAATGGTACCGAAAGCCACTGAGAGGTCAAGAAGAATTAACAGGGTCATGTTTCCCTTGTCTCTCTCTAGACAGAGGTCATCATACAGGGCAACCAAAGCAGTTTCTGTGCCAAAACCGGGCCTACCCCCTCCCCCCCCCCCATTGAAATGGATCCAGAAAATCAGTTTCTTCCAAACCTCCTGGATCTGGTCTCTTGTATTGTTAATGTCCCACAATTGCTCTTTTGATAGTTGCAGCACAGCCAGGTTGTTTTGCATTAGCTTAGCCTAGGAATTCCTTTGCAGCTTTCATTATCCCTTCCTATCACAAGTAACAGAAATCCTAGCATTTATTAATTTCTAGGGTGTAGGGGGATCCCTCCCCCAATCTATAACACCATTGAAAAAATCCCCTGCCATGAGTCTGTGTTAACAGGAAACACAAAATAAATGGGTTATGCATCTTGCACTGCACACTATACTTCAAAGGTAACCTTCATTCACATCTCACTCAGCTGCCAACTGCAGCCATCTCCAGAGCTTCTTTTCAACTGAAGATAGCATTAAAAGGCCCTTTAGAATGCATTCTAATCAACTTTGCAAGCTTATGCACCATTACCAGTTATTCTTTTTTTAATAAAGAAAAAACCAGCGCTAAAAGCAAAAATGATTATTAACTCTAGGAAGGAAAGGAAATTAAAGTGATATTCTCACTGCCAACATCTTCTAAAAATGTTTCATTTGCTCTTGTTCTAGGAAGCTTCAAAGCAGAAAGACTTTTCTAAATCAAGATTTTATTTATTCTTTCAAAAGCTCTTTTCGTTCTAAGCTTTCTAATTCGCTTTATGAATCACAACACACTGAGTACTGTATCTTTTTAAAAGCAGAAACTCTTAAGAGAGCAAGTTACTGTGAATAGATACAGATACAATTTTTATGTATGTTATTTGTTATTTCACTGGACTTTTACTTTTTTCCTTGAATATATTTTTTTGCTCTGAAAGTCAAATAATGGACTTACCAATCATTAATGGCACACACCTAGAGAGACTCAGTAGGTAAATAAGGAATTGTTCAGAATGGGTGTACCAGCTCCTGCAGCAGCACATCAAAACATACTACACAATTTGGATATGGGCACACTTTCAAGATTTGCAATCTGATATACAAGCAGTGTGCAGGTCCTCCAATGTAAATTAAAGCAGTAAATGGAGAAGCAGCCACTCAAACTTTTAAGAGTGCTGCATGATGGCTGTTTGAATTAGTGCTATCCACAACCCACAGATTTGAAACTATATTTCAAATTCCTACGGTCCAACACCTGACCTTTAGGGTGGCATCCCCCACCAAACTTTGGGGGAGCAGGGGAAAGAAGAACTTTCCAGAAAGTTTGCTAACTTCATATTTTAACAAAACTTTAGAGAGCCAGGAGACCACAAACCTAAGATTTTTGTTTCCAATTCATCCCATGTACAAAAGAATAAGTGTTGGGCAATGCAGTATCTCAGAGATTAGTCAAAGGCTCCTGCCCATTGATTATGTCACAACCCAGCTGAAGGGCAAAGCCTAGTCTCAGGATGTTCAAATGCCTATTTCCAGCCATATCTCCACTAAAAGCAGCTTTTTGCTTATTTTGGGCATTGGCCCTCCATGCAGAAGAGCTGAGGTTTGCATAAAAAGAGTATAAGGAAGACTCTAGCAAGTAGATGATAGTGGGAGACTTCATCCAAAATGAAGGTACCTTATTCCAAGTCAGACTGTTGGTCTATTTAGGCCAGTATAATTCATTCTCATTGACAGAGGCTGCTCCATATTCTATTTACATCATTATGCCAGGGATTGAACCTAGAACCGTATGCCTCAGGGGACCCTCATAGGGAAGAAGTGACATAAAAAAGAGAAAAAAAGCGTAGTGTATCTGATGGCAGAAGGGAAACAGAAGCTCTTTCCAGGTTACCAAACACAGTATGGTTGGATGCTTCTGGATCTCATTTCTAGGCAGGGCAGAGTATAGGTTGAAACATGTAAGCAAAGTGGTTTGGAAAGTAGCATCACAGGTTAAAGCAACTTCAAAATGGATATGAGACACCCCACAATACAGTACAGTTACAACATGATGTCACTTGCTTTAGACTATGCTTCATCTGCACAATATGTTCTGACCAAAGCATTTGTTTACTTGAATCCCTAAACGATAAGTAGTTTGGAGGTGAAACTATGACATTAATCTTGTTCCAAACATAGGCTGCCATCCTCATGCTATTTAATTGTTTGAAGTCCTGTTGAAATGTATGCATTAACAGAGAAGTTTTTAAAATCCAATAATCCTTATTTGCAGACCTCAATACCTTTACCATTCCCTCCAACCAATAATTTGCAGATTGGCAATTTTTTTATGCCAGCTGCAAATTCAAGACAACTGACTTATTTAATTAATACAGTAGCTTAAATGAACACTCCCCAACCATCTTCTTCCCCTCCACAGTTGAAAACTCTAATTCTAACCCATATTTATCTTTGTTTGAGACACCAAGGCAATTTGATTTAAAAACAAAACAAAAAACTGCATACACTGTCAGCTATTTCCTCTGCCATTCTAACCCCACTCCCCTGCAAAAACCAGAAACCTAGCAGAAGTTTTCCTAATGCTACCTGGATCTGGCAGCTTCAGTCAAAGGATGCTCTGGCATGAGAGCATGAGATATTGAAGTTATCTGAGATACCACATGATTTGTACTTGTACAAATTGGAGCTATCTGGGTGACCAGAGTCAGCAGTTACCTGGTGTGGTTGCTAGGATAAAGAAACATGAGCTCTAGACAAGCATATAGTAGCTAGGAGCCAGCTGTTCAGCAGATGCATTAATCTTCAGCAAACAGATTTCATTCCTTATTCATCTCTTTATTAGAGGCCTCAAAGAATATTTCCAAGGAAGCATACTGTGTTTAGGATGAGGCTTCTAAACACTGCACAGTACTAATAGGTACTGATAGCTAAGGTACAATACAGCCAATGAATTACTTGCAAAAAATGAAATGCAAAGACAATGTTTGGAACGTGATGCTATCATTTTCCATAATCATAAAAGAATAGTCTGGAAAGGAGACCACACAATTTCTCACTGTGCATCACAGATAAACCAATTCCAAGGTAAGGAGCTGCAGTACGTCCAATTTTTGAAAGTCTTCAAGGTCTTCAAAAGGTGCATTTGGCTGAAGAGTGGCCAATAAATTAAGTAGACCACAGTTGAGAGATGAGGATCAGGATATGTGATCACAAACTTACACCTGCAGCCCAAACCTGAAGTTCAGACCCTACTGCTTTCCTGGAAGCAGTGGAAGAGTTACAATTTGTATTAGAACTCCAAGCAACTCGCTGTTCAAATCCTTCAGAGATACCAAGTCTCCAGAATGGATTTGAGAGATGCCATGACCTACTGCTTGACATTTCAAGTGTATGTCGTAGTACTTTTAACAAGTGAGAGCCCTTTTAGCTGCAATGCTAAAATAAAGGATATATGAGCATTTATGCCTTAAATATAATGACAGATTCCAGCAGTTGATTTGAATAGTTGAAATAATGAGGACAGTTGATTATACAAATAAGACTTTCTGGTTTTTCATCATATGTCAGGGCTGTGTATTTGCCATACACATGGAGGAAGTTTGGAAGAACATCAGCTTTCATATAAATAAATAAAAGAGCAAGTTTCTAGGTCTTATGGCTGGACAGATCAACTTGGAAGTATGGCCAATGCCAGATAAAAAAAAACTAGAGCTGAGACATGAGAAAATTTGAGCTCTCTTTCATTACCCTACAAAAATAAGGACACTGCAGAATTTCTGCAAATATGCTACATTATTTATAAAGTGTGGAGGTTACCATTCACCACCCAAAAATGCCCAGAATGCCCAGGACGCTGTTGAGATTGCAGAATGGTGGCCAGCAGAATTGCCAACACAGCTTCTGCCACTTGGGGTGGGGGACGGAGAAGAAGCTGTGTTCTTGCCACTGCTAATAGGGAGCTCCACTCCTGAGAAATTTTTGAAGAATTGATCTTCTCCTAGCAGAGAGTAAACATCACCATGTTTGGAAGGGCAATCCCAACAGCCAATTCACCTAATTAAAGTTTTCCACTCACTGGTACACACTTGTAAGTGATTCCCATATTAAAATGTAACACATTAACATGATCTGCTTTCTCTACAAGTCACGCACTATGAATTTCTGGAGCCATTTGTAATTTAAATGGTAGTCCTTCGAAGTGTCTTTCATACACGCAATTTGGAAAGCAGGCAATTTTCAAGTTCTTAAACTGGAACATCTGTTTCCAAGAGTCGTTTCTGTCAGAAAGAAATGTAGCATCTAGGCTATCCTCATGGGGCCACTACCTCTCTCTATACTGGGGGGGGGGGGATGATGGTACTGTACTTCAAAAAGCATAAAGTGTTAACCTGCCAAATTTGGCAATGTGAGGTAACACATACCACTGGGCTAAGAATTGACTATGTTTTCACTATTAAGCTATCAGAGATGGTAAAGCACAAGTTACTGACTTAAGAATTGTGTTTAGTTGCTTCACCACTGAGAGTACCAATTACAATTTATTTTTTACACAGTATTGGGCAACAGCTCAAAAAACAACTAAGGAGAGGGACATATAAACCCCAAGCAGGAGATTCATGCCATCTCCAGCACCTATGTTTACATTTGTGCAATAGTATTTAAACTGGATTTAAATACATGTGGTATATCTCTTTCACACACCCTTTTAGTCCTATCAAAGGTTATACACAGACGAGCAGTCAGTAGTAGTTTTAACTCCTGTTGCACATGGAACAACATTCCCATGATCCAAAGGTATTTAATACTACCACTCGTGATAATAACATAGCTGTCAACGTTTCCCTTTTTTTAAGGGAAATTCTCTTATTCCGAATAGGATTCCTCACAAGAAAAGGGAAAAGTTGACAGCTATGGATAAAAAACTTAAAGAACAATAGCACCATATGTACAGCCATTCACCATCAGCACCTTGGTTTTCACTCCTTAACAAGATATGTCTGTAGCCAGTTTTCCAAGTTATCACCATCGGTATAACATACATTTCAGCATTATCACTGCACATTTGGGGAGTTCCTGCCTCCATTCTTCTGAAATATATATATGACTTACACCTTATTCCCTGAGCAGTGACAATATTTGGCTGTTTAGATATGTGACCTTAGTTGCACAGTGGCTGCATTTCATTTGAAGATCCTCTAAAATCAGTAACCATGGAGACCAAGTTCAGACAAGTTCCACGTACAAACCTCCCCCCCCCTTTTGTCAGTCAAGACAGATTCCCAGAGCATGTTATACAATGATTATAATGCATCACAAGATAGACAGATGTCCTTTAGGGGGGAAATAAAATTCAGAAGGGACAAGGGGCTTTGGCAAGCAGCAAGGAAGGTGTCTAAGGTCCCTGAGGTGTCTATAGATGCCATTCTGTGGGCCTCAAACATAAGATGTTAGCAATTCATGTGTGCGTGTATGGCATGGACTCTGGTGCTTAGCTTGTCCTTCCCCAAAAAGGGGGCAAAATGAGCTGTAGGTAGACTCAGGGGCACACCAATCATAAAAATTTCACCACAGACATAGTTTAGCCATTGTAATGATTAGATAAGGGACTTAAACCAGTTCGCTGTTTTTTAGACCTCTAAAGTAAAATAAAACATGAACCTTTCTTCCAAGGATGAGATGGCAAAGCGATGTTACTTTTATAGCGATTAGTATCCAGATTCTTAAAGTACAAAAGTGCAATTGCTCTGTCATCTCAATAGATGGTTTTGCGCCATGGACTTTTATACCACAATAAATCTTTCAGTTTCATGGTACCTTAAAGACTGCTGCATTTACAAATAAGATTCCCAGAGAACAGTAGCAAAAAAACTAAGCAAGATATTCATTTGCTAGTGATTAATTAAGGGGCATCAGTACAACAAGCCCAAGGGGAAGAATTCCAAACAACTAGAAGCCTTCAGCCAAAGTACTGGCTTATTAGTTCAAATCAATATAGGAAATTCAGCATCATCCACAGTTTTGTGAGGGTCTTTTGGTCCTTGCTGTTCCCCTAGGGTTGCCAGGGTCACAATGCTGCAGTATCAACAGAAGTCACTTCTGGCAGAATACACCAGGCCCAGGGGATCTAAATTCTAGAAACCCTATGCCCCCTTGGTGCCCATCTGCTTTCTTTCTGCATATAGCCTCTTTGGTCTCCAACTTCTTTCAACTTCATGCCTCCTCTACCCATTATTTTCTCAGTTTTTGGTTGCTAAAAGCAAAGGTCTACTTGGTCTCACTTTGTTTAACTCCTTGTCTCTTGATCAGCCTACTTAGCACACCCTCCTCCAGATTTTTAAAATGTTGCCCTGCTGCAAACCTCTCCATTTGACTCAGTTCTCTGTTCCCTCAGGCCCCTTCCTCCCACCAAATTATATTCTTTACTGAACTTTCTCCCACATTTCCCTCCCTTCATTTCCTACTATGTACTTAGCCCACTTACCTCTATCCTGTCCAGCTTTCTGATCTCCTGGAACTTCTTCCCAGTCCTCTGTGAGGGTTTTCATCTTAGGGAAACCCAGCACAAAGTGGTTGCTGTTAGCAGACACACATATTTCTCCTGGGACACCTAAACTTGCTCTTGACAAATTTTGATTTCATTCTCCTTTTTAAAAGCGCAGTTTGCAAAATTCAGCCATTATAAGCCCAATACCACATTGGAAAGCAGTGGGTAGTCATCTCCATTACTCAGTCGCTTTTACAACCTTTTCCTTGTAATTTATTCTTGCTGCTTGCTAGAGCTTGTTATATATTTTTATGAATGTTAGCCACAGACATCTACTCTTTGTGTGAATTCACCCTGCTTGACATAAATAGCTTGTGTTTATAGTGCAAGTACCTCAGGTCAGGGGACCTACTTCACAAAATTGAATCTAATTGCCACTTCAGCACACAAGAAAGGCGAACAACCCGTCCAAAGCAGCAAGCTACAACCTTTTTACAAGAGGAGACCTCAAAGAACTGAACAATCAGAACAGTAAATTCACATTCACAACACAAGGACAAGATGGGGTGCAATAGCAGATAAAATTAAGCGATGCAAGGCCTACTCAATGAATAAGGAAATCTACAGCCATTAATATGCTATTTTAGGCACCATTCTTTACTGACAAGAGATAAAATTGTTATATATATGGTAAACTCTAACATGTCCTTGCCTCTAGTCCAGCAGATAAATGCCCAGTTCAGCCATGAAGACCCAATAAGTTAGCTTGGGTAAGGCAGTCCCCCTCAGTGTCCTTCCAAGAAGGCACTTGAATTAATACCACTCCATACTACTTTGGATATTACGGGAGGTGTCAACAACTCAGTAATGTGGAGAGGAATGTTTTCCAAAGTGGAAAATTATCCATTCTTTTATTTTTCCACAGAAATTTTTCCATTTCTTAAGTCCGTCAGTTAATGACGAGCAGGTGTCAACTGAAAATACAATTGCAGTTTCCACATTTTTAGCATTGTTTACTAAATACATGTCAAATAAATATTCCAAATTAGATCACTCTCTAGTGTGAACTGTTCCTATGCAAATTAGCCTAATTAAAAAAAAATCTGGAAAAACTACATCACTTCAGGAACAAATTTACAGGGTTTCTAATAACTTTCCCTACACTTTCAGCACTCAGAGTCCCGTATAACATGAGACCAAGCAAGTCAAATGCAGCACAAGAGCCAAGTATGGTGGTCTACCAGAGGCTCAGTCAAAGTCTAGCTTTTGCTGCCAGGGACTATAAAAACAATAGGATTTGTCAAGTACCTGCCAGGTCACAGTACATAGCTTACAGACTAAATAAGTGAGGAGCTACATTTAATCATGTTCCTCACAAGCAACTGAACACTTTCCCAGTAAATTTCAGAAGAAATGTTAACATCATAAGGCCAGCCTTAATCATAATTTGCAAACTGAATGTGTAGCCTAATAAGTACTTTTGAACAATCCAAAATAATGTGGCATTCATATCTCTGGATGAGACATTGTCTTCAGTAATAAATATTCAAGTGTGGATTATGCTTACACAATGGTGTATTTATGGAAAATGAGCTTAACAATGGAATTACTGAGTACAAGAACTAGATGATACATACACACACCACTAGCTTAAAGTGACTTACTCATGTCACAGCCTGATATTTACTATATTTGTTCTTCCATGTACTATGGAGTTTTAAATTAGAATCCAGAGTTCTTCCAATTGATTTTCTTGCCTTATGTGTACCCAGACTAATCCTTTAAGCAAACTCTTCCTCACAATTTCAGCCTCAGGTAGGTTAGATGGGGAAAGTAAAATCTACCAAGGTGCTGCAAAACTGCACCTCCCCCAACACACAACCTTCACTGTCAGAATCATAGAATTGTAGAGTTGGAAGGGACCCTGAGAGTCATCAAGCCCAACAACCTTCTGGTTAACAGTCAGAAACACTGACCCATTATGCTACAGGAGGGCTCAGTTAACCATTTCTAATTCTAAAGGTGCCCATTAGTTTAATTTGAACATTTCATTTTATAAGGTCATTGTGCAATAAAATGCCACAAAATAAAGTGACTAAGGGTTGCAATCCCGACCTCACTTACCTGGAAGTAAGCCCCATTGAATTTAACAGAACTTACTTCTTAATAGACATGAGTGGGACTGCGTTATGAATTATTGTTGGCAAAGCATTCATTTAAGGTAGCCCGGACCAAGAATGAAACATTTAAGAAAGGGTTTAATATTATTAAACAGGAGTAATCCACATTAAGAAAAAATCAATGCAAATGTCTTGGGTCCCCATCTCCCCCACCCCCAGCAAGGTAAGTTTCTGTCACAGACTTTCTTTCTTGTTCCAAGCCAGAGAGCCAGGCAAAAATGGCATAGAATAAAAGCATGGCCTGGAGAAGGCGAATGGCCTAGGAAGGGTCCCAAGGGCCGCATTTGGTTCCCAGGCCTAAAGTTCCCTGCCCCTGTTCAAAGTAAAGCTAGGGGATCACTGATTTTATTTGAAAACAGAAGAGATGCTGAGTAACTACTACAGATGTGTAGTAAATACAGAGACCTTCTAATAAGACTCCATGCTGATACTCAATGGAAGCCTTTGCAAGTTATCGTTGTCTTTTTAGATTCAGGACCAGGCCATGATACTGGAACTGAACACGGTTCAACCTTGGGCAGGGGAAAGGACATTTAAAGAAACTGTAACTGTCTAAATTCTTTTTGTATTCCTCACACCCATACTTGAGAGCTAAGACATTCTGGCTGGGCTGCTTAGTGCATTTGTGATAAAGCTATAAAGCAAGATCATCCCAGGGTTCAAAATTAGCAGAGCGCCAGGCGTATTTTGCGCCTAAAGTTTCTCCATTTGCAAGCACCTCAAAATGTCTGGGTGCCATTTTTTGCACCTGACTGACACTCAAGGATTACTGAAATGTATGTGATTTGAAGCCTCAAAGTATATGTTAGGGATAGACAATACGTTAAGGAGTTTAACAATGAAGAATATAGTGTTGCCGACCCCCCTCCCCAGTGGTGACTAGACATTCTGTTTTGGTGCCCACAACCCAGGTCCCAGAAGTCATTTGGGTCCTAGCTTTTCTACCCCTGTTTCTAACCCTGGGTCACCCCAATCCCAACACATAAAAACCAACATTGTGGGAGTTGTCCACAGTCATGCAGCACCTGTTGCCCACAGCACTCTGCTTGAAACTATATTAGTCACTGGGTCATGAAAAAAGGGATCAGCAAGTGTTAGTTGCTAACTCAGAGAGCTGTGTAGCAAATTTAGTGCTAGTGGCAATAGGAGCTACTTTGAGGTATGGTGCAGTGCATGCAGGCCCACTGTCTTCTTTCCCTCCTCAAAGAAACCACCTAAAGTCACTTGTTGACCAGGGACTCTATAAACTTTACCTATCCAAACATTTTCACAAGGAGGGAATGGGGCACATTTAAATACTTCAATCAGTATACGTGTTGTGGGTAGGGGGACAGAATGCACAAGAATGAACTCAAAAGGGAGGGGGAAATCACATTTGAAATATAAATACCTCATGAAAAACTAATTTTGGTTCCCAATATAGTTACAAGCTGTTCAGCTATAACATTTGCAGAAGAACTGAAACAAATATTGGATTCTGTCTCACTTCTGTGTGTACTGCCAACATACAATTACCCAGACACAAACAATATCAAGACCTGAAAACGATGTACTAGAACAAAACAATCAGGTTAGTCATAAGACTGACCTGGACAATTTTTTCCGAACACTGACTCATCAAAAGAGACTGGTCTACAACCCCTGGAAAGAATTTTTGGGGGTGGGGGTGGGAGAAATGAAGAAACAAATGAGGCCTTCCACGTTTCTTCATTCTTAAAGTTTGCAACTAGAATAACATGCTTGCAGTTTAACAGATCAACACTTCATTGTATGACTTGACAGTAGGCAGCAAGGGCTTGTAACACAAAGTGACTTAAATTAATATACTAGTCTTTGTTCATAAAAACCCAAATATTTCAGCATTAGTCTTCTGAATGTTTAGGCCAGTTTGCTATTAATCAGGGCAGCAGAAGTACAGTGTGTTGTATTCAGTGTAAACCCTACTCAGAGCAGACCCACTGAAACTAATAGGTATGGCTGAGTTCATTAATTTCTTTAAGTCTACTCTGAGTACGATGAAACTAAGTATCTGCTATGAGAGACTCTAGAAATCATGCTGCTCCTTATTCAGCCTTTTGCATGAATGTTGTTTGAAACTGGTTCGTGACTCAAACAACTGATGCCATTGTCTAAGAAGCTGCAGTGTCCCCAACCCAGAAATGATTCTTTCTAGGATTAAGGCATGCAATGAATACCTTTCCAGTTTGCATTCGTATACTTAAAGGCATTATATACCTGATTTATTCAGCAAGGCTGGTGGGGGACACTGAATTTCTGTACGTGAAACAGGCTTCCAATGTTCATTATGTAAAAACTTGCAAACAGGCAAACACAGCTTTTCAATTAGGTCACATTTATGTTAAATGGGATTCTGATCTATCCTTGTAGGATGATGATGGAAGTCACAGCCCCCAAGGAATTTAAACAGGGCATTCCTTGAATACCAGGACAGCCTCATAAGAATGTGGCATGAATAATTCTTAAATAGCACAGCCATCAGAATTAGGTTCAATATATACACTGCTTTATCATGTGCTCATTGAGGCGCTGAACCATTTGCCTCAGGCACTCCCATGGTTTCCCTCCAAGCAACAGAGGATCAAGCTGACAGACTCAGTTAGTCAGGAAATCCCTGTTCATCTGCACTAGATGTGCCAGACAAAAGTACTTGCTACGCCATCATACAGACAGACAGAAATTCAACACAGCGATTTAGTTTTAAAGTAGTATTCCATGGGTTTGTCTGCAGGCATTGAAATAGTTGCTACTTGTGCTAACCTCAAATTTAGTAGCATCTATACTAAACACAGGAATTCATGAAGACATCACAGCAAGATCTGTCTTCAACTTTGAAGTATCGAAGTTCTTGGTAGGGCTGTCAGATGAAATATTGCTTCAGAAAATCTGCACTGCTTTTTAATGCAAAACTGTATCAAATAGCTATGGCTTTTTTTCTTATAAGTTTTCTTACCTGCCCTTCACCAGAGGCAGGTTACAACAATATAATGTACAACTATAAAAACAAATAAAACCATTCCAAGTATAAAACAAGGAAAACCATTCCAAATGGATCAGAACAGTATAAATTCAACAAATAACTGAACCCCACAAAACAAAACACCTTACCTGTCAAAACCAGAAAAAAGATGTGCATCTTCAGCATATAGTAAAATTGTACTGTACAATGAGGATGCTAGACACACCTGTGTGTGGAAGAAATTCCACAAATAAAGTCTGCCACAGGGAAAGCCCTCCCCCAGGACACCAGCCCCAGAACTTCTGGAGGGTGGAGGAACTATCAGCAGAAACCCCTCTGAAGATCTCAACTTCAGAGAAGGTGGATAGGGATGCAGACAGTCTTTCAGACAAAGCTTTAAACACTAATATAAGCACCTTTAACTGGGCTCAGATATAAATTGGCATCCAGTGCAGCTGTTTTATAACACAAGATTTGACTTGATATTCTGATTTCTTGCCCAATTTGCTTACAAAAATGTACACCCAAATATCTTCTCCTTGCTCACTTTTGCTTCCCTTTTTATCTTCTTCCAGGTCATTCGTTATCTTTCTACTTATCTGACTGAAAACAGAAGGCTGGATTTTCCATAATACCACGGAAACGCAAGACTGTAACAGAAGCATAATTTATTTATTAGAAGTCCCGTTACATTCTGATAGCTATATCATTCCTTTGGGTGCTATAAAACTTTTTCTTCTTCAAATTTTCTGCTTTGCTCTAATTTTAAATTTCTTCATTCTGACAACATTCCTATATTATCTGTAATGATAAAAAAGAAAAATCTTAAACTATTGGTATAGAACACAAACACCCAGGCTTCTACCCATTATTTAAAATTTACAGTTAACAACTGGAAGAATGGAGAAAGAATTGTGCGGGGGGCGGGGGGAGAATACAAAATCGTCTCAGATGCCAAATCAGTGCAAATAGCACAGAATTGATCTTTTCCCAAGACAGAATTCACACAACACTATCAAATCATTGTTTTCCACAGCAAGAAGAAACTATAAATTAAGAGTTTGTTCACTGTTCTATTTCAAACTGCTTTGAATAAAACTGTCACCAAGGAGCAAACCACTAACTGTGCTCTACCTTTAGTGAAAATTTTGTCATTCCCTTCTTACCATGTTAGAGAATAGATCTAAAAATCAGGTAATCTGTAACAGGGAGAACATTTTCCAAACATCCAATATGAATTGCATGTTACAACTTCAAGAAATGCACCAAGGAGAAATAACCAATTTGGTCATCTCAAACAAAATAGCAACACAAGCTGAACCTGAACAAAAACCAGTCTGGGAGCCTGCTTGCAAATCAAGAATTATTAATGTAGCCTTTTTGGATTTGACTTCTTTGCTTTTTAAATAGTTACTGTAGGCTTCATCAGAAGCTTTGAAACTGATCATTTTGTTGTTCAGTTCCCAGTTGTAGTAGCCAGCCTTATCCTCACTAAGAAATCAAAGGGACATGTTTATAGTTAAGTTCTTCCCCAACACGGCACCTCCTTGCTGCCTACACTCTTGCTGCCACAAACACCCTATCTTCCCCAAGTCTATTTCTTCCTAGTACCGCATGCTAAGTGTAAAACTACTTTGTATAAAATAGATCAATTTTATGGGGGTGATTGGGAATTGCATGCGTGGCAAACCTACTGTTAAAGCTTTAAACAAGGCAGCCCTCTAATCATTGAACTATAGAGCTTCTGTACTTTAATAAGCTAGCACTGGGATTTTATAGCTAGAATTAATATTACTACAATGGAACAAACTGCATAATTCTAGTTCCCAGCAAGTGGGGCAAACTTTGTAACTCTCAGACATTCCAGTTCAATGAGATTTTCTGTATCTTTCTGCAAGGCCTCTGACAGCTGAGAGAAAAGAAGGCAAGATCAACAAGCTGCCGCTTCACTCAAAGCTTACTGGGTTCAAGAGACAGAAAACCACAGCTTAAGCTATGGACAGCAGTTCCCAAACTCCCACCCTACATAACCCAGACCTGAATGTTTCTAGGAGCCTCGGAGACCCCCTTAATATGGATGTCCTTTTTGTTTGTTTTTTTTACATTCTACAAATAAAAACACGTACATAACTCACGTTATCAACTTTCTTCCCTGCAGTGTAGGCACTGTCATCAAAGCCACCACCACATTATGAAAATCAAAGGCTCTAGGCCAGAGGCTTTTTATGCTGTTAAATAATCTGGCTGTGGTCAAAATCAAGAGCAGGGTCAAGTGTAGCTAATCTTAGCTGTTCAACAACCTTGCTCTGGACCACATAAATGAGTTGTGACCAACTAAGTTTTACTCAGAGTAGAACAAATGGACCCAAATTAGTCACTGCCATGATTAATACTTGATACAGCTCTCTGTGCACCCACAAAGAACAATGGCCATTTTTACTCTCATTTTCACTCCACAGGTAGATTTTGCACCCTTGAAGGAACCAGCATATTCTCTCAACATGTGCATGCTGTCCATTAGGAAGCACTGCTTCAACAGTAGTAGCAAAAGAAAGACCAAGCCCTCCCAGGAAAGACTCCCCTGGACTAAACTGAGGGCAGAGAATGTTCAGGTCTGAGAATCAATGTTGCTTCTGGCACAGTTCTTCCCACAGACAGCTAGCTGACTTGATGACACTTAGAAGGAATACCACGCTGGGAATGTTCTCACCCACTGTTCAGTTGCCTTTCCCCATCATCCTGAGGGGTCTTCTACCCATAGAAAGGATGAGTTCTCAAAAGTTCCATAGGAGGTATTTGGTTCCAGTAAAGGTAGAAAAAAGATATGCTGAGAAAAGAAAAAGAACTCTGGGATAGCTACATTTTCCTTTGCTGCAACTGGCTCTTCTGTAAAACTAAAGCAATTATAATCTGAAAGTGGAGGCAATGTATGTATTTCTGTAAACCAAGAAAACCTTGAATAAAAACAATTAAAAAAAACCTAAATCAAGCTAGGATATTATTATTATTTGTAATCCAAGTCCATGTAATAATAATATTTTAAAAGGTGTGTAATGCTGAGCAACTTTTCTGCAAGCACCCAAAGCTGCTTAAATTAATTCAAAAAATATGTTTAGCAGATGCTTGCAAGGCAAGGGGAGCTACTCTTCACCAATCTACCTCTCAAAGACTATTTACATATTGACTAACACCCATGAAATCTGATGATCGGCCCTTACTCAAGCATATTTTTGCAAACAATATTAGGGAGGAGACCATAGCTGAGTAGTAGAGCACACACACTTTGCGTGCGAAAGATCTCAAATTCGATACTCAGCATGTCAAGTTAAAAGGATCAGATAGCAAGTAACAGAAAAGACCTGCCCGCGATCCTGGAAAGTCACTACTGGTCAGAGAAGACAAAATTCAGCTAGATGGACATAGCCTGGCCTAATATAAGGCAGTTTGCTAGGTCCTTAAATTAAATCAAACTTCAGCTAGTTTTTAAATTCCTGATCTACCGTGGAATCTTCCCATACTGAAATATGACCACCATGCTTTCATTTTGCAACTTAATCAATTAGAAGTTTACCCAGAATCCTGAACTGACGTGTCTTGGCTAGAAATGTCATTATTCAGCATTTTTAAACCATACTGACTTTTAAAGTGCCAAATCAGAGGGCAATTCTCTACAGGGAGCTCTGTACTGAAACGAACTTTATGTGCTATATAGCTTCTACTATATGGTTTGACTAAGGATATGTTACTATTACTCTCCCAGAATACTGGGCTGTATCCAACTAACTTGTACTTGGAGAAAAGCATTGAAACTAATAAGTATAAATTAGGCGTGTCCAATAATTTCAGTGGGTCCACACAGAGTAGGACTAACTTTGAGTACATCCCATTGTGTCATGCACAATGCTTAAAACCTGTTTTCTGTTCCCAACAGAGAACAACTCACATTCTGAAACAACAAGACTCTCTAAAACAAACACTGGTTCTTCATCAGCCCACCAGTGACATAACTAAAGCAGGTCTGTGGGAGAGTTTCACAAGAGCCATTAGCATTTCCCCCCTACCAATCTCTGGAGGACTCCTCTTTTAAATGGGAATACTTTGGAGAATATGTTTTTCAAAAGCTCTCCACAGTCTAGCTATCAACCCTAGACTGCTTTGGTTAAGAGTCAGGATTTACAGTAATATGGCATTCAGGGAAAGCTACCAATAACACTTTTAAAAGACACAAACATGAACTCTCTGCCTCACTTTCAGCAAGCAACTGAGATTGAGGATTCTGAGCCAATTAAACAATGGACTCAAGTCTGTCAATTCAGTGGAGACCTTAGTTACAGCACTGTTAAATTCTTGCTGTTACATTATTAAAGTTCCCACTTTTCACCAAGCTTTTATAAATTCAGTGGCTAGTAAATGAACCCAACACATGCTTACTTGTTGTCAGTTTATTCTGAACCACACAAAATGTAAGAGACTAGTTTATAATGCTGTTAAATCCACTGGGATTCTCTTACTGCCTAAGCAACTGAATTACCATTGCCTCAAAATCCACATGTAGCCAAAAGGGAGGTGATATCTGTCAATGATAGCCAACTTATCCTGCAAAGCCAAGCAAAAAGAGCAAGAGAACACAATGGGGCACATGAACAATCAAGAGTAACAGCAGACTATGTATGAAAGTCTGCCAAGACATCATGCTTTAACAGCTTATGGCTGATGAACTATATCAGTGAACTGGAAAAACAGAAGTCAGCCTGCATCAAAGAGGCTATGAACACCAGCCATTTCAACTACAACCTAAAAGGCTACCATGGGGATACTAGAACTCAGACCACATTCTAAATAATTGGGTTCAACATTATCCTAAAATCGCTCAATGGGGAAGAACATTCCCTCAAGCCTCTCATTTAATTTTCCATATTCCCACTTCCCCCAACTGGTAGCAAAATGGAAGAAGCAGAGAAAAAAAAAATTGCGTCATATTGTGCATTCCAAAACTCCTTAATAAGACAGTAAGCATTCAGCATGGACCAAGTATCTGCATAAATTGGCACCCCTTCATTTGGCTTAGAATTACCACAATTCTAAGCTAAAAAATAACATTCTGCAACAGACAGATTCACCAGTTATATCCTTTTAAACATCGTTCTTCATGGGTGGGCTACACTGGATCAGAAATTTCCAGCATCAAAAATTGTTTGCTTACATGAACAAGCCAACTTTACACTACTCTCAAACACACATTTGCAGCTGAACTTTCAGTGTTCAGATCTAATTTAAATGACAGACCTCAACAGAGTTCAGAATTATCACTTACACAGCATTTCAGTTACAAGTTTCTAGCCACATACACTACAAAATTTAGCATGTGTTGTGCCTCTGAAAAGATGCGCAGTAAGATAATGAGGGCCTTTTATAACTTATTTGAAAAACTGGTGGTGTTAACTTTGCATTTAAGAAAACTCACTGCATTTTTTAAAAAGCAACCAAAACATCTTTTATGGGCTTCCACTCCTCCATCAATTACTTTACCTTAACCAAGTGCTGACTGAAAGTGTAACTAAGGCTGCAACCTAAATAGATATAAAGTCCCATTCAACTCAGTACTTCTTTCTTAGAATTATGCTATGAATGAGCTGCTGTAATTTTTATATCATTCTCTCTTATAAGAAAAGCTACTCAATTTGAAAATGTTTTATTTCTGTTGCTGTCAACCTGAACACACTCCTTGCCAATTATTCTAGATTTTGATCCTGCCCAAAGCATCTACACTAAAAATAATGCAATCATGCTGTAATGGTAAGGGGTTGCTCATGCGTAAGTTGCCGCCTCTCCTGGCTATGTTGCCTTGTTAAACCTTTCTGTCTGGACAGCCCTTCAATTCGTGGCTGCCTCAGTCACTAGCAGAATCCGTCAGTGGGCGTTTCTTAAACCTTTTCCAACATAAAAGTTGTTTGACACCCAGTCTCCTCCTACTTTCTCTGCGCGGAAGTCTTCTGCGCAGGGAGGGCGTGGGTAGCGGAGGACCAGTGCTCTCCCCGCTGGTGTCCGGTGAAGAGTCTGGGAGCCCTCTCGGGCCGATTCCCCCATCTGCCCCTCCTTATTCCTGGTGTTGCACTGAATTGCTTCCCCATCTCCTGAGCTGCCTCTCTCCCTGCTGGGCCCTTCTCCAGCATCACTAGAGAGCCTTCCCTCCACCTCTAGCTCCGATGTCAGTTCCCTGACACATATTTTTCAATAAATAGCCTATAACTAGAACTGCAAAAATACAATTCACAGATAGTAAGTCTTACTAAATTCAATGAGAGCTACTTCCAACTAGACATCCCTAGGATTCACTGTTAAGATTCTCATTCACAGCATTTATTAAACAGTCTGCAGTAAAGTATAATCCAAGAAGAGGATAGACAGCTATAAATCTTAGTTTTTAATTCCAGAAGTGGTATAAGAAACACAGAATATACACTTGACAGAAATCAAATCATTAACTTGGAAGCATTCACTAATTACAAAAAAATTCATCTTAGGCCCTTAGCCGTTCCCTGCTTAAGTAACACTTCTATGCTGAAACCTGTTTAAGCAATACATTTGTATGATACTATCAGTTACCAGTCTAAATCCAACTGTGTCTTAGCTGTCAAAACCACTCTACTCCACAGCACTCTATTACAGCACATATTAATCCAGTGAATCATAGCATTAATACATGCAATGATTTTAGTTCAGCTAAGTGAAAACTATAGCATGACAGCTGAGGCAAGCAAAGCATTCCTTATAGTACAAAAGAGGATTTTTTTGCTGATTCAAGAATTGTTATCCTGGTGGTAAGAATACAATACAAACAGGGGGTAGCTTTTTATTGGATCAATTTCCTGCACAACTGAAAACCTCTCCCCTTATACATTTTGTGCCTCTTACATTCAATGGGCCACATGACTGTTTAGCTCAATGCAAGAAAAGTTACAAATACAATCCAAATCCATTTTATAAATGTCTACATAGATTTTTGGTTATCATTCTGCTTCGATATCAAGACAGGGATAATTTCCCTCTTTTAAAGCCATTTTTAAACAAGGCCAAGCAGAGAGTCATTAAAACATTTTGTTTCCTACACAAGGTTCCTAGGGTTTTGTAGCTGTGACGGCCCATGCCAAAGCAAAGTAAGATGGGGGGGGGATCTGGATGAAGTGCAAAGTCCTAAGATAACTTTTAGGAAATACACTGTGTGATACTGCAGGGGAAATGCAGACTCTAGTCACCTGCCAAAACCAAGAGTCCAAAAGAAATTGCTTCCAACTCCAGTCACTGGATTCAGAAACCAACTTTTCTCCATTTGCATTTAAGACACACATGAATGAAATTCTATTACTATAAAAAATGGCATTCTGATGCAACCCAAGCTACTGACCTCTAAAACACATAGTAAATGCTTCGGCAGTAGCAGCAGAATGTTTTGGAAAATCTAAGCAGGTTGTATTTGTCTCAAGGCAATGATGTCGGACATAATCCAAGCCAATTTAGGTTGCAATTTTACACTCACTCACCTGGGGCTGCAAATAAGTCCCACTGAATGCAATGGGACTGACTTGCATAGGATTGCACTGTTGGGCTGCAGCTATAGAAGAAGCAAGAGCAAACCACCTACTGTACAGGAGTAGGTAAGGACCTGCAAGTACCAAGAATGCCAGCTTCCACTTTTTTAAATCTAGTTTTTTTGCGCTCCAATAGGAGAGAAGGCGAGGGGAATAAAGTTTGGAAATGTAGACAAGGCTCTAAATGGTAAAAATCCAAGAAATCCAAATGAATTAAAGTTATGAAATACAGATGTGCAAATTCACCTTACTATTTCTCCAGGAACTGATACATTTTTTCAAGGTACACAAGTGACAACCTGATGACAATCATTACAGCAAAAAGGTAGCAACATTTTGTTTTGATACCTGCCACAATTAACAGAAACACTTCATTCGTGTTAACTATGTGCCACTAAACACACATACAAGTTGAAGCTCCCCAGCTCATACATTTCTAATGCACTTTCTAATCTCCCTTTTTTCTGGTGGGGGTGGACACCATCTGCTACAGGCTTGAACAGGCACCTGTTGAAAAGTAGCGTGTTGGCATTCAAGTTCAAATGGCAACAGGAATATGCTGTGGCTTGGAAGCCACCAGAGTGCAAGAGCTGTTTGCTCCCCATACTCACCAAACTACACCAAAGGCTCCATATCCAATAGGCCTGTCTGGTTCAATATCCAGTTGCTGTTGTGGATGATGCGAGTGCTGATGATGGTGCGCTTTGACTGCAGCAGCTGCTGCAGCTTGTACCTGAGCTGGGGCTGCTGCTGCTGGTCCAGGGGCTTGACCTGGTGCCGGTGATGGAAAATATGGCTGCTGCTGCCCTGGGTTTAACATGGCTGCCGCGGCCGCAGCTGCGGCTGCAGCAGCAGCCGAAGAAGCATGTTGCTGTACGGGATGTACTGCAGCCGCAGAGCCTGGGTGCAAGTGGTGCTGAGAGTGGTGGTGGTGATGGAGATGAGGAGGGGGGAGATGAGGAAGGTGGTGATGGTGGTGGTGGTGGTGACCTGCTGCTGCTGCAGATGTACCGCCATTGTAAGCCGCCATCATTTTTGCGCTGGCTGTGGCACTACAAAGAGACATTCAAGGTGATGCCCTCTCGTTGGATAACAACTGGGTCAAGCTGTCATTTGGCCACAAAAAAATGAAGTTTGCTACACTACCACAAGCAAGTTGCCCACCTTCAAAAACATGGAGCTCAACAGGCCTTTATGTCTTCATCAAGTCAAGAAAAATGGAGTGCGCATGTGAGCATGCAATAAACCCCCTACCCCCCAAGATGGCCAGTGTAGTTGGTACTAGAACGCCATCCTTCTTATGTTTCCTCTGTGCCAGTCTTGAAATTTGTCAGTCCCCTTCCCCCCCAGAAAAAGGATGAAACTTCACCCCCCTAGAAAATGTTAGGAGTACTGACAAGCCCACCCCTTCCATTCCCACATCCTTTTCATTTATCTCTTCAAAATGTGTAGGAAGGTCTTCAAGGCCTTCTACAACTCTACTCTCTGTTCTGTGTATATATCCATCCACCTTTAATATTAAATGTGGATATGAGCAACTTCCACTATAAGGGGAAGGAAAGTGGCTATATAAATCAAGGAAGGCTGTATAAATGGGAAATGAAAATAAGTCCAAAAATTGAAAAGGGGATGAAAAAGATGGGATGGAAGTGGGAGGAAGAGTCAGTGAACGATATTCAAAATGAGGCAGGGAGGGGGAGTGAATAAAGAACAAATGAAGCTCACAGAAGAGACTTAAAAATCATGTGCAGAAAGCAAAAAAGTCAGGTAACAGAAGTTATCAAGGACAAGGAATAAAAGGTTTCAAGAACTTTTGGAAGGGAAAAAAACAAAAACAAAAGAAGAATGAAAGAAGATAACCAAGAGAAGAATGGGGTAGGAAAAAGTAGTTTAAAGGAGAAAAAATCTGGGAAGGCTAAAAAAAATGCATTTAAGGGAGAAGAACATGGAAATTAGGAGAAAGAACATGGAGAAAGAATGAAAACAGGGCTGGAGCAAATGATGCTTCAATATGGGGGAAAGAATAAAAGTGTGATCAAGCCACAAACAGGAGATGAGAGAATCCAAACACGTCGCAGTAAATGAAAGAAATGGATGCTTTTCCTGTAAGGATGGGAGATGGAAAATACAAGGAAGGGGATGCAAAAACAGGCAAGAAAAAGTACAAGGGGGACAAGGAAATGTTAGGGAGAGGAAAGCATTAAAATGTGAATGAGGATAAAAGAATCTAAGCTGGCTATTTATAGAGAGAAACAAAAACAGACTATAGGAAGCAAACGTATAAATGTGGAGAGAGCCCTTTAAAAAGTGGGGAAAGTGCTTAGGGATGTGAATATTTTTATTTTTAAAAAAGGAAAGCACTGTAGGTAGATCAATAAAAAGTTAAGAAATAATAAAGAAGCAAAACAAAGAATGAATGTGTCAAAGTGAAGGGTTCCCCCCCTAAATTAAAAAGATTATGGAAGCTGAGATGAAGGATGATAAGAGAAACAGGGAGAGAGACGGAGCAACTAATGTACAAGAAAATACGAGTTTCTTGAAGAGAGAAAAATGTCAATGGTTGTTGACAGGAAAAGCTAAAGGAGAAACTGAACTGAAAGGTGTGGGGGGGTGGAACTTATTTATCAAACAGATAATTAAAAGATGCAGGAGTAAGGACTGCAAAAGCTGGGAGAGAGGGAGAAAGAGAACGTGGTAGAGAGCGAGAAGAGAGAATAAGGGAGGCCGAATGAAGAGAGAGAGAGAGAATGTGGCAGGTGCCAAGAAAAGAGAGAGAGGCTATGGAAGGTGATGGAAAAGAGATAAAAGAAGGGAACGCGGAAGGTGGCGGTGAAGGGGGACAGCAGGCAGCAACGCTAGCAAGCCAAGTCAGCCAGCTTCAGTTCGCTTCCCACCCACTCCTCAACCCCCACTGCCTCCCTGGGTGGGTCTGAGGTGGGCGCCCTTGCCTTGACAGCCTGACCCAGAGCGGGCGGGGGGTGAGGAGAGAGACAGATAGGAAGGGAGGACGGGGGGGAAAGGCGAGGCAAGCTGAGGGACCGGGGCGGGGTAGGGGGGGGGGACGGGCACACGGTTGGCGGCGACGGCAGCTACAGGCCCCCCCGCCCCGCTGTGTGGAGAAGCCACAGGCGGGATGGAGATGAGGAGGGATGGGGGGCGGGCGCCGGCCGGGGGAGGGGGTCGCGTGTGGGGCGCCTCGGCGGAGTCTCTTCCGTTGGGGGGCGGGAGGGATGAGGGGAGAGGTCGGGTGGGGGGGTCACTCAGGCCCCACAGCGCCGCTCCACGTCGACGACGACGACGGCGCCCCCCCACTCCTCTTCCTCCACCTCCTCCTCCGGCAGCCGTGGCCGCCTCCTCGTCTTCCTCCGTCGTCCCCTCAGGCCGCCGGACCGGCCGCGACTCCTCGCCGCCGCCGCCGCCACCTCCTCCGCCTTCTCCTCACGGGAGCCCCAGAGCGGAGCGCAGAGCGAAAGAGCGGCGGCGACGGAGGCGCGCATGCGCGCACCCCCGGCCTGCTTTCGCTTTACTCTTTTTTCCTCACCCGCCTTCCCATAGCCGGGCGGCGGCGTGTGTCTGTGTGCGCGCGCGCGTGCCTCCCTCTCCCTCTCTCTCTCTCTTTTTCTCTCGCACACTCTCATACACAGAAACACGCTCGCGCTCATCCTCTCCGTCCCGTCGCCTCTGCCTCCCCAACCAATGGGACCCATCCCCTCGAAGGCCGCGGCGGCCAATAGCAGAGCAGCGCCCAGCCCACAAGCGGGACTTGGGATTCGACTCTTCTCTCGCTCCTCTGAAGAGATCAAAGAGGGTGGGTTTGTGGGTGGGGTAATAGGCACCGCCCACCGACCAATCAAACGCTCCTCCAGGTTGTCGCCCCGCCCATGGTCCCGCCTTTTTAATTTTTTTTGCCGATGAGACCCCGCGAGACTCTCTCACCTCACGCAACCTTCACCTACATATTCAGTCCGTGGAAAAGGGGCGGGTGGCGATCGATTTGATTGGCTGGCACCGCCGCGATTTAAAAGGCACTAGCCAATTAGGTAGCGCGGCTCTTGTAGGGCTCGAAATCCTGTTTCGTTTTAGTTTTTAATTTTAAACACGCACAAAGAAGGAACACGCTTCGAACGTGTCGCTCTCTCGTCTCCGAGTTAATAAGTGAAGAATTTTTAAAAGGTGCTCGAAGACTTTAGAAAGCGTTATACCGGCAGGGTGAGGCAATTGGTCACTAAGTGAAGATAGACAGCCAAGTTGACGAATCGGAAAGTCAATCTCCGACAGTAAAGGCGGCTCCGTCGAGAAACTGTCCTCCACAGGGACGAGAGTTCCGATAATAGACTAATTAGAGGGCGGGACTGTGGCCTGATGAACAGAGAAAGAAGCCAATAAAATGATGGGGGCGGGGTGAGACGAGGACACTGCAGGTTGAATGGGGAAGGAGGAGATGGGGGTCAACTTCGGGCCTCCGAACGTGGGAGGGACTTAAGGTTTAAGTGAGACAGCGAATGAAGGCTTGGCAAGGCGAAGGGCCTCATTGAGGAGAGGTTTGTGTGGGTGAAAAAAGAGTAGGTTAATACATATGCTAACTTTTAATGCACCTTAGAGGAATAAGCAAGATATTGTTTTATTGGTTTTTAAAAATGGTTTGGGGGTTTGATCTATTTATTTATAGAACTTGTTAATTCATAGTCTGCTCTTCAATTTTAAAAAATGGTTTGAATATATTATATATGAAAAGATATTTAGATATTTTACTATAAAATATAAGGAAAACCTTAGAATAAACTCTCTTTTATTTTTGGCCTGATTGTCATTTAATTTGAAGTATCATAGCTGTTCATGACAGGCAGTTGAACTGATATGCTTGTTCTGCACTTGATTAGTATCTGGTGCTGTTTTACCTCCTACCACAAAGCTACATTGAATCTTACTGACTACGCCATCGTACCATCATCTTGATTTGCTTTTTAATATTAATAGTGTCTTTACAGAAACAAATATTGAACAATTGTAGAATGATGGTTTCAAGTGTACTTCGTGTGTATTTTCTAGCCATCATCTTTTCTACTACAACTCTGCCAGTATTAATATGCCCTAATATTGCACATGAAGGGACGGATGTGAAGAGAAAGTGGCTTGCTAAAGAATGCCTGGTGAGATCATGGAAGTTGTAACTGGGAGTAGGGATTTCCCAGTCAAGAGCTCGTTCATTCTCTTATCCATTATTCCACCTCAACTCATGATCAGGATAATGGCTCTTGATTGACCTCGTTGGTGGCGCTGAAGAAGCTGAAATAATTAACAGAAGTGGAATACAAAAAGGGAGGTGTGAGGAGGTCGTGGAAATAAGTGAATGAAAGATGGGATATTGAAATTGTTTGATTTATCTTATTGTCTTTGTCTTGTTTTGTTAATTTGATGTGTTGTATTGTTTTTCTTCTTTTTAGTGTTTACGTTTTTGGAAAAATAATAAATATTATTTTTTTTTAAAAAAAAAGAAGCAATGTGGAATTGTATCCAACTCAGATTTACTGGTTGAAATGGATGGACCCAAGTTAGACCTGTCTGTTCTTCAGTGAGTGTACCCTGAGTTAGGTATAGCATTGGATGCAACCCCTGATTTCTCAGCCACCGTTGCATTCTTGTTGTCTAGTCACTGCGGGAGGCAGTGGAAGACAGGAGTGCCTGGCGTTCTCTGGTCCATGGGGTCACGAAGAGTCAGACACGACTAAACAACAACAACAACAACAGTCTAGATTAACCCAAGGACTTGCTTAGCAGAGTATTTTGTTAAAACCACGTCTACAATATGACTCTCTTCTATGCAACTGCTTAGGGTAAAGTAAAGACAAAGAGAACCAGATCCAGAGCTGGGTAGTGGCTAGAATGCCTGAGGAGACCTAGGTTCAAATCTACATTCAGCTTTGAAGAGCACCTTGGGCCAGCGATTGTCTCTCTATCATAAACTACCACACAATATTATTGTAAGAGAGGAAGAACCATACAGTGGTACCTCAGGTTACATATGCTTCAGGTTACATACGCTTCAGTTTACAGACTCCGCTAACCCAGAAATAGTGCTTCAGGTTAAGAACTTTGCTTCAGGATGAGAACAGAAATTGTGCTCCGGCGGCACAGCTGCAGCAGGAGGCCCCATTAGCTAAAGCAGTGCTTCAGGTTAAAAACAGTTTCAGGTTAAGTACGGACCTCCAGAACGAATTAAGTACTTAACCTGAGGTACCACTGTATTTGCCAGCTTGAGATCCCTGGAGGAACAGTGGGTTAAAAATCACAGAGTCACAGAATTGTAGTTGGAAGGGACCACAAGGATCATCTAGTCCAACCCTCTGCAATGCAGGAACCACAGCTAAAAAATCCCTGACGAATGGCCATCCAGTCCGTGTTTTGAAACCCCAATGAACAAGAATCCAGCTCCTTCTGAGGTCGTCTGTTCCACTGTCCAACAGACTCTTAAGAGATTTATTTGTTGAGACCATAATTAAGAACCGTGAAACCATGCAATTAAAACCATACTGTGCAATTAGTCTTCATAGGATAACATAATAGAAACAATATACAGTATTTCACATTCTGCTTCAAATGTTCCTTGGCTGCTTCCTAAGCAAACACAAGTTGTCAATATTTCTTTTAAGAAATAGGTTAAATATTTTTGTTTGTTTGCATTGTTGTTTGCATTTGCCATATTTCTGGATTGCCTTCCAACAGAAAACTGTCCACAGGGTGCTTTGCAACAACTTAAAAATACAAATAAGCAACCCACACAAAACTGAAAAAAATGAGACAAACCAAACTAATGGAATAAATAGATATTTAAAATGCAGAGGGAAGCAAAGTCATACAGGAGTATCTGGAAAACAAAAATGGTTTCTACACAACTTAACTGTGGCCAAAAGTTTAATATTGATGAATTGGAAGGATAAAGATAGGATCCTCTTTAATCGGTGGATTGATGACATGACAACACTCACAACATAAGAACGGATTACTTGTAGCCGTAGACTTTCTTTGGATAAATATATTGATATTTGGAATGAGTTTATACAGAATACACGAGGTTACTAATTGTCAGGGGCTGGACTAAGGAGGAATGGTGGGAGCTGCCACCCACCCTCTCTGCACCTTCCCGAGGCGGACAGTATAGATTTAGAACAGTGGTTTGAAGAAAGGGCCATCAAGGAGAAAAGCTTGGAAATATTGGGGAAGCAGCAGCAGGAAGGAGAAGCACTGGAGGAGAAACAAATAACAGACTCAGTGCCTCTTTAAAGCATTCCTGACCCCTCCTCTCCCAAAACCAGATGGGCCATGAGAGTAGCAGAACAGAAATCTCAGAGACAGAAAGCACTGACCAGCCGGCGCAGGGATGATGTAGATTAGGAGGGACAGAAGGGGTGGGACTTTATTTGGAGCATTATATAGTAGAGACAGCGTTCCATGCTTTTTTTCTAAAAAGAAATGTTTAGGGATACTCCCATTTTCCTACTCATATTGAAATACTGGCCCTCAATGAGGTCAAACTTAGATTCACAAAATGTTTAGGGGTTTTCCTGCGTACTCCCAGGAAAAAAAAACTGATTAGGACAATATTATGTGTGTGTGTGTAGGGACGCGGGTGGCGCTGTGGGTTAAATCACAGAGCCTAGGACTTGCCGATCAGAAGGTCGGCGGTTCGAATCTCCATGACGGGGTGAGCTCCCGTTGCTCGGTCCCTGCTCCTGCCAACCTAGTAGTTCAAAAGCACATCAAAGTGCAAGTAGATAAATAGGTACCACTCTGGCGGGAAGGTAAACAGCGTTTCCATGCGCTGCTCTGGTTCACCAGAAGCGGCTTAGTCATGCTGGCCACATGACCTGGAAGCTGTACGCCGGCTCCCTTGGCCAATAAAGCGAGATGAGCGCCGCAACCCCAGAGTCTGTCATGACTGGACCTAATGGTCAGGGGTCCCTTTACCTTTATCTTTACCTTTACCTTTGTGTGTGTGTGTGTGTGTGTGTCTGTGTCTGTGTCTGTGTCTGTGTGTCTGTCTCTGTGTGTGTATGTACTGTATGTATGTATGTATGTATGTATGTATATGTGTACGTGTGTCTAATATTTTAAAGTGCGTCTAGAACACTTTTTATTATTGATGTCATGTGTTTGCTGAGGAAGGAAGGATGAGCTGTGAAACGATTAAATAAATGGTTCCCGACTGTTGTCCTATCTGGCAGGGGATGATGGAAGATGAAGTGAAATGACACTTTGTGGGCCACAAGTTTCTCACCAACAACTCCTCTGCTCTAACCACTACACCACATCCATGGCCATGAGGGGGCAGTTTAACCACTGGTCATGAGTGCAAAGGTTTGACCAAAATACCTTCTCAGATCAGAGCTGCAGTGAGCGCCCTTTCAAGTTGCTGGTGCCTGCTGACTCTTTCTGACCATGGCTTCCAGCTCAATGTTTTTATCATGTGCAGGCAAACAAAAGCAGACTTGCCAGATGA